CTTGTGTCTATTTTTGAACTATACAGTGCTTCTTGTAAGCTTGGTCGTAGGAAGATGTAGATGTAAATATTTTCTGGGTAAATTTTTTTGGGAAGTTAATGTATGTGGAAATCGGGAGATGAAGTCTTTTTTCCGAGAGCATAATCCTCCTGCAAGAACCCTCTTGAGAGGCAATTAGATTGACATAAACGGATTGTGTTTCAAACTACTGCATGGAGTCGTAGCTCTCACCCAGCTAGCCATCTCTCATCTCCAATGCATTTGTTCAATGAACCTTCTTCTGTACCATTCCTGCATGTCTACCAGTATCACTCAGGTCAATGTTTTGCCTTGTAGTAGATGAAGCGTTTGTACGGAGTACAGAAAAGGCGAATGGTCCACTCCGAGGTTATCGCCAGGTCTGCCTCGATATTCAGGCATCAACCTTGGAAGATTTCTGCCAAATTTTCTCCATCGGGATCTTCGCATTAAAGGTACGATACGGTGGCATGGGGAGTGGTCGAATTGAGTGAGTGCCCAGGTAGCCTTGTGTAGACATTTTCCAAGGCTTGAGACGCTTTTCAGGGCAAGTAAACCGCTTGGCTATCACCTGGGCAATCACGTTGGATGACTACTCGTACTTACGAAATATGTTAACACAACACCGGACTTGTTCAACACAGGACTTCAGGATTATTAACTGTACGAGTAAAGTCCTGCCCACTTGAGCAGGTGGTAGAGACCTCGGCATGCCATCTACCCATCGGCTTGACCCCTTATCTAGGAAGGTAGCGTGGCCTAGGTGCTCAAATTAGCATCATCAGCATAGTTCACTCACAAACTAGGACGGTAGAGATCCGCGCAGATCCGCTCCCTAGAAACATACTTAAGTACTGCCCACTGAGCCGCTTCCGAGAATGCGAGAATGCGAGAATGCGAGGATACGAGAGCTTGGAGTGACATCAAGATATCCAACCCCCAAAACTTTTAGAACTACTCGTACTCGTGGCTATGTATGGAGTGCGCGCAATGTTCTAAAGTTCCACTAACGTTCAATCTGAACCTTGAAAATTGCGGCTCATGACGATGCCATTTCGAGATTCTCTCCACTCAACCTTCTCTCACATCATAATTTTGCCAGATCTTTCCATGCCCACTTTGTGGGTGGTTATTTGCACATGTTTGCTCGTAGGCTCGTAGATCTATGACAATATGTGCTTATATTTGAATAGAAACAAGAAGATTGCTGAAAAAATGTAATTCAAGATCTGCGCATTTGGATACGGAAATCACCCACTGTATGTAGCATAGCTCCACCCCGCTCTCTATTAGCAGTACTATATCCACAATATGAATGAGATCGCCAGTGGGGAAGAAAGTTGCTCGCATTACGAGACTTGTACTTGGAGTACTACTTGTGGTATCTACTCGTACCTGCTACTCGTATTCGTAGTGGGTGGAACCAACTCCCCAATTCACTACAAAGCCGGATCCTCACTCTGGTTCAAGGGGCGGGCTCAGGGTATAAAAGCCGTGGCGGGTTTCTTCGGAGGGAAGGTCAAAATTCTAGTTTTCGAGAGCTCGCCCGTTTCGATTATGTGGCTAGCAAAATATCTCACCTTATTGCCTGTTTGGACTGCCGTGACAGGGGCCACCACTGGCAAAACTCCCTACAAGCCGTCAACTTGGACACAGGATAAACATACACGGGTAATTCCCGTCCACAACGGAACAGTCTACCGTTTATCCTCCAATGGATCAAATCCATCGGTTGTTGTTCTGGACTACGGTGAAGATGTTGAAGGAATCCCTACTTTTCAAGTCTCTCGGCGTCGCGGGGATACCAGTCGCTTTGAGATAACCTACAGTGAAACTCGCAGTCTTCTCGATTCATACATGGTAGGTCCATTTTGCGTGTCGATAATCCTTTTCTTATGAGCCTTTCTGATACCAAGAATATAGGGTGACGGGCCTTTGTCACTCGCGGCGGCAATGGACACCTACCGCGTGAACCGCTATAACATCACTTCCCCTGGGCGATACACCAATGGGCTTATCCAGGGCGGCCTCCGGTATCAGAAGCTCAACCTCTCCACAGCTGGTGAAATCCAACTCTCCCATGTGGGACTACTTCCAACCACCGATAACACCCCCATTAGCCAGCTCCCTGGCTCGTTCAATTGCTCGGACTCAGAGATGACGCGTGTTTGGCAGACTGGTGCTCGGACAATTCAACTTACCGAGATCCCAGCTCGATCCATCCCGGAGTTCTGGAAAATCACTCCTGACGGCGCCTTTGTCCAGAGCGCGGCACCCCAACCTTGGGCGGGAAGCGATATTGCCTCTACCTTGATGCAATATACGCTGGCCTTCATCGCCAAACCAACAGCCGGCGGGTTTGGATTTACTGTCTTGAGTGACACCCTGGGTAGCGGTATTTACATATTCGTTGACGCGGAGAATCGATCAATCTCTGCCCATACAGGTTCGACAGAACTAGATTCGGCCCCTCTCGCTTCCACGAACTTGAATTCATCGCTACCGTATGGTTCCTGGCATGCAGTTACTGCTGATGTTAATATGGGGGCTGTTTCAATTTCCATCAATGGTTCTCAGGTTCTGAAATTCTCTCAAACATCCTCTTTCGTGGGCACATTTGGCCTGGGTGCTTCCTTTGGCCAAGCTGTCCATTATAGCAATGTGTCCTTGACTACTGGTGGGCAGGAGATTTACAGATCCTCCCTAACAGACAAATCTACGATGAAGGACTTCTTAGTTGGTACTAATCCACTACCGGTGAGTGTGGATGGGTCGAGGAGAGATCGGATTGCCTATGCTGGCGACCTGGAAACAGCTTCCCTCTCCTCATTTGCCAGTACCTATGGCAGGGACTTCATCAATGGAACACTCGAGCTTCTGGGTTCTTTCCAGTTAACCCCAGGTTTCTTCGCACCTACGGCCAAGGTTCAGCAACCGCCGCGCACGAAGGAAATCCAAGCCAATATCACAGGGCTGATCGGTTATTCGTTTTCTCTGGTGGCTTCCATCGGTGACTACTATACGTTGACCGCAGAGCCCGGGTTTGCCCAGCGCTGGGCACCAAAAATACAACACCTCCTGGATTGGGCAGACTCACAGACCGTTCCTGTCCAAAACGGCACGGACTCAAGCAGGCTTCTGAACGTCACCAGTCTTATCGGCGGCGGCTGGAACTACTATGATCCTGCGCAATCAGGCATGGTCATGACCTTCAATGCTATCTATGCCTTCTCTCTGCAACAATGTCTGCCGTTGCTGTCTGCCGCGGGCATTGAAAATCTGACAACTTACGAACACCGTCTTCATGACCTTCGTCATGCGATCAACACCCACTTCTGGAATGAAAAGCTCGGAGCTTATGGACTCTCGCTCTCAAACATGGAGATAATCTCTCAGGAAGCTAATGCCTTGGCCATTCTTGCCAATGTCCCAAGCGCTAAAAATGGCAGCAGGTCATCTGCCAGTGTTTTGTCTTCCATGGGACGCCACCTTTTCCTCCCTCAGAGCGGTCGTCCACTCGCTTTCTCCAACGCCAGCGTGAGCGCTGGCTTCGCCCAAAAGGTCTCGCCCTACGCCTCGGGGTACCATCTACGGGCTGCACTTCATCTGAATGATACCGGGACTGCGCAGCACTTGCTCACCTCAACTTGGGCTCCCATGACTGACCCTGCTGCCACCAACTATACAGGCTGTTTCTGGGAAACGCTCTTGCCAGATGGCAGCCCGGGCCTTGGTAGCGGCACTTCACTCTGCCACGCATGGAGCGCCGGACCTACAGCGGCACTGAGCCAGTATGTTCTGGGAATTCAGCCTGTAAAAGCTGGATTCAGCACGTGGAGAGTGGCTCCGCAGACCTTCGAGCTTTCGTGGGCTGAGGGACGCCACCCGACCCCTCGCGGGCCTGTGACAGTTAAGTGGGCCTACGATGCCAAAGCAAAGCTCAAAATGCGAGTTTCTGGCCCTGTGGGCACACAAGGCATAGTCAAGTTACCCTTGAGGTCAGGCGATGTTGCACTCAAGAATATGAAATACAAGGTCTCGGGGAACGCATCCGCGATCATGTCGGATCTGTCAGTTGGGGTAAAGGGCGGCTCAACCTTCATTTTCCAGCAGCTCTCATGATCACAGAGAGTTTTTGTCTGTGGAAAAGAATGATATTTGACGAGCTGAAGCTCCCGACTGCCTTTCTTGTTGACACAGGCAAATACGTATCCTAGAACGGCTTTCAAGGTTGCCTGCGCCCGTCGTTGCCATTCAAGCACTCCTTTCGTAGAGCATTTCTACTTCTGTGATCCTACCTAGTGTAGTGGGGGAACTACACCGATATGTGATGTGATAGCCCTGGAGCCCTGGAGCCCTGGAGATCTATACGGATGACCCAGCATTTGTGATATCCATGGATATATGGCGCTCTCGCGCAGTTCTAGCAAATAGAGACCCCTTCTTCTCCATTTTACCCACCACCCCTACTACTACTGTCTCCAGGGCCCCTGATGGTTCCAAGAAGTCGATCTGTTACACGTCAAAAATCGGCAGTTGAACTTTTAGGAGACATGCCGCCTAAACCGTATGAGCCAAACTTCATTCAGCAGGGCATGGGAAAGACCTTAATATGTTCCTGACGAGATGCAGGCAATACAGAAAGAGAGAGCGATGAAATGCTGATCACACTGCATTGATGCTATGATGCGAGACGAGAAGAAGAGAGAAACGGAGAGGGAGAGAACGGTCTATTTAGCCACCCTACAACCCAACAGTTCCTCGCCTTCTCAATACGGCTTCCTTGAAAGGGTAAATTGCTGGAACCGTGAAACCGAGTAACAATCATCAGTTATTCTTGAGTTTAGACCGAGCCTCTCAGCTAAATAGGTGCGCCCTTGCTCTCTCTCCTGTCCTCTCCTTCCCTCCCCGGAATCACTACAGGGAGCCTTCGATTCCTTCTTCCTCCGTAGGCTCAAGAGTTATAACTACTGGGAAAAGAAAGGGAGAGGCACACGAGCTAGCTACTCCGTACGGAGTACCCTGTACCCGTATGCTGTAGTACCAGCCCGAAACGTGGTCCGAAAACTTTATACGAGAATGCGAGTGCGCATTCGGCCCACAGGATCTTCTTCCAAGTACATACTTAGCCGACCCTTGGCCCCCACTTCAACCAAGACCCTCAGCCCTGTACAAAATATAACATTAATAGAAAATTGCTAGCTTGAAACAGGTGTTATAGACCGTCCGCTAATAAGCCTAGTAATTGTAGCATTAAACTAGCGAAAACGGGCTCCGTCTTGGTGTCACACTTTTCTTTTCAGGACACACTGCTCGTTCACTCACACTGTACAAGTATTCCCTACCTTCAACCTGATGATTGTTTACATTCGGGTTGTGGTGACCATAAACAACTTTCAGAGCGCTTTGGCCAAACACAAAATGACAAACGTTAATGCACTTTGTGGATAGTGACTGCTCAACTATATCTGGTCCAGAATGCCGTATTCATAACGCTTTTGGTCTAATTCAGAGGATATTGTGAGTCCGATAGATTGATTTGAAGCTACTATTGCTGAGTATATCCACATTTGATAAGAATAGTGGATATTGCGTCGTTTTTGCGGCGCTGTACTCCTGAAGTCCGTACTTTGTGCTTCCCATACGAGTATGTAACAACTGTGTTCCAGGAGCTGACTCCACCATCTAATACTTCGTACATGTATTCAGGTGTTGATTTTAGGGCTCAAATTTTCCCACTGCTATAAAGCGCCCAAATCTCGCCCCTAGAAGCACACTTGCAGCGACTCCAGTCATAATTCAGAACACAGGAGCTACCAAATCCTCACATCATGGCGAGCACCGACCAAAGTACCAGGTCTGGTATCTATCCGTACAAGCCAAGCGAAGCCGCAACAATCATCATGGCTGTCCTTTTCGGTATCAGTGCTCTTTGGCATTTAATTGTGATGATCAAAAAGAAGACTTGGTTTTATACTTCCTTGACAGTTGGTGCCATAAGTACGTGTTCGGCATTTCTTTTGCCCCCAGATCTTTACTGACAATAACCAGTGATGACCGCCGGCTATATCGCTCGATACTTGTCCGCAAAGTCACCATTCGACCTCGGTCCTTATATCATACAATCTCTTTTCATCATCCTTCCACCTTCCCTTTACGCCGCCACTCTATATATGATATACGGTCGTATAGTACTTTTCGTCAACGCGCCAGAAGCTAGCATGATTCGTCCAAACCGAGTGACCAAAATATTTGTTTGTGGCGACGTCCTAGCATTCTTTCTCCAAGCAGGTGGTGGTGGCATGATGGCTGAGCCAACCATGTCAAATGCTGGGCAAAAGATTATGCTGATTGGCTTATTCATTCAGCTTCTGTTTTTCGGATTCTTCCTTGTGATTTCGTTGGTCTTTTGGAAGCGTATGCGGTCGTCTCCAAAGTCTTACACGATCCCACGGTACGGAAAACATACTTGGAGCGCCTTGCTGAAGATGCTATTGATGGCTGCTGTCATTGTCATTCTGAGGTGTGTCTTCCGCATCATTGAATTTGCGGAAGGAATCGACGGATACATCTCCACTCATGAGGTGTACATGTACATTTTTGATGCTGCGCCGATGTTTTTTGTTCAGATTTTGTTTCACCTCGTTCATGCTGGAAATGTATTCCCTTCTGAGGCTGTTGCTTCTGCGTTTGCAGATGATGGAAACTATATCAACCTCCCTGAAAGATTTTGATTTTACACGGGACTAGTCAACATGACGAATTTTTTTTGCATAGCTAAAATCCTATATTCATACACAAAAAGCTCACACAAAAATCTAGACCTTAAGCCAATATTATCAATGATGACTTCCAAAATTCGAATCCAGGACGCTTCCTATGCCGCAAAGCAAGAAGGAGAATGGTGAACCATGCCCAGGCGACAGATTCAGGCTACATATATGCCAAATTGTAGCTTCAGTTGAACCATTTGGTAGGCTTGAGATTTTGGGTAGAATTTGCTAGAGCTGCAAGAGGCCAGAGAGAATTCCGCTTGCACCAGACCTACTTAAGTAAGTCCTACAATTGATATAAAGTTGGTATTACATCAATTGATGTGATGGTGTCCCGCCCAAAGGTTCAAAGGACAAGCTGGTATGCTTTTGACCAGGGTAATAGTACTGAGTTCACGTCGTGTTTGGATGTTGGAAGGCTCTGGTAAATCCGCTTTTTTAACCTTTCGGTGGCTGATATCGTTTATTTTTAACCGCCAATTTTAGTAATAACTCGGCAATTAGTGCGTTTACGCAGGTTCTTAAATCGGCTTCCAACTCAAAAGCAGGATGAGCGGGCGGGGTTTCTGAGATTACAAGTAGAAGATCTGCCGGCTCGGAGCTAAGGTTGAAGATCTGAGGTTATTCGAACGAGTACACGTTCGTACGAGTATGTGGAGAGAGGGGGCCTTTGATGAAGTGGACTGTAAGGAATTAATTGGCATCTTGCTAGATAACTCGTACAAGCAGTACCTCCACGGATATTAAATGAAACGTGACCTCTACCATAATCACGTAGTATACGTAAATCCGGCTTTTTCTGCTTTTTCTTAGCACGTTACAAAGCCCGCTGCCTATGTATTTAATATTCCTATAAACCCACCTCGGCAGCCCCGGAGGACCCCGTGGTGGAGAAGTAATGGATTCTACAAGTACGAGTACATATAAAGTCGGATCTCGAGAACTTAAAATGAACGATTAATTTCCCACTCTGTGCGAAGCATATAAGGGCGAAGATCAATATTCTTTCTGGCAGCCAGACTGTGATTCCACACATACCTCTCATTGTGCGTAGTATTTTGTACTTGTAGTATGTCTTCTGTACATATAAACGTGGTCTCTCCTGGGCACTGGTATCAGAATATAGTCATGTCTAGTCATGGATTCCAAGACGCCAAGCCTGACTTCATTCAATGGCAAAACCAATGCTCCCTCGGTGGAGTTCAATCGCCGGGGTTTGGCCGGTGGCCCCACACCTGCCATTCGCATTCTCGCATTCTCGCATCTCGTATTCTCGAGACCCGTTTCCGGCAGATCCTTTCCCGGGTACTTCCCGATCCAACCATGTAATTGATGTGCGATAATTACTCTTACCCTTTATTATTGAAGTCTACCAAGGTCTCTTGGGATGAGCCAAATTTGCGTTGTTACTAAAGCAATTACAGACACTTCTGTTTGGCTGTCGCCCCTGATCATCCCCTGGTTGCAAGTGGAGGTTTCATTAATTGCCACGCTCGGATTCTCGTATAGCTTTCACTTTTTCATGGACAAAAAGAGTCAAAGGGTCTTTTTAATAGAATAAAGTGTGCTATAATTCTTGCGGCTGCTGTTATCCTATTGCATCCTTCTCCTTCGGACTCACATCAACATTCCCATTTAGAGTCCATCATGAGCGACCAAAGTCAAGATGGCGGGTTCACATTCGCACTGTACCGCTACACGCCTTCTATTCCCGCGGCAGTTGTCTTTACCATTCTATTCTTCATAGTAGCAGTCGTCCAGTTGTTCCTGATTATAAGGCATCGCACATGGTTCTTCGTGCCCTTTTTCGTGGGTCTTCTACGTGAGCAACCGTCTCCACCCAGATCCTTCAAGGCAAACACTGATCATGATACCACATCCAGTCGAATTCGCGGGATACATCGCCCGTATATTCTCACACTTTGATACCATGGCCCTCGGCCCGTATATTGTACAAACTATGTTGATCCTGGTCGCACCGCCGCTGTTCGCCGCTTCGATTTACATGACACTTGGACGAATCATTGTGAAATTGGATGCCGAGGAATTTTCCATGGTGCCGGTTCGGTTCTTGACAAAGATATTTGTGGTGGGAGACGTTGTCTCATTTTTGTTACAAGTTGCAGGTAGAATCTACTCTTTCCTCTTGACCTATCTCATGCTAATCATTGATAGGTGGCGGATATATGGCGGCTGGAACATTGACTGCGATGGATGTTGGTGCGAATATCGTTATCGGTGGTCTCGCAGTCCAACTTCTCTTCTTTGGCTTCTTTGTCATCGTGGCTGCTATTTTCCATTGGCGTGTGAAAAAGAACGAGCAGCATTGCCGCGCCATGTCGTATTGTAACGAATCGACTGCAAGCTCATTCCCTGTCGAGACAAAGCTGACTTGGGAAAGTCTGATGTGGGGTCTCTACATTGCGTGTCTACTGATTCTCGTGCGATCCATATTCCGAGTGGTTGAGTTTGTCGAGGGCAACGATGGGTTCATCATGCGCAAGGAATACCTCCTCTATATCTTTGATGCTTGTCTCATGACCCTGACAGGAATTGTGCTGAGTGTAGTATTCCCCGGCTTCCTATTAAAGGATGACAAACCTGAGAGACCAAGTATGGTTCAGTTGGTAACAAGTGGGGAAGAGTCTTCTCGGTTGAAGACGGACAGTGTTTGAGCTACCTTTCTGTTTCCATCGAAAATTGTGTCCTTCCATCATTAGACTAGCGTGTTGAATATTTGTCGCGAATTCATTTCAGTTCAAAGTGCTAGCATGATTACGACCAGAATATCCAATAACGAGCATCCACAAGCTGGTGTGCAATAGTCGCTATATGACAGAATGCCTCGACCACCTCAACCGCTATCCACGAACCAACGGCGGTGCGCTGGGTGGCATCAGCCTCGGTGATTTGGATCTCCCGTTGGATAAAAAAAAAATACTTATGGATATAGATCCTCATACAGTCCTTCAGATCCAAAGCAGAGGGCATGGGATCCGGAACTTCCCACCTTTGAGGGATCGCCTCAAAAATCACCTGCTTCTAAAGTTCTTAGCATGAGCTCAATGCTGCAAGAATCCGTGGTATGTCATGATTTCGTGAACTTTGAAAGCATGATCGTCTTCCCCCACTGAGCTCTGTTTCTTCTCCTTCCCTCATCTTTGAAGGCGATTCCGGCCGAGCGCGAAAAGCCGTGGAGAATCGATGTCGTTGTTAACTGGAGCGCAGAGGTCGGAACTGAAAAAGGAATCACGAAATTGTAGAATAAAATATAGGATTACCTGGAAGAACTTTTTACACCGTGTACTTAAGTACATGTTTAGCGGAAAATGTTGAATAAGCAAATGCTCACTCAGCAAGTAAATGCTTCCAACGAACTAAGTAAGGATAAATTGACAGAATAATAACTCTTGAATGAGAAGAATTGTATTGTGTACTGCTCTCGATAGGGAAATAACTTCTATTTATACTTCTCTGCGGGAATGCGATGGAATTCCCTCGAATTGAGAATTCTGTCAGGATTTGAATAAAAGCTGGCAAGTAATCACCGACGCAGTCCATACTTAAGTAGTAGAATTCATAGACTGCATAGTGCAAACCTGCATAGAGCAATCATGCATAGAAAGCGCATAACTAGGGCCCTTTCTCACCGACAGGAACCCGCAGTTTCGTCAATTGAAGCTGCCTCAGGCACCAAATGGTTCCTGAGGCCGGAATTCCCTCTGAGCCACTATGTGGCTTACACCATACTGTGGCGTAAAAGCAGGAAGGAATTCAACAGAAAAGGATGGACTATAGAGAATCCTGAATATCACCGATTGTCGAATAGACTGCTATATACAAATTAATAGACATATTTCTATGTCCTGAAGTCTATACATACTCGGTGGTGTCGAAAAACCTGCATAATGGGAGAACGAGGTGTCCTTCGGGGATATTATTTCCCGAAGAACACCCATCTCTTCTGACAAATAACCTACGAGTTGACTTCATCCATGGTTAATTCGTGGGATTTGTGAATCAAAAACAAATTTCGACGCATTGAGGGATAGCTCATCGCTATAGCCAACTATGCAATATCGAAATACATTACAGCCATTGTATACTCGAATATAATCAAACAAGCTTTGCTATGTACTCTAGTGAATGTGAACTCTTGGCAAAACACTTGAGTACTTAAGTAGTCTTCAATTGTATAAGCCGGAGAAAATCTATGAGAAAAGTGCTACTTTGGAAGTACCTGGGCATATCTCAAAGACCCAAAAGTTCCAACCTCCTCTAATTTTCAGGTCGGGAACGGACACCCCGTTCTATCCGTGTCCGCAGCCTTGTCGTCTCTTGACTCATGTGAATCCGTTGAGTCTAGAAGAAGAGCATCCACATCTCTTCGTTGGGCTACTCCCAGGTTGAAGAGCCCAACAAATCTTACAGTAAATTTATAGTCCACGAGTATACCCCCCCCCGAAACTCATTCCATCAAAACCAACATCCAAATCCAATCACAAGATGTCTAGTCAAGGACCAGAACAGACCTTCCGCGCCTACACGGCAACTCAAGGGCAAACCTATGCCCAGGCCAGATTCGGCTACCACCCGAATTTCTTCAAACGGGTCATTGAGCACCATACAGCAACAGGCGGACAACTGAACACCGTCATCGACGTAGGTTGCGGACCGGGCATAGCCACCCGCGAATTGGCACCTTACTTCAGCCATGCGATTGGCGTCGATCCATCCGAGGGCATGATCACCGCGGCAAAAAAGCTAGGCGGGTCTGCTGGGTCGGAAGATATTAGATATGTCTGCTCCAGTGCCGAGGCACTTGAGTGCGACGTTGTCGATGGGACCGTGGACCTTATTACTGCTGCTACGGCAGCACACTGGTTCGACATGCCGCGCTTCTGGGAGCGAGCTGGGCGGCTTTTGAGACCTGGTGGGAGTGTTGCTCTCTGGACTACGAGTACAGAAGGTGTGCATGCCGACACACCGAACCATGAGGCCATCAATCGGTCTTGGGAGGCGATTCGGAAGCGGGAGATAGAGGTGTTCTATGGGGTTGGGAATATGGTTTCTCAGCAATTGTATGCTAATCTTGGATTGCCGTGGACTGTTTCGCCTACTGTTAGTGGGTTTCCGGAAGACTCAATTTTGAGAAAGGAGTGGGGTACAGAGGGGAACGGGGATGTTGAGGACGAAGGGGAGGAATTCTTGATTAATGGGCAAACTTGGAGGGGGTTGGATTCCTTCGAAGCTGTGATGGGAACTGGAAGTCCGATTACGAGGTGGAGAGAGGCAAACCCCTCCAAGACTGGGGAAGAGGATGTGGTGAGGGTTATGAGGAGGGAAGTGGAGAGGTTGCTTAAGGAAGCCGGTGTTGCTGAGAAAGACATGGCCATCAAAGCTCAGATGACTGGGGTTCTGTTAGTGGTCAAGAAAGAATAGATACGATGTATATGGTGTCTCAATAAGGTTGGAGGCTCAGACCAGTTGGAGTCATGAAAATATCTTTATAGTTGAATTTTCCATTGAACTTATCTTCGTGATAAATGCGATTGAAATGCATGTCCAAACATGTGCATCTTTTGAGAACTCGCGGACTTGCAAGCGCTGGACGTAAATTCAAACAGAAGCAGGGAGCGCAGGTAATGGGATACATCCAGTCTTCCAAAATGATCACCAAATGCAAAAAAAGAAAGAAAAAACAGACAAAAACCACCAGCACAGACATCCCCAACGTCCCCAGGCCAACCGAGGATCAAAGAGATATAATTGGGTGCTCAGAGCCGGCAGAGAACCAAATGGCATCCTTTGATCAGCTTGTACCTCGTTTCTTTTGCTGTTGGATACAAATGCCGCATGATGTGAAAAGAAAAGAGAGTTTAACCCTCCATTCTCAAATCTAGTAAACCTTCTTCTTTTCGTCCATGCTCAATTGACCAGGGCCCATGTTGACGAGGAGAACAAGACCACCACTGGAAGAAGACATTAGAGATGTAAATGTATCGGGAGGGGAATGCACATACACAATGGACAGAATCTGGAAGAAGTCGTATTTGGCGAAGTCCTTGTGGGGGTGGTGGGGGTGGAGCTGAATGAATAAGTCAGTATTCGAATGCACAATGCACCGCCAGAAAGACATACCGTCCAGAAGTTGTTGACAAAGACGTTGAAAAGACTCAGCAGGACAACCAGAATGATGGCGCTCCACTTAGCCTTGAAACCAACAATGACCATAACGCAAGCGACGAAACCGAACAAGCTGACCAGAATGCGCCAGAAGCTCCACTCGCCGGAGAACACGAATCCAACGAAAAGGAAGATAAGCAGGATACGACCAGCGAACTGGACGTACATCTTGCGGTCCTTCTCGTCGAGTTGGGGCAGACCGGCGGGAACGAACTTCTTGCGCACCCAGGAATCAGACAAGACCATTAGAAGACCACCGACAACACTCAGATTGCGGAGGAAGAAGTTCAAGTCGAAGATAAGACCATATCCAAGACCCTGTGTAATAACGACGGCCAACAATCCCGCGACGGCAAATTCGGTGCGCTTGCGGGCAATGACGAGAGAGGAACAAACAGCCATGGCAATGACATTGACGATAAGGAAGGCATGGGTGACTCCCCAAGGAACTAGGAGCAAACAATCGCGTTAGCTCGAGGGATCTGTACCCCGGACCCCGGTGCGGATCAGGGTCCGGGCAAGGGTGCGCTCTTACTCTTGCGGAAATCACGGAGGTAAAGGAGCTGGTCGTTCCATTGAGTGAGGATGCGCAGCGAGTCTTCAATGAATGTCACGACAATGAGGAATCGGCCGATAGCAGGCAGGTAACTGTGAAAAACACGGTGTCAGAGAAAGTCTCAGATCCCTTGTTTTGGTGTGTTCCGCGACTCGAGCGCCACAAAACAAAGGAATTTGACGGAGAAAGATCGAGTATATAACCTACGGCTTCACTGGATCGGCCAGAGAGTCCAGCCAGTCTTCAATCTTGCTTGTGTGCTCGCGAATAGCATCAAGTGGGCTAGGGTCGTTGGTGGCATCTGCGCTACCGGGCCCGCCAAACGGGTTTTGGTGGCCGAGGTTATAACCCGCGGTGCCACGGATGTGGGCCATGGCGAGGAATGTGCGAAAAGAGTGATTGAGGTGAAAAGAAAGATTAAGCCTGGCGGGTTGGAAGACTTAAGGACTTGAACGACCAAGGGAGATTGAAGGGAGTAAATACCAAAGGAGCTGTATACAAAGCAACTTCAGGCCACGATGACCGGAACTCACCGCTAAACCCTTTTAGGCCTAGTGACGACACATGCTCTATATAAAGATGCAACGCCCTAATAATTGGGACATTCTTGGAATTAGGGTCCTTTATTGTCCTTTAGGGTCCTTAGTCCCTTGGGATCTTTATACGGTCTTTATTTGAGGTTTTGCTTTCATTGGAGTACATGTGACCAGGGTTTAGAGAAGAATCAGAGAGAGAAAAAAAAATTTAAAAAAATACAAACAGCATTAGATCCATCCCCGCAATTCTGCTTTTGATCTTTCACAGTACGATCCTTTCTTGATGCACAACTTGCACGAAGGATCCGCCAGTTTCGCTTATGCGCTGCCACAACCCTCCGAGGCCCCCAATTCATAGGGAAGGAAGGGTTGTTTGAATGATTGAAAAAACCCCCAAAACGCCAGGTCAACAATAAAAATCAAACAATGGGTAATAAATACAGTTCAAGATGAAGGGAGAACGTCGAGATGAGGTGGAACTCAAGCGGCCCAGTCGGAGTCAAGGGGGTGACCCTTCTCGCGGGAGCGCAGGATGTCGGGCAGGTAGGTAGGGGTCACGGTCACGCGAGGCTCAATGGGAACGGGGGCCACGGGCGCGGACTGGTTCTCCGAGGCACTGGTCTCACTGACACTCTCGTCGGTCTTGCCGCCCTTCTTCTTGGGTTGCTTCTTGACCTTGGAGACAGTGGTCCACTCGTCATTGCCGTTGGTGGCTTCCAGGAGGCGCATTTGCTCTTCCTCGGAAGGAAGGTTCTGTTGCCACTTCTTGGGAGGGGCGGATGACTCGAAGGTGTCCAGAAGATCCACTGGGGCGGCAGGGGCCGCCGCCGCAGCAACGGGGGCGGGGCGGGAGGCACCATTGGCCTTGACAGGGGCCTCCTTGGTCTGCCAGGCGTTGGCCGCCGGGGCGGAGGACCGGGCGGCCTCACGACGCTCGGACTCACGGGCAGTGTGAAGCTGCTTCTCCAACAGCTTCTTGCGCTCAACTTCAGCTTCCTGGACCTGCTGCTTGCGGGCCTCGTTCTTGAGGCGCTGCTGGCGCTGCTTCTTGGTCTCAACCTCCTTGAAGGTCTGAGCCTTCTGCTTCTTGGGCTGGTTCTCGACGTTTCCGGTGACGCGGAGGACAGATGCACCGGCGGCCGGGGCCTCGAGCATGTCGGAGACGTATCCAGCGGAGGGAACAGTGGCGTTGACGGATGGAGAGGCGGCGGGAGAAAGATCATCGTCGGCCTCAGCACCTGTGGTGGAGGAGGCACGAGTGTCGCTGACGTCAAGCTGGGCGGTCTTCTTCTTGTTCTTCTTCTGGCTCTTGGTGGGAGCAGGGGCGGCGGTGGAAGGGGGGCCGGCCTTCATGCCGGCCATACGGCGGGCCATTTCCTTGCGGTCAATTTCCTCGTCGGGCTTCTCATCCTCGGTTGTGGGGGGCGAAACGACAGTCTGCACCTCAGACTTCTGGGCAGTGACCGGCTCGGCGGCGGGCTTGGACTTGCGCTTCTGTTTCTTGGGTGCAATTGTAGCCTCTGTCTTTTCCGCGGTAGATCGGATCACGGTTTTGGCCTTCGGGGTTGAGCCATTGGTGTAGTACCAGCCGAGGCCACCTGCCACGACCAGCAGGATCGCCCAGCTAATGTAAGGGTTCATATTCATTGAGCTATGCACTCATCAGTCAGTACCAAACAATTCCAGCGAGATGTTTCACTTGGGACTTACTATCTGGGAGCGGACTCTCAGATGTTTCTGAAGAGAGAAGTTGCAATTGAAAGTGACCGGCGAGGTGGGACAAAAAGGTGCACGAGCACTTCAGTTAATCACGCGCAATGGAGATTGAGATGATTGCGCTCAAAGACCAAGTAAGTAGGTGATCACAAGTAGCCACGAAGCTCTGAGATGAGATCAAGGCTTTGCGATCCGGGACAGATTGCCTCAAGGCAAGAAAGTTCCGGTGTCACTCGAATCCAGATCGAGGCCAAAGGCGTCAAAGTAGTGAGATGCGCGTGAAATGTCGGGAGCGCAGTGGCGCAAAATGAATGTGATAAACAAGAGGAGAAGAGAGAAAGGAGAGTAGAGAGAAAGGGCAACCGTGGCAGATCCACCTCGGTACTGTAACCGTGTAATGGTAACTTACCAAGACCTTGGCCTCTCACCCTTGGGATTTTCTACGCAGTACGGAGTATTATTTGTCGCACTGGGCTTTTTGCTCAATTTCTCCATTTACTCCGTATCTCTTCGGTTGAACTGGGTGATATTCGTGGCCGATTCCAATCTTGACGGCCATCTGTCATCATACATCAACTTTCCACGCACTACGGGTACACGGTTGAAATACAATAGTCTCCGGGCGACGAGATTAGGGTAAGTTGAGAGTTGCAATGAACAGGCCACGTTTCTCCGCCTGTCTCATCCTGGTATCTCTCCGCTCTAGTTATAGTACACAGGCCAATTGGTATCTTACTAGCGTATCACTGGCCTCCTGGGTGCTCAAATCTCCAATTTTTGCTCTGTACTCCGTACGGGGTACGGGGGGTACGGAGTTTCCCACGCAGAGCAACTAATTTGGCATTGCTGTCCTGACTGTGGTATCATCCGCCGATTATGGGGAGTATCGGCCCAGGGATCTTATTTTTTTTTTATCCCTTGCCGACCTCTCGCCACGAGGCGAGGAGTGGCCGGATGATTACCGGCTAAAAAGTACTCGGTTCGTTTGGTGGTCCAAGTGGCTGTCACATCTCCAGGTCCTGTTTGGAGTCCGGAGTAAACAACGGATATTGATATGTATATGATCTACTCCATACTCAAAGAGGCATTGAGATAGATCGACGTATAGTATTTAGGAGCCTAATTGACTTTGTCGGGTCCCTAGGTATGTGTGCAGGTGTTCCGAGAACCAAAATTGTGTATATTTAGTTGCTTTCCAAAACTGAACAACACCCAAGGACGCGAGCTGCTGGAAGTTACTTAAGTACCTGCAGGTCTCCAGGACTAATCCGGTTTATTCTCATGGTCCGAGAAACAGGGCACCGATTCTCAAGTGGTGCTCAAGTGCCATATCCCGTACACGCCCTATTATTGCAGCAACGAGAGACTCTGAGCTAAACTGTTCCAGTCCGAAATATCGACACAATCCGGATCCCATCCATCAATATCAAAAGTGTAAGTTGGGGTGGGCTCAATAGCAGTTTCACGAACGATCTTCTGGCTCTGTGCAGAATCACGCGCCTCTCGGGCCCGTAGTGCCTTATCCCTCAACTGCACAATGATAGACCACTTCGGCCCAGGATCCGGCCATGACGGATCCTCCATCATGGCGAATTGGATATTGATGCCACGCCACGCCCTCTCGTCAAGTAGTCCACCTGGATATACACACATATGCCACAAAATGTACGTGAGGAGGTGATATTGTGTGTAGGTAGTTGTCAACCAGCGGAAACCACGGAGGATTTCATCCGAATGCATTTCCAGCCCCGTTTCGAGGGCCGTGCATGCGATTAGGAGTGTCTTTTGTGAAATCTCGTAATCGATAGACGATGCCTGTTGACCTCGAAGGTGGATGAGCTTCTGGCGTGCGCAGATCTCGGTCTTGAAAAGGAGGAGTTGACCGAGGAGGAAACCAAAGCGTTGAATTGGGATGTCTGGATCACTGTGTCGCAGGTACTTTTCCTCTATCGATTCTCTGAACTCAGCGAGTATTTGGTCTGCATTCGAAAATTTGTTGAGATTCGACATGATCTCTTGTCGCCTTGCGTTTGTTTCCATGATGATGAGCGAGAAGGTCATCTCTGTCCACCGAGATTGTGATATGTGAGTGGTTGCGGATTCCGAGAGACTCTGATCGTCGATGTTCAATGGGAGATCGGTATCTCCGATGTTGTTTTCGGGAACACTCAGTCCGTGGTCCTCGGTGACTCTGGAATCTGCTGCGTGTATGTGCCACCATAGGCGTCGGCGTAGCTCACATTCCAATTCGGGTAGCTTGAAGTGTTTCCCATCTCGCTGAAGTCCAATCGACTGCGCTGCCCGGATGGTCAGGCCGTGCATTGTCCAGCCTGACCGGCCACTATTACTATATCGATAGCATGTCTAGGCATGTCCACTGTCAGCAAGATGAGAATCCTTGAAGACGAATCATCAATTTCTTACCTGGTATATGATCATAGCCTGCAAAGAAGTGATGGTCGGCGCATCCATAAAGTCTGCATGGTATAGCGAGATTTCCAAGCCCTGCTTAAACTTCCGCAAGTCCGCAATGATATTTTGGTTTTGAAAATCATCAGACAATAAAGCCGTAGTAGCAGCAAAGTAGATAGCGAATAACAGAGCACGTATATCGGCACGCACGCTCTCGGGTCGATTGATCGCGGCGAAGATCTGCGACTGAACCGAAGGAATATGGATCACCTTAACCAAAGGATCGACACGACTAAGAAAGGTTTGCCAGAGCACAGTCGCCTGCCACCGACTGGGATAAAGCTCTTTGGGATCCAGCTGCATCAAGAGTGGATTTGCTAGAAGCCCCTCGGCTTTAACTATCGGCACCCGCCGAGGACTGCTTGTATCATTCGGTGAGCCAAGAACAGACCGAAGCTCCTGTTCTTTCTCAAGAACTCGTGAGAGTAGAGGCTCATTAATATACCGGCCATCTTTACCCAAAAAATCCGGAAACCCTTGAAACTCCGGTTTTTCCACGGGGGCGGCCGGTGACCCAGAAGTTGGAGTAGCTAGTGCGCCTGTATATGGACTGTTGCTATTTTCGTAGGGAGGTAGGGCCGCTTGGGGGGTATGAACTTGACTCGGCCGTTCATGAACCAGCGCTGTGATAGATCGCTCGAGTTGCTCTAGTCGGGCTGCCACATCGGTCATACTCTTCTTTGGGGGTTGACGTTTCACTCGACTCGGGCCAGGATACTGACATGCCACATTCTGACGTGCACATCGGGTACATGGCGATTTCTTGTCGCAGCGAATTTTGCGCTCGTGACAGCGCAAGCATGACCGCTCAACGTTGTATCGCCGTTGATTGTCCATGGTGTAACCCTGAGATGATAGCGCAAGGGGTATATTGATCGTACGGATGCTGGATTGACATGAAAATAAATTGTTGATTTCTTTTGTCGAAAGTTGCACGATAAGGGGCCTGGGGCCAAATGATGCGTTTGTTCGGGGTTCGGTCGTTCGCGAACAGCCGAGTGGCGATCAACTTAACTTGAACTTCAAGTGCTGTCTTGCATCGAAATCCATGGGGAATTGGTTCTACAGCTATTCTCGATTATTGAAAATGCCAGTGCAGTTTGGCGAATTTTGGTGGTAATTTTTGGTCGCTCCATTTTGATTATCCACACCCACAAACATTACAAAAATACCAAAAAACTCCCCAAAGGACACCAATACAGTTCAGAAGGGGACGATTAACATGTACTGCAACCCAAAAAAACGCTCAAGTACCCGCCGACACCGAAACTCATCTGGCCTCGCTTAAATATAAAATGAACAGAGGTCGTAGTATTATGAGATGAGAAGATCACGCACACTCATCCCCTTCCTTCGTTGTGCACCCACAGGCGGAGCTTCCTCGTGCTTCGCCAACGAAGCACCGGAAAATTGCTCGCTTATTGAATCCGCAGTGCCCCTACGGTCCTGAGTCAACATGAGCAGAGCAGCCGAGGCCTCGTGATCAACGCCTTGAAGCTCATGCATTTTCTCAGGAGAAGCCCAGATCGGACCCAATGCCGGACTTGGCAGGACCGAGGTGGGTTCGGGCACATTTTGAGCAGAAGGCACTTGAGTTCGCGGCGAGAATGATGGAGAGGTATCAGGAAAGAGCTCTGGGGGAGCATATGCCTCTGGAGATGCGGAGGGAGAATAGGAGTATGTGGAGGATTCACGCATAGGCTCGGCACCTGTTTCGGCGATGAACTCTGGCGATGTGGGCGACGGCGGCGCAACAGTATGGCTAGAGCCTGCTGTTCTCATGTCGCGAATGCATTTCTCCAGATAGTTGACGTAGTCTATACTTGCCTAATGGGACGGTTAGTGCCATGCGAGATGGGAGGGACTTTCGGGACAAGTACCTGAAGAATGGCAAGCTTGTGCATTTCCTGCCCCGTGCAAGCGGGAATCATATCCTTGAGGGTTCCGAACTCCTCGTTCATTTTTGATCGTCTTCGACGCTCGATCAAGCTATGGGCGGTCTTGCGAGCAATCTTCCGACCAGCCGCGCTGGTTGCACTGGGTTGTTTCCTCTTGGAACTTGTGGGTGGATTGGAGATCGGCTCTGGGCTCTGCGTGGGAGCCTTACTATCCTTTGCCTTGGATTTCGCCGGCTTTGGTTTCATCTGGATGATCTTGCGAGTTCGGGTCGGTGGTGGAGGCAAGTCGAAGTCCTCCAATGGGCGCTTAGTTGTCCCCGACCGTCCTGTGTGACTTGATCGGCGACCAGAGAGATCCGGTGAGGTTGAAGTCGGAGTATAAGAGGGATCTGATCTGGATGATCGGCGGCTTTGAGGACTCAATGCAGCAGGAGGTAATGTGAACATATCTGTAGCAGGCTTGTCCTGGATAGTGAATTCACCCGACATGGCTGGAGTTGGTGGGAAAGACATTTTCAGAGCGCGAAAGTGAGAGTACAGAATGCAAAAAGGGATACCTTGAGTCCCTATATACCGCGAACGTACTGTTGAAGAGCCCTGGAAGTGTCGCGTGCTTGGGGGCTAGCCCACGAGTTGCAATGGTGGGTGGTGATTGGTCGGAGCGGAGACTCGTGCTTCAGGGAACAACGGGGATTTGCTGCTCACCAGAGTGGGGCGCGACAAGCTTATCGGTAGGTACTGGGTACTTCCCAGTAGTGTGGAGAAAGGGGTGACCCCCCTATGCGGTCATATGTACTCTATACTTGCTGGTTGGGGAAGTACCCCGAGCTCATCGATGTTTGGTAGTTCAGCACGTGCAGAAGACTTCGGGATTATACGGTTCTCATCTTTCTGGCTCGCATGTGTCCTCATTGCAACCTTCCAAGCTTCTCTTTAATTGGCCGTCTGCGTGTGATCTGACGATTCACGATTTTGGGCTGCTTTGCGTCAATTGCAAAACTGGCCGGTCCAAGTATCGGCACAGCACGTGCCTGAATCTCTCACGGGTGTCGATTCTGCGGAACTCAGTATCGTTATGGATTCGTGCTAAATAGCCCAGCAATTGTGTTTTCATTTTATAGAGATTGTCTTCTGTGACACTGTGAGTTTCTACTCGTGAGCACATCCAGACTTTGGCGGTTCTTGGCTCGACAGGTCTGCCCCAGCCCCTCACCCTGGTCTGGAACGACAGCCACCGCAGAATCAATGGTCATTAAATAGGACAAATCTTCAGTGATATGCTTTACTTACTTGTCCAGGAGTACCTACGAATTCCAATCTGTCTACAAGGATCCTTATTGAAATTGGCAAAGCCAATATTTGAAGTTGTCTCTTATCCACAGATGTAGCCTGCATGCACTGTGATTCCAGCTTCGTAGATACCTAAGTACGCCAGAATTCAAATGTCTATTATGCCAAAGAAGGTAAGATAGGGAAAATTCCCAATTACCTGCCCAAAAAGAGTTGAAGGTCAAACAGGGGCAATGCAATTGGGCTTATGCTGCTACCGAGCCGCAATCTGAGCACTTCCCCAGATAGACGGGCCCGATTGAAATGTTTGAAGGGAGCGGAGTACAGATAAATGTCACCAGGGTCTAGATTGTCCGAATCATGGTATCATGAGTTCTGCATGGTAATATGTCTATTCGCGAATATTGAATGTCTAGCCCTGGTGGAAAGTTCAAATAACTTTGGATGTTTGTTAAGGTGTCATCATATCGGCCAATTTAGAAACTATGGGTCAGCCCTCATGATATCAAGGTGGATCGGAAGATGCCGATCACTAATCCATACCCAAAATGGAAACGCAGCTTTGCTACGAAGTGGAGTTGAATTTACTACTTGTACTTCGTATGGGACTCAGAGTTCGAGTAATTGGGAGGCGACTGTAAGATCTTGTCAGGTCATTCTATCCTTTAGATGCATCAGTACACAAACGGCTCATTGTCGATATACTAGCTTCTCATTTTATTTGTACTAACTAAATAGAGATTGTTCCTGAAGTCATTCATAATACATGTCCCATGGCACTTTTCTCCTACTTTTGGCTTTCATCGTTCCAGTTCTTAGATCCTCCGGAAGTTCTCCTCATGGCACTTCTCGGTGCATCCCTTATAGACCGACCAACTGAACCGGGCCATTAGCTTTAGTGATAATATGGATCAGCATTTTCGGACTTACCAGAACTTATCATCGTCAGGTACAGCGAGTGAGCACGTTTGCGACTGTAGAGAGCATAGTTCATGGCAGTGATTGACATTCACATGGTCCATTGCGTGGTGAACGACAGGAGCATGTGTCCCGTTGCTAGCCGTTCCTGTTGTCAGGGGTGCTTTTGGGCCAGTGCCTGTTGTAGTGGCATTATGAGCGCTAGTGGTATTCGTTTGGAGACGGTAGGGGATATGGGCGCCATGGTAAGGTCCTGCGATATGAGGCATTGCTAGGGCGGTGCTTATTAAAGCAGCTGCATAAACGAAGAGGGTGGTGAGCTGCATGGTGTTGGACGTCAAAAAAGAATAAAAAATGAAATAAAGCCAAGCTTTCTATAGTTGTGGGTATAGTTGGCAGTTGTAATGAGTGATGCGACTGTTTTCCTGGTGATAGAACGCCATGGGGGTGTACCCCTTTTATAGAGAGTGCCCTTGGCGCCCATGCCTTGAGGCTGGCTGTCACTTTGCAAATTTACAACAGCCTCCTGGATTGTACAGCGTTGCATAGTGCTTGATACCTCAGCAATATCTTTGGAGGAATAACGGCTAATCCCTGGGTTACGACATTCCACATTCCTGTCGAGAAAAAAGATTGTATGGAGCACGGATGTCCCACGTATACTGTGCTTGACATGACGCAAACCAGATATCCAGCACAAAAATCTCAATTGTTAGTCCATTGACTCCGTAACATTGTAGCTGCGGCATGGTCATAACCAGAGTGTACAAGTGTTGCAAGGTTGCTTGTGGTTGGCATCAGCACCGCATGGATAAACCCCACATTCCAGACCAGCGATCTACGGATACTGACCCGTTAATATCTCATTGAGGAATTTTTGATATCCAATCAAGTGCCTGGAAACAAGCTTGAACTACGTCCACTCAATATGACAGCAGTTCGAACCAATATGCACGGTGCTCTTATTGGCGCATTCTTGGAAGCTACGAGTAGTTTGGTTTAAGATTTGTTGAACATAGAGCTCCGATCGACAGTATAAGTTTCTCCGCGGGAAGAGTGTCTTGAGACACAGGCGAATATGCGCGGAATTGAATATATGTGTAATGTTGGTAATCTAGGAACTGAAAGATATGTGCATCTTTGAAACAAATCCAATACAAGCCTCTCCTGATCAGCCCAATGATGCCTCTAGTTGAAAAGTCTTTGGATAATGACGTCTCCAAAGTTCTCCTCGGCAGGAGATCCATCCATTCGCCAAATACGGTTACCTGCACGGCCACTCAACCAGAGACCATGGTCACTTGAACTCTCCTCATCGCCTTCAATGCGATGGCGATTGCGGCGATCAACCACGCACATGCCTCTAGTCCACTGGCCCAAGGAATCGATGCGGATATCCTCAGGCGAGTTCGCCGCATAGACCCACTTGGGATCCTCGGATGTGATGGCATACCATACACAAACGGGGTCGTGTAGACTCAGCTGGGCATCATCGCCAACATGTCCTGGGTGCAGGCGCTCCAGGGTCTTGAAGGTGTGTCCCATGAAGGCATCGACCCACTCAGCAAGTGGAGAGCCACCTTCCAACAGAGGTGTGATCGCCTTTCTGAACTGGCCCTTTGAAAGATTGTGGCGCAGGGTGATATCCAACGGGAACAGACGTAGTGTTAGCTGACGACTAAGCTTTTCTGGATATGGCGGAAGCCGATCACTCTTGGTGATGGGGACTGTGGTATGCGGGTTTGGCGATGTGAGAGCGAAAATACGGGCAGCTGCGACTGCATCCGCATAGGCATTGAACTCGCCCATCGGGGTGACATTTCCAGGTTGGTTGATTGCACCACCCATGACGACGACTTCCTTCACGCGGAGGAAGGTCTCGGGGTCCTCTGCCGCTGCCAATGCCAGGTTGGTCAGCGGGCCTACTGCAACCAGCGTTACGGAGTCAGGTTCATTGTCACGAAGAGCACGAAGAATTTCCTTGTGAGCTGGAAGTTTGGAGGAGGTAAAGGCATGGTCGTTTGGCCCAGTGCAGTCCGCTGCAGGCTCGATCCCCGCACTGCCCAGAGTTGGAGTAAAAAGGTGCTCATATGCAGTGGGAGCAGAGAGATGAGGGTGCTGTTGGTTTATTAGCCTGACTTATTTTCATGCTGTGATTGAAGGTGAGCAAGTTCGGGCACAACATACAGTGGCGTGGATGCCACCAAGACCATCCGTTCCATCTGCAATTCCATGTCAGAGCGATATCCAAGGGGAACAGTTCATTACATACGGAAGTAATCGGCCAACATCTTCTGGTCTTCCAATGGGTCCTCCGCGCCGACAGCTAGGATAGGCCGGTGTGCTCGCAAGCTTCCGAAGCCTTCTGGTCGCCCGTTTTCGCGGCGCCACTGCATCTCCCGGTCCAGGATGTGGAACATTGAAACGGTATTTCGAAGACAGCTGGTCACGTATTAGAGTGGACTTGTAAGTGCCTGGGTTTCCTTACTTGTTCACCTCAATATTACCAAATGTCAAGGAGATCAACAGGACCTCCACCTCTTCTGGGGTTGCTGAGAGGGCGAGCAAAAGAGCAAGCACATCGTCAATGCCCTACACACATATACTGTTAGTGCCCAAAAGTTCAATTTCCAAAGGGCGAAACTGTACTGGATCAGTGTCGATGATAATTTTCTTTCCCATGGTGAATGTTGTGATGTTCAAAGCCTCAAGTCTGGAGCCTCGGAAGAAGTGCCCGCTTATCGTTATCGGTTATCGGCGGGGTTATTCTCCCGAGGTAGCCTCCAGGGCTTGGAGCACCCCTCAGTGCGGGTTTATCCATCCACCAAAGGCCTGGGATGCTTTCATTTGATTCAAAGTACAAACTGAAAAAGTTGCTATGCTCTTTTCTCTATCTGAATCGAAACTTTCTCTCAACATGGCAGCGATAATAATTCCCACCTATAATAATTTCCATGAAGCCCCCACAGCCTGCTGGCTCAGAGGGAGCGCGTCGTATTTTCACCCCAAATGGTTAATATCATATCAGGGGCTTATAATTGGCAAGACATGCTGTGTCATTCCTTTATTTTTTTGTATGGATGTTGGACCGGGGTTAACGGCGATTGGCGGCACGAGGCCTAATTGGCCAGGGCCATCAACTAGCCTCGAATTAGAAGTATCCCTCCGCCGCAAAGTCCGACAGCAGATGTATATAGGGCAAGATATTGTAGAAAAGGATGAGCATATACAATCTGAGTCTCAGCCTCTAATTATCACCTTGAGTGACTTACAGCTACACAGAATCTATGAGCACCTCCAATTTCCTCTCAGCCCGCCGACTGGGCAGAAACGGCCCCATTGTGCCTCGCCTAGGATTCGGACTGATGGGTTCAAGTGGCGTATATGGAAGGCCAGCCGGAGACAAAGAGAGATTGAGATTTTTGGACCAGGCGTATGAAAGGGGAGAGCGGTTTTGGGACACTGGTAACGTTAATCCTGTCCCAGTGACTCAAACCTATCGCGTTGGAGACGTTAGGCTAACCAAAATTTGAAATATAGCTGACAAGTATGGAGATTCCGAGGACCTACTTAGTCAATGGTTTGCCGTCAATCCCGAGAAGCGCGAACAAATCGTCCTGGCGACTAAGTTCGGCATCAAAACCACCGCCGGTATTCCTGGGTTCTCTGTTGACTCGACGCCCGAGTATTGCCGACAAGCCATCGAAAAGTCCCTTGAGCGCCTGGGACTTCCGTTTGTTGACGTGTACTATGTGCATCGTCTGGATAAAATTACCCCAATTGAGAAAACCATGGAAGCAATGGTTGAGCTCAAAACAGCAGGGAGAATAAAACACATTGGGCTCAGCGAATGTAGCGCGGAATCCTTGAGGCGTGCATGTGTGGTGCATCCGGTCACATGCGTCCAAGTCGAATACAGTCTCTTCTGTAGGGATATTGAGTCCCCACAAACACAACTTTTGGAAGTTGCCCGCGAGCTGGGTCTTGCAATTGTTGCGTATAGCCGTCTTGGAAACGGACTACTGGGTGGTGCTATTCGCTCTCGAGAAGATGTGACCAAGCCAAATGACTCAAGATGGGCATTGCCTTGGTTGAGTGAGGAGAACATTCACCAAAACCTCGTGGTTCTCGACAAAATCTCCCAGTTTGCCCAGTCGATGAGTTTGACTCCAGCGCAATTGGCCCTTGCGTGGCTGCTTGCGCAGGGTGATGACATATTTCCTATCCCGGGAACCTCGAATATCCATCGCTTGGAAGAGAACCTGCGCAGCCTTTCGGTCTCTTTGTCTAATAGAGATGAACAGGTTTTGCGTGAGGCGTCGGAGGGAATTGTGGGTGGAAGATTTCAAGCAAGGACCGGTTATGATTTCGCGAATACGCCAAGACTAGATTCGTGATTTTTGACGACCCTATTTCAATCATGGAGATTCACATCCTCTTGGATGGACCATTCATCAAGCCAGTTCGAGTCACACTCATTGTGGAAGGGATCGCCATTAAAGACTCCCGGGGTATCCCATAGTGCGTACTGGTCTTGTTGATTGAGTGTAGGCAATGGAGCCCCAGGTGCCATGTTCGCCACTTGGGTAGCGACCGAGAGATTTTTGCCAAGTAGACTTGTTGTCTGCTGAGTGACATGAATGGCACCGAGATATGGCACGTGAACTTCAAGATCACTTCTGATACCCACAGATTCAGTTACCTGAAGTTTGTTGAATGTAGTAGCGTGATAGACAGCATAATCGCATCCATCTGCTGCTTTCGCCTCAATTCTGGAAAGCTTCCTGAGTGTTTGGGTTCGAGAACAGCCCTCAAGATCTTTGTTACGTGAACACACTTTTTCCATGCAGCAAATGGCATCTTCTACGATTATAAGATCGTGTGGCCGCTGATGTTCAAGCATGTTAGTTGGCCCGAGACTGTGACCACCCAGATGAGCAAAGAGAAGAGAAATGGAGGCAGCAAACGCCTTTTCGTCAAATCCACGGTAAGACAAGGACTGGTGGAAATTCCGAAGAATGATATAGCGAGTGAGAACTTCGCGACTTGCTGCGACAAGAGCCGATGTACTGTACATGTAGTCAATTAGATCCAGGCCATATTTCCATTCATCGCGGCCAGGCCTTTCAAGAGTGTACGGCTGGTGCAAGACTACCAAAAGATAGTATTGATGGGTTTGGAGCAAAAGCTTGGCAGTCTTGTCCATTGTTTCTCGATCAAGGTCCGCGGCTGCAAAGGTAGGGGACTTCCACCAAGCTGTAAGCATGGCCTTAGCGGCCTTTTTGAGCTGTAGATCCAGTGATCTGGTTTCGCTATAGCTTTCCTGAGTCGCTTCTTGGAAGTCATCATGGTGTCTGCTTTGAATGCGTATGTTTCTTGCAATAACACGCCTAGCGATAATCACATGAACACGCTCCAAGGTCTGAGCTGGATTGTGGACAATCCTACTTTGAGACAGTACGGTTTCGTCGGTGAATGCAACTGGCTGTCCCAACATTAGTGATAGAAAGCAATCACTGTAAAGCAGACGAAACCAAACACTATTCGCCTGGCTTCCTGGTATTTCAGATTGTGTAGGTAAATCGATCGAATGTGCGATACGGAAGGCGCGCCTGTGGAGGTGCCACGCGGTCTGGAGCTCGCCCGTGCTTATGTGGTAGCGACTTTGCAACAGCAAAGTCTCAAGTCCATCGAGTGAGCTCACTAAATGGTCTTGAGACATAACATGACTGGATGCGACCCAGAAGTACCGCCGCGAGGTATTGATAGTGGGCTCTCCGAGGTCTGAGCTGATTTTGTCAGACTTCTTTAAGTCCAAATCATATAGGCAAAGGGCAAGCTTGATCAGTTTGCTAGCGTAGGTGACTGGGTGCACGGTTGGGAATAAATCAGGTGACCGAGTACTCGGCACTTCAATAAGCCCCCCGTCGGGTTGGAGGTGTTGTAGTATTTGAAGGGGCGCATTGTATTGTTTGTTGATGTTCAATATTCTCGCAGCAATGTGGGGGGCTGGAAGAGCCGAGTTCAGATATCCAGTAAGAGACGGGCCCCTCGATACCCTCTCATGGCCGATCGACTTCAAAACTGAATAGTTTGATGTATCAAAGGACACTGGTCCATTGGCCACTTGCTGAGGATTTCGCCCTGGAGCTTGAGCGGCCCTCCGGTGTACGAGCTGACGCACCAAGTCTTCCACTCGATCAATATGTCGTGCGGTCCCCTCATATTCATTATGTTCGTCATCTGCGGTGTCTGCAGATGCTTGGCTTATGCAAGGTATGCCCCGGCGCTGGCAAGAGATACAAACGGAGTTGGAGTCCGACTCAAATTCACAGCGCTTTTTGCGGTGCTTGCACTCCCAGCAGCTGAATGTGCCGTTCCTCACCTTGCGTCTTTTGACACTGGCCACTTCCTCCATAATTCCCGTCAAAGTGGGTCACGTAGCTTGGGAGATACGCGAGGCCAACTTGATGTTCATGATAATCCTTGGGACCTTCCTAAATCGGACCAAATTACCGGTCACGTGCACTGGTCGTCGGCAAACGATCTATTCATCAGATTGATTTGGGACAAGCCACAACTGCTGCAGATCATTAATGCTACTCGATACGCCCGTTGAATGCGAACTGAACCAAGCTTCTATGCCATCGATAGATAGGCGTCAATACAATGAGTGATAGAGGATCGGAAATCATCTACCGAGCGGAGAATGTTCCGGTCCGGTTCTTCAAAGCATGTCGATGGTGCAGAAGGCAGAAAATGCGCTGCGATGCGCGGAGCCAGGTCCCTTGCTTCCGCTGTCGGTCAACCGGCCGAGACTGTATATTGGATCCCATCGACGACGGTCGCCGACGACACGATCGCCGCCGGAAAACAACTACCCCCGCAAGGTGGGTATCTATATTGCTGATCTCCGCAACCCAGACGCACAACTTACCCATTGCCATAGAAACCAAGCAACTGCATCACCGCTGGATCAGCGGACCGGATTTCATACTCCGGCATCGAGAGAGCAAGGGTTTTCTCCCGCCAACGTCCAAGATGGCGGGTTTGACACTTCGATTGACTCATTACCTGACTCGACAGGCCTAAGTAGTCTTCAAAGGTCTTACGCCAGTGACCAGAATGGACCTGAATCCCAGCAGCTCAGCCCGAACGAGAAGATCGCACCAGCGTCGGCGGTTCACTCCATGTCTGTGAATTTGCTGGGCTCAAATGATGTGAGTCGAACGCAGGTCAGACTTACAATATGTATGAATCTAACAATACCAGATTTTTATAGAGAACTCAGCAAAAGGAGACCCTAGAGGTGATGTGATTGCACGAGAAATTGTCAGCGAGGAGCTCGCTCGTGTCATGTATGAGCGGTATGTCGAAAGCAACTCTGAGGTTTTAGAGTCAGGAACTACCAGAACTAAACTGATATCCTTTTGCTATCGCTTGCAGGTTCACAGGAGGTTCCAAAAACTATCTTCCACTCTTCGACCCAATCCGAGACACTTTTGACTCCATTCGGTCTCGCTCATTGTTTTGCTTTACTGTTATTATCTACCTTGCTAGTCGCGCCGTGACCGACTTACGTGGAGATACACATATGCAGCGTGTTTTGCAAGATGAAGCACAGCGATTAGCAGAGGACAGCTTCTTTGAGCGTCCAACGAAGCTTGAAACTGTTCAAGGCATGATTCTTCTGGCAGCCTATTCAGAGAAGACCTGGTTCTCCATTGCTCTAATTCTTCGCACCGCTCTAGACTCGGGATTGGAAAAGTCTTTGGATACTTTGCTGTCGCAGGAGAGTGTTCCTCGAAGTTCGCTATCTGCCTCCATGGCTGAGCGCCAACTGGTGTGGCAGACCAGGACCTGGCTGATCAGCTTTACGTTGGAGCTGGATGTCGCATCTGGCACTGGACGCAAGTCACGTATTGCTGAAGTTGACGTGGTGAAACTGCGTAAATTCTTGGATTATCCGCTCTCGCTGCCTTGCGATATGCGAACGGTTTGTATCATCGAGCTTCATCAACTTCGAGGTACGGTGACTTGCCCCCATTTGAAGCTGCAAAACTGATGAAATTCAGGTCAATATCGCATGATAATTGATAATGCATCTACAATTAGCGATATTGTATCTAACGAGCTACCGGCTATTATGACGAGACTCCAAAATTGGTGGACTAACTGGGACGAAATTCATGAAAGTAAGCAGTCCCGCCGTGCCTTGCTGTTCCGACTTTGGAAATTGACATGAATGCAATACGAAGACAACGGTTTCCACATAGGGGCTTTCCAGCGCAGCAGCCTGAAACTTATGCTTCATTATGCCAGAATATTCGTGTTTTGTGCATCGCTTGCTCGGATTCAAAAGCTGAAGCCCGCATATGCCGACTCCAGTTCTGATATTCTCGATCAAAATGTTTTAGGCCTGTGGCAATCTCTTGTCACCACCATCATGGATCAATTGGGTTTCTTGATCAATGAACCATCCTATCGCTGTCAATTACCTTGGGCACCAACGTACCCTGCCCTCACAATTGCGTTCATTAGTGAGTTCTTCAATCCTGCATCTACTAAGTGCATGCACTGACTCGGCCCTAGCGACGTTTGCTCTCCGAATTGCGAGATGGCGCCCGAGTTTGATCAATCAAAGCTTGCTGCTGGAAAGGGCGGAAAAGATCTGCGATTTTCTCAAGCAGCCGCCCTACCCTGATATCCACCGAACAGTTTCAATCTTTGTCAACTATGCACGCGCTTTGATTGCCAGTCAGCGTCCTCAAAGCAGCCACAGTTCAGATGGACCTATCATGGCCGATCAAAGTGATGGACCACATCAGGAATACCAGGGGCCTGATAGCCCTGTGATTAATGCCTCTGATCCAGGAGTGGGTCCCCTCGACGATCTCCGCTACAGAGCCGGGCTGACGATGCAGGCCGACAAGGTTGCGAATATGGTCACCATGCCAAGTACTGATTCATCAACAGCTGCCAAAGCACCACTACCCAGGATACCAGGGACGATGGAAGCACCTAACTGGACAGTTTCGAACTCCATTGCCGACTCTTTTGGCCTTTTTGAGGAAGGACAGAACGACATATTTGATTTCTTGCCAATGATGCCATCGATGCCACAGTGATAATATGATACCCATTTGATTTAGGCAGTGTGCCCCAAGCCTGAGGATGTATCTTTTGCAGTTGATCAGAACAAATACCTAGGATCTAGCCCCGTAGACAAATCCCTGATCGTGGTGAATTCAATGACAAATTGGGCCGCAACGCAGAGTATGATTGTTTTCACATGCCAGTTCATAGTCAAACCAGCCTGGACTAGGATAAAGAAACTTGGTAGATAAATCAATTCGCGCATTTGGATGTGCCATCTAGCCCCGGATTCTTGCCGGGGCCGTTGGTGGGTTGCCCTAAGACCCGGTTCCGGACCGGAGCCGGTATCCCGTGCAAAGGGATTTCAGCAAAGCATCACACTATTGGCTCGTAACATACGAAAACATAATAGATCGTGGAATTATGCATGTCTGACAAGTTCTAGCCATCGTGAGTCAAAAATTTATCAAAGTTTTCTCTGGGTCCGCTGGTTGCATTGGGAACGAACGATTTCTGTTGTATAACTTATATAGACCAATTCTCCCTCGTCAATTAAGTCTTGAGATATCAAAACAAAATCATATCTGCAAGATTGTCTCCTCCTTCTCCCCTTCTCATGTTCAGCTGTTCAAAATGGCTATAGAAACCAAACAATCGTTGACGGCTCAAATAGCCGCCATACTTTCTCCCGGTACGATTGAAATTGGCTACCTGCCCCATGTTTTATCTAACGCGACATAGGTAAAAATGATACTTCTGACGTGAGATCTATGGCTTCAACAAAATCAGAGTTCAATCAGAAGTCGGACGCAGATTTTTCAATAACTGAAGTATCCCAAGACCAACTGATTGTCGAGTTCCAAGAGAATTCACCTCGAAACCCCCCAAACTGGCCTCTTGTACGCCTGTTCACTGTATACTATTGCGAGAAATTTCAAGCACTAACAAATAGTGTAGGGCAGAAAGATCTTCAATGCCGTTGTGGCGCTATTGGTTGTTTTCAATAGCGGCATATCATCTGCACTTCCAAGCAATGCAGTTCCCGCAATCATGCAGGAGTTCAACCAGTCGGGCGACGAACAAAAAGTCTTACCCACTGCCATTTTTCTCATCGGCTATGTCATAGGGCCCTTGGTTTTCAGTCCATTGAGTGAGACTATTGGTCGTAGACCTGTTCTCTTATGGTCGTTCACTGTTTTTGTACTCGCTACCCTTGGCTGTGCCCTCGCGCCCAACTGGGCTTCTCTGCTCATCTTTCGGTTAATATGCGGTCTCATGGGGGCTGCCCCTCAGACTGTCATTGGTGGTGTGTATGCAGATCTGTTCTTCGACATTCGAACTCGTGGTCGCGCAATGGTGATGTACATGTCGGTATGTCGTGATTTCTCGTGTTCACAAACCAAGACAGATGTAGTAACATCTTCAAGGCTTCAAGTTTAGGTCCAATTCTGGGTCCCATCATCTCCGGATGCTCAGTCAAGTACGGCTGGCGCTGGACATTTAGAATCGATTTGATTCTAATTGGCACCACATGGCTAGGCCTGCTTTTCTTGTCCGGTATGGCTGCAACTCTATTCTTGTTATTCGACTCTTATTGATTGTGAATTCTTGATCCCACAGAGACCTTCGGTCCTGTTTTACTGAAGCGACAAGCGGCAAAACTTCGGAAAGAGACGGGCACGAATCGCTATATCTCCCGTGCGGAGCTCAAATCGGATGCCACGTTCAGTACCTCGCAAATAATCACCCGCCCTATAACGATGCTTCTTTTCGAACCAATCATCACATCAACAGCTGTCTATATCTCCCTTGCTTATAGCTTGGTCTTCTTCTACTTCCAGGCCTATCCCATCATCTTCAAGGGTACACTGTTTGATACTTTACTCGTATAAATTTGGGCTAACTTTGAATCCACAGGTGTCTACGGCTTCACCATTGAACAAACTGCACTCACATATATCCCTGGTATGTCTCTTCATCGCCTCGCTCAACCAGAACACTATTGACCAAAAACAGTCGGTATTGGCGCCGCATCTTCCGGCCTTGCGACATTCTACTACGACACAATTTACGAAAAAGCCAAGAAGCAGGGCAAAGCCTGGACAGCCAGCCCCGAACTCCACCGACTTCCTTTGTCATGCATCGCCGGCCCGTGCTTGACAGCGAGCTTATTTTGGCTGGCGTGGAGCGCAAGGGCAAATCTTCACTGGGCAGCTCCGGTACTATCGGGCCTTGTTTTCGGATTCGGATACCAAGTCATCTTCACTTCTCTTCTGACATATGTGACTGACGCGTACAAAATTTACTCTGCAAGCGCGATGGCAGCCTCGGTCATCGTGCGAAGCATTGCCGGTGCATTGTTTCCTCTTGCTGCAGGCCCCCTTTATGATTCTCTTGGTGTTTCATGGGGGACCTCGCTTCTTGGCTTCATTAGCCTGGCTTGTATCCCCATTCCATTTGCTTTGATGTACTGGGGTCCCTTGATTCGCGAAAGAAGTTCCTTCTGTCAGCGATTGCTGTTGGAAGAAAAGCTTCGTGCCAGTGGATACAGCACTCCGGCTGAAGCATAAAAGCATCTTTTGTTCTGTGTTGCATGCAACCTGCATTTAGGCGTCTTTTAATACTTATTATGATGGAACCGAACTAATAATGAATTATTTAATTTGCAAAATAACACATTCCAGTACAATTAAATTGTTTGCAATGGCCCTATTGTAATGTTTAGTGATGCTTCGAGATGAAAGTTGTTCGGATGAACTTACGACGTGCTCTGAGCCAACATGCTTTGGATGAAAGCAAAGAGTTGAGGGTGGGAAGGATTTCTGGAGAGCGGGAGGAGAGGTGGAGGAAAGGGAAAGAGAAGGGGGGTAGAGGGAGAGTGCTAAGAGCAATGGGGGGAAGAGATAAGTGGGAAGAGAGCAAACAAAGCAAAGTAAACCTCGGTCTCGAACTTGTGATTTTATACACTGCAATAAGTAGAAAAGGAAACTCAGGCTGGAAATTCAAGATCTCTCATCAACTTTGCTATTGTCTACACAAAGCAAGACACACGATGCGAAAATACACATCAACCGAGATCTCATTTATTCACGTCCCGGCAATGAGACGAGCACTGACACTAGAGTCTGGACTCATTGTCGCACGCCTGGGGATATACCGGATTCCACGGCCTTGATCTGAAGGGCCAAGAATCGAGAGTAAATGCGGCACAATGCGAGGTTTCCACCAAAGTACCAGAATCCTGGGTGGCCACTAGGGCGCCACATCTGAGAAGTAATCAGTATCCTACTATTGACAATAAGACAGGCTCTCACACTTACAGCTTGAACTTCTCCCTCATTGTCCAAATCCCAGACATCAGAGCATCGATCGGCGATCTTGTCACCCAGGACCTTCCTCACGGTCGTGCGCATATTATCGTACCCAGTAGCAAGGACAACAATGTCTGCCGGCAGCGAGTCCCCGTCGGCCAGTTGCAGCTCGTGTTCCCCAAAGCCGTTAATGCCACCCGGATTGTGCTTGACTTTGATCTTGCCATCGATAATGAGTTGACTGCAGCCAACATCGATGTAATAGCCACCACCACGAGTGAAGTATGCGCGCGCAATACCGGCCCCGTCCGGTCCAAAGTCAAGCTCAAACCCCGCCTTGCGGAGTCCATCGAGAGTCTGTTTCTCGGCTTCTGCTATGCGCTTTGTCATATGTACACTGAGAGCCAATTGGACTTGCCAAGGAAGACTTTCGGCGACGATATCGCATTCTTCTGTTGGGGGACTGCATTCTTGTTAGAATCTTTGCGAGGAGAAGGAAATGACAAGCCACATACCCTCCGTCTTCGTGCAATCCCTTGTGCATCATGAAAACGCCCTTATCGGCTGTCAAGACGTATGTCCCGCTCCGTTGCAGCATCGTAACGTCTGCGCCGTTTTCATGATAGTTCTGGGCAATATCATGGCCACTGTTTCCGGTACCCACGACAACTACCTTTTTCCCACGAACATCACTCTCCGATGCATCACGGTGTTGGCTACCATGATAAATATTGCCCTTGAAGGACTGTTGTCCTGGGAAAGATGGCACCCGAGCCTCGCCCGAGTGTCCTGTACACCACACAACGTGGCGAGGGCGTACAATTCGCTGTGAACCATCACCGCGAGCAAGGGAAACTGTCCACTGTCCCGCTGTTTCATCATACTCTGCCGAAATGATTGAGGTCCGCATCCATATGTTCAGTTCCATGATATTGGCGTATGCTTCGAACCAGTCTCCCAGCTTGTCTTTCGGCGTAAACTGGGGCCAGTTTTGTGGGAAGGGTAGGTAGGCCATGTGTGTGAATTCGGCCGGGTCATGGGTAACCAATGTCTGTATTTTGTAAAAGATGAGCACCCGTTCTCATGTGAAAAGAGTTGATTGCTGGATGTCCCATCACATACTCGATACCGGTGGCGCCAATTGTCTCCGACACGTTCATTCTTGTCTATAATCAAGCACGACACACCAACGCTTTGCAGCCGTGCACCCATATTCAATCCAGCCTGACCTTCCAACCAGTTAGCGCTCATTGTAGAGAAGATTGGTATCACGGTTTTCTTCTTACCGGCACCAACAACCAAGGTAGTTGGATCCTCATCCAGGAACTCTTTCTGCCTTTCCCTCCGCTCAATCCAGGTGCCGCAAGCGATCCCACCAGGCATTGATTCCGTTGTTCCATCAACGCGACGTTTACCCAAGGGTTCTTGGGCAGAATGAAGCTCTTGTAATGATGTGTAAACAGCATAAGCCTTCCACGACCCATCATCTGCTTTAGTCAACCGCAGCATTCCTGTTCCTGTACCGACGGCGCCATCAAAAAAGAATATAGAAGAGATCCAACTGAGTCCCTCAACAACTTGTTCCAATCGCGGCTGGAACTTGCCTTGGTCTTGGAGACGGAATCCAGAAAGCTTCGCCTTCCTTTGCTGTGTGCTTAAGAAGTGCTGGATCTCAGTGGCTGTTCGGACGGTGCGCATGTCCCAATCCAAGGCCAGCATATCCCGCCACCAGGACTCCGCATGGAACAAGTCGGCTATGTTCAAGGCATCAGGGCGAGTGAGCTGACTTTCAAGACTCGAGAGCCATTGCTGGGCGATGGTGTGCGGGTCGCAGGGTTCGTCAGACGAGGTGTTTGGGAGGTGGATGACGTGTTGGTTTCCTCCAGTCAAAGTTGTAGCCATTTTGGGCCAGAGGGTAGTAGTATGTATTAGAACCAAGGGGGATGATATGGATAATAAGATGAATGGAAACGACGGTTGAATCTTCTATCGGACTGTTACTCAATGTATCTAGAACAATCAGGGCTACTTATAGGTTCCTTAGTCCCCAATTTATCCGGTTGACCGAGTTGTTTCACCAAGCTGGTAATTGAGCCGAATCGGCGTGTCTCCGACGTGAGGCAGAGGTACCTGGCTCGACGAGTGATGAACAAACGTCAGCAACCTTCGGGCTCTTCGCCGATGGGGAGACGCGGGGATCGGCACAGTGACCACCGAATTTCGGGGCAAGTTTGCCGAGCCAAAAACCCCAAGTGGAAGATCTGGCGATTCTAGATCTTTACTCCATTTGGAATCTCCAGGCACGTTAACTGTTCTTGGACCCAACCACTTTTGTCCCGTCACAACAATCTATGAATTCTGGAGAAGCCAATCTAGATTTCTGCATTCAAATGTTTTTTTATAATTTATTCTCTCAGGAAAGGTTCTATTCTAATATCAGTACTCCGTACTGATTTTCTGTATTCCATGTCTACGCTTTCTTGTTTACTTAGAAGATTGTTCGGATACCTCTTGATTTTGGCTTGATTACTTCTAAGATGGAATCGATAGTCACAGGTGCTATCCACCTGGGCAGATATTCGATATATGCCAAACATGAAAAGATAACTCGTCGTCATGAACCAGGTTCGTTGTCATGATTGCCGGTCTTGCGGCTCTGGTGTGCTTGACACTCTAGAGCTGTTGCTCAGGTGGAGTCAATAGCAAACATAAACAACTCGCACGACTTATCTTCGAGTGCCACAACTAATCAGGATCTCGAACATTTGAAAGTATTTGTCGTTACTCCCAGGAAGGCAGGCACACGTGTATAATTGTTTACAAGCCACCCTCCTCACTCTTTTCTTCCTCGTATCCCCAAAACTGACCCTTGTCACCTTTTCCACTTGAACCAGATACTTTCACGCAATTGATTCAACATGGCACGTGAAGCGAACAGAACCCCAAAGAAGGAGCGTGGCGCAATCGTAAAGCGCACCCCTACCAAGGGCTCCCCCACCAAGGGCACTGGCCCTGAGTCTGCATCGACCAGTGAGCGCAACCTACAGTTCCTTTGGGACGTGGTCCAGCTTTCTGGAGGCATTACCGTGAGTTTTTCTTCCCTTCCCATTGCAAATTCGGGATCACGTTCCTGGGCTCCAGCTAAACGCGACTACACTATAGCCAAACTGGGAGGCGATTGCCAACAAGCATAATCTGTCCTCTGGAGCAGCCAAAAAAAGATGGGCCCGTCTGAAGAAGAAGCTCGAAGATCTCGACACCGCCAGACAGGAAGAGGACACCAAGGACGCGGAGAAGGCCCCAGAGGCAGAGAGCGTCGCTGAAGCCAACGAGGAGGATGATATTGAGGATGCCGTCATGGATTCCAGCTCTTAAGCAACTTCATGTCTTCAAAAAGGGATACTTGATCATTCCAAGGCCCTGAGACATCCTGGTGTTTATCAAATGCTCGGAGACTCGCTTCTTCCGTCCACGTCAATTTGTGTTTCAATCTCCTTTGGCAGCACCAAAGTGATCTTTAATCATCTTCCAGTCTTGATCCACAATGGATACCAGAGAATAATAATAATAATAATAACTTGATTTCAAAACTTTCCTTGAATGATAGAGAAACAGATACACAAATGTGCGCTTTAGGTTGGTATACTAGACTGCGGGATTTGGTCCACGCATTGGAATCCAACTCACCTTTCCCACGCATCATGCAGCCCAGAACAAATTACGAAGCACATGGGCAGCGAGAACGGAGACAACGAGATACTCTCATTCATTTCGGGAAAGTCTATCCTGAACTCCAAATTGACGCCATGATGCCAATCATGTCTCTAACGATTGATGAATCACACTAGTCCGATACGTCTCACTGGCCTGAACCAGCTCATCATGAGTCCCCTGTTCCACGCACTTCCCATCCTCGATGAGATAAATACAGTCCGCCTTGTGGATGGTATTCAGTCGATGCGCAATCGCAACAATCGTGGTTCTTCCCGACAGAGTCGCGAGCGCATCCTGAATCTTTTTCTCGGATTCCACATCCAACGCACTCGTCGACTCGTCGAGCAATAACAATCGAGGCCTTCTGACCAGAGCTCTTGCAATGGAAAGACGCTGTCTCTGCCCACCAGAGAATTGCTTGCCGTCTTGGCTGCACTGTGTCTGGTACCCACCCGGCAGGGCCATGATGACTTCATGAACGTTCGCCATGATACACGCTTCTTCTATTTCCTGTTGGGAGGGTTCATGACCCGGTCTTCCACCGAGAGCGATGTTGAAAGCAACTGTCCCTTCGAACATTACGTTTTCTTGCGGTACGAGAGCGATTTCGTCTCGGAAGACAGTCCCCTGCTGTCGGGTTATGTTGACGTTATCTATCAGAACACTTCCAGATTCCGGACGATAGAAGCGCTCCAGCATCGCGAAAGTTGTGGACTTGCCTGATCCGCTGGGTCCCACCAGGGCACAGAAATGGCCCGGTTGGATCTTCAGGCTCAGACCACGGAGAACGGGATGACCAGGACGGGAAGGATACTCGAAGTGGACATTTTGAAGCTCAGCGCCAATGCCGCTCATTGGGGGCGGCTCTTCCGTGGAGTTTGAAGGCTGCTGCTCAGGGTGTGCGGCTTCCGGGTCCTGGATCTTCTCTTCCAGCAGATGAGTGTCATAACTATGGCTTTTGACATCAAGATTGAGCTCCTCGTCGCTCGAGCGGGTTGTGAGCAGTTCTGCAATATTGGATGCTGCCAGCCCTGCCTTGGAGATATCGGGTGCAAGAGCAAACATCTGCCCACAGGATTGCGTGCTGAACAGCAGCGCTGGCAGCACAATGAAGAATTGAGTCTGTGAGTAAAGCCCAGCCACGATTTGTCGAGTTCCCCACCAGTACGCTAAGGCATATACCAGGTTGCTGATGCTGAAAGCCATAGCAAGAAAGACGTTGCCAAATGCAATGGATTTCAAAGTCTCACGATATGGCGCCTTCAGTGCTCGCTCGTATACCGCATATGACTGTCTCTCGAGGGAGAAGGCTGAAACCGCACGGATATTGTTGACTGCCTCCACGGTAATGGCTGTCGCTTTTGCGAATGCCTTCTGATGTCGTTCTGCGAATTGCGCCTGCGTGCGCAGTTTCATCATACCCGCAATCAACAGCACTGGAATGGTAGGTAGGAGGACGATCGTGATTTTCCACGCTATGGCGAACGAAATCACCAGTCCTGCGACTAGATTCACGGCAGTGGCTAACAGCAAACCGATTGTCGTGCCCGTGATACTGCTCAGTGCAGTAGCATCACCGGTGATATATGTGAGGAGAGTGCTTGGTGAGCGATCATCATCCCCATGCCACTTGACTGTCTGGTTCAGCAGTGATCGCAGAGACAGCACGCGAATGCGGTACAGGATTTTATCCGCAGCCCAGCCATAAGCGCAACCGCTAACGACATTTGCCAGCAACTCGACCAATGCCATGATGAAGAATAGCAGACCATATAGATTACCGCTTGATCGAATCCCTTCGGCGCCATCACAGGGACTCAATGCACCGACGGTATGGCCGAAAATGACAGCCTCGGCTGAATAACTTCCACCGATCACAACCGACATGGCGAAGCCAATGAAAATGAAGTGTATGTTTGGACGCAAAAACGAAAAGGTGAATTTGGTGGTGAACCATCCTGAGCGCTTGTTCTTGTTTTTGGCCTTCAATTCCTTCTTTTCGCGTTTCTTCTGTTCTTTTTGGGTTTCTTTCTTGACTTGATATGCCGGTAAACTTTCATCAGCAACGTCGACACTAAGAGCGTCCAGCAAAGCCTCCTTGTTATCAACAGGCAACTCAGCAATGATGGCCGTGTCGCGAGTTTGCCGAATAGGATCCTGACTCAAGTCTGTTTTCAACTTCCCAAGATTCTGCAAGCGCACCATTTCAGCATAAGAACCACCAAGAGCAACCAGCGCTGCATGAGATCCCTCTTCAGCAACGCGGCCCTGCCTAATAACAACAATTTTGTGTGCGTCTTTTGCAGTCGCAAGGCGATGAGCAATAGAAATGGTAGTGACACGTTCGGAAACCTTGGCTAAAGCTTCTTGAATCAACCTCTCGCTAGTCGAATCAAGTGCTGCAGTTGCTTCGTCGAGAATCAGCAATGATGGTTCCCGTACCAAGGCTCGCGCCAGTGCAATACGCTGCTTTTGCCCGCCACTTAACATATTCCCAGATGAGCCTGCACTCGTCGCAAATCCATGTGGCAAGGCATCGATGAAGTTCAAAGCATTGGAGCTGGCAGCGGCCTGTCTTACCAAGCTCATGATCTCAGCTACCTTCGGATCGTGCCCTTCTAGGGCTTTCTTCTCGGAGACACCGGTACGCAATTCAGCAACCAGGTCAGGAAGACTGGAATCGAAAATAAAAGGAGCTAGTGGTTTGTGGCGCTCGATAACCGAAGTAAGTAGACCATATGCGATGTTCTCCAAAATTGAACGGTCAAGCAGTGATGGTTCTTGTTGCACGAAGCCGATATTTCCACGCAGATATCTGACGTTCAGTTCGTGGAAGCCCTGGTTGCCGATGCAGATCTCACCGGAGATTGGGTTATAAAATCGCTCTAACAAGGCCACGATAGTCGACTTGCCTCCGCCAGATGGTCCCACAATCGCCGTGTGTTTTCGGGGAGGAACAGAAAAGTCTACTCCTTGTAAAACCGGCACATCTGGGCGCGATGGGTACGTGAAATGTACATCTCGGAAGGTGATATCCTCGGAGTCAAATGGTGCAGACATATTGCCGAAATCAGAAGTACCATCAATGTTGGACTTGCGATGAATGACTTCCAAAAGCCTGTCAGCCGCGCCTGCAGCAGAGGCAAACACATGAACAAATGGTGCGACCTGGCTCAGAATGAACGATGCATCGATCAGGACAAAGATCACAGTATATACAGCTCCAACTGATACACCGGTGCCACCGGCCTCGACCGAATCGGCTATCAATCGAGCTCCCTCCCAAAAGGCCAGTGCATTTGCACTGTATGCGACAAAATACAGGAATCCCAATTGGCCGGCATGAGTCGCCGCCTTTTTGAGAGCATCCATGCGGGAGGCGGATATGTGATTTGCAAACAACTTTTCCAACCGGTCGTGGGCGTTGAAGGCATGCACCAACATCAAGTGAGACAGACTTGACGATGCAATCGAGGTAGCAGCATCCGAGTGCTTGGAAATGCGTCCTGCGTATTTCCTGATATAGTAACCACCAACAAAGGTCATGAGGAAATAGCATGGCACAACAGATACCAGCATTCCTGCAATCTGAGGAACCTTGATGAACGCAACAACATACGAAGTCACGAAATACGAAACGGTAGAAATGACCAGTCCCACTTTCTCTGAAGTGCCAGACTGCACGACCTCAATATCTCCCACCAGTCTCGAGACGACATCGCCAGCGGGTAGACTTTCAATATATCCTGTTTCCTGCCGGATGACGCTCTCAAAGTAGCGGCGGCGATACCGGCGGGCTATGCGCTCACTGATCAGACTCCAGCAGCTGCAATGAATGTATATGAAGCAGAAATTGGCAATGGTGATGTATATGACGTATAGAACTTTTGTGCGGACTCCATTCGTTACGCCGGCGTTTGTATCATCGGATGGAGAGCATGTTGCTGTATTGAGATCGTTTATCAACTCGCCGAAAACGATACCCAGTAGGGGGAATGGGATTCCGGCGGCGATGGAGAAAAAGACACCGGTGACGATGAGAAGAACGTCGGTTCGGGTATAGTCAAGCGAGAAGAGGAGTCGAGTGTAGGAAAAGAATTTGCCGAGGCTTCGCTTCGTTGGTATGCATTTCTTCATATATCGTGTCTTCGTCTAGTTAGTAGCATATCGAGGACTTGGTAGAATAGCACAGTACCACTTGTGGCTTCTTTTCATCCATTTGCGTCATCTTGATACTCTTCAATGGGTGTTTCTCGGCATCGGTGCAAGCACTCAAGGCCAAAGGAATCTAACAAAATGATTCAAACCAGAAGGAAACGTCCAGTCCGAACTTTGAACTTGAATCAAAGACAAAAATCCATAGATGATGTGATTCTCAACTCGGCCAGCAGCAATACTCGACATCGAAGGAAAGACGCCTCAAACCAAGGCGAAGAAATCATCATAAAAGGCCCTCCCCTCCAAATCTAACCTCGCGGTGGACCATACAACAAAGTCTATGAGCACGGGAAAGCTAAGGCCTCGATGATCGATTCCTGAACGAGTGGGACCCATCAAACTCGTGTACCCTGCATTGCCGATCCCCTAAAAGTGCAACCCCGGAGCGAAGTGTCGCAAGTCATTAGCGAAACGGTGGATTTCTTCCAATCAGGGCTCAGTGGGTTTTCATTTCAGGTGAGGTGGACCCTTTCGAATACATGCCCGTAGTCCTCTTTAAATCAAGTACGAGGAAGACGGTCTCAATGTTAACGGCTTTTAACTCTCTGTTGGATGTACTACAATAGTTCTCGAGTACTTATCAGATTGCATCTAATCAGATTGATACCTGAGCCGATTGATAAAAAAATCAAAAGAAAAGGCGCAAATGTCAAAAAGCGAAGGTTTGCAAATGTCCGTTCCAAGTCGCAACACGGTTCTCCAATGGAAAATAACCTGCGAACCAAGTTCAACCGCAAACTTTGCCATGTCGATCTTTATCTGCGCCCACGATATACGAGTGCATGCTAGGCTATGCAGGGAAACGCGCTACATCGATAATTCACGAGTGAACAAATCGTCTTACATTCGTGGATGGAATTATTGGCCACACAGTTTATTGAGCTCTAAAAGTACAGAGCGTCAGAACCTGTCAAAGTGGAGATGGTGGAGCCCTGAAGTGCCAAGACTCCTGTCATCGATGTGGGTTTGGTGGTGATTACTATAGTAATTATAGTAGTGATTATAGTGATTATAGTGATTCATGGATTACCTCTGATAGTAGTATAGTTGTCAAGACATCAGGATGAATGATATATTAGTGCATGGTTTCCGATTTTTTTGAAGTATAGAACAAGAACTTATGTACACCGAAAACCCACGGCCTCACACGCCACGCTACCGAGAGGTATTAAAACAAATGCAACAAAAATGAATACAAAAAAAGAAGGAAAAAAGACATGAAGGGAGAAAGAAAAATGGATAGCAACATAGAATTACTGGGTCCGACGGGCCATGAAGTAAGTGAGCAGGTTAAGGGATCCCTCGCGAGGCGGTTGAGTGACCTTTTGTACACGCTCCGATCCAAAGGTAATGTTCAAGAAAGTGCAGAGTTCAGTCGCATTCTTTCGGACGCCAGGACGTGGGTGTCCGAGTTTCTGCATGACAACGGCACCAATTTTTGCGAGAAGTTCGTCGGAGATATCGGTACCAGGACGTGCGAGCGATTGCTGGATAGTGCTTAACCCCATGATGGTGGATCGGTAGGTCTCGTCGGTTTCGTGCTCCTCTCCAAGTTCCAGTGCTTGGAGAACACCTGCAATCGCGGTCTGAGCTGTGGTCAAGAACACGAGTTTGTCGACTGCCTCTTCCAAGCCGACAACGAAGTGCGAGGAGGACTCGTAGTGCTGGCGAGCTCGGATAATAGCTGCCATAGCTCGGGCGTCATAGGGGGAGAAATGCTCGCGCGTCCGCAGCAGCATGGAACGGATGGTGGCCAGTACCTGAGTTTTCACGTCGTGGTCCTTGCGGTTTTGGGGGGCCGCTTCGAGCTCGGTAAGCAGAGCTTCCAACATAGCACTATAGTCCTGGCTTTGAGTTACGATGTCCTCGCCGTGATATTGGAACAGTCCCTGCAACTTGCGGTATCCGGACGGCTCCATGGTCTTGGACTGGATCCGGGCAAGACCTTTGTGAATCATTTCCTTTGCGTTGACAGGGTCCTTTGAGCGAGGACTGGGGCTGCGGTGACGATCCACCCACTTCCGAGTACGTCGGGATGAGTCCTCAGAGATTGTCGATTGGGACAAGGACGATTGGGACAAAGTTGACTGAGACAGTGATTCAGACAGCTGTTGCCTTGCTTCGGGGGAGCGCCGTATGTTTTCGTTGGCCGTGACTTCCTCAAGTGCGGTAGGTTTGGCTGCGGATCGTGGAACCGAAGTGAAGTCTATAGTCTTGGCCACGTGTGGAGTTGCGTTCTCGTTGTTGCTCCCGGTGCCCGCATGATCCAAAGTGGGCTCATGGGGGACTGTAATATCCATCTCCTGGGGGATATTCGAAGCCGTCGGTGGGGCGCGACCTCGAGTGGGGGATCCGCTTGATTGAAGTGGAGTTCTGCGTGTAGGAGATGGGGTTTGTACTCCGTGGTTCATGAAAGCTTCCTGGCTGGGGGTCAAATCCGGTATATGCTTCCTACCCGATGCAATCGTGGGGGTTGCACTGTCTTGAGAAATGATATCTGTCTCGACTTCGTCGTGATTTATCCCCTCAAAGCGAACGGGGGACTTGAAGGGAGACTTGGAAGGCGACTTTGCAGGAGTCTTGGAGGGAATTTTGGATGGGGTTTTGGAGGGAGTCTTGGAGGGGGTCTTGGAAGGGGTCTTTGGAGTGACCACTCCAACTGAGGCAGCAAAATCCCGGTCTTCATGTTCATCTGCAGTGGGTGTGGCAGGATCTTCATAGATGACCATTGACTCTGGTTGGTTTTTGGCAACAGACACCGGGGCAGGAACAGGGATCATACCTGAGCGTTCTGGCGAGTGGGGCACGGTGACAGCTGCTTCATGATGAATTTCCGCTGGAGATCCGGCAGAGACTGGTGCTTCCAATTGCTCCCGCAGCGGCTCCTCTATAGCCATCATTTCCGGCTCAGATTCTTCAAGTGGAACGGAATCGGCGTGAGGGCCATCCGGCGCTGAGTGCAGAATTGGTTGCGAGCCAGCAAGAGGGGGACTGTCTAATACTACAGGTGCCGGGGAATGGCGGCTTGCAGTTGGGCTCAAGTTACTTCCGTAGCGAGGAGTCCTCGCTGATGGGTAGTTTGTGTGACTCTCAACAGAATCGCTACGAGCACGGTTCGCTGCCGCAAGGTCGCTGTGTGACTTCGACTTTGACAAGTCAAGCTTCTTGGGTCTCCCCTTCGTTGTAGCTGCCTGTGTGGACTCGTTAAGTCGTTGACGGGGGGCTGGAGGAGGTCTCGATGTGGGGGTTGATGTTTTCGACCTGACAGCCCTGGGAGAAGTGGTTTCTTCCCGCGTAGTCTGGGTACGTGACTCTGGGCGACGAGCATAGGGATCTGCAGTTGCAGGACGACTCAATTCGGCCCTCCTGGGTTTCATGCCAGGCCTCATGGGCGCAGATGAGAGAGAGGAAAGGGGCGCCCCAGTTGGCACAGTTCGCGTCGCCTTGGGCGCTGCAGCTGGGGTCCTCGCCTCGGAAAAGGCTGGTTGAGCCGACTCAGGGCGCGATGGCATTTGAGCCTTCTTCCGAGCGGCAATAGCTTCTTGCAAAGCGGATCGGCTCTTTGCAGGACTCTTAGCGGGGGCTGCAGATGAACTGTTCAGGACGACATTGGGGTTTGATGAATCTTTCTCTAGCAGGTTGCGTGACTTTGGGTCAAGCGTATCTGCTATAGCGTTGGCTCTTTCGGGCCACACACCGTAGAATGTCCAAAAAGTACCTCGGGATGTTTCACGCACACCAGGATTGGCATCACCCAGTCCTTTGAGAATGGACTTTTCAACGAGCTCAAGGCCCCCGCCATGCTCAACCGTGCTTTTGTGACGAGCTTGCCGGATGATCAGTGTTTTCAACCAGCCTGCGGCAAACAGGCGAACACCGACGTTTTTGTCTTGTGCTGCAAAAGCGACGTGCTGCAAGAGGCGAATGCTAAAAGAAACATTGCCAATGACCGCATCGACAGTGGCATTACCATTCTGAGCAGCGATTTTCTTCAGACCCGAGCAAAGTTTCATCAGATTTTGCATGATAATTTCAACCATTGGATCAATTTTGGGACCACATGTTCGTGCAATGTCCTGAATCAACAAACTTCCGTTCGTGGACATTGTAGTTCGAAGAGAATTGACAACTTTGAAAATGCCGTCAAGAAGAGTTTTGGTTGCGGCGAGGAATGTCTGCGAGAAGTCGTGTGGCGCATTGCCTCGGGTTACTCTGCGGAAGAGGATGACGTTCTTTTCGCGTTTCGACCAGTTGTCCTCAGACTCTTTGCCGTCGAACCACGGAAGCATATCGCGCACAAGGTCATCGATATCCCGGGCAGAGGCAACATCGTAAGGTTCCAAACCATCATCGTCTGCCGGTGGTGGCTGGGGTACATGCCTCTCGGCTGCTGGTGTATGGGGACGATGAATAACGGGTGGTTCTGCAGGCGCGGAAGAGGCAATTGGTCGTTCGCGGTGAGCTCTTGAGGCTGGGCGACTTCTCACAGGTTCGATGTCTTGCAACCGGGTCAGCAAACAAGGCACATAATGGGTTATGTACTACCAGGTACTTACCTTCTTCGTGGTGTTCCATGGCATGCGAACGTGACGACATAACTGAGATTGGGCGCTCAGCTCGAGAAATTGGGCGTGTGGAGGGCGCAGTCTCAGGCTCAACTGACCCCACCCCAATTCCAGAGAGAACAGCGTTCGCGATGGATTTTCTCACTCCGCGATTGGCCATTTGTTTCTGTAAATCAGACTTCGCTCTTGCGGGCCCGGTGCTGAATTTGCTTAGAAACACTTCATGTGGAGGAGAGCAGTGTTATGACCTACCGGAACAGATCGATCACGACCAGCTTAGCCGTGTCTCGGACGGCACTGTCGGCATCCTCTAGGCATGCGACGAGTGAAGGGACATATTGGCGGAACAACAATCCATGGTTTTTCGTCATCTGCAGATCCTCTCTTAGTCCCTAGAGCATCACTTGCTGGTAGTCAACTTACATTTGCCAACCAAAGCATGCTCATTTCCTTGGATCTATGGTTCTTCCCTACCAGTGCAACATCGAGAACGTAATACTCCACTTCACTTCCAGCAAGAGGCCACAGTTCAGTGAATATAGAGGCCGCTTGGGCTCTGATACGCTCTTTTTGGTCATTCAGGCGTTCGAGAAGGGTAGGATATAGGTTTTGGGCATGACTGACGACCCATTGCTGCTGGTCTTGGATGATAAGGCGCTTTAAGAGGTGACCGAGGGTGGAAAACCCTGCGCCGAGAACAGAATAGTGTTGGGAGCTAATGGCTAAACGTAATGTCTCAAAGATCGAGCGAATGGCGCCTTCTGGGACATTTTTTTGTTTGATATCGGACTTGACGCTGGATAGATATGCGACCTTTGCGTCGACAGACAGGTTGGGGTTCTTGAAGGCCGCCAAGAGTTCAGATGCCTTCGCTTCCATTATCAGTACCGAGTAACAGATCTCAGCTCGGGTCTGACACGGAAGAGAGTGCGCCAAAGGATCACCTCTTGTCGACTGGGATCCTGAAAGGCGGTGGGGCGGAGAGTCGCGGGAGAAGGGACTTGAAGTGTTCTAGTGTGCTACTAGGAGAAGCAATCAGCAACTGCATTTGTGGACAGTGCAAAGTCACAGAAGACAATGGCAAACACAATCAACATTTGAATGTGACAACCGGACGACGGGCGACGCGGGTACGTGCAGGGGATGTGCGGGGGTGACAACTATGGGTACGGCGAAACGAATGAAAGCATCGAATCACCGAATTGCAAAGACACGAAAGAAGAAGAATGGCACATACCAAGTCCGATGTTGCGATCGGAGAAAAGCGCAAGCTGGGGTGGGGGGGAAGTTGAAAAGCCGAAAACAAGGGGCGATAAGCGCGTGACGATAAGCGCGAGGGACAATTAAAGGGGTCGAAGGGGATTGCAATTTCAGGTTTTCTTAATTTCTTTTTTGAAGCTGTCGAGTGCTCTCTGACTACTCGTATTTCTCTGCTGAGCAATCACATACACTAATCTGGTTTCAAATAAGGGTGCCCGAAGAAAACCCCAGCCCAACCGGTTGGTTTGTTTATCGCCTTTGTTATGGTCGCAACGGGCAACCAGCGTCATCGGTATATGCACTGCAATGATATCAGTCTAGAGTCAAATCCCGACTGATATGCATTGCGAGCATTTTCGACTGTACTCAGCGTATTGATCCTTGAAAGGGTCGGACAATTTCTAAAGTTTGCATGAGGCTCAATAGGAATACAGAGTACTCCGTACGCAGTATGCATTTCAATGCTTGACCCCACGAGATCGCCATGGTGGGCCTAGATTAGCCTTGGATCTTACTGGAATAATACATTTGAAGTTGATATGCAAGGAGCCTTTTCATCTCATCCCCTTATGCGCTGGATATCATTTGCCTCTTTGGTAGACATCGTCCGCTCCAGCTGATTCTGCGCGTCAACCAACTCACCCCGCATCTCTGCTGACCAAAGGTCCGAAGTATACCTAGGTAACCTTGGAACCTACCTCTTACAAATTCATCTACGAACATATCCAAACCATCGAAGGATAAAGAAATCCACAATGGCCAGCTTGTCTGCTCCCACGCACTCGGCAATTCCCAACAGGGAGCAAGGACCGAGCAAGAAGCAGTTCCCAGAGGCGGGTGTGAGTCCAACATTGCCTCGGCCAAAGCTCCGCCTCCACGTTGAAGATCTAAGGCATCCTGCTTCAAGTGTCTTTCTCTCATTCATTCCAGATGTTGCCTCGGTGCTAGACAGAGCCTTGGCCAATATTGTGGAACATCTCTATACACCGAACGCCAATTCCAAGACCCAGCACCAGCCCAACTTCACGCCAAGTCTCCCACCAACAAGATCAGTAACGGTCTTTTTGCGGGACTACAGTGGTGTGGCCTACACAACAGGGACAGAGCTTGATGATGCCCACAAGGAGATACATGTCTCCCTCCCGTATGTCCAGCACTGTACCTCGGGACCAGCTGCAAAGGAAGATCCACTACACGAGCTAGTGGGTGTTCTCACGCATGAGCTAGTACACTGTTATCAACATACTGCACCGCCCGGAAGCTCTGTGCGACCCCCGGGCGGGCTTATTGAGGGAATCGCCGACTTCGTAAGGCTGAAGGCTGGACTTGAGCCACCCCATTGGAAAAAGCCGAATTGTGCCGCTGAGAGACCCCCGAAATGGGATATGGGGTATCAGCATACAGCTTATTTCTTGGCTTGGCTAGAAGATGTGAAGGCTGGAAAGGGGACCGTTGGGAGATTAAATGATCGACTCCTTAGAGTTGGGTACGTTGCTGAAAATGAAAAGCATTCAGAGAAGGAGACAGTCGGGTTTTGGAGGGGTTTGATTGGAGTAGAGATCGGAGAGCTGTGGGAAGAGTACGGACGATATTTGGATGACCCGGCTGGGGGCAAGACTCATGGTAACTGGGAAGAAGAGATATTGAATCCAGAATGATATGTCAACTTGTTTTATAAAACCTTAGAAAGTGTGTCTGGTCAGGACTTCAGAAGACTTATTGGTCCGCATCTCTCACTCAACCCGGAATTAATCTCATGACAAAGGTTCCTGTTGTCAGGAAGGACAAGGAAATATATTGACCGGGCCTGCCTAGTCACAACCTTGAAGTTCCTTTGCAGATGGAGAGAAACGGGTCTGGGGCTCTTCTATTGATATCTACAGCGCTACCTACATACAGCACCCAAAAAGAAGGGGGGGAAACATCGCAGCAAACTAAAAATCTGCCTCCGAGGCCCGGTTCACTTCGCTCGAGAGAGGCATGCATTACATCGAAAAGGTCCAAATAATATCCTAGCTCAACCAGCATGTTCAACAATTTCGCTCACGAGCACACCGTTCTTGATATAGCTCTTCAGCTGTTCAGGCAGAGGGCACTCCTTGGTATCCTCGTCAGTACCCTCTGGCGGGGGGAGATTGATGTTCACAGCTGTTGATTTGCTAGTGAAAATCTCGGTATTGAGAGACTGTTGTCCAAGGTAAACAGCAGCACCATCAACCTGATCCAGCAACAAGGTGGGGACGACGCCGTCGACCTGCACAGCTAACTTGGGGCACTTGATGATGTCGAGACTGCTGACGAGAGAGTCGACGATAATGGAGAGACCAACACAGTTGTCGATGGCGATGGCATTGGCCTTGTTCGACACCTTGATAATGGTCTTGTTGCAGCGAGTGATGAGGATGGACTGGTTCTGCTGCGCGGGAATTTCGATGATCTCACCGGGAGAGTCGAAGTTCTCGATAAACCACTTGTTGCCCTCGAGGTCCTTGCGGGGAGGCTTGCGAGTACGCATGCTCTCAGGCTTGGGCTTCTTGTTAGGGGCAGGCGACTTGGCACGCGCAGCGCTTGAGCCTTCCGATACGGTGGAGCCGGCGCGCAGACCAGGGTTCTTATGTGTCATCTCTGATTTGTCGACCTTCCGGAGGCTGGAAGTGATGCCTTCACCCTGGTTCAGCTCGTCGAAGACAGCACCCATATCGGGTGCTGGCGCCGCAGGAGCAGGAGCAGGGGGGATGAAAGGAGGGGGAGGGGGAGGAGGAGCACCTCCGCCGGAGACATTCAGAGATGGGACTGGAGGCGGAGGAGGGGGAGGGAGAGAGCCGCTCGGAGCTGGAGTCGGAGCAGGGCCACCCTTGGCTTGCTTAAGGGCATCCAGTGCGTCAATGCCGGACTCGTTGTTCCATGTGAGGCCCTTGGGGAAGTGCTTCTTCAGGTATTCTGCGAGGGCTTTGAAGTTCTGGTAGTAGGCCTTAATGTACTCAACGTGCGTGTTATCCCTATTAAAATGTAAATCCCCGGTGTTCTGCTTGCCAATGGAATTTGTATACTCACTTGTCCTTGTAGTCCTTCAAAACCTTGTTTCCGTAGTATTGAATACCACCAATCATTTCGGTGACGAACTCAGCAGGCTTGCTCTCGAAAAACCAGGCTAGTGCAACAATACCCTCCGCAACGGCGCTCAGGTGGTTGAAGAATGGAGATGCTCGGTTTGATTCGCGAATGTTGTTGATGCTATCAGATGCCTTGTGCAAATCGGTCATCAACTCTGGGGGTTGGGTCGCGGGCTTCTTAGCCTTTGTGACTACAAAAAGGTAGGTGCGCTCGGCTTGGAACGCCTGAAGCACAGCTTTGGACTATACATAGTTCCATTTAGAGAATGTTCGAGTGGGGCCAAATGCCCAGGGCTTATCCGTGATACTGACCTGCTCAGCAACCAAGCCTCCAATTTTCTCTCCGAGGTTGACGAAGTTCTGGACATCTCCCTTAATCAAGGCATCGAAGTCTTGAATCTGGGGAGGAATCGGGGCCGCTACCGGGGCCGCGGGGGGAGGAGGAATCGCCTTAGGGGGTTCAGGGGTAGCAGGCACAGAAGAGGGAGGGCCACCATTGCTCTTGGGTGAGCTAGGGTCATCAAGCGACATGGCCATATCCTCCAAGCGTGAGGTGGCTGCCTCGAGCCTGTAGACAAATGAAAGTGTTAGTTAAGGCAAGTTGTAGCATGGCCCGCAGAGTGAAGGCATAAATGGATCGAGTGTCGACATGAGTAGTGACAATATCGCTCAATAGAAGACATACCGCTTGATGAGGGTGGTGAAGTTGTGCATGTGGCCGCCGGACGCCATGATAGGCAACACGTTGCTCGGGCGGTTGGAGGAGTAAAAAGGGGAACTTGGTCAGACTGGAACGAAAGGGTTGTCGCAAAACAACTTCCTCTCGATTGCGTGTGTTTGAGTCGCTTGCGATCAAAGAAAACACACACGAGTTGTTAGGGAGTAGAAGAAAGACGAAGATCGGAGCTCCTGAGGGCCGCTGCAGATGCCGGTGTCATGGTATGTAACTTACGCTCCCTTAGGCTGGGCCGGATGACGTTGTCGGGTATATTTGGTAATTCTATTACCCTAGCTGGGCCCACCATACATTGATAAACCGAAGACCTTCAATGTTCTTTTCTTCTGTTCAAACCGAAGACTTCTAGATTTGGCAATAGACTGTTACTGCAACCATGACCACCCAAAATGACGACGTCGAATTCTGTACTTTGGGAATGTTCATTATTGGTATGTTTTGTCGGTGCATTTCCAACGTGCGGGACTGACGATTTCACTAGATGATATTGATTTTGGAGGTATAAGGCCGGGAGTCAAGGATATCACCGGTGGTGCAGCCTCCTTTGCAGTAATTGGTGCACGCTTGGTTTCAGGCTCCAAGCATGCGCGAGCTGTTAGCTGGATTGTAGATGTTGGCTCGGATTTCCCATCGGAGACCCTCGCTGTGATCAAATCATGGAATACCGACTGTCTCTTCAGGGAGGATACCAGCAGACTAACCACGAGGGCGTGGAACGGATATCATCCCAATGAGCAACGAGGTCAGTATCTGGTTAGATATTTGAGCAATGCGGACTGAGCTGACAGCCGCAGACTTCAAATACTTGACTCCAAAACTGAGACTGGAGCCTGAAATGCTTTCTGACAAACAATTATGGTCGAAAACATTTCACATGGTGTGTTCCGCATCCCGCTGCATTTATATAGTGCAGACCATCTTGCAGCGACGAGAGGGTTTGCACAAGGCGGGGAAGTCCCCGTCCGCAGCACATGCATTGCAGCGCCCTATATTCGTCTGGGAACCTGTTCCAGACCTCTGCACCCCAGAGGAACAACATAATTTCTTCGCCGCAAACAAAGTTGTGGACGTGGTAAGTCCAAACCACATGGAACTTGGCATGATGTTCGATCAGTCCAGCTGGACCGAGGACAGCCAAGACGGTCGGGACTTGGTCAGAACAATTACAGAGTCCGGCATCGGGCCAGATGGGAATGGCATGCTGGTGATTCGAGCCGGAAAGGACGGCAGCTACGCCTACTCTAAGAACTGCAAGATTTGGCTTCCCGCGTACCACCAGCCAGACGCTTCGGGTTCCTCGCCTGTCATCGACCCCACAGGCGCTGGTAACTCTTTCCTGGGCGCTTTAGCGCAGGGAATGGTGACTACAGGCCGGGAGCCCTTTCAAGTCATCCAGTCTGTCTTATCCCAGTCAGAAAACTGGGAGAAGGGGCTTGACTCGTGGGGGAGCTACCAGAACTATCCCATGGCGCTCATTTGCGCAACTGTTGCAGCGGGTTTCGTGGTGGAACAAATTGGTGTTCCCCAAATTAGCGATGAGAATGGAGAGGAATTGTGGAATCAATCTGGATTCACGGAACGTGTCCGCCTGTACACGCAGCGATTATCGAAGACACTTGAAGAGTCTCCCCGGAAGCACCTGCTGACCAATTGATCGATGGTCAAACGGAGAACGCCCTTTTATTGTCGTACAGCACACAAGTTATCAAATAATAGAAAAACACATCGAAACAAAGTCCAATCTTGCTTGGTATTCCCTCTCAAACTACCATCCAGTGTCCTGGATCATCTTCATGAGTCGTTCTTCGCGGCTTGTTGTTGCTCGTGTTCACGAATTTGCTTGCTCCAGCTGAATAGAGACGGAAAGGTTAGTGTACTGTAGATTGACTGAAGTGGAGGGAGGACTGACTATCGGCTGGGGAAGAACCGGCCGGGCTCGGGCATCTTGTCGCGGTGCTCCCGCTCAGCACTGATGCTGAAGGCAACTGCAGCGACACCGATCACGAAGGCGCCCATGACTGCGGTGTTGACCCTCCAGTTGGCCGGCTGGGCGTACCAACCACCAGCGGGGGACCAGACTTCCTTGGGGTACCTGTCGGGTGAATTCATTAGCTCCTGGCGAAAATCGTAGATTTGAAAGATACATACGGGATCTTTCCACCTCCACCCATTGTGATGAATTTGCAATTGAAGGGGGTTTAGGAGAAAAAAAGCGAGTGTAGAATTGACCTCGAAGTTGGAAGCCGAAAGGGCCGTCTCAATCGCAGGTCTGTTGCCAAGGCGCTAGGCTCATATTGGGTTTAGCGCAACCTCACACGACCTGGGTGTCCCGTGACTGCCGCGACAATAATTTCTCCTCCGTCAACGACGAAGGCCAATTGATTGCGTCGCGAATATCCCTTCCGCCAATTGTACAATTTCCCCACGACCTGCACACTGCAATCGCCCAGATGAAGAGGCTGCAGCTACAACGATGCAGCAGCTCAGTCCTCTCGCCGCGGGTTCGGACTGTTAACTGTCTGCATCAACACATCTACGGACGGCGGTATTCGACGGCTCCCGTGGAACGGCAACAAGAGATTCAGCAGAATGAATCTATCTTTGAGGACCCCGAGCTCAAGGAGAAAATGCTTGCTCAGATTGTGAAGGAGTCTCACAACCGCGGCTCGCAACTGTCATATCCCTCTCCCCCAGTCGAGGCCGCTAAACAATCCGCAAAACTCGCCGCTCTTCATGCTCGACTCTACCTCCCCTCCAGACTACCCGTTGAGACGCTTGCACGGACATTAGTTGATACCACCGCCGACCCAAACCCAGAATTCAACAATGCCTCGCTGGCCACACTCGGTCATGACCTCCTTTCCTACTACGCAACCGAGCACCTTATCTGCACCTACCCCCGTTTGCCATTGACTGTGATCTTTGCTGCCATGTACGCATACGTTGGTCCTAAGACCCTCGCTGCAATGACAAGGGAATGGGGTGTGGAGTTGGCCGCGATCCCCGGTGGAGAGGTTGACCCCGGTCTGTTGCAATTCAAGAGGCTCGAGGCCGGTGCCGAGGTCCCTAGTCCGCCACCAAGCAACCCTGCTCGCCCATACGAAACAGCGACACACTACAGGAAAACAGTCACATCTAAGGTCTTCTACGATGATGAGTTCGGCGATTCGGTCAAGGGCACAACGGACGCCGTCACCAGCGAACACGCTAGCGCCGAGTTCGTCCGCGCCGTCATGGGCTCAATCTACCTGCATGCCGGTCGCCCTGCGGCTAAGCGATTCTTCGAGCAGCATTTCCTTTCACGACACCTCAACATCTCAGAATTGTTCAACTTCCGGGCACCAGCCCGCGATCTGACCCGTTTATGCGCACGTGAGGACTTTGAACGACCAGTTGCCAAGATCATCAGTGAGACTGGTCGTAAGAGTAGACACCCCGTCTTCGTGGTTGGTATCTTCTCTGGCCAGGACAAGCTTGGAGAAGGCGCTGGCGCCAGTCTGGTTGAGGCCCGTGAGCGTGCTGCTGTTGCCGCACTAAAGGGTTGGTACCTCTACAGCCCTATCAGTGTGCGTGTTCCCAGTGCGATGGAGGAGCCCTCCGCCGCGCCTTGGAAGCCGGTGTACGTCGACCTGGGTGAGGTGATTGTTTAGGATTTTTGGTGCAATGGGCTGCCTTGAACAGGCACGGTAACATATTATTTCATGTCTCTTCGTTTTTTGTTATATCGCTTTTCTTTTTTCCGATGTGCTGTTGTTTCGCATGGGAAGCTGGCCGGCGGTAAAAAGAGTCATACATCCCGTCTTCATGACTGGATCCTGTACATTATGGGAATTCCAATTCCTCCGATTCATCTGGTGTCTTTCCCCCCTAAATTTCCCTTTCTGTTTCCTTCCCATTTGGTATACTCCCGCGGTTCTAAACGGGCCAACGCAAGGCAATTCCTCGCCCTTGGTGTCCATCCAACCATAGAAGATAGATTATTTACTGAAGTCTATATCAAATCAATCTGCCTATTCACAATAAGGTCCCAAGGTTGTTATGTATAGTCGTGAGCATGCATCTATACTTAAGTAGATACACACAACCTTTGCCCTGGAGTTTACCGCCCCGGTCTATATATAAAAGGTATCTCGGCTCATATGGCATTGAGAGTTGCTCAAGTGTGCACAAGGGGTGTAGAAAGCCTTGGAAATCGAAAAACTTACCAAAGGCACATAAAGACTTGAGGACTTCCCCCCAATAATCCTGAAGTCCCATGCAGAGATATATGTTCATATATATATACCGGTGAGCAGAGCAAGACGGCAGTTTACATAATGATGATATTGAAGAAAATGATATGAAATATAAAAATGATGGATACGCACACGTTCAATGTATGCAGCTGAGTATAAAAACGAGTCTCGATGCTATTAATGCGTGGTTAGTATACAGCCATTGGCAACAGCCAGTGCGCCTAGGGTGATATTTTGTTCTGATTTTGGTTCCGATGGCGCACACACGAGTGTGCCGATTGATGATAAAATATAGGTATAGAGGTAGAATGAGTATACCGAACGAAAATGAGTGGCTCAGCGAAGGCGGGGATCGTGTGGTGACAATCGATCATGGAATCCCCTGTTATGTGGGTACTGCTCGTCTAGTGAATTTTGCCTGTGGACGTCAAGGCCCCGAAGTCTTTTTGCAAGTAGGCTTTCACCCGGTTCGGGGATGCTTGAACCTGGACCTGAAGTGGAGTGGTGGCTTGCAGGGTGGGCATCGCTGTGGTAGAGGTTATGACCAAAAGATAGGTCGCGGGTGTGTGAGTGCTCAGTGGAATCTGTGAGATCCATTGGAGTTGGATCATCTAGTTGCGAGTGGAGGTGGACTGGTGATGACACAGGAGAATGAAGGTTGAAGAATGGACCTTGGCCAACGCTTCGTCTGCGAGATGCAAGGTCCATTGGCGATCGAGGGTTTGGGCATCCAGGAGCAGGAATCGATGTTTCGCGAGAGGGCTTATATGGGCTATACCGAGGCTCAGGGTTCTGTATTTCATTGCGAAGCTTCTCTTTGCCGTCCGGAACACGGTTCGCGAACACAACCCGAATGCTTGAATGTAAATAAAAGCGGCCCCGAGAAGGGCAGCAAATATTTAGGTGAATGAGATATCGTAAAGTCGGCTTGTCTTTGGGATCTTCTGTGGGATTCAAAGAAGCTTCAGGGCGATCAGTGCCGAAATTCTTCCGGGCACTGAGCGGCATGTCAATGATCGGACCTGCCGAGTAGCTACGCTGCCGAATGAAGGTTTTGGTGCCAGGCTCCATATCGCTGAGGTCGTAGGGAACCAAGAATAGTTTCACCGCCGTTTTATGTGGATTTTTGATAATGATCTGCAATTGCCCCTGTTGAGGAATCCGGTACGCCCCCCCAGGGGGACGTTTGGGCGATTCGGACCTGCGATGCTTCTTTTCCCGGCGGCGCTGTGTTCCGACCTCAGACGTACGACCAGGATTTGATCCCTCCACAGGAGTGCCGTCACGGTGCTCCAATGGACTTGTGTGTCTTCTGCGACGTCTGGTCGGTGGCAGGTTCTCTTTTGGCAGTGAGTGCTCGAGATCAATTTGTCCAACGTAGGGACTAGGATTGTCATCTGAGATGGACCGGCCAGATCCCGAAGTTGGATAGCTGTAAAAAACAACTGGAAACGGCACTGTGACATGGGGCGGGCACTTGAGAGCACCTTTGCAGTTTCCTTTGCCTAACACACCAATCTGAGCCGTGAAGTCCAGAGGCTTGGAAGGATTCATAGACATGCGCCCGCGCAATATCGACTCCTCGTAGGAACCAACCATTGGAGCATGTGGTTTGACCGAAACTTCAGAGGCGAAAGATGGTCTTCTCGCTCGCGATTGTGGAATCTGCCCTGCTGGCGACGGTGCAAGCTGAAGACTGTACGCCGAAGTCAACGACCGGCGAGGAGAAGTTGGAGGGATCTGGCTGGAGGAATCCTGCCGCCGCTTTGTTGGGGATGGGCTACCCGGACTGATCATTTGATTACTCGGCGGAGAGAATTGGAGATTTCTAAATGTCTCTGGCGGTAGAGTTCGACGGCGATTTGCTCTCTCCGATGGATCCACAACGTCTATAGGACCGATCTGTGGTGAATAATCCGAGTCGGCATTATTTGCCTGGTAAACCAGGGGGCTTGTAGGTGCTTTAAGCACATAGCTAGACGAGAATGAGCCTAATGAAGGCGCGCGAGCACGAGCATGCCTGGCACGTTCAGACTGGCCGTGATCATTCAACGTGCTTATGTGCTGCAACGCCGGGGCAAATTTCGGTGCTCCAAACCAGGGAGTCGTAGGCGATGAGCTTAAATGAGCGAATGGAGAACTCGAGCTCCGCTCCCCAAAAAGTGACTGTGGTGATTTTGGATCATGGCCTTCCCTGAAGTCGCCCGAATGCAACGCCGATCGAGGCCTCTGGATATCGGCCGGCGATTCCAGGTTTTCTGTATTGGGCATGTTGTCTATATTAGCTCCTGGTGTTTGGAACTGTTCCTGCCATAAGTGAGGCATGAAGACGTCATCGTCCACCCTACCTGTAGGCTATATGCGACATGTTAGCAAAGGGATGAGACATGAAAGAAAATTGGAAACTTCTGGCCAAATCCACTACGAGATAAGACTAGAGAAAGGGGCCGAAAAAACAGACATACCGTGTGTTGTTTCCATGACGAGGATTCCTTGATATGATGTATGAGCTGCTCCCGGTCGTTGGCCCACGATTTGGGCAAATTTAACTCAGACGGCGATAGCTCCATAGAGTCAACAGGTGCTCTAGCAGTTTCTGAATCATTAAGCACACCGTTGCCCATTTCATTCGGTTGAGACCCCGGGGACCCTGTGGTCGGGTGTTCACGGTTATCACGGTCTGGTGACCATATATAGTGACTCCGACGGTCCGGATCTCGAAATAGGGGCATGGTGGCGTGATAAGGGTGGATTCAAAGGCCTCAACGCTAAATTTGACATTTCATGCTACCACCTAAGTGGCAAGCGCCTTATGAAACGAGCGCCGAGCTGTGCCGTAGTGGGGGGATGTTGGAGTGCGGTGTGCTTGAGTGATTCGGGTATATGCCGTCAGTGACTTGAAACTGATTGGCGAGGAAGAAAGCGCTTTATATATGTCACGTCACGCAAGAGGCATCCCGCGCTTTCCTGCGTGACCAATGGCTTTTCAGTGAACGAGAGAGATTGAGAAAATATCGGGTCAGGTCAAGTTCAAATGAACGTTGTCGATCCCGGAGATCCTGACTCAGAACGTCATGTGATGGACCAGTGACGATATGAGTTGCAACCTTGATCCTACCTTAGGTGCTGGATTTTTCTTTTCAGTCTGGAATTTCGAGTTCTTCGAGGCCCAATTTTGGGAGACGTTGGGCCTGGTAATTGTGCAATGCGACTGTAGGAACAGCACTCCGGAGACACAGTGGGATTCCCATTTGACACTGTTCAATCATACATTATGTTTGATGCAAAACCTTGGGCATGCAGTTCTTGCTCCGCTTCACTACACTAAGTAAGTGTATATAAATCCTCCGTATTCTTGAAGCTATAGAGCAGTGTACGAGTAGAGTATAGAGTACTTAGACTTAGGGAGACTAGCGGATGCTCCGTGCGGAGATCGCCACTCTTTTTTTTTTCTTCTCCGCCTTTGGCTTATCAGTCTTCCAGATCGAACACGCTGGGACAACTCCCCTCACATCCTTCAAAATGGCACCCATACGAACCCGTGATGCTGAATCCACTCCAGCCAAGAGTGAGCCGTTCAAGAAGCGCAAGGGCTTCAGCGTCGGACCCGCCAACCTACCAGATGGCACATATCGCCGCAAGAGTATGCATTCCTACCCAAACTCTTGCTATGAACTAGACTAACCAAAACCGACAAATAGCCCAAAAACTTAAGGAAGATTTGATCCACAAGGCCAAAGTGAAGAAGGCCTATGCCAAGGTCAAAGCACAAGAAGAAGCCAATGCGCCCAAGAGGTCCGTTTACGACACGGTCGATGAAACCGAAGCAACCAAGGATGAAACAGCCAAGGACAACGAAGCAGAAGACGCTACAACGCTGGAATTACACCCTGATCGTGTCGCCATGCTGAATGAGCCAGAGCCGGCCCCTGCACCCGCAAAACCAGAACGACGCCAGCGCGGCGACGGAAAACAGAGAGAGCGCCGGCAGAAGCCGTCTGCCTTCACCAAAGAGATGGAATTTGCAGAGAAGAGACGCAAGGCGGAAGAGATTCGACAGAAGGACCGGGAATCCAAGGTGAAGGAACGGGAGGCTCTGATCCGCGCGAAGCGGCCGGATCAGTTTGGCAAGAGGAGGTTGGGCAGAGAGAGCAATGCGTTGCTCAGTCGCGTCCAGCGAATGGTTGGTCAGAAATAATAATTTTCTGGGACCAAAGCCACATATGCATATGGGCTATGTTTTCATGATACCCAGATCCCTACGTATACGCATTAAAAAAAAAAAGTCGAGCTTAAGTATCAAGCGTCCAGGCTCATGATTAATGCAGCCTACCTTCATATATCCAAGATCATATTCGAGGCAGGCTCATACTTGTTCACAATGGGGTTTCTGCTTGTTGAACTCCTGTCATAGAGTATTGTATCACTGTTTAATATCTAAGCCTTAAGCGGAAGACTTGGAGCTGCCACCCGCACTTCGGGGCTTCTTGAAGCAAGCGAACTCGCCTTTCGTGCGGTCTCTCAGCTTTTTGAGGACCACACGCATCTCACCTAACTCAGCCTGGAGCTTTGTCCGGGCTTCATTTGTGGTACGGCGATCTAATTCCACGTAGATCTGGCTTTGCACATTTGACGCCTCCTCCGTCGCATATAGTGCAAGTGTTTGTGCAATAAATTCAGTATCCAGTGTAGCTTGCATTAAAGCGGCAAGTGAGAATGAAGACCGAGCTCGGAAGGCAGCAAGCAGCGAAGAGGAGATTTTGGACAAGAGATGTGTGAGGACAGTGGCCAGAAGGGAGAAGGGTGCGTTTGGCGAGGTTCGGCTGGCAATCGATACGCTGGATGGGATGGTTGTGGAAATCTCAGTGTGAACTAACACCATGGTCAACATGGCGTTGTACACGTAAGGCCGGACTTGTTCTGGCCGTTCGGTTGATGGTTCCCAGTCTGGAGATGCAATACCAGCTGAGATGGTTTTATCCAACAAAGCAGTGGTGGGATTGACATAGGACTGGAACAGTCGGTCTTCAATTTGGCTGAGGACATCCCGAACGGTCTTGGCCTCTTCTGTCAGCTTGACCGAGAAAGAGGTCTCGAAGTTGGAGATCAGTTGTGGAACATAGTCGGCTTGTAGTGCCTTGAGGTTGGAGAGAGTCAGGAGGATTCGAACGTTCTGTGGTGGTTAGTCAATACATTATTAAGGCCGGTTGGACCACTTACCCGATTCAATGAATCAACAGAATCTGCTGAAAGTATTGACATTGCGGCATCGGTGACCTGACTTGTCAGAGCTGGTCGGGCGATTATCCACTCATTCTCCTCTTCGGCTGTAGTTAGACGCTCCGCATTTTCCACCAGCCCACTCAGTGCTTTATAAACACTAGACACAAACTGTGCGCGAACCATCTGGAGAAGTTTTGCAGGAGGCTGAGTGACCACGTCCACAGTGCCCGGCTTTGCCATTGCTTCTGAAATGTAAAGAAGCTTCTGCATGCCGCTTAAAATAGCCCCTTCAAATGCCACAAAGAACCCGGGCATCTTGGTTAGATCGCGCTTCTCCGAATCGCGTGTCCAGTCCTCGAGCAGCTTGCAGACCTCCGCATCTTTGCTCCAGGCAGCGCATGCTACACGAGCACATCGATCTCTGGCCACACTGACGAGGGTCTTGAGAAGATCATAGGTTTTCCCACTGCCACCAACGGGCCGCAATGCCGCCATTTCACTAGCAGCAGTTCCCACAATAATGAGGAACTTACTCAAATAATGCACTCCACTGAGGGAATTGGAGTATGGGGGCCAGAATGCATATTCCTCCCAGTGTTCTCCCCGCTTCGGGGGAGGGAACGGCAGATTCTTTGGGTCCAGCTTGAATCGGGACTCTGTCGGGGTGATTCCTCTGGATTCCGGGGTCGAGGGACTTGGTGGCACCGGTGAGAAAAGTATAGAAACATCTTCGATAGGAGGCTCTGCGAAAAGAAGCAAGACATTATCGCGGATGAGATTGACCAGCTCCACCACGCCTCTCTCTAGCTGCTTGATACTCTCGGTAGAAAGCCGGTGGTGTTTTCGACTTTCCCCTTCAAACCCAGCTGGTAAAAGCCGCTGCCGATTGCCATCGATGAAGGATTGTGCCACTTCCCAAAAGTCCAGAACCTCGCCAAGTAACCCATTCTGCGAAGACAGAATTCGGTTCAAGAACGTCTGTATACATTCCCAGAGTTCAATGACTTGGTCGGTGTCGAACCTCTCTGGACTTTCCGTGGAGCCCTCCCGGGGCGCCAGACGTAGGTACGACGCAGTGGCTTGTGCAGTTGGCTTCTCGCCGCCAGCAAGTCTTCTTCGTAGGATCTCGATTTCAACCTTGCATCTTTCGGAGAAACCGGCGATTTTTGCTTTCAGGAATTCAAACCGGCTTTGTAGCCATATCTGGATCGGATTGTCTTCAACGCCGAGCTCCAACAAGGCTCCAATCAGCTCCATGTGCTCTTCAACCGGACCCAACGCAGTGCTTGTAGTTGATGTAGTAGGTGCGTCAGCGAGACGCTTCCAGAGCTCTCGCTTGAAATCGTGAATCTGTTGGTCAACATCCAACCACATTCGACCCATAGCTAAGATGGTGTGCGTCTCAGTGTCGTTCAATTGTCCGCGAGAGCTAGAGGCTCGATTTGCGATGTCTTTGGCTTGGTTCGCAAGGGTTCTCGCCTTGGTATATTGCTCAAAGACAGCTTCGTAATCGCGTTGCTGGATGGACTTTGCCAAATGACTCCCAATCTCATAAACATCCCGGTTCTTCTCCATGGTTTCAACTACGGACTTCAGCATCTGCTCTCGCTCTCGACCCCCAAGAGCTGGCCCCCAGACTTCCTCAGCTTTAACAGAGGCCTCAACTAACGGGCCACGGATGCCCTTCATGCCGTACTCGCTTTCCTTCACGAGTGCAGTTTTCTTGGCCACCACTGGGGCAGGGGACACACTTCGTTGCTGACCAGAATAGCTGCGGAAGTGTCCCGATCTGCGAGGACCGAGGCCCGGTTGCTTCTCAACACCCTGGTTCCTCATCTCAGTGTAGACGCTGTCGATGGTTGCCTTGGCGCGCACGAAGCGCTCGAAATTTGCCTCCACCAACACCTTCAGGGACGCGGATTTTTGGTCGATCGAATGGGATAGGTTATCCAAGCCACTGGTCAGTGACTCAATAGATGCTGTGTGGTGTGCCTGGGACAGAAAGAGCGCAGGCGAGAATGACGTTGACGACAGCAAGAACCGTGAGCGCTTTCCATTCTCCTCCTCTAGTGGTATGCCTCGTTGTTTGAGAATTCGAAGAACACTGTCACTCGTGCCCAATGGGTCCGGCTCGTCCTTCTGAGCGTTTTCTCTGCCATCCTTCCCTCGACGTGGGCCAAAGTTACTCCTCCAATCGCTGGGACTTCGTTCGAGGGCGATGTATCGCGACTTGCGAGGGCGGGAGTCTGCTCGTTGAATTGGTTCTTCTTCAGGCTGATCTGCTTCATCTAACGCTGCAGGCCATTCGTCGGGGAATTCGTCGGGGAGGTTGTAGTGGCTTGCGACGTCCAGGTCGGCCATGGTTGCGAGGTTGGAGAGGCGGCCCACCAGGCGAATTTAAATCTAGTAGTCAAAGATCTTCGGACCTCCAGTAGCTGAAAAAGATGGAGCTAGATGCCGAAGACCAAAGAGCTTGAATGTCGCGTCGCAAAGAGACCCTGTAGTCAAGAGTGGACACCATGGTGGACTCGGGCCGGGGGGAAATCAAACCACCAATGCCCGGTCGGATCGGTGCGGCGCCGAGAGATTTGAATTCTTTCTCCCCTTCTCCTTCTTCCTTCCTCCCCACCACCTCTAGCTTCTCCCCCAGAATCGACCCAAGGGATCTCTTCAAAATGATCGCTGCACGGAACTTCTCTGCTGCTCGTCAGTGCCTGCGCCCGTCCCGCGTTACCCCCCGATTTGCTGCTCCCATTGCGCAGGTATCAAAAGCCCCCCTCGGATATCAACTCATTAAGCTCAATTGGCTGACATTTAAACTTGCTTTTTCAGATCCGCTTTTACGCCAGCCCTGCGCAGGAGGCTGTTGCCAAGTTCAAGGGTCAGAAGGGTCCCGATGTATGTGTTGCTGCTCACCGAAACCGTTTTTTTCACGATGCCGGCGCCAGCCGTGCACCCGCTCCACCACTGCATAATGGCGATTAGAATGACAATACTGATTATTTCTGTCAATATTAGGGCAAGTACACCGTTACTCTGATTGAGGGTGATGGTATTGGTCCTGAGATCGCTCAGTCCATCAAGGACATCTTCGAGGCTGCCAAGGTAGAGACGATTTGATTCTTCAGCTCGATCAAAACACTAAATCCATTACAGGCCCCCGTCAAGTGGGAATCCGTCGATGTCACCCCCATCCTGAAGGATGGCAAGACCGCCATTCCCGATGATGCCATCGCCAGTGTGCGCCGCAACTACGTCGCGCTCAAGGGTCCCCTGGCCGTACGTCTCAACTTGCAGCTCCATCGCCCCTGCGAATCGCGATGCTAACCATAGCGTTTCTAGACCCCCGTTGGTAAGGGTCACGTCTCCCTGAACCTGACTCTCCGCCGTACTTTCAACCTGTTCGCCAACCTGCGTCCCTGCAAGTCTATTGCTGGCTACAAGACCCCCTACGACAACGTCGACACCGTTCTCATCCGTGAGAACACCGAGGGTGAATACTCCGGCATCGAGCACGTCGTCGTTGACGGTGTCGTTCAGAGCATCAAGCTCATCACCAAGGAGGCCTCCGAGCGTGTCCTGCGTTTCGCTTTCCAGTACGCGCAGTCCATCAACAAGAAGAAGGTCCGCGTTGTCCACAAGGCCACCATCATGAAGATGTCCGACGGTCTTTTCCTTAACACCGCCCGCGAGATCGCCAAGGAGTTCCCCGACATTGAGTTCGACGCTGAGTTGCTGGACAACTCTTGCCTCAAGATCGTCACCGACCCTACCCCCTACAACGACAAGGTCCTTGTCATGCCCAACCTGTACGGTGACATTCTGTCCGACATGTGCGCCGGTCTGATCGGTGGTCTTGGTCTCACCCCCTCCGGTAACATTGGTGACGAGTGCTCCATCTTCGAGGCCGTCCACGGCTCCGCCCCCGATATTGCCGGCCAGGGCCTCGCCAACCCCACTGCTCTCCTTCTGAGCTCCATCATGATGCTGCAGCACATGGGTCTCCACGACCACGCTGCCCGCATCCAGAAGGCTACCTTCGACACTCTCGCTGAGGGCAAGGTAAGTTTCACGCACAGGCTCCCTGACGCCATTCATTGCTAACTGTTTTCTCTAGTCCCTCACTGGTGACCTTGGCGGTAAGGCCAAGACTCACGAGTACGCTGGAGCCATCATCAAGCGTCTGTAAACCAGTCGCTGTTTAGATTCCTTGTACTATGACCCCCTGATCTATTCCCTTTGTACCTTCGAACGACATTAGACCTATAGCGATCGAAATATACCTACTTTTGTGGTTACAGTCTAAGAACGTTTACACGCAGCCCAATGCCAAAGATCTTTTCAAGCACAAATTCCACCATTCCATTGTGGGCCCATCAGTTTCCATGGCTTTGATATTATACAGCCTTTGAGCTACAGAAACCTCGGCACAGACCTTGGGACCAATATATAACTTGTCCGTAGGTTGCACGTAACAAGCTTGGACTTCAGGAATGCACATTGCTTCAGGTTATCACTGCAATCCAGCCCATATTGATAAATTTGATTTTATGATTGGCATAGTGTACATAAGAAAAACAAAAGGTCTGCATAAGATAATCATACACCAGCAGAAACAAAGAAAATGCCCTTCCCAAACTCCGTAGGTATCAAAGCTCAACTGCACATCATCAAACCCATACACTTCAACGCCGTCGACCAGAGCTGCGTGTCGCAGTAGTTGATGGCTTCTTATCCTTCGCCTTGGAACGTGATGTTTGTGCTCGAGTACTTCGCGAGCCACCTTTATCTTCTCCCTCTGCTCCATCCTCTTCCTCACTATTGCCCTCGGAGCCATCGTCACCCTCTTCTTCGTCCTCGTCATTTGCCCCAGTGTCGTCAGCCGAATCACCCTCGTCGGATGTCTTTCCTTGGCTTCCCGGGCCAATCTCAACCTGTAGACGGGTAGATCGCGTGCCTCTTGTAGAAGGACGGGCGCTTCGATTGGAATTGCGACCTCGGGATGGGGCAGGAGAAGATCGTGGCTCTGGCGCACCAAGGTCAGCACTTGGTTGAAGATTGTAGGCCGAGGAATTTGCTTCCACTTACCATCCGTATCTGCCACAGTGCTTCCTCGCCGTGATTCACCTGCGCGACTAGTGCGACTGGCGACAGGCGATAGGGAATCCTCCATAGCAAGTCGTCTTTCGAACATCATATCGCCGTACTCATCGTATGGAAGTTCAAATGGACAGTACATTTCGCTCGACCCGTCCTCCTCGTCATTCGCGTCTGTGATAACCGAATCCTCCTGCAAGACACTGTAGTCAGCGAACTAATTCTACCACGACGAGATGTCCAGTGTGACTTACCCGTTCGTCAAGAGCTTCCAGATTGTACAAAGACCCCAGCTTCTTCCAGATCCCCGGAATACGCATGTGTTCCGCAGTTGATGGTGCATAGCCTTGGCTCTTCAAATAGTCTGAGATTGCGAGCATTCGGAAGTGCTTGTGTAGGCCTGTGAAATCAGACGGTTAGTCGCGGTGTCTTCTCCAAAGAGGCGCAATTGAACTGACCAACTGGTTTCCATTTAATGATCGCCTTGAGTAGCGCAGTCTCCTGCTCGTCTGTCCATGGATCTGAGATCAAGTCGTAATCTGTGTCTGGCTTGCTGGCGGTGTCGCTTGACGGCGTGTCAGCGCTTGATTGCGCGGTATCATCCTGGGGGGTTGGTGAGTGTGCACGTTTGGTTTTCTTTCGTGGAGGCATTTTAGAAATAGTAGCTGTGCTGATTGCAGTTGAACAACAGTTGAACGAGCGGGCAAGTGGGAGGTTGAGCTTCAGCAGGGCGACTTTCTGTTATCGGGCCCGTGCACGCCGATAGCCATCTCCGTCGCGGGACCAAGTTGCACGCGTCAATCAACGAGCATGGTCTCACCATGGACCAATATGACTATGACCTGGATCCCTTCTCCAGTGAAAGTCTTTGGAGACTGTCAAAGTTCAGCATAGAAGCTCTACAGCCATTGGAGTCTCTACCATGGAATGCTTCACTGTCTGGTTAGTGTTATCCGCAAGCTCCCAGACCTTTGCTAATGCTCTTTTTCTCAACTAGAGGATCCTTCATCTTGCTTCAAAATACCAACCCAATTTACAGACAAGGTAGATCCTGTATGGAAGCTGGATCTCTTTCCCAGTGGCTTGGGGCCCCCCGATTCTACTGCCGGGTCTAGCATCGACCTATCCATAGATGGCTCATCTGATACGTCTGGCGATCCATTGAAGGAACCATCAAGCGAAGAGGACGATATTTGGTCACCAGAATTGCTCCAAGAAGATACTGCTCAACACCTACCCCAAAAGTCATGGGAGAGGTACCACGACCGACCATTTCAAGAACCAATATCAGCCTACGTGAGCGAATCTGGCGCTCAAGGATTTGACGCCGTATTGGCACACCAAAAATCCACAAGAGGACAATCTGCACCACGGGTAGTGCGAACAGATGTGTTCTTGCGATCACTGCTTCGCCTGGGACTTGGATGGAGCTCTGCCTTTTTCCGTTGGGATGGATCCAACAGTCGTTTCAATAGAGAGATCAATGACTTCTCCGTCTCCGGCATCAGCTCATTAGCCTTGGAAAATGTCATTGAATACGTTCTCAGCATTGGTACTAATGTGCAGCGCATGCGAACATTTGCACAGGATCCACCCGCCAAGTGCAAGGACTTGCCCGCTCTTTACACTTTGAGCGGAACGACTGCGGCTATAATATTCACACTCGAGCAACAAATCTCTGAGAATTCCAAAAGTATTGTGTCGCTCCTCCAAATTAAGGCCCTATTCCACCGATGTGGTGACATGGTGGGCGCCCTTGCTGCTATTGTTAGTGCGGCCCAAAAAGGCATTTCCGATGCGCAAGTCATCTCTACCATCATGGAACGCGCTGCATTCTTCACTCAAAAATTCGATTGGATGGAGAACCTTGTGCATGAGATTGTCATTCGAGTAACCCGACCTTGGTTTCAGTTTGTCGAGAACTGGGTCGGACTTCGATCAGAAGAGACGGCGCTCGACCAAGTACTAGCAGGTGGTAGATCCTTTGTTCGGATAGAGATTGGGGAGCCTGGCAAATTCAAGACTGGACCTGCACGGGTTGACCACATATACCAGGCAGAACACATGCCATCTTTCATCCCAGCCGACCAAGCCCGCTCTATATTCGAAAGTGGATGCAGTCTTCAATTGCTCAAACAATCTCATCCTGATCATCCTATTGCGAGACGCGATGTACTCTCTCGGATGGGTGGTATTCAGCTGCATTGTGCTACTACTTGGGCCGACATTGAGAAAATACAAACAAAAGCCCAAGAGTATGAAGCGAGTCTTCGCGCCGAGATTGAAAGATATCATCGCGGTCATTCTACTGAAACTCATCCCACGAGTGAGGACACTTGTCCTGACAGAGTTGACATCGGGAAAACCTTTGAGCTTTTTGATATCGACGGAGAAAATACTGCCAAGGGACCGATTAATAACCAAATGACTCTTTCAAAGGATGCCTTTCACCAACTGATTAGAAGAGCACGCAAAATCGAACCTGACCGCAATGATCAAACAGATCCGCTCGGTCCTGAATTGACATCCGGTCTCCACTTGTCCATTGCGCCAATCCTTGCATCTCAAGCCCTACTCATTGATTACTCCTGCCTCCATCATCTCTTTAAGGAACACAAAGTTCGTCACCACCTGAGTATGCAGTGGCGGTTTCAGCTGCTTGGAGAGGGGTCATTTGTATCCCGTCTTTCCAACTCCCTCTTCGACCCAGATATGGAGAGTGGAGAGAGGAGAGCGGGAAAGATTCGCAGTGGCGTGGACACTGGTTTGCGACTCGGGAGCCGCGATACCTGGCCCCCTGCTAGCTCAGAATTGCGTTTGGTCTTGATCGGCCTGCTGGGCGATTGCTATTTCGGAAGAGGCGATACCGATGATTCCGAAAAAGCTCCAATACTAAAAGATAATGAGCTACCTGGTGGCCTCAACTTCGGCATTCGAGAATTGTCAGATGAAGAAATTGACCGGTGCAGAAACCCCAATGCAATAGAAGCATTGGACTTCCTTCGTTTGCAGTACACGCCACCCAGAGTTCTCGAGTCCATAATCACCGCTCGTTCTTTAAGCAAGTACGACCAGTTATTCAAACACTTACTCCGGCTACTGCGAATGGTTTCTGCGGTCAAAGGTCTCGTCCGCGATTCAACTTCTCGAGGATCTCTGTCAGGAGACACGCGAAATGTGTTTCAAAAGTTCAGAGTGGATGCGCAACACTTTGTATTGGCATTCAGTGACTATTGTTTCCATATTGGAATTGGATCAATCTGGCAACGTTTTCAGGAAACACTGGCCAAGATCGAACGCTGCATCAACCGTGGTGACATTGACGGTACGATTGAAGCGGCCCACTCGGTACCTCGACTCCGCGACTACCACGAAGATATCCTCGATCAAATGCTGTTTGCGTTTTTCCTCAGCAAGCGCCATGCACAGGCTGCTAAATTGCTTGAGTCCATCTTCGGTACCATCCTCGCCTTTGGGCCTTTGTCAAGTGCAGATGGCAAAGGATATCGCTGTGAGAGCGAAGGAGCGGTTCTCCATCTGTATCAGAATTTCAGAAAGCAAACCTCTGCTTTTGTCGGCTATCTACGCGGCATGCAATCTGGAAAGGCGACGTCGAAATCGATGGCCAAGTCCGGGACATTCTTCTCTTCGAGGGTGGATCCCACAAGTGTCTTTGAGCATTTGCGGGTGAGGTTAGATATGAAAGAGTACTATTGATCGATATTCCAATCGTTGTTATGTACACGTGTCGGGGTTGGTACATGTATATCCCATATCTCCCTTGTATGCGAATTTTGTCATCTTGTTTGTCTCAACCGAAGCAATTGCCAATGATTAATGAATAATGAAAGCGTAACCAACATCTCGGACGGATATATCCTGTTTACCAGATTCTATTTCACTTGGCATGGTAGTGGACACTAAAGTTCTAAAGTTGCTGCTCTCCTTCAAAGTTGTAGGTGAACCTCGTCCCACAGCAGTTCTTTATGCTTCTCTATGTTTTCAAAGCAACACAACATTGTTGAATATTTCATCCATCAATAGGCAAGACATCTATCCCGCAGTCCCAATTATGTAACTCGCTAATATACACCAGACCTTTTAACTATTCTAGAAGAAGTGAAGATCCGACTCATTCCAACCTTGAGCCAGCAGTATTGCGCGCGCAGATTTCTCCATAGCGCCAGGTCCACAAACCAAAACCATACTCTGCTCCTCCGGAGCCGCATACTCTGCAAGAGACTGTTCGGAAATCCGACCTCGTCGACCAGTCCAAGTATCTGATCCCTTGGTCAACGTATGCACGACATTGCATTTCTCCTTGTCCAGAGCCACATAAGCATCAAGATCAGAGCGACACAAGATATCCTCTTCCTGCCTGTTTCCATAAAGGACAGTGCATGTGGTTGGATCTTGCGTGTCCTGCATAACAGCTCTCAGAACCTGGAACACCGGAGTGATGCCCGTTCCTCCACATATCATCTTGAATGAGCGAAGCTGGCGCTCTTTTCCACTGATTGAGACTCGCCCGTTGCCAAGATATTCAAATCGCCCAGTTGGGCCTTTGCAGTCGATCGCCGAGCCCAGTGGAAGTTTGTCGAGGGCCAAGGTCATTCTGCCTCCTGGTATGGAATCGCCTGGGAAATAGATCTTGACGAGTAACTCCATCTTTCCTATCAGATTCGTGTCTGACATCGGGGTGTATGATCTGATCACTGCTTCGCCATTGATTGGGTCTTGGACCTTGATCATTAAATGTTGGCCGATTGGTAGGCCAAGTGTTTGTTTCTCATGCTCCAGATCGAAAACAAATATTCTTGTGTCCCATGAAACATTCTTTTTCTCTGTGAGGGTTGCCTTTGTCCATTCTCGCGACTGGAGGAAGACCTCCCGCGGCTCATCTGAAATCGAGGACGACTTGTCGTTCAATGCTTTCAGGGATGCCTGGTCCAATGTACCAATGTGATAATCGGGCATCATCTTCTTAGCAGTCTCACTGTCTAAGATAAAGTCAGCAACGGTATTACTTGAGCCCTGGGGCTTTGATACTTACGGATTGCAAGGAAATCTTCCGACACATCCAACCCGGCAGAAGATGTGATACTGATCGCACCGCCAGGGTGGCCCTCGAGGAATCCTGTGCCATCGTACACCTCGCCATTGACCACAAACCAAGGGTTCTCATTGCTACTGTTGGCCTTGAGCTCCTGCAGATCGATCTGCCGGTTGACACCATCTTTTTTCATGTTGATGTCAATCACGGGCTCAGGCGCAACAGGTTCTTCGCCTTCCATCCTCTCACCCCAGGTGCCATTGAGCAAATCTCCGCCATTCTTCTTCACTCTTTCCATCCATCCACCGGCCTTGGATGGATGGGTGGGATGCTCGAACTTGAGGGTATTTCCCTCTTTCGTGATCGTGACACGGAACCAGGGGTTGTTCATCATTCCCAGGACAGACCAGTACATGTCTCGCGGCTGAGCGCTTAATGCATCATCAACTGCCCTGACGAGAATCGCATCGCTGGCCTCTAGGTCCGATACCGGGATATCAAGCGACCAAAATGACCAGCAGAAGCAGGATTCCCTCCACCACATATCCACTTTGCCGCCAAAAAGGTCACCTTCGAAGTCACGGTATTTGTCTTCTGCATATTCGATATCTGAAAGACGCCATGCTGAACGAGCAGAAAGTTAGCCGAGGCACGAAATCTGGAAAAGAGGTGCTCACATTTGCCTCTATCCAAAGAGATTTCAACCTTGGTTATTCTCCGCCCACCACCGGCGTAAGCATATCCCTTGACTGTGTAACTTGGCCCGGCAGTTGTCAAGTCAAGCACTTCCTCATGCTGGGGATGCGCCACCGCCGAGTTGACATTGAGTTCATAGATCGCATACCGCTCATCAGTCCACCACTTGCGATCCTGTGCCGACATTTCCGGTGTCACCATTGTCCTGATTCAGTAAGCATGTGTTACAACAAGGAAATGATAGACCCACGGTAGCACCCGGTTATCATTGATATGATACCAATTGTCACTTGGCTCATCAGTCAAAATCAACTTCTTCAACCATTTCACGCTCCGCCCTCCAATTTGGCCGGGGACCACTGCTCGCAGTGGACGACCATGGTCTGGACGAAGATCCTCGCCATTCATCTTATGAGCGAGCATGATTCCTCGATGCGGATCCATGGCCCAATTCAACTTGACTGACGTTCCGTAAAATCCGTTCGGCTGTGACATGTCAGTCATGTCTTTGTCTCCTCTTTTGTCTTTTGTTCCTCTTACCAGCTTATCAGCACCTTCCATGCAAAGATATTTTGCTCGACGAAGTGGCTTCGCGCTGCGCAAGATGTCTGCCATCATGGGGCCGGTGAAGAGAGCCGTCGATAACCCTGCGGGACCCCATGAGAACCCTTTTGATTTCCGAACGGTATTCTGTTCCTTTCGTCTGTTGCCAGCACAGACGAGTGTAATCGGGGCGGTTATTTGGTCGTACTTCTGAAGGATTTCTCGGAAATTAAGAACTAATGGTTTTTCAACCAGTCTGCATGATCGTCAGGCTTGTGATTTTCAGAGAGATAATTGCTCGACTCACCCTTCTATGCTGATCTCCCAGTTAGGAATATCTTCATCAAAGACCTGTGGTACTGGTCCATGGTTTCGAACATAAAACAATTCCGGAGAGGTCAAGAAGCCTAGCAGTGCAATCTGTTCAGCTTGGATCGGTATGCTGGGGAAGGTAGCTTACCTTCGTCATAGAGTGCTGTCAACGGAGGCTCTACATTGAATGGATGAACACCGGTCAAACGAATCAATCGTGGATCTCGAGGAACATGGCTATCTGGGGTGATCTTGTCGACGTCTAGAATTTCGGAGGGCTTTGTTGATGGTGGCGGCAAAGGCAGATCTGGCTCTGCCGGACTCGGGATGATATCTTCTATAGTGATTTCGCCATTCTTGAAGGGCAATATTTCGGCCACTTGGGCTTGTGTAGTAAACGTAGTAGTCATTTTGATGTGAGTATAGACCAGTGACGAACCAAGAACTAGAATGAAGCCTGAAATTTAATAGTGTACTGATATTAGTTCGGAATGGAGTTGCCGGGTATTCCCCTAGGGTTCATTCAGGGTGGCCCTTCTCCGCGGACTAACGTCAGATCATAATATCACAATACCACAATATAGTTCACCCTCTCAATAATGTGAATCTAAGCCGCATAATCCCGCAAAGCCAAGCAATGTTATCTCGATAAGAACATTAGTGATCGACCAATCAGAAGCACGGCATATCAACCACCCTCCGCGGAGATGCAGGCAGATCGCCCCTTCCTGTTTCCTCCGGTTATCACCGTTTTTTGACTCGGTGACACAAGCATCGTATCACTCGACTTAGTCCACACATAGTATTACATATGATTACATAGTAACACTGAGTATCACTTAGTATCACTTAGTATCACTTAGTATCACTTAGTATCACTTATTACTATGTTTATCGTATGATTTGCCCTTGCTTTTGGAGACTATTAACTAGGGCCATCTGCCACGGTTTTGTCTTAGTAGAATTCCTTAATTTTGTTTGACACTCTTCAGCTATGCCCATGCTAAACGGGCAGGATGGGCCAGCCAATGGCTCAAATCCCTCAGATTCTGGTCGTCAAAAGATTGTAGTGGTTGGCTTGGGAATGGTGGCCATCTCCCTGATGTAAGGATGCATTTTTGACAAATATCGAGGACCCCACTGACGATTATCAGCGAGAAAATAATCAAACAGGACACAGACCAGAAATACGACATACTGGTCATCGGCGAGGAATCCCACGTAGCATACAATCGGGTCGGACTATCCTCATTTTTCGAACATCGCAAAATTGAGGATCTATACCTCAATCCAACAGAATGGGTATGTTTCACGGTCTCATTCTAATATTAGGGTCAAATCTAACATTAACTTGGGTTAGTACGATTCATTCAAGGAACGAGCCTTCGATCATCATCTCAACACCCGAGTCACCTCAATCGACCCAACCGTCAAAACCGTTCAAACCTCAACCGGCGACACAATAGCCTATGACATTCTCGTGCTCGCAACGGGCTCAGATGCAACCCTCCCAGTCCAGACCTCCGGCTACAACGCCCAGGGAGTCTTTGTATACCGCACAATCTCAGATTTGGAACGTCTCATCGACTATGCAGCAAAGCATAAAGGCCAAACGGCCGTCGCAGTCGGTGGTGGGCTGCTAGGCCTTGAAGCCGCCAAGGCGATGACTGATCTGGAAGACTTTGGGAAAGTCAAATTGATCGACCGGAATAAATGGGTGCTAGCCCGCCAGTTGGATGCTGATGCGGGAACGCTGGTGACTCGCAAGATCCGTGAATTAGGGCTTGAGGTTCTCCACCAGAAGCAGATAAAGACCGTTAACACAGATGGTGATAATAACGTTGTTGGTATCACCTTTGAGGATGGAGAATCTATTGATTGCTGCTGCATCTGCTTTGCGGTATGTATGACCATGGTCACTCGAATCATCTTGTTGGTCAAAGATATTGACTATTGCCAGATCGGAGTTCAACCTCGGGACGAGTTGGGTCGGGAAATTGGAATCCTGTGTGGTGACCGTGGAGGCTTCGTGATTGATGAGAGGTAAGTCTCCAATGAAATGTTATATAGCCCCTTGTCTAACATGCATAGTCTGCAAACCTCAATTCCAGACATTTACGCCGTTGGAGAATGTGCAAGCTGGAAAAACCAAACATTCGGCATCATTGCCCCTGGCATTGAAATGGCAGATGTGTTGGCCTTCAATCTCACCAACCCACAAAAGCCACAACGGGTCTTCACACGACCAGATCTAAGTACCAAGCTGAAATTACTTGGAGTCGATGTTGCAAGTTTTGGTGACTTCTTTGCCGACAGAGACGGCCCAAAATTCCTTCCTGGCCGTCGCCCTGCTACCGCGCCTGATTCGGAATCCAACCTAGAAGAGGAGTCCCCGGTTAAAGCCTTGACATATAAGGATCCCTTCTCCGGAGTATACAAGAAGTACCTATTCACCATGGATGGGAAATACTTGCTTGGCGGTATGATGATCGGTGATACCAAGGATTATCTCAAGCTTAATCAGATGGTGAAACTTCAAAAAGAGCTCGAAGTTCCTCCAAGCCAGTTTATTCTTGGTGCTCAGAATGGCGGAGAAGAAAATGCGGACGACCTGTGAGTAGTGTCTTGGATGTAGACTTTTGCCAGCGCGCTAACCCATCCCTATAGTGACGATAGCACGCAAATTTGTTCATGCCACAACGTCACCAAAGGCGACGTCGTCGAGAATGTGAAAAACGGCACTTGCAAGTCTATTGCCGAAGTCAAGTCATGCACAAAAGCCGGTGCAGGATGTGGTGGGTGCATGCCTCTGGTGCAATCCATTTTCAACAAGACCATGCTAGACATGGGACAAGAAGTGTCCAATAACCGTATGTCAAGTTATCCTTGCATCGCCGGATCTATGCTCACTAATAACCATAGTTTGCTCGCACATCCCCTACTCACGCGCCGATTTGTACAACATCGTTGCCATCAAGCAGTTGAAGACCTTCACTGAAGTCATGAAGGGCGCTGGCAAGAACCCGGATTCTCTTGGATGCGAACTGTGCAAGCCGGCAATTGGATCAATCTTGTCTAGTCTTTTCAACCCACATGTCATGGACAAGGGTTATAATGACTTGCAAGACACAAATGACAAATTCCTTGCGAACATTCAACGAAACGGTACCTTTTCAGTGGTGCCTCGAATCCCAGGTGGAGAAATCACAGCCGACAAGCTTATTGCTATTGGATCTGTGGCAAAGAAGTATGGTCTTTATTGCAAGATCACAGGTGCACAGCGTATCGACATGTTCGGCGCGAAAAAGCAGGATCTCCTCAATATCTGGACTGAGCTTGTAGATGCCGGTATGGAGAGTGGACATGCCTACGCAAAGGCACTCAGAGCAATCAAGGTATGTCCAAGACAGAGAATACTAAACAAGTTCTAGCTGACTCAAGATTTGCAGAGTTGTGTTGGAACTACGTGGTGTCGCTTTGGTGTCGGAGACAGTGTTGGCATGGCAATTCGCCTGGAAGAGCGATATAAGAGCATTCGTGCGCCACACAAGTTCAAGGGAGCAGTGTCTGGCTGCGTACGTGAATGTGCCGAGGCACAGAACAAAGAGTGAGTGCACCCTAGAGCACATACGAGTATCTGATCGCTGATTCCCATTAGCTTCGGACTTATCGCCACCGACAAAGGGTACAATATATTCGTTGGAGGCAACGGTGGTGCAAAGCCAAGACACTCCGAGCTGCTGGTGACCGACGTTCCGGCGGAGATGGTGATGCCCATTATCGACCGTTACTTGATCTTCTATATTCGAACCGCCGACAAGCTCCAGCGAACGGCACGATGGATTGAGAATCTCCCAGGCGGCATCCACTACCTTAAAGAAGTGATTGTTGACGACAAGCTCGGAATCTGCGCTGACATGGAACGGCAAATGCACGAGCTAGTCGACAGTTACTTTTGCGAGTGGACGGAGACAATCAAAGATCCGAATCGCCGCAAGGTCTTCCAGCAATTCGCCAATACAGATGAAACCGTCGAAAACGTCGAAGTTGTACAAGAACGTTCCCAACAGCGCCCAACATACTGGCCGAAAGACTCAACGACCCAGGAAGACTTCAAGGGCCATCAGTGGTCCAGCGTATCCTGGCAGCCCGTTATCAAAGCCGACCATTTCTCCGATGAACAACCACAGGTATCATCGGCGAACGTCAAACGGGGCGATACCCAGCTTGCTGTCTTCAAGATCAAGGGCAAGTTCTATGCAACCCAGCAGATGTGCCCGCATAAGCGAGCATTTGTTCTCTCTGATGGCCTGGTTGGTGATGACGATGCTGGAAAATACTGGGTGTCTTGCCCTTATCATAAACGCAATTTCGACCTCAACGGCGAGCAGGCGGGACGGTGCTCGAATGATGAGAGCATGAACATCGCCACCTTCCCCGTTGAAGAGCGGGATGATGGATGGGTTTATCTCAAACTCCCGCCAGTAGAAGAATTGGATTCTGTTCTAGGAACAGAGAAGTGGAAAGTGCGGAAGGGAGAGACCGAGGACCCGTTCCATAAAGTCGACAAGAAGTTTAAGGGGATGAGAGGAAAGAAGGTCCTTGACGGATTCTTGACCAAGGCGCCAGCTGTGCAGCCGGCCAAAACAATCGATTGGTAGTAATAAATGTGCATGGGCAGGAAGCATCGGGCGTATATTTAACGAATTATAGATGAATGTGACTTTTTCTTTTTGCAATTGTTTCAGTTCTCTGGTCCTTCAGAGGGATGTGGTGGATTCACTTCGTCCAGCGGAGGCCACCAGTGTGACCACATACCCTGTTCGTGGGCATACGCATTGACCTCACTGAGTAAATTATTGAGAGGCATGTCCAAATCCAATATGTCGGATCCACTAGTAGCGACGGGGGCGGGATCGCGAAGTGATGGCAGTGCCGCTGCTCTTTCAGCACCTTCAATCTCCTGGAGATGTTGATCAGACCTATCAGGCACACGGAATTCATGCAGAGACTGATGCAGAATATTAAAATCTGTCCTTGTTCTCCCTTGATAGCGAGAATTGTCAGAAGCGGCTCGTTCATATAAGATTGATGCATGGTTCATGGTCGTGATCTATTCAATCCCAGTTAGTCAACATGAATTCAAAGCTAGTCTCGTGAATGGACTTAGGCTCAGATGGATACATACCCAGCTCTCGCCCAACTTCCACACATTTTTGAATCTTTCCAGATAGGCGAGACAATAATTTAAGTTTCTTTGCGCATTTGAACTTCGACCGAGGTTCATCTGTGGAAAATGAAAAATATAAAGATTCATGTATGCCGCGGAGAAGGCACAAAATGCCACAAACGGAGTTAACATTTCGGCGCCACATTCAGATGCGTCGTGTAACAGCTTGGCAATCTTTTCGGCTGTTCCAAACAACACCAAGGCGCTGTTATCCCACCAGCCTTCTGGTGCCTCGGCCTCAAGAGTCGGCTGGTCGATTGGGCCACGAGGAACAGAGCCAGCGTTGGGCAGAAAAGGAAAATATTCACGGTGAAGCATTAAAGTACTGTTGGGTTCCGCAGTTAGATAAAATTGCTCAAAATCAGATGTCTGGCCCAACACATACGATGTATAGTAAAGCAAATTAATGTATGTGAAGGACTCTCCCCAGCCCAGGGTCGTATGTGTTACAACACTGTTTTCTGGATAATGGAGTCGATGGTGTTGTGTAGCCCTCCATTCTTCGAGACGAAGGTGGGTTTTCGACCAAGGTGACCCGGGAGCCCAAGGACAGTTTTGAGGAGCACACATTCCCGGCGCGCGTCGCCCGTCGTTGAATATGAATGTCATGATGTGAGCCCATATGTCAAAGCCATAAACCAGAACCTTGAAAGATTGCGTGATGTCAAGAGGTGCAGTCTGTCCATCCTGCGCGGTCACTAGCTTAGAGTCTAGCCCCGTGCGCTCAGAGGAAAGATCAGGACCGAAGACAAAGTCCACGGCACTCAGCGGGGTGGAAACCTTGAGCTTTTCCATCTCTGACATGGGAAGCATGGGTGGGTTGTAAGTCCCCGAACTGACCATTCGGTCCATGATGAAGCAGGCCCAAAAAGTCCTGTTTTCGATTGCAACCGAGACTGCATCCCTTAAGTAAGGTGGAGTGGGATCCAGGGGATATGGGGAGACCCTGGAGCTATTGAGTGCTTGAATGATCCGTATTGCGATTCCTGGAGAGCTTAGCATTGAGGTCATTGGATGAGTGGGGACTCGATTTACCACAATAAATCCACGCTCGGTGAAATTCCCGGATGCCCCATTCGTAAAGTCCCATTACTAGAGATGCTTGAGCCACCTGGAGTCGGGGAGCTTTGAAAGACCACTCTGACAGCATCTCTCGGGCGTAGGCAGCATAATGCTCCCTGGGTAGCAAGTACTTCTGCCAGGGGAGGCTGAGGAGGGAGAATTGGACCCTGACTGAAGCTAATATAGCAGCTAGTAGTATCTTGCTTTCGGGCGGACAAATCGCCTGGAATTCCTCTAGAATGACCGAGTGATTGAGTATCGCGAATTCCGGGTATTTCCCGGAGAACCAGTTGAGAGATTTCAAGATCACTTCTGTAGACAAGGTCGCCAGATGTCGGTCGACGGAATCCTTATCAAGGATTGATTGTGATGTATCAGGCTGAACTGTAGCCCCAGGCGTGTCCGGACATGATCTTGCACGATCATTGAGTGGGGCATAAGCCTGCCGGGGTTCGTAGGGCTGACTCCTACGGGAAGCATGAGACTTGGATTTCTGTGGCGTTTTATTTGGTCTGCTCAGGGAGCAACCATCGAGATCTGACTTCTGACATCTTTGGCAAGGCGCAACCCCGGCATGGACGCACTTCACTTTAGATCTCCTGATTTGATGAGTCGGTGTATCAATCGTCCCCGCAATTGGTGCTCACCGGCATGATTCACAAGAGATACTTGACCGCATGTCAAGTCTATGTATCGGAACTCGTCGGGAATCAGGATCTGAAAGCCGAGAGATGCTGGAATCGGTTTGTCACTGGGTCACGTGACATCGAAAAATCGGACCAATGGCATGTGTGTATCATAAAATTCTTTCGCCAACCGAGAAAATCCACCTATATTCTTTTCGACTTTACTCAGTATTTTCGTCTACTTGTATCATGAAACCTCAGAAATTTTGAATAGGATATGTGGATCCATGCAACGGCACCTGGGAGTTGTTGTACATAATGAAAGTCACAAAGAAGCGCTTAGTGGTTTGGCTGTTGCCCAGGTGCCCAGGCGGGCTTAGGCAAGATCTTTGATAACTTTAGTGACCAACGAAATATCTTGAAGTGGGGCAGCGCGCTCCTCTCAATTGACCGCCTCACGCCCTTCACGACGCCTTTTCCGAAAGCCGACCTTCGGCAGTTTGCTAGATGCCACGGAGGACGCTGTACTTCGCACTTCTAGTCGACTTACCCCGGTGCTATAACAGCGCAGTGATATTTCTTCTTCTCGGAACCAAGCTATAAGGATACCAATACTAGATTGTCTGTATTTTTCTCTCACTGCACATATAATTTCGTGTTCGTCGGTTTTGCAATTTTCCAATATAGAGCACTCGGATTAGAAGGCTCGGATTTGACTCATCTCTGAAAGCCCCATTTCCCACGAAATATTTTCCTTTAAAGACCAGACGGAGTAGAAACATTCTATTCAGTTGATTCAATTTTCTAATATCCACTCCAATTGACCCCTTTACCTTTATCCACAATGCCTTCTCTTGCAGCCTTCCCGAATGACACCGAGTTGGCTGAAAAGCGGAGACTCCTAAATGGAATTCAGGAAAGGAGAGAAAAGGCTGGAAAGCTTGTAGCTGGCGTAGCTGCAGGATGTGATGTTGACCAATTCAAGGCTCCGGTATGGATATCTGCCCTGGCTTGGTACTTGCATATGTTAACCGAACTGAAAGACATCTGACAAACCGAATGCCAAACGCTGGGATTGTAAGCGCTTTTCGCCAGTTTTCAGGGAGACTTTGGACCTCCATCGCTAATTCGTAATAACAGCTCACATCTCACCAGAGAGCCAGTCACGACCACCATGTATTCTGAAACAAGCTGCGAGTCACCTAAGCAATCCCGACATTGTATCGCTTGGCGGTGGTCTTCCCTCTAGCGAGTGCTTCCCGTTCTATGAATGGAGCTTCAAGGTACCCACGGCACAGCACTTTTTCAAAGATCAGGATGAGCTGGAAGATCCCACAGTCCAGACAGTGACTATTGGAAAGCACGACGTCAAAGCTGGCCTTTCCGAATACGACCTTTCCATTGCCTTGAACTATGGACAGGCCAGTGGATCACCTCAAATAATGCGTTTTATCACGGAGCACACAGAACTTGTTTACAACCCACCTTACGCCGACTGGAAAGTCGCCCCAACTGTGGGAAGCACAGGTGCCCTTGAGCAAACCATTCGTCTGCTTTTCGATCGCTCTCGAGGCGACTCAGTCCTCGCTGAGGAATACAGCTTTTCGACGGCACTGGAAACCTTTGTTCCTCAAGGGATCAAGCCATTCGGTGTCAAGATGGATGATGAGGGTCTGATTCCAGAAAGCATGGATGCCATGCTGACTTCGTGGGATGAGAAGTCACGCGGAGCCCGCAAGCCCCACGTTCTCTATACCATCCCTTCCGGTCAGAACCCGACCGGCGCAACTCAAAGTCTGCAGCGACGTCGCGCCATTTATAGCGTATGCCAAAAGCACGACATCTTCATCATCGAAGATGAACCATACTATTTCATCCAGATGCCTCCGTATCAGGGCAACGAGTCTGACAGCGTCCAAGCGTCCGAAGATGTCGAGTCTTTCCTGGCCGGTCTCGTCCCATCATACCTCAGCCTCGATATTGACGGGCGGGTTTTGCGTATGGATTCGTTCTCCAAAGTCCTTGTGCCGGGTTCGAGATTGGGATGGGTCACGGCGAGCGCGCAGATCATTGAGCGATTCCTTCGTCATGCCGAAGTCGCCAATCAAGGGCCGAATGGAATGTCCCAGATCATGCTTTGGAAATTGCTTGATCAGACTTGGGGCCACGAGGGATATCTGAAGTGGCTGATTGCTCTGAAGAACGCTTACACCCAGAAGAGAAACATGCTCCTAGCGGCTTGCGACAAGTTCCTTCCTAAATCTGTTGTCAGCTGGACTCCGCCGACGACAGGCATGTTCGTAAGTTTTTGACAATTCCTAGTGGAATTGGGCCCTGATAGCCCATCTCCGTTTTTTTGCTTGCAATTGTTGCTAACTTGGAATGATAGCTCTGGCTGAAGTGTGACCCTCTGCAGCACCCAGAGTACCCAGCCCGTCCCATCGAAGAGATCGAGGGCGAAATCTTCGACCAAGCCATCAAGACGGGTGTGCTTTGCGCTCGTGGCACTTGGTTCCGTGCTGAGCCGGATACGCCCGCAGATGGAATGTTCTTCCGCGCAACCTATGCAAGTGCTACTGCGGAAGCCATGGGGACTGCCATTGAGCGATTTGGCGAAGCAATCCGTCGGTCATACCAGATTGAGTGAATTTTGGTTCGACCTTGGAACTGCAGCGAAAATAATGATACTCCTAGATTAGATCACGATACAATGGTCATATAGACTGAGCCGGACTCCAATGAATTTCCGATTGATACACCGTACAATGGACTGATTCTGAGTATCCAGGCATCAAGGCAGAGATGCAAGTGGATCTCCAGAGGATTAAATATCTCCGCGGAGACATTGGATCGACGTCCACTTGCGAATTTCTCAAGTTGGCGGGTTCAAACAGACCCGCTGGGCTGAGGTCCACGGGTCTCTATCTATCACTCCCGCATCCAATGAGAGAGCCCCCGTTTATCACCAGAACCCTGGAGCAGAGACCCCCGGTATTTCCTTTTTTTATAATTTTATGTGTTGCGTTAAACTATATCTAGACCGTTGGCACCTCCGCGGAGTTACAGCTTTGAAATTCCTCGTGCCTTAGGATCTTGGCTCCAAGCTTTATACATAGACCACACGACAGGCCACTATTGGTCCAGACCTATCTCGATACACACCTTATCGGTTGTCACAATTATACTTCTCATCTCGGGAGTCTTAGGGTGGAATCATATCTGGGGCAAATACATACCTCAGGGATCATCGGTTATTCAACCTTGATTAAGATTCTCTCGTCGAATCAGCAATCCGGGATATACTGCAAAAATGACCACCACGCTCGACCAGACGACATTCTGATCTGACAAGCAGCAGATAGCTGAAGCTGATTGCTCCTGTGTGTGTCATAATGAGAAGTCTCTGGGATCCTGGGCACTGGGCATACTCCTGGGCATCGATATATCTAGTGAACATATGAAGAGCAACTGGATATAATATTTGAAACGATATATCCATCTTTCCATTCAAATCAAAGTCGATTATCTTTGAAAATCTAAAGGCCTACATCAAATTATCTGAGCCAAATACATTGTTTCCGAGGTCATCATCGCTTGATACTCTACCTCCATCGCCAGACCCTTCAAGTCAATCGAAATGGTGATGGCTTTCATTAAAACCCTCTTTGCATCGCCAGAAATAAACCCCAGTAACCGCAAAGCCAAGTCAATCCCGGTCTTCAACCCCTTTGATCAATATGGACGTGTGTTCTTCTTTTCATGGCTCGGTTTCATGGTAGCCTTTCTATCATGGTATGCTTTTCCACCACTGGTAAGTTACTCTTCTACTCTTCTACTCGGTAAAACTTGTATGATCTTTCTGACCCAATTCAGTTGACTGTAACTATCAAACAAGATTTACACATGACACAACAAGAGATCGCCAATTCCAACATTGTCGCACTACTGGCAACGTTACTGGTCCGGTTCATCGCCGGACCCCTTTGCGATCGGTATGGTCCAAGGTTGGTCTTTGTGGGACTTCTTCTCTGCGGAGCGATTCCCACGTCCATGGCTGGCCTGGTTACTACACCGAAAGGACTGATTGCACTGCGGTTCTTTGTGGGAATACTGGGAGGAACATTTGTTCCATGCCAGGTGTGGTGCACGGGATTTTTCGACAAGAAGATTGTCGGCACTGCCAACTCCCTCGCTGGAGGCTGGGGTAATGCAGGTGGCGGAATCACATAGTATGTCCTTTCTTCGTCACAGATATTACACACGCAAGTACTGATACTTCGACTAGCTTCCTCATGCCTGCCATCTACGACTCTCTCGTCCATTCCAGCGGCCTCAGCTCCCACAAGGCGTGGCGGGTCGCGTATGTCATTCCCTTCATCATCATCACCGCCGTCGCCCTGAGTATGCTCTTCCTCTGCGAAGACACACCAACAGGAAAATGGTCTGAACGACACCTTTGGGCCAAGGAGACCAAAGACAGCGCACCCACCAACGGCAACATAGTCGACCTGAACACTGGCACTTTCTCAAGTGGCATGACAACCCCATACAACGCCGCAACGACCGATATCGAAGAGAAGGGCGCCCAATCCCCTCAAATTCAGGACAAAGAAACATCGGTAATGGGCCAGATGGACTCGATCTTCAAACAAGAAGTAGTCGTCGCCCCAACACGAAAGGAAGCCCTGAATGTCGCTCTCAGTCTGTCAACAATGGCCGTAGCGATTCCCTATGCTTGCTCCTTTGGAGCTGAGTTGTCTATTAACTCTATCTTGGGCTCATATTATGAGAAAACCTTCCCGCACATGGGTCAGACAGAGACAGGTCAGTGGGCTGCCATGTTCGGACTTTTGAATGTCGTTTTCAGGCCTGCTGGTGGTTTCTTCGGTGATCTGGTTTACCGGTTGACAGACAGTGTCTGGTCGAAGAAGCTTCTTCTCACTTTTTTGGGGATTTCCATGGGCGCATTCCAGCTGGCTATTGGCTTGTCCAACCCGTCTACTCAGGCTTCCATGTTCGGCTTGGTTGCTGGACTGGCTTTCTTCCTTGAAGCGTGCAACGGAGTCAACTTTGCCGTGGTACCTCACGTGCATCCATTTGCCAATGGTATGTATCATTCCCAGTCTGTTCTTGAGTTGAAACAATACTAACGCATAACAGGCATTGTATCCGGTATTGTGGGCGGCTTCGGTAACCTTGGAGGTATCGTCTTTTCTATCATCTTCCGGTACAACGGGTCAGATTATGGAAAGTCCATGTGGATCATCGGTGCGATATCTTTGGCAGCCAACCTGGCTGTTTCCTGGATCCCGCCTGTCCCCAGCCAAAGGCGATCTTAATTTGGCTTTATTTAGCAATGTTTGTGTCGTGCGTTCTATGCGATTTTTCCCTTACTCGTTGTCCATGATATGACAGCTCTTCTATTCTATATAGATCTATGAAATGACTACCTCATTGTTGTACATGGTACCCACTTGCATTAACCAGGGTAAAAATCCTAGTTTCCAGTCATTTCATGATACCAATGACTTCAAGAGTTCCAGTAGTAACATTTCTTGGGAAGAGAATCAAGACTGTTCATAAGAAGGAGAAAACGCATTCGGGTGCCCTGCCTAGGTGCACCGGGGCCCAGGGCGGGGCGGGATCCTGCTGAGTCACAAGCTTAAAGCCCGCCCACCCCTAAAGTCTCAGGATACCCGTGGACTTCATCTTCACCACCTGCGCACAGCACTTCCGCCATATCTTTATCATATTCCAAACCACCAAGCCCACCCTTCATGCATATGGATATGTCATTGCACGAATCATGCTGGACATGCCGGAACAGACATGTTCAATGCGATCGGTCTCAAATGCCATGTGCGAAATGTCAGAAGGCTGGTCTTGAATGTCTAAAAAAATTGCCGTTTCGATGGGTCAAGGGTGTGGCCATTCGTGGCAACATGCAAGGCCATACCTATGAAAACAATTCAGCTGCCCCTGTGACAAAGCCGAAGCGCTTTCGATTCAAATCCTCGGGTGGGAAGGCCGCGGGTAGGCGCAGTGCCATCAGTATGATAACCCACAGCCCTATCCCCTCTCCCGGAAAAAGGGTTATTCACTCACTAAGTGCCATGCTGATTCTCTATGTTCCAGGTAGTTATGCCACTTTGCCTGTTACACTTGAGGATCCATCCTTCTCGAACCTCGATGGGCCCTCCAAGTTCTACTTGGACTATTGCAAGTAACACTGCTATCAGGAGGAGCCAGATTACTAACAAAAGTTTAAGACAATAAGCGACTTTGCGCTAATTTCGTTGTCTACGACAGCGACAAGAATCAGCTTCGAAAATTAATACCATTGGCACTGCAAAACCCCATACTGGGCAAAGTCATACTTGCTCTTGCCGCCCGCCACCTTGCTAACCATGGGCAAACATTCGGCTCTAATCTATCCGAAGCCTTGTTACTGCCTGAGACCATGAAATATGACCGTGATGCACTGCTCTTCAAACATCACGCAATAGCGGGCCTTTCCAACGCTCTTGGCGACCCGAAACAATGCTACAAGGATATCAATCTGGCCAGTGTCTTCTTACTCGTTTTGCTAGATCTTCTTGAATCAGGCGGGGAGGAATGGCAAGTTCATTTACATGGCGCCAAAAGCCTGATTACTTCGAGTTTCCGTCAGCCGCCACTTGATAATTCAGCCAAACAGGAGTCGACTCATGTAATACCAGACACCCGTGACTTTGTGATACAGCACATTGTTCTGTGAGTCAACTGACTTAGACATTCATTGGTCCCATGTCATGAACACGAAAGCTAAATGGAACTCTGTGCAGGATCGACACCCTGGGTTCCATATTTCCACGCCCAAAGTCACCATCCCAAGAGCTCACTCTGGGACAAACTGAAATGGCCCAGGATTCAATTGAATATTCATTCCTCGCATGTCCGGAATTACTGAGAAGTGCCATACGGTCTATATCTCGGGAAAGAGACAGCGTTGCGAGATGTGGAATATTTCAGGGTACGGATGTACAGGCCTATATCCAGGCTATTTTGGTTGTGGTCAAGCTCGCCGAAAACTTCGACTGCGTTAGCTGGGCTTCACGCCTCAAACAACCAAGACACACCCGCGAAGACACACACTTCCTGGCTGTTGTGGCCCAAGTGTATAAGATTGCTACTCTGCTCTATGGCAGAAGAGTTATATCCGCGCTGGAGAAGAAGACTATATCTCAAGACGAACTAATACTCGAGTTGCTAGGTTTGCTCAACAGTCTCAAAGACAGGCAGGAACTCTTGAAGTGTGTTCTCTGGCCTGTCTTCGTCGCAGGTTTGGAATGCCGGTCACCGGAACAGAAACAGTTCTTCATTTCTCGATTGGAGGAGTTTTGGATGACGACAAACTGCCTGAATGTGATCAATGCAGCAAAGATTCTGCAAGAATATTGGAGCCGGGACGATTGGGAAAGCATATGCTGGGCTTTTGATGTTGGTCGATTTGGCCAGGCATGGCTCCTGATTTAGCAAATTTGCCCCTTCTTGCTCTTTGGGTAGATGTGAAATAGGCAAACAGGTTCAAGTGCTGTTATCTAATCCACCATTCTTACAGCTAGGTATCCATAGTTAAGAACAGCGAATGTCGTATACGAGTATAACTGCATCAGACCCGGCAAAATTACCCAAAGGGGAAGTTGGACATAGTGGGTACAGTGGGGAGCAGCAAAGTAAAGTGGAACTCTTACCGTCGAATCGTAAGACTCAAATGTTCGTCCAAACGGGGCCAAGTAAAGACAAGAGGACGTTGGAATCGTTGGTGGATGGGTAAAACACACTTATGGAAGCCCTGGTCGCCCCGTCGGTGTGGCAATCTGATCACTTCCTTCATCAAAGGGCCATAGCCAGTTGAGTGACGAAAAAAGATGGTCTATATTCCCTGGCTCCACGACTTCTCTCCATTGTTGTCCATTTGGAATCAAATCATAATCGGGCATATTCAAGTCCTGTGGAATAATGTCGTCGCTAAGGATTCCAGGTACGTGCAGGTTGCTCTCGAGAAGCTGCAGCTGGGTGTCATTCATACCCAACGGGACAGACTGGGGCGACGCGTCCACCAAGGGGTGGGAGGTCTCTCGGCTGAGAGAGTCATCCAGTAGGACTTCATCATTAGTAGCGCTGATCGTATTACCATCATCGAACTTTCCGTTTCGTTTGCTCAGCCGTTCCAATTTCGCCCCTCGGAGGTCGCGGAAATCGAATTCTGCAGGGTCCTGTCCAATTAAAGGATGTTTTCTGCAGTGTACATTAGCAATAGCTAGATGTTTACTAGTACTCGTGTCAGGACGAACCTGCTGATAAGTGCGAGGTCGCTTGAGTCGAGGAGGTGCATGCAGTCGCAGTTTATGAGCCGGTGGATTGCTTCGAGGTACTAATATTGTTAGCTCAAGACTTCACAGTTAATAGGATCACACGAACCAAGTGTTTGGTGAATTTCGAACGGGCCGAGATCTCCCTGATCGCTTTTAGGCAATGAATAAGACCTTCTGTTAAAGATGGAGTATTAAAGTCGTTCGAAGCGCCCACACTAGCCAGCCGACGAGGCTCAAAAAGGAGAACTAAACGAGATTTTGGTAAGCAGAGAGCTTATACTTTGCTAGCTCAGAGTGATCATACTTTCAAGCGCAACATACGCTTGTATACCAATATGTGGATCGAATGTTATGTTCTCCTTGAGTCCTGTAGAGATCAAATCTGAAATAGCGAGAGCGCGAGAGATCCTATCACAGCGAACATGGTTTGTTAGATCAGTCTTGGTCGGATCTCGCGGATAGACAAGTAGTGCAGCTCTGCCAAGAATAATGAACAGATTGTGTCGCAAAACATGCAGCAGGATAAACATCGGTAGTCGGTCGCGATGGAGGAGTATATTGTCAGCATTGAAATGAAACCGACGCGGCAGGTCGGCATAGATAGCCTCCAAATCATCTTGTATCACTAACAATCCTGCAGAGAGATTTTCGACTGGATTTTCTTGGTATGAGGCGCGAAAGGCAAAGTGCAGGCCTCGGCGACGAGCAGCTGCGGTACGTAAAAGATAGGCCGACATGTCGAGGGATGCATGCGGAAGGCCACCACCTGCTCGCTGCGCCGTGATAGTTTCTTCTGGAATCAATGGTTCGGTGGTAGCGTTATCATCACCCAGGAAGCTCTCCTGGTCACAGGGTAGCTGGATGCGGTAGGCGCGTTCGTCAGTTGTCTGAGAGCCATAGCGCCCTCCGTCGGTCATTGAGTCGAGGTAGAACGTAGACCACGCGAGTCGACGTAGAGATTCCCGCGATAAAAGCGGGGACAAACGCTGGTTCGACGGAAAGCTTGCAGGATACACCTGATCGAAGATGTGCAAGGACATCATTTGCATCATGCTGCAGCGACTTAGCTACAGCTCGTCGGAATCACCAGGGGGCCACTCGGGAGAGGGGATCTTACCGTGTACAGCTGGCTCCTAGTAGCCATGCGGATGTAAAGTTCCCGCGATGCAAGTCATAGTGTTGCGCGAGGAGTCCCGTCTGGTCACATGTCGAAGTCAGCCTTCGCTAGTGAATCGGAATATAGCCAATTTTTGACCTACCATGAGTTGAACGACTCCAAAGCCTTGATAGATGCGCGGGAGCAGGGCGCTGATTGCTGCATCGGCCCAAGCATCTGCTCTGGCGAGGGTGTTGGTGGTGACTGGGGCGCCGAAGCTACAGGGCATCAATGATTGTTCCCAACGACAATGCAAAATGGCAGGCGGATTTACCGAGTAGCACTGGCAATCATCATTAGGACTAGCTCACGCGGAGCTTTCCCATTGACCAAAAGTCGTTGAAAATGGAGAGGGTGAATGAAGGCGAAGAAACCGAAATCTGGATCGCTCATTAACATAGTCCGTACCTTCCAGCGATCAAAATGAGAGACCTACGGTGAACCGATGAGAAGTATAATTGCACCAGATCATGAAGCTCTTCGCCTTCTGGAAGCTGGCCTAGCTGTGTATCCTGCGACGAGACTGCATTGGCTGGCGCAGAGCTGTCTGAGGGGGGTGAACCAGATCGTTGAGGCCTCACGCACTCAATGCCCCGTGTCCGACATCTCTCACATATTTCAGCTGCATGATCAATGCATCTCAGCTAGTATTGATGTAAGTGATGTAATTATATGGCTGCTTGATTTGGGACAGACCTTCTTGTCGCGACATCCTTCGCACGCCGTCGCGTTGGCTCTGCGAGAAGTCTTGGCGCGTTTCTGTTCCTCTTGAGGCCAAGTGCACATTCGGTTTCCCCGACTGCACTGGGTGCAGGATGGCTTATTTTCATCGCATTTCACCTGCGAAAGTCAGGCCGCGTCCATCAACCCTCGAACGCGAAATAAACACTGACCTTCCGATATCGGCATGTTCGACATCCCGTACGCGTGCGCTGGGTTCCTCTCGTCGATTCATTCTCAGACTTGCGCGTTGTGACAGATTTTAAGCCATGCATTTGGAGGTTGAAAGTTGGAAGGAAGAAAGATCGGGGAAATTGGGGAAAGCCTTAATGGACTTGTTGGGTATAGGGTGCTCCCCACTACATGTGAGCATAGTGGTCGCCGGCTTTTATGTAAATTGTTCGACGCATCACAAAGTCTAGGCTCTTGACGAGAGAATTTGTTACCAAGGAAGAGAGCAGCGGCATATGATGGTGTTGTTATATCGGGAGACGGGGAGGGGAATTCTCCTAGGCTGCTGAGCTACATAACAGGAAGCCTGAAATCATCTCATCTCTCGATAAATGCTGCTAAAATAACTTATTAACTAGCAATCTGGCCTAACTCCCCCACGAGCCTCCATCCAACACTTTTGCAGCGCCGTTTCATCCTCCCAAAGCTCTGGTGCTTCATCTTTGCCGAGCCCAGGGGTCGTAGCCCCTTCTCCCCAAACAATCCCGCACTCAATCACGTACTCATCCCAGCATTTCAGTAGCTCCTGGAGCTTCTCTGGCTCGTTCTGCGCTAAGTCATTGGTCTCCCCTGGATCCTGAATCACGTTGAACAACTCCCATCCATCATCTCCCTCTCCAGCACCCCCTTGCACCTTTGCAAAATGCACAATCTTCCAATCGCCCTTGCGCAGCGCCGCACAAGAATGAAGCTCCCATCCGATAGCCTCCGACGAAGAATGGATTGCCCAGGTTTCATTTCCTTCAATGGACTCTCCACGACTAAAGAAAGGCACCCACGACTTACCCCGAACAGCGTGCACATCTCTGCCTCGGAATTTGGTCATCGCTCGAATGCCATTAGTGGATGCCTGCGATAAAGATACACCAGCTAGATCAAGGAATGTAGGAACAAAGTCCATCACAGTTGTAAAGGATCTATTGAACGAGCCTGGGGGTAAGAGGGGGAAATCGCTTGCAGGAGGCTTGATTACGCAGGGGACTAGAATGCCTCCTTGAGATGGGAAGCCTTTGAAGAGCCTTGAGGGCGCGGTTGATGCCTGTGCCCATAGAGGACCGAGCCTAGTCGTACCTCACGGTCAGTCGTACTTCGATTAGAGCAAGCCAACGTAACGTACCATGTGTATGAGTTGTAGGCACCGATGTTCTCGTATGAATTGTCGTAGTATTTGTGGATCGCAGACTTTATTTCTGTTCCCAAGACAGCTGGACACGAGGTAAGTTACCGGCAGTTAATTGCTCCAAAGCGAGAAAGACGTACGGATAGCTTCCAATCTGATCGCGCTTATTAGTAAATGGACTTTACCAAGTTTGACAGCATTTACTGAGATATTACTTACGCAGCGCCTTCTGCCCCGTTGTCACTCATAAAAACAACGAAAGTGTTGTCGTACTCCCCTATCTTCTTCAGGTACTCGATAACTTTTCCGATATTCACATCGATAGAGTCGACCATGCCTGCGTATGTCTCCATCGCACGTGTTGAGAGCTTTCTTTCTTCTGGGGTGAGTGAATCCCATTCTCCAGCTCCTACTTTACCTGTCTCGACTTTGTGCGGTACGATATCTTCGTCGATGATGCCTTTTTCGACGAGGCTTTTCAATCGGCGCTCTCGTAGGGCATATGGGCCGTCATCATAAACTCCCTTGTACCTTTGCCGACAAATTAGCTGGGGAGTGCAGAACTCTGATATGAGGCAGACTCACTTATCACGCTGTGCGCGGGAGCACTGCAGAGGCCAGTGGGGTGCCGTGAAGGGGAGGAATGAGAAGAATGGCTTTGATTCCTCTTCCTCCGTTCGCTCCTCAAGGTACCTAATCAACCGATCTGTATAGTAGTCCGTCGAATAGAATCCTTCGGAGTCTTCGGTCTTGTTCGGCGTTCTGTGGTACAATATATCAGTCAGCATCAAAGGGATAGGGACAATCTGTCAATCCGCACTCACATGTCTACCTTTTGTCCCATCTCGGCATGAATAGGTCGGCCGCCAATGGGGAATTTCTCCTGGATTGGCTCCCATCCGTAATGGTTGCAGCATCCAGGGAGCATTGCAAATGCTTTCTGGAAGCCACGCTCCCATGGGCCTTGCGACGTTCGCATGCCTAGATGCCACTATAGTGAGGTCAACATCCAACTTATATCGAGGACAACAACCACACAGAATGCATACTTTGCCGGACATCACAGTAAAATATCCATTGTCCTCCAGTATCTCAGGTAAGGCAGCCACATCGCGATTCAGAAACCCCTCGTAGCCGGCTTTGCCTGACCACCGCTCGGCGCCCTTGGCATTTTGTTTGAATTCGATCAGAGTGCCTAGTCCACCAAGGTGTGCGTCTGTTCCGCTGAGTAGCATTGCTCGCGTCGGCGAGCAGGCGGCTGCGGCATGGTGGTTAAGCATGCGTGCGCCTTCCGCAGCGAGGCTGTCAATGTTGGGCGTTTGGATTTCGGATCCATAGCAGCCTATATCGGAAAATCCCTGTAAGAAGTCAGCAAGTGGAAGTTTGGATTGTCTTGAGCACGCTTACCAGATCATCTGCGAGAATGAACAAAAAGTTCGGTCGTTTCGGAGAGCTATCCATGCTCAACGTGATGGTATACTATACAGTGACCAGGACAAAAGATCTTGGGGGTCAAGAAATTTTCTCACTCCAGAAGAGACTTAGATGGAATGAAAGGGGTGTTATAACGACAGAGTGGACACTGAATTGCGAAAAACAATTTATAGGAGTCATTGGAGAAGTCGTTGGTAGACAAGAAGGAAAAACATTGAAATCCAGACCTCGCTCGGAGCGCATTATCCTCGCTCGGAAGACAGACAGCTCGCTCGGAAGTGTCCAAGAGAACTCCGAGCGAGGAGAGCCCGTGCAGTTGGCACTGGTTGGCTTCCTATTGCCCCAGGCTGTGGGGGGATTGTGCGATTGCCGCTAACACATTTAGTGTCCGTAGTGGATACTGTCGTGCTGCTCAAGGGGACTTCCAGGACTATGCCTTCATAAACCATCACCGTCCACTGCTATTTATCAGCATGATCTATCCCCATGGTTTTCTAGAGTCATCACTGTGGGACTTGAAGTGCTTCCTGCAAAAGTAATTAAGCACCAGTATAATGACGGCTTCTTCTTCCAGCGCTATGGCGACCCCCATGCTACTGTTTTCTTGTTTCTGTCTGCTAACGGGTGACATGTTATTTGGCTTTGACACAGGAAGCTTTGGGGGGATACTTGGAAATCCGGTATAGTGAAGAGAATTCCAGGAAATCTATCACGATGCGAGTTTTTCAACTGACGTGATCTAGGGCTTCGTCAACCAATTTGGCATATTTCAACCAGACACACATTCCTATAAGATCAACTCTCTCAGAACATCCCTTCTGTCTTCACTGGCATTTATTGGAAAATTCATCGGCTGCTTTGTCGCGGGACCGGCAATCGAGAAGTACGGACATCGCATCGTATTTTATGCTCTTTCCGTTATCTCGATCATCGGCGTCATCAGTGAGCACACTATCCTTTGGGGAGCAGTAAAGACTCATACTAATAACCACCATAGTTGAAATCACCGCAGCTGATACTGGGCCTGGGACTGGGAGGCTGGCACAGTTTATAGTGGGCCGGATCGTTGTATACGTTTCTATTGGCTTAGTGGAGGTCAATGTGACGTGAGTTACTTTTTCTAAGTGGGAGACAAAGGTTTTCTTAAGGCTCACAGAATATGATTTCTCTAGAACTTATCAGTCAGAGATTGTTCCAGCCTCATTTCGTGGGCTTGTTGTGGTCTCCTTGCAGCTTTTCCTCGTTGCAGGCGGTCTCGTTGCCAGTGGTGCTAACAAGGCCTATGAGACTGAAACAACTGGGTTTGGCTGGAAAACAATAACTGGAGTTCAGCTGATATTTCCCGTCTGTATGTAGGCCTGTTGCCCCTCGCTATATACTGATAGTCACTAACGCAACTTTATCCTACAGTGATCATCGTGTGCACCATATTTATACCAAACTCTCCCCGTTGGCTACTCTCTCAGGATCGGGATGATGATGCTATCGCCTCTCTGTATCAACTACGCCCCAAAGAGAATGGGTCAAGTGGTAAATGTGAAGCAGAATTGAGTGAGATCCGGCAGAGCCTACATGAAGTAGTACACAAAGCCGCGTGGATAGACTTGATCCGAGGAAGCAACCTTCGCCGCACCTCCATCGTTATGATATTTTACTTCTTTCAACAAGTAAGTTTCTTTGACACATCTAAATTTCGGCAAAGAACCTAATAAAATGATAGGCTACTGGCCAAGCGTTTGTTTCCACCTATCAAACCAAATTCTACCAGCAGAATGGGTTCGCAGAGCAAGCCTATACCTATCCTCTTGCGAGTAGTGTTCTTGGCCTCATTGCTGTGGGTATGGCTATGTGTTTCATTGACAGATTGGGGTAATTATACCAATGCATTGTACGAGTAAACGTCACACTAACATTCTATCTACAGCCGTCGATACACCCTCTTCATGAGCTATGCCTTCCAGGCCCTGTGGATGTACGTACTAGCGGGAATAGGAGGATTATCCCACCAGACCCCTGCCTCGCAAAATTCTATCGTGGCAGCCTTTATGTTATATCAGTTATTCTACAACGTGGGTCTCAATTCCTGCACATCTGCCCCTCGCTAATTTTTCACCTAGGCTGGTGGGGCCTCCATTCCATACCTACTAGGAGCAGAGATCCCAAATGCTGCTGTTCGGGAAAAGACGCAGTCGATTGGTACTGCATGGAATGTCATTTGGGCGTTCGTGACCAATTTTGTCATCCCGTATCTGATGGAGCGCATTCACTTTGGTGTTGGGTGGGTGTTTGGCAGTGTGTCTCTTGTGGCATTGCTATATACATTCTTCTTTCTTCCAGAGACTAAGGTCAGCTCATAATCTGCAGTCCCCTTACCGCTGTTTGCTAACATATTGCGTTTTTTTCGAAAAGGGTCAGACGCTTGAGGAATTAGACACAGTCTTCGAGTCTGCGTATAATCCTTTTCACCGAGTCAGCGAACGTGATATTAGCACTGAAGAGAATTCTAGAGCCTCTAAGGGCATTGGGGCGTTCTCTTGAGTAAATTTTGACATTGGCTCAATATCTCCCGTTGTGCTACCATCAGAGTCTGCAGAATTACCGAAAGGAGAAGTTGGATATAGTGGGGCTGTGGGTCAATGCACGTGCCCGGATGCTTCCCGCGCAACTTTAAGACCTTAGTGTCGGCTCTTGTCCAATTACCAAACTTTGTGAGAAGATACTTTGTGGAAATCAAGCAGATCCAAGGTCATGAACGTCTCGACTAGCCTCAAGGTCTCCGTAGAGTGACATGTCAAAATGACGTGACCAAGCCTCAAGACATAAGCCGTAGAACATGAGGATGGACTGGCATGCGCTATATATGACTTGAGGCTACCATCTCCCCTTCCAAATACTTTTGATATTCCCACACTTCCACTACTTTCGACTTGCACCAAGATGGTCTCCTCCACTGAAGCACTTTACGGTTTCACGCCTGTCGAGTCATCGGCACAGAGATTGCTCTTGTCTGTGAACCCCACTTCTCCTGCCCCCTTCATCCCAGTCTCGGCAACCCCGATCCCAGATACAAGTCTTTCACGACGCATCGATGAATACGCTAGGTCTCATCTCCCGGTACCGACCTACAATCACTCTCTTCGGGTATATCACTACGGTCTGGCGATCAAGTCGCACCTCTTCCCCACCTGGGCGTTTACCGATGAAACTTATTTCCTGGCTTGTCTTCTACATGACATCGGAACAACGGAGACAAATCTCAATAGCACCAAATTGAGCTTTGAGTTCTATGGTGGTTTCTTGGCCTTGGACGTGTTGCAAAAGTCTCCAGCTTCCGATCCGGATGCTGTTGCTTCCCGGGATCAAGCAGAGAGTGTCGCCGAGGCGATAATTCGACACCAGGATCTATGCCAGCAGGGAAAGATTACAGCTGTTGGGCAGCTGCTACAGCTGGCAACTATTTTCGGTATGCTCTGGCGAAAACCTGATCTGTTCTTGTGAGACTGACAAATTTTAGACAACACTGGTGCTTACTCGGAATGTGTTCACTCCTCGACCATTGAAGATGTCACGAATCATTTCCCCCGCATCAAGTGGAGTCACTGCTTTGTCGCTACAATCAACAGGGAGATTGAGCTGAAGCCGTGGTGTCACACCACTACTTTGGGCGAAGACGAGTTTCCGGCCAAAGTGCTTGGAAACAAGTTGATGGAACCTTTTGAGTAGATAATAGGACAAAAACGTAGAACTTTTCGGCATCTCATGACATTCTGAAGTATTTGATCTCTCCCTTAGTCCGAAACCCCGCTGCTTCTAAAAATGTAAATTTATACACGGGAGTACGCGATATTGTATCCATGGATGTTCTCAGTGGCGGGGAGTATCTCCACTTCGATGTGGCCCCACCCACTTCAACTTCTTATTCCGGTAATTTGTCTAACTTTTCTAAGATCTTCACTAAATTCCCAAGTGAACTTCTGGATGAAGCAATTTTAAAATCTCTACCCAATTTTCGCCTCTTCAACATGACTCAATGCGCTTGGCTCTCGAATGACGAAAATATGCCTTCATCAGATGCCTATAAAATGGTCTATTCTCTCTGATATCTTGCATGATATTACTCCTTCACAGAAAACACTCTCCTCAGCTCAAGCATCAGTTTCTTTTCTCATCTACTGAAAGTATGTGTCAACACGAAGTTGCCCAGAACGGATGGACCAGCACTCCCGCAGATGCTGGCGCCATTTTCGGTGACCGGCCTTACATCAACCAGCCGGGCCCGTTGTCAATCAAGGAACTTGAATTCCCATTTCATGATACCGTTGTGGTCAAAACCTTGGACTATGCAAAGACTGTCCTCCATCCCGAAACTCTCAACCACTCGATGAGAGTCTATCACTATGGTAATGTGCCTCCAAAGAGATCTAAACAAGAAGTCCATGGAAACCTAACAGAGTAACAGGCCTGGCAATTACAAAGCAGCAATTTCCACAGCATGCTACAACCCTCAACCCAGTGACATGGGCTCTGACCTGCCTTCTACACGACCTAGGCACCGCCGAAGAAAACCTGACCGCCACCAGAATGTCATTTGACATATATGGAGGTATCAAGGCTCTTCAAGTTCTGCAGCAATTCGGTGCAAGCACAGATCAAGCCGAAGCCGCGGCTGAAGCTATCATTCGCCATGAGGATATGGGGGTTGACGGTACAATTACCTACATCGGTCAATTGATTCAACTGGCCACTACCTATGACAACACGGGCTTCCATCCCCACGTCAAAAACTTTGGAGAGCTGGTGCACAGTGTCACGCGCGCTGAGATTAACGAGGCTTATCCTCGTTTGAAGTGGTGCACTTTCTTTTCTGGTACCATTCAAAAAGAAATGAGTATCAAGCCGTGGTGTCATTCGACTCACCTGGTCGGCTTTGACAAGGAGATCAGGGACAACACTCTCATGAAGCAGTGGGAGTGAGGGTGAGAGTAATTGTGGTTTGTGTCGATCTATCTGCTCCTGCTGTTCTTGCTAGACACAATTGAGATTTACATCTCGAACCCAGCTTACTTACTTAAGTACTCAATTAGTCCACGGGTATCTCACTTCAGGGTTATCTTAGAAATTCAACTGAGTGGCCACTACGGGGTCGGCAATTGAAATTAGCACCCGCTGCCTAAATTTTGGATCATAATGCTAAGGATATGCATAAGTTCCGAGATAGTTGAGGAATTGGTACCTGAATATTGGAAAATACATGCACGCGTAGAGTATATACAGGTATAACAAATGGTAATGGGGACATAAACCGAGATCAAAGTGTCGAGAGTATCGAATATTTCGAGACTTAGGATTTAGTTGGTGATTCTTCGGAATCTTTCCTGGGCTCTGCATTGCCTCTAGAACGAAGACCACTGTTGAACTGTGCAGCAATTTGGGACTGCTTGAATCGCTCGAAGCCTTCGGCGTCTTGCTGCTGCGCGGCCCAGAGTTCGTCGACGGTTGTTCCAAGTTGATCGAAGGCTCTATCAGTATCGAAGTTGTCGAATTGAGATAGAGATTGTTCGTCGTGTAGACGTTCCAGCTTCTGCCTGAGAGCGGTGATGTGTGAGGTGTCTTCATTATCGAGTTCTTCGTCACCATCGCCGGGGACCAGTGATGGCTTCAGGAAGTCGCGGCGGAGGTTCTGGCCAATGCGGTGAATATGGCCTTCTTGGGATGTCATGGCCCGAGAGTGAAGTGAGGTCATGGAGCTGGCGCGGGACAAGCGGGTGTCATATTCGCCGTCATCCTCGTCGGCACCATTCTCTTCAATTTGGCTGCTAGTCATGTTTCCAGCAGTAACATAGCCAGTCCCGTCCTCCCCTGAGTGTTGTGAACTGGTGTCAGGTGCAGGGATGGAAGGCAATGACTCAGTCTGTGGGTTGATACGGGTCTCGGGATACTCGTCTTCGAAACGCTGGATCATCCTATGCAGGGTAAAATCAAGGAACTGCAGGCGGCGATAGTTTGCATCGTTGCCAGCACGATCCTCCCGGATGAGAGCTGATTGGATACGGGTTCTGATATTCCGTGCAGATTCCAGCAAATCCTTTGACATGTCTCGGGGTCTCTTGCTGACAACACTCCGAGACTTGCGACGCCTGGGTGTTGTAGTGCCACTGGCCGGGACAGACATCTCACCGGGGGTATCAAGTCCATGGCGATCTAAATTGCCAAGGCAAACACCCAATGCTTTAACAACACCTGTACCACTGATGACATAATCTTCATCTGGGGCCGGTTCATCCTCCTCGTCGCAGGGCTCTTCGGATGGAGCAGAGTGACCAACAATATGCTGCAGGATATCAGGCACCGGAACATCCTTGGTCCCAAGAGGGACAATTGAATCAGAGAGTTCTTCAGCAATGGCACCACCTTCAAGGTTTCGAAGTGAGTAGGCCACAATTTGAGACGCCAGAGCCTTGACAACCTCGTTGTTTTCGGCGCTGGGGATATCGATATCGACTGCAATTATAGTTCGCGAGACGCGCACCGCTGCCATCATTGACGCGTATACCGCACATGCCTCTTCTTGGGTGACAGGGTTTGTGGTTGAAGCTAGCTCGACGATCTGCTTGTTTTCTAGAATGTTCAAGTGGCAGAGACTGGGGCACTCTGGAAGCACCTCGGCAAGACCAATCACATGGTCTGGTGTCAAGTTGACATCAGCAAGATGGAAACGCTTCAGCGATGTCATCTTAGGCAAGAAGCGACGGAATGCGCCAAGAGCGTCAGGTTGCGCCGTGAATAGTTCCCGATTATGGGAGAAATCAATGAAGCGAAGATTGTGCAGCTGGGCAAGAGATTGGAGCAACGGACAAATCACTGACGGGTTCAAAGAACAGTCTGCCAGACTCAATGCATAAAGTGGTGTCTCCGGCTCAAGCGCCTTTGTGATCAGATCAAGGTCATTCTTGATGGCATTGCCACCCAGATCCAAGCCTTCACATTGGCCAGCCTTGAGATACTCTACCACATGCTCCAGGCTCTCTCTCGTCATGCTGTTGCTCGCAAAACCAAGTCTGCGCAGACCCATCTTGGTGACTGCCTGACAAATTTGCTTGACAGCTTCAATTGAGGGATTGCATTCACTCATGAGCAACTCTTCGAGATGATCACCGCCAAAGCGCTCCGCCAGTGCACTGGCGAAAACAATACTCACGTCCGCCGTGGGTATTTGTGGTTTAGTAGTGGGATCTTGGGCTGTATCGATCGCAACTTGACCCTTAGGGAAAGGTATGCCTGAAAGGTCAATGGCTTTCAGTGACTTGGACAAGTGGATAAATAGACTGATATGGCGCCATCCCTCTCGTCCAATCTTTGGATTGTCTTTCAATGACAATTTCTCAACGACACCGTATCTCTCCTGACCCTCAATATCCGATGACTCGGGTCTTCTTGACTTTCTGCGTCGATAGCGCATCTGCTCTATCGTTTTTGTGGATAGCAAGCCTGCAAGAATCGATCGCACAGACTGATCTGATAGTGCACAATTTTCGAGAATGAGTTTGCGGACTGGCACAACGGCAAGCCAGTCGCTAAAAGTTGTCAGGTCCTGTGATGTCATCGGGAAGTTGCTAAGATCAAGAGCTGCGACTGTTCCAGGAGACTCGGCCAGTGTAGATGAAGGCTTCGAAATCTCATCAACCACTCTCTTGAGGACGGGCGTTTCGCGGAGTTGGCAACAACGGCGGTATATTCGCACCGGGTCTGTGGTTGGGTGACTCTGCGTCTTGGACCGCGTGGGGGCACCTGCGACTGTCGCGCGTGTGTCTTCTTCATCACTCGCTCCGTCAAGTTGCAATGGCACTGAGCCGTTTGCCACTGCTTGCCTACGCTTCCTCTCCTTTCGCTCTTTGCGTTCCGCCTCCGAGCGTTTCTTCTTCTCCTGTTTCCTGGTTGGGTCGGTCGTTTCTCCATTGGGAGGGGAGGTGCCGGTTGATTTCTCTTTGGGTGTGGTTTGGCTTTTCGCCTCCGTGGCCTTCGCAGGGGCTGGGGAAGCGCTATCTTTCTCAGCTAGTGTAGCTTGCGGCCGTTTCAGAGCATCAGCTTCCTCGTGCTCCTTGTTTTTGAGCTCCACCTTCTTGGCCTTTTGGCTATTGGATTCCGGTAGTGGCTGTCGCAGTTGGTTCGTCGGAGGGGCTTCCTCGTCGTCGTCCAAATGGGAAATACCCGCAATTTCAACATCTACACAAAACGCCACACGGTTCAATTTAGCCTGCTTCAAGTCGGCAACCTTGCACCGGTGTCGACTTTGGTCAATGTTCATCACGCGACGAGGACAGATCGAGTCGTTCGGGTTCAGCTTGGGCAATCCACCGGAATTGGATGAGAATTTGCGCAATGCATTGTGAATAAACGATGGCCCCTTCGGCGATGTTGAAGTAAAAGGATTATTCTCGTCCTTCTTTTCTTCTTCCTTGTCCTTCGGGGAGTAGGCCGCGCCAAACGGATTGTGCGTATCGAGAGGAGTTGTCGTTTTCGGACTCGCAGGACTGGCCTTGAGACTGGATTGCGACGGGGGCGTCGACCCAGACGAAAACTTCGAGCTCAGACTAGATATCCATGAGTTTCGTCGTCCGATCGGCTTCGGGTCTGTCTTCCGCGAAGCTGAAACTGGTGTAGATGGTTTTGACTCCTCAGATTTCTCCGGTGTCTTCTCGGCTGGTGGTTGTTTTGTTTCTACTGGAGCGAGATCCTTCTTGGGGACTTGTTTCGATTCTGGTGTGGCCGCAGGTGGCGCCGGGGTAGCCGGGCTACTGTTGGAACGAGATCTCCGATGCGACTTGGATTTTGTGGTTGGGGCTTCCGCATCGGCGCGGGGCTTGTCGCTCGATGACACGGACTTTGTACGAGACAAATGATCTGAGTCAGGTAATTAGAAATCGCCCCCATATCTCCCAAGAGCCGCGCGCCCATGCGGAAGAAGTGCCGAGGGTGGAAAGTGGGACTTGCCTTTCTGAGAGTGGTGCAGCCAGCTCACATCAACAGTCTGAACACCTTCCATCTTGATCAACCTCTGGGAAGTGAAATCCGAGTTTGTTTTATTCTCCCAACTTATCGAGGGTGGTCGGCGGTGTGGCGTGGTATCACCGGAGCACAGTGACGGGATGGGACTAGATTGAATGACGCATTATTGGCTGTTTCCCCCACTTTGAACTGATGATCGGAAAGCGACTATTCGAAGAATAGGAATCAGGTGGACAGCACTAGACAACAAATGGGGTGGAATTGCCGGTGGGAAATGCCGTATGATCTGCGATCGGAAGCTGCGTGTATCCCGTTATAGAAGCCAACTGCACAAGGGTGACAAGAGACACATTGTGAGATAACAAAAAGGAATTCGAAAAGAAGATCTCCCAGATGCCGGATGCGATGGCACACCTGGAACTTAATAAGGTGACATAATCGTGGAGAGTTCAGGGCACGTGAGTCTGTATGGCTTTATTATTTTACGGGGCGATCCTTACTGCCGGTAGCAGTCCCTGATGAGCCAATTGGCAATGGTATGTGATCATTTAGCCTCCGGAGAATGTTCGTTTCTCCGTATCAGACATCCAGTGGCGAGACCTGTATTCTTCAGAGACTTCCCCACCTCATGCCTTGAGCTAATCAACTACTCGTAGTAATTATTTACTCGGAGACAGCATGAACATGTACAACTGCATTGTATTTTGGAAGGATTTGCCCAGTTTGGTTTGCCCAGATTTGCCACCATGCGTGATGATCAGGGCTCCGTGGAGCGGGCAAATAGACTAAGTGGGGGGCTCCATGGGGCTTTAAATACCGCTTAAAGGTACATTACCTGTAGTGCCTGGGCAATGGATGAGTAGCGTTGAACCTTATGAGATTTTGTTCCATTTTTGCGAGTCCAAGATATCCCCTAGTACTCGTACAAGGGTCTCCTCACAATCAAGACGGGTATCCGCAATTAAAAAACAAAGAAACACCTAAACACCCCTAGTCACATGACGTGCAAAGTGCTAAGCATAAGCATAAGCAGTCAAAATCAAACGCCTCTGAAGATGATGCGAGGAAAGGAAAGTCATCATGCCGTTAAGCGGAACCGGGTGCGGCCATTCCGCACCCCCCGCTGCATACCCCCTATTTACTCCAAGCCTGGAATGGTCTTCAGATATTCCCAACCATACTCTTCTTCGGGCTTCTCAGCCTCCATTCCAAGTGCGAAGCGATAAGCGCGCACCTCGTTCTGCAGACCGCAGATGACACGGGTGGGGGTCTCGTCGGCCTCGCAGCTGAGACGGTGAGCGGTCCGAATCATCTCAGCGCACTTCATCGTTTGCGCGTGCCAGTAGTCCCGATCGAGGCGGCTTTCAAGGTGGGCATCACGCTCAGCCTGCAGGAGGTTATTGTAGTGGGTCTTTTGTGCAAGGTAATGCATGTTGTTGTTCTGGCAGTAGTTGCGGATCTGTTCAACCATAATGCCCACGGCATTCTCAAACTCATGGACCAACTTCATGTTCTCCTCTTGGTGGTGTTTATGGTGGGCGACCAGGCGCTTTTCTCTGGCCAGGGCGCGCTCCAATTCAGCAATTCGGGCGTCTGTGCTAGTTGTTAGTAGTTGATACGACCCAAATGTTTCAGGGGTACGGGGTAAATATACGTGGGTTGTCGCCGTTCTGTTGGCCATTAGAGCTGGTGCTGTCGCTGATGCCATTCCTCTGAATGAATGTCAGTCCAATTGCTTCTGGTTCCTTAAAGCAACACATACCACAATCTCCTCCGCGTTCGCGACAATGTTCTTGGTCACGTCACGGTTGTTCTTCAAAACGTCACTCAGCTCCACCACCATCTCATACAGATGATGCAAGTCCATCTGGTGTCCAGCGTTCATCGGGATACCTGCGCCCATTGCGCCCATTCCTCCGTTGATCTGAGTTGTAGCCGATGATTGAGAGGGGGAGGGGGACGGGGTCTGGCGAGAAGGAATGTTGGCCATATTGACGGCGCCAGACGCATTTTCGTAATAAGCCCCGGGGCCGGTGCCATTACCGTTACTAGCCATACCGTTGGTAGTAGTGTTCATGGAAACGTCGGCGTTGGCAAAGGCGCGGTTCAGTTCTTCAAGGGCGGGGTCGTTGGGGGCAAAGGATCGTGGAGTGCCGTTATCCTCGTCGAACCAGGAGGCGTGGTGTTCGATACCTAGGACCTCCGTATGAAACTTCTCAAGGTCACGGCGAGTAACGTGCGTGGAACGACGGCGATGCCCACGCGTGTAAGGTGCCTTGGAAGGGGAGGGAGAAGTGTCACCCTCGATTGTGGCGGATGCACTCTGAGCAGTGACAGTAGTATCACTATCACTCAAGGAATCGATAGCAAATTCGTGGAAGCTCTGATCCGGTTCACAGCTATATGCAACGCCATCAACAACCGTGGTGTGCTGGGGTCCAGCGCTAGTCTCAGATGGGGATGGTGTCTGTAAGGCACGTGATTGTGGAGCACGGACCATCTCAACCAACTCCCCCATCTTGTTGAGAGCTGTCATTTAGCTAGTATCTGTAAATATTCGACAATTCTGATATTGCAAAGATCCTTGGCCGGACTTGCCCCAAGAGCGTCCAGTTTCCCATTCTGGTGGGGCGAATCACGTTTCTTTCCCGACCGACCGACGACGGGTGTAGGTGTAATAGATCAATGACGGGCGAGACTTCTGGGGAAAGCGCGATCGCCCAATCCGAAATGTTCAATTAGGCTTCAGCTTAATAGCACGTGCCCTGTCTAGAAGTCAATTGCTGCAGCTGCAGTTGATACAGGTACTTGATCTTGGCATTCAGCCTGCAGTAGTCGTTGACTTGGTGGGATGGAGGGTATAAGAATAGCTTGAAACGGCCCCTGGTCTTCTACAGTCAATTTTATCACCCTTGTTAGTAATGCCCCTTGATACCTGTAGGTAGGTACATAGTTCTTTATCAAATACTTAGTCCTCCCGGCATTTACAATGTTGGGTGCTTAAGTGATTCCTCATGCGGTTCTACCCAGAACTCCACTTATATATTGGGTGACCCTGGGCCGAAACCCGACTTCATCTCGTGGGGAATTTCTAGAGCTGAACTTTCGAACATTGGAACAATGGAAACAAGCAACTTCAAATGCGAGAATAAAGGCGTAACAACAGTTTCATTGCCGGTCGTATCACAAGTAAACTGCTTGGATGCACTTGCAGACAAGGGGTATTTGGTTTCATTAAGACATATCCATCAGTTCCTCCAATCTCCGATCAAAGCCCGGAAGCGAGTAACCTGCGTTTTCAGGGAGACCGCTGCTTCTTTTCTGCTGTGCAATCCTCCCGCCCACTCTAGCCACCAGCATGCGCATTCTCTCAAGTTCCTGAACAAGCTCACCGTCCTTGGTGATCAAGTTTGGTTGAATGTCTTTCTGCGGATCCTGAAAAGGCTCAAGTAACCGCTGGAGGTGCTGTAACTGATCTAGGCGCCGTTGTCGCTGCTGTCGTTTCGTATCCAGGGCTATGAGCCGCTCGCGGAGTTGCCGGTAACTGTGCAACTGGTGTAAGGCAGGTCGAACTTGAATCGGGGAAAATTCGGATGTATTAAAATACTGACCTTGCATGCTCCCCTTCATTCGCTTCCAGAGTTTCCAAATCGACAGGCATTTTTGTGATGTTCCTAGCTCATATAGTTAGCGTTGTCCTACCTGGTATGGTCGCAGATGAACCTCACATTTGCCTCGATAAGTCTGTGGTTTTTTCTATGCCCTGTGCGAAAGCGGCCTGACTGCGTGCATCTTGACTAACAGCCGACCAGTATAGGCTGGCAATCTGCTGGGCTACGTGATGTATTGCCTGAGAGGAATAAACAACACGATTATGCTGCTTAGCAGCTGAATTCACTGTAACACCATTAGTACTATTCCACAGTATTTGGCAGGACGTGATTTCTCGACGGCAACTCATTTCGAACCTTTGTGTAAAACATCTTCAATGACCTTGTCACTCAGATCATCCTCTTCAGTCTGAGGGGCATAATTGTGCCAGTCTTCGGGTAGTTCGAGGCTCTCTGCAAATATGCGAACTTGACTCCTTATAAATGCAGATTTAAGTTCAAAAATACTCCTGCTCGAATCCATGTCGAGCCAAACTGTTGAGGAAGCATCTCTTGATCGTCCAAGTCCCGCGCGATCTCCAAACGCGTCCTTATCGATAAGGCATCACGTGTCTCTCCACAAAAGTGATTGTACTCCAGGCACATAAAAGACATGCCGAAAACATTACAAAATAACAAAATAGCCTCGAAGACTGTCACCCCCGGAATAATAGCGAGTAGGTGAGTGTGTTTTCTCTGAACGTCAATGGTGGTGGCCTGGTGAGGAGTATCCTCGGTTTAGACAATGTCGCAGCCGTAGGGACCTCGGCAATCCTGCAGTCGCGAACCTCTTTCATTCAAAGCCACATCGTTCCTCCCAAGATCGAGTCTGACACACATTTCCTTGTGAATTGATCAGAGTAAACAGGTACTCTCTATTGATCATTGTTCTTCAAAGCCGGCTGCTCTTATTACAAAATGGCAGAGACAAAGCGGCCAGTGGGGCTGCTATTTGACATCGGGGGAGTTTGTGTAAGTTGGCCAATCGACCCTTTCATGGAACTCCAGATAGCTGAACCGTGTTCAGGTTGTTTCCCCATTCCAGGCAATTCTCGACTATGAGATTGCCCAGAACATACCTCCAGGCTGGGTCAACTTCAGCATCTCGCGAACGTCGCCGAACGGTAGCTGGCACAAGCTCGAACGAGGCGATATAGAAATGAATGAAGAATTCTTTGCGGGATTCAATGCAGACCTTCGCAACCCCGATCTTTGGAGGCAATTCCACGAACAACTTCAAAAGAAACAAGGGACAAGTGGGGTGGCTATTCCTCCACTACCATCGGTGGATGCTGAATGGCTATTCTGGGAGATGATGCGGATATCGCGCACGCCAGACCGATACATGTTCCCGGCTCTCAAGAAGTTGAGAGAGTCAGGACAATTCCTCATGGGTGCACTGTCCAACACCGTGATCTTCCCTGATGGACACGAATACAATAATACGAGCGATGTGAAGAAGCAATTCGATTTTTTCATTTCCTCGGCGCATACAGGCCTTCGAAAACCCGACTCGAAGATCTACCAGGTGGCATTGCAGGAGATGGATAGTCTGGCTAAGCAACGTGGACTGCCCGGCACCAACCCCAACGATATTGTATTCTTCGACGACATCGGCGAAAACCTCAAGGGGGCAAAAAATGCCGGGATGCGTACCGTTAAAGTCACACTTGGAAAGACCGAGGATGCAGTGAGAGAGTTGGAGAAGCTCACTGGCTTATCGTTGCTAGATGATGCAAAGGCTCGATTGTGAACCGTTGGACGGAGCATTTAGAAGGCTTTTTTTATTACATGAAAGAATACTATTGTAGAAAGAAATATAACTTGAACAAAAAAGCACAGGCTGTGCAGTGTGTAAAAAAGTAGTATACTTCGAGGTCGTATGGTAAATTGCAATGAAATGTTCGCGAAAGTGGTCGTGGCCCACCCCTGAAGTAAAATGTCTTAAGATCTTATCGCTCGTCGCCGACCGCATTTCTGGTGGGGGATGCAGCCGCCACGCTAAGCGAAATCCCGCACAAAGTCGGCCCACGAAATTTCTTCTGACTCTTTCTTGACCATCCCGCCCTCGACACCCTTCAAAATGGTGAGTCTGATCAATGGATAATTCCATTCAATGCATTCGCATTATTCAATCCTTCCGCATGTCGGAACCGGGTCCCTGCAAGCTGCTTCGGCGTGATTTCTGAAGCGTTAATTGCTGACTCGTGATGTCGTTCTCCAGCCTTTCAGCAAGACCGTCAAGAACGATGCCTACTTCAGGTAAGTGATCACAGTGATATCTTGAATTTTAAAGGAAATTTTTTCTGACTTTTTCCCAGCCGTTACCAGGTGAAGTACCGCCGCCGCCGCGAGGGTAAGACCGACTACTACGCTCGCAAGCGCCTCATCACCCAGGCCAAGAACAAGTACAATGCGCCCAAGTACCGCATGGTCGTTCGTTTCACCAACCGCGACATCATCGCCCAGATCGTCTACTCTGAGATCTCCGGTGACAAGGTCCTCGCCGCTGCCTACGCCCACGAGCTCCCCCGCTACGGTATTGACCAGGGTCTGACCAACTGGGCTGCTGCCTACGCCACCGGTCTTCTCCTTGCCCGCCGTGTCCTCAAGAAGCTCAACCTTGACGAGCAGTTCAAGGGTGTCGAGGAGGCCACTGGTGAGCACACCCTCACCGAGGCCGTTGAGACCGACGATGGCGAGCGCCGCCCCTTCAAGGCCTTCCTCGATGTTGGTCTTGTCCGCACCTCCACCGGTAACCGTGTCTTCGCTGCCATGAAGGGTGCCTCCGATGGTGGTATCTTCATCCCCCACTCCGACCGTCGTTTCCCCGGTTACGACATCGAGTCCGAGGAGCTCGACGCCGAGACCCTCAAGAACTACATTGTCGGTGGCCACGTCACTGAGTACATGGAGACCCTCGCCGATGAGGATGAGGAGCGCTACAAGTCCCAGTTCCTCAAGTACATTGAGAACGAGATTGAGGCCGGTGACCTTGAGGAGATCTACACCGATGCCCACAAGGCTATCCGCGAGGACCCCTTCAAGGCCGACGAGAACGCTGGCCCCAAGAAGTCCAAGGCTGAGTGGAAGGCCGAGTCCCAGAAGTACCAGGTCAAGAAGCTCACCCACGCCGAGCGCAAGGCCCGCGTCGAGGAGAAGATCCGCAAGCTTGCCGCATAAGCGTCTCGCTTCCTATCTTTTTGATCAAAAAGTTCCAACAAAATTCAAATGGGGGACTTGGCTACTGCCGGCGTTTTAATTCTTGTGATGTAGTTTGATGGATCACGACACATACCTATTTTCTTTATTTCAGAAGGGGTTTACCTGGGAGCAACTAGTCCGGTGTTATTCAAGGCATTTTCTTTACTCAGTTCTAACTGCTCCCGCCAATGTCCATCAGTCTTCGTTCCCTCATGTGCTTCGCATCTGCTAGTAGTCGGGACCCGTAGTTATGTACGGCCTACAGCGTACAGTGTTCTTTTGTATTCCGTACTCCGTACATGATTCCTAAACCCTAAAACTAGTCAATGGCTGCATCATGCGACGCAGTACAAAGTACATGAAACTGGTCTAACACAGGGGTAAAATTGGGCCGACGCATGCATAAGCGCCAATGCCATTGTGATTAGCGGTCCCAACCCCACGAATGCTGCAGTGCCAACGCATTCGGTGGCTGTTCACAGCAAGGATGAATAGCGGCTGGATACTCGTAGTTCCAGAGTTCGCTATTGAATCCCCGCTTTAAAAAGTCTTCGGGTCCCAAATGAAATCACAATTGCCTTTTTCTCCATTTCCATAAACATCCAACATACACACTACAGGCAGCTCCTCCGCCTGACATGAGAAGATACCAACAACACACACACGCAAGTTGGCACCGCGCCTACGAGGGCAAAGCCCAATGCCCATGGTGCCATGAAGGACCACCGGTAGAATCGCGACCCCAAAGCAGCGCACATCACAAACGACCAGCCAAGCGGCCAGACACCGGGTGCACCAATAGAACAGATATACCCTCGCCGAGGACTGCCCGCTCAAGAATGCATACAATAAAGCAGCTCAATAAATCTGCCGTGGGTCGGACAGCTCCATTCGAGCCACATCCCGACCCCGCTTCGGACACGGTGGATGACGCAGAGGACTCGCCGGAGCCCAATTCAAATTATACAAAATACATGGGGCGCACAGTCCGACATGAGGGATTAAATGGTGTTTTTGCATTGGAGCCACCACGCCCGCGGCTCCCTGAAGCGTGGACACAGGAGGATGAGGATCCAGAGCTGGGGTAGGAGCCCGGATTAATTCATGTTGTTTGCCATGCTAATGAATTCATTGTAGCTCCAAAGATCATAACGAATCGACCGTGGAGAATTGGCGCTCTGGGCTTGATACATCTGGCGATATAAGAGGTCTTGATGAGGAAAAGGCCGGCTCTTTGGAGCCAGACGTGAAGGAATTGGAGGAGGCTTAGGACACCAATATTGATGAATTAGACTGATAGATGTACATTGAATGAAAAATATCATATTGTATAAAAAAATACATTGATATTGGCGAATCTGTAGTAGGTGAGCGTGAAACCTGGGCAACATTGTCAAGCGTATTGACTGTCATTGGCATCGAGCATGACACGAATGAGAAGCAAAATAACGGACTTTGCGCAGGCCATGCAACGTACCTATTACATGCAGACCACTTTGAGTTGAACTCATTGACTGTGCAGACCTCCAGATGATTGATGGGTTCTACGACGGATGTGAATTGGGGTTGTCTGGACATTTTGTACCGTGTACGGGGTATTTGACCTTTTCTAAGCCATTTCCAAACCCACTTGGCTTTATTTATTCCAGTTTAATACCACTTCTCAAAGGCTCCAGGGGTTTCTGATGGACCATGTTGCTTTTCCTTATTCAACATTGTGCATTTCTCTTTTCGCCACCACCTTAATTTTTCGCAAACAACCTGGCTTTTGCCACAGGGGGGCGCCAGGATGCCCAACGGAGCTCAGCAGCTGTCAGGCTCTACTAGCTGTGGTATATACCGTGTATGCAGGGTAGGCGGCAAATAGATGATCTGCTCTGCTACCATGGCCAACATCCATATGCATTTGTGTACTTAATGCGCCAACTCACCAAGGTGGCTGCTGGGGTAGCCATGTTTTATTTTGGATCAGCATGCGCGTAGTACTTGGCAACTATAGGAGAAACAGGAACTGAGAGTCAATGAAAGTACCAAACAGTCCGAGGTTTGCCACAACAACTTTCCGAAGATTATGCAGATCGGCAAGGAGAATTGAGAACGGTGGGGCTTATATTGTGTTGAAAACGCCCACGGCCCGTCAGGTAGCCGCATGAAGAAAGACACTGCGATCCCTCTACGGGGATACGGAGTACTGACAAGGCAATTCGATGATTTGAGTTGCGACCATGCATCGCAAGCTTATTGCATCTACGGTGGATGTTCTTTGCCCAAGTGGTTTCACCGAAGGCAAGTGGTTGGGCAATTGATGCCATGATCTGCAGGCACCAAGATCACGTGCCAGACCCTCTTTCCCAACTAGGCAACTACCCTACATGAGGAAAGTCCAGAGGTCAACTAATCAACCGTCCACGGTGGGAACCTGGAACTTCTCCAAGCTTTTCATTGATCTTTTTCTCTGTGATGGTTTTCTTTTGCCATGTACCCCGTACTTGATCTCCCTTCCAAATTGAAGGTTCTCTGTTGGGGTGATCAATATTCCCTAAAGCGGCTAGCGTGGAGTTGCATGCAATGTCATCCACTATTTGCTCGGCCCCATCCTTGGAAGCTTCCAAAACTCTGATGCCTCCCTTACAATCGGCTCATCTATTCAATCTCACTACCATCCAATCATCCGGTCCCACCGTCTACATAGATGTGTTCTGCTGGTAGCTGACCAATTGACGAGAATGCGACTATTGCTCATACGACACGCTGAATCTGTCGACAACGCAAAGAAGCTATGGTAGGTCCCACCACTGGCAGGCTTGGAAACCCAATGAGCTTAGACTCACGTTCTGAGATAGGGCCGGGGTGACAGACTCAGCGCTCACGAACCATGGGATGGCTCAAGTCGAGCGCCTGGCTAAGCATATCGCGTCCGATGAAGTTTGCGACCCATCACAGATCACCCACATATTTTCATCAGACCTGCAGCGAGCAAAAGTCACTGCAGAAGGTATCTGCGCAGCCTTGGCCCCAAATCCTAGCAACCCATCCTTGAAGCCGACTTTGGCCGCAACTTTGAGAGAGCGAGATTTTGGAAGCATGGAGGGAGTACGCTCGACAAATGACTACGAGCTAAGCCACTTGGAAACTAGGCTTGACGAGGGAGCTATCAAGGTATGGAAAGACTCTGAGTCGGAAGTCTCAATGAAATCTCGAGTCACGACCTTTTTCAATGAGCATCTTCGATCCATGTTAGATCTGGACTCTGAAGATTATGCGGAGGACCAAGTTGTGATTGTTGTTGCTCACGGTATCATTCTTCGCGTTCTTTGGAACTTTCTGCTGGGACTTTTTCTTCCGGAGAACATTGTCTTCGACATCCATGTCTATTCCACCGGGCCTGGGGACACGTTCAGACCTTCCTGGTCTAATACTGGCTTCTTGGATCTCCTTATCACCCCTTCAGATCTCAAGGCAGAAGGACTTCCGCAATTCACATTACGAGGCTGGCAAATCAAAGTTCAAGCCTCAAATTATACCACTCACCTGGATGGTCTTCGACGCACTAAAGGTGGAATCGGAAGCGCTGCACATGACAAAAAGCAAAAACAGATCAAAGATTTCTTTCGCTGACTGGGTGACCGAGAAATACATTTGAAGCTATTTACAAATCGGCCATGATCGAGCCCATGTCATCAATTACTCAGTGTAAAACACTTCGTCCAAGACCTTCCACCAACCTGGTCCGTCCGCGCTACTGACAGCTCCTGGGATAGGGCTGTCCTAATGCCAGTCATTCTCGGTCAGCATGTATCCCTGGGTCCATACCGTGCTCATCTTACCTGCATGCCGTCTGTCATAGCCCACCACTCTCTGATCTTCGGGTTCGCTCGCATGGCTTCCATATCTCCATCGAAGTCGGTGCCGACATATTTGAATGTTGCAAACAAGGTCCGGTCATTGTCGAAGAAAATTGAGTCTGAAAACATGTGAAAGACCAGTCAGTGCTTGCAACAATCATTGTCGACCGTTCAAAAGAGAAACCCACAATCCTTGATATTGCAATCCTTGATTTGCTGAAGCACCTCAGGCCATACATTTGCGTGGCATTCTTTGTACGCGGCCACGGCGGCTGGCTTGAGGTGAACGATCTGAGCAATCCGGCGGACTGGTGCCATTGTTACAAGGATTTTGTATGTGTATAGGGAAATTCGAGACGATTGATTCTTCAATTCCTCGTTGAGAGTTGATCCTTTAAGCTAAGGACAGACAGAAGAAATTGAATATCCTTAATCTGTCCTCTTGCCCCTCGTCCTCGCCGGAGCGTTAGCCCGCACTCGGGGTCTGCTAACCCGAGGCCCGTGCCCCCCAAAGCCTGAGAGAGCCTCAATCTAAAGATAAAGCCTTTAGGGTTGTAAATTCTTACATCTCATAGCTGGGGTGTACTTAGGCCACTGGCCGTACTTTAGCTTTAGAGAACATGAGGCCTACGGCAAGTACGAGGACGTACCAGCAACACTGCCATCGCGTTTTTCCTACTGAATACATGCGATCGCAATGATTTTATGCACCATCTACACTTCCCAAACCCTATATGGTATACTGAAATCCCTCAGAATATTACAACAAAACTCTTATGCATGCAGAGATAATCCATCAAGAGCCACGAGTACATTATGGGCTGCAAACAGTGCAAACTCTTGTGGGTTCCTCGGTTGAAGATCCCCGGTTTCCTGGGGTATCACATGTTAGGGACCTTCCGTCATATCCATTCTCCCCGGGGCCCTCGCCCTCCATCTTCCTCACTTTCGCTATCTCGCCAAACCTTTCCACTGCGGTCATGTATGTTGAGTTCGGCTGAACAGCAACCGTCGTCATGGCCGTTCAGTCTAAACTGCTACCGCCCGAACGTTCCGTCAAGCAAATCCTCTCCAGCCTCACATCCCTCTACCTCCGAAATCGCACCCGCATCTCGCGCAGCGTATATCTCGCCTTCTTTTTTGCTTTAGCCAAACGAATTCATAATGCTATCTCGGAGCAGAAAGCCGCGTCGCAGCAGGTCGAGCTACGGCGCCGACCCGGCACTAGCAGCCTCGGCGACGAACAACCCCGCAAGAAACGCGTGGAGATAAACCGGGAATTCTTCAAGAGCCTACTTCGCTTGCTGAAGATTGTGATTCCCGGATGGCGGAGTAAGGAGTTCCGTCTAGTGCTGAGCCACAGCGTGTTTCTGGTACTGCGCACGCTGTTGAGTCTGTATGTTGCCGAGTTGGACGGCAGACTTGTAAGCAACTTGGTGCGCGGCAAAGGGAAGGACTTCCTACTCGGATTGTTCTGGTGGATGATTGTGGCTGTCCCTGCTACGTTCACGAATTCTATGGTAAGGGCCTTGCTTTCCCTCATCCCGCCTTGGACACGCGACCGGTAGATACATGTGTTAACCCGTCATTTTCTCCCTTAGCTCTCATATCACCAGTGCAGACTCGCTCTCAGCTACCGGAAGCGCTTGACGGACTATATCCACGAAAAATACTTGTCTAACATGACCTTTTATGCCATATCGGCCTTGGATGATCGGATCAAGAATCCTGACCAGCTTGTCACAGTTGATGTCTCCCGTTTCTCGGATAGTCTAGCAGAGCTGTACTCTAATCTGGCCAAGCCAGTGCTTGATATGGCCATCTACAACTACTCCCTCTCCAAGAACGTTGGAGGCGAAGGACTGTTTATCATGAGTCTGCTTGTGCAGCTGTCGGCAAATGTCATGCGCATGCTTACTCCGCCATTTGGCAAATATGTCGCTGACGAGGCTCGTCTGGAGGGCGAATTCCGTTTCCTTCATTCGCGGCTTATTGACTACAGCGAAGAGGTAGCACTTTATCACGGCCACGAGGCCGAGAAGGATACTCTGGACAAGGGCTACTTCACTCTGATCAAGCATGTGAACCGCATCTTGCGCCGACGACTATACCACGGCTTTATGGAAGACTTTGTGATCAAATACTTCTGGGGTGCCTTGGGCTTGATGCTGTGCAGTGTGCCTGTCTTCTTCAAGATTCCTGGGCAGACTATTCCTAGTATGGGTGATCATACAGAGAGTCAGTATACCCTCGCCGAGCCGTTTTCGAAAGAAGCTAACCTTTTCTAGGCTTCGTTACGAACCGTCGAATGTTGCTCTCTTCGTCCGACGCTTTCGGTCGCTTGATGTTCTCATACAAGGAAATTTCGGAACTGGCTGGCTATACCTCACGAGTCTCTTCCTTATTGGAAGTCATGGATGATTTACTCGCGGGACGGTTCGAGAAGAAGCTAGTATCATCTGCCTCCACAGAAGAGAATGCCGAAGTTCTTTCTGGCAGAGGCGAAGTACTGGAAAGCGATGCTATTGAGTTCACGGACGTGCCAATTGTGTCGCCTAACGGTGACGTCCTCGTGCGAAAGCTCTCCTTCACAGTCAATCCTGGTGATCATCTTTTGATTGTCGGACCTAATGGCTGCGGTAAATCGTCTCTGTTCCGGATCCTTGGCGGGCTCTGGCCGGTATACGGAGGTACTGTGAAGAAGCCCCGCTTCGACGATATCTTTTACATTCCCCAGCGGCCATATCTATCTCGTGGTACTCTGCGGCAGCAGGTAATTTATCCGGATGGTGTCCGCGAGATGCGTGCCAAGGGCATCACTGATGATGACCTCTACGAGGTCTTGTCTGTGGTTGAAATCGCGTCTGTCGTAGACCGCCCTGGAGGCTGGGATGCGGAAGAAGAATGGCGAGATGTTTTGTCCGGCGGCTTGCAGCAGCGCATTGCCATGGCTCGTCTGTTTTACCATCGGCCCAAGTTTGCGATTCTGGACGAGTGCACTTCCTCAGTAACTTTGGAGATTGAGAAGGTCATGTACGAGACGGCGAAGAAACTCGGCACCACGCTCATGACTGTCTCACACCGCCGCAGTCTCTGGAAATATCACCAGAAGATTCTTCAATTTGACGGACAGGGTGGCTATATCTTCACTGGATTGGATTGGGAGCGACGCTTGAAGCTTGAAGAGTAAGTTGGACACGATAATAAGGTTGAACCACTAAGTGCTTACTGACCTCTTGCAGTGAGAAGGAAGAGTTGGATCTACAGCTACGGGCTGTACCGGAATTACAACGCCGGGTGGTCGAGTTGACGGCGAACTAGAAGTATATGTGCATAGCGTTGAATGTATGATGTATCCGGCCTCCACTATGTGGCCGCATTGACCAATCCCATCGGCTTAATCTACCTCGGCATCCCACTTTTCGGCATTTCGGGCCCATTCTAGTTTGGACAGCCAATCAGCAATGCGACAATCGGCACATCCTAACGGGGGTGGGTCACGATGAGCCCCACACTGATGTCGCCCTGTACTACGTCATATCAATCTGGTTTGATCGCGAGTCTACCTTGTTTGCGAATGACCAACCTGGCTTGGCTATGGTGGCCCCCTGGAACTCTTAAATTCTCATCTCCCACATTGCCTTCTTCCTGGTCTCCCCAAGTAAATAATCTATACGGAGTACATAAACACTTTTACCCAAAATGGCGATCACCCCAGCAAACCAAGACCAAAAGAGAAAGATTGTCATCTTCTCCGGTATGTTCCTGCACTAGGTCATACACCAGACTAATCCTCAATCCCTCAATTTGCGACATGCTAACACCCCCAAATAGACTTCGATGGCACAATCTTCATGCAAGACACAGGCCACGTTCTCGTGGACGCCCTGGGCGGTGGCGCAGAATATAGACACAAACTAGAAGAGCAGTTCAAGTCCGGCGAGCGAACCTTCCGCGAGATCTCAGACGATATGTGGGGATCACTGAGCATCCCCTTCGGCGACGGCTTTGATCTAATGGCGCAAACCCTCAAGATCGATCCCGGCTTCCAAGAGTTCCACGAATACTGTCTGAAAGAGGGTTTCCCGTTCAACATCATCAGTGCAGGCTTAAAACCCGTTCTTCAACGCACCCTAGACATCTTCCTTGGTGATAAGGTATGCCATCCCCGGAAAGAAGAAACATATACACACCCAACTGAATACTGACACACCCAGGCTGCGACCATGAACATCGTCGCAAACAACCTTGAAGCCCCAGGCGGTATTCCCTGGAAACCTGTCTGGCTTCACGACTGCGATACAGGTCTCGACAAGGCCTTTAGCGTAAATGAAGCGCGCAGCCAAGCCCAGCTCGACTGTCTACCCGGCGAGATCCCACTGATCGTCTTCATTGGCGATGGCGTCTCAGATCTCCCTGCAGCACGAGAGGCCGATGTTCTCTTCGCGCGTCGCGGTCTCCGCCTTGAGGAATATTGCTTAGAGCATAATATTCCCTATACCCCCTTCGACACATTCACCGATGTCAAGCGTGAGGTCGAGGCTATCAGTATCGAGGACCAGAAGAAGACCGGTGGCCAGGGCAAGCCAGTGCGGTATAACCCGCGCGCTAACATGTGGCGTAGTCTTTCCAGTAAAGAGGCTGTATGTTTGACTCTTTCCTACCTTTCGGTTGATGTCTTTACTAATATATTCCAGGTTCCCACACTTCTGGCTACTGGTACCCCTACACCTGCCGAGAAGATGTCACTTTGGCCTGATTATTTCTCTGCGCCTAAGCCTGATCAGCCTGAGACTATTCAGGAATGATCTGGCTTGTGATTAAAACGATTTTTGCTTAACGTGTTATGTCGCTATATTTAGATTTGGTTTCTTCTGTTCTTTTGGCATGGAGTAGGTGTTTCGGACTTGTGCATGGTGCTATGGCCACTGTTTTATATAGATTGATACAGTGAATCTAAAAGTCCACGTCTGAATGTTCCACTTCTCGAAGAGTTTAGATAGGCCATGACAGACCCATTTCAACTTAGAACGTTGGAAGCCTTAAAATTTACCACGTCCTAACTGATAAAGACATCCATAGATGGATACACCCGTAATGATGAATTTATTGTTAAAATAATGCCTGAATGAACGCATGCAGTGAAAAATCAAAGACAAGTTATTAAGAGATATGACCCATGCAAAGCATCTAGTCCCTGACAGGAAGAGGCTCAACGTTCCAGATGCTATCAGCGTATTCGTTAGTGACGCGATCCATGGAGAAGAATCCCATGCGCGCAACAGAAGTAATTGACTTGGCCAGCCACTCCTCCTGGTTCTGGAAGGCCTCATCAACCATGTCGTGCGTGGTGATGTAGGAGTTGAAATCGTCCGAGACAAGGTAGTAATCACCGTGCTCTTCAATTGAGGCTGTTAAGGCGGAGAAGTCGCCCTTGTCGCCGAAGGTATTGCTCTTGATGGCGTCGAAGACGCGCTCCAGCTGTGGATCTATCTTGAAATCACCGTAGAAATGACGGTGGCGGAGATCCTCGACGTCTTCGGCAAGGTTGCCGAAGAGGAAGATGTTCTGCTCGCCGATTTCACGGGTGATTTCGATCTGTGATTGGGTTAGAGATTTGAGTGTGGAGGAAGTGTATATATGTGGAGCTTACATTTGCTCCGTCGCAGGTTCCGATGATCAAACCGCCGTTCAGAACGAACTTCATGTTACTTGTACCACTGCCCTCGGTTCCGGCAGTTGAGATGTGCTCGCTGATATCCGAGGCGGGACAGATGATTTCCGCCTTGCTGACATTGTAGTCCTCAATGAAGATAACTTTCAAAAGATCGCCAACTTCCGGGTCCTTGTTGACAACCTCGGCCACCTTGTTGATGAGGTGGATGATTGTCTTTGCCATCCAATATCCTGGAGCAGCCTTACCACCGAAGATTTGAACACGAGGAACCACCTTCTTCTTCTCTTCGGCGGACATGGCCTTGATGCTCAGGTAGCGGTGGATAACTCCAAAGATGTTGAGCTGTTGGCGCTTGTACTCGTGGATTCTCTTGACCTGTACATCAAAGAGAGCATTAGGATTGACATCGAACCCAGTGGTGCTCTTGATGTGCTTGGCAAGACGCAGCTTGTTCTCCCGCTTGATGGTCGACCACTCTTCGCGGAATGCCTTGTCATCTACGAATGCCTCGATCTTGTCCAAAAGTGTGAGATCCTTCAGGAAGTCGTACCCTCCAAGCTTCTCTGCAATCAACGCAGACAAGCGTGGGTTGGCTTGGTGGAGCCAACGCCTAGGCGTGATACCATTAGTCACGTTCATGAAACGGTCGGGTCCATAGATTTCCACAAAGTCTTTGAAGAGAGTAGTCTTGAGCAGATCAGAGTGTAGCTCTGCCACTCCGTTGACCTTGTGGGATCCAATGATGGCAAGATATGCCATGCGAACCATCTTGGGATGCGATTCCTCAATAATGGAGACACGGGACAGGATGTCTCGGTCTTTGGGGAACCGCTTCTCGACAGATTGCAGGAAGAACAGGTTAATCTCATAGATAATCTGCAAGTGACGTGGAAGCAGGTTCTGCATCAGTGGAACCGACCATTTCTCCAGCGCCTCGGGAAGAACAGTGTGGTTGGTGTAACTGAATGTCTTGGTCACAATCCCCCATGCCTCATCCCACTCGAGACCCTCCTTGTCAATCAGAATACGCTGCAACTCAACAATTGCAAGAGTTGGGTGGGTATCGTTGAGCTGAATGGCAATTTGTTCAGGGAACTCGCTCCAAGCCCGCTTAGTCTTCTTGAACCTCCGAACGATGTCGAACAAGGAGGCAGCACACCAGAAGTATTGCTGCTTCAGGCGGAGTTCTTTGCCTCGCTCGAGATTATCGTTCGGGTAGAGAACCGCCGAGATGGTCTCGGCGTTCTGCTGGTCCGCCACCGCGCTCTCGTAGTCTCCCGCGTTGAACTTCTGGAAGTCAAACTCGCCACTGCTGGCCTTACTAGACCATAAGCGAAGGTTGTTGGTGGTCTTCGTACCATATCCGGGGATGGGAACGTCATAGGCAGTGGCTTGAACAACCTCGCCATCTTCCCACGAATGTGTGATCTTGCCATTTTCGTCTTGGATCTTCTTCACATTACCATAGAATTGAATGTCGACTGTAATCTCGTGTCGGGGGAATTCCCAAGGGTTGTTGTCGAGCCAGTAGTCTGGAATTTCCACTTGGTATCCATTGATGATCTCTTGCTTGAAGATACCATAGCGGTAGCGCAATCCATAACCCCATGCAGGGTAGTTCAGTGTCGCCATACTATCCAAGAAGCATGCTGCCAGACGGCCGAGGCCACCATTACCCAAGGCCGCATCGTGCTCTTGGTTGATGACATCCTCAATACGGAAGCCGAGATCTTTGAGACCCTCTGCGAATCGTCAGTCATCATTCTCGCTGTCCCTCACGGAATCTTAATGATCCGACTTACCGCGAGCCGCCTCTTTCATGCCCACATTGAGCATGGCATTGTCCAGAGCACGTCCCATGAGGAACTCGAGGGACAAGTCTAGGAACTGAGTTAGCCATTTGTCTTTAAAGCTCGTGGTTCCCACATACAGTAGACCCGCTTCTGATCCGTGAAGGTTTGGCGCTGCTGGGTCTTGTTCCACTCGATGATTAACCGGTCTCGGAAAGCAAGGGCAGTACCCGAATAGGCGGCCCTGATAAAATGTCAATTACAGCCACTCGAATAGGAGATAATCACCCACAATTCATCACAGTTGTACAGCGAACGAGCTAGGGTCGTTTCAATGTGGCGGACAAGTTCAGTCTGGAAAGGCAGATAAGCTCGGAACCACGGTTATATACATGCTAGGGTAGCACTCACCTCGAATTCTTCTTTGTTCGTGAACTCCGAGGCCGACTACACGAAATTATTAGCAAGAGTCGAGGTCCCCAGACCTGTTTTCAACATACGTGCTTCCGCCAGCTGTACGGGTCATGCATGGCCATGGTCAGCTTTAGCTCAACGATCGATTGTTCAGTACTTACGCCTCACGGAGTGGCTCTGGAATGCTCGCCTCGACATTCTTGATCTCGGCAGGCCCCAGACCAGTAAAGGTACGTTTGTGCTTGGGGCGACTGAAACCCGGGCCGACAGGGCCCTGGAGGTCGGCAATTGGAGCTCCAACCGATGGCCTCCTCTCCCGGCGAGGCTCAGTAACGGGCACGGTGACTGGGGCAGTTCCCGACATGATTACGGGAATAGAGTACCCCCAAAAATATTAAGCAAAAGAAGTGATAAAAAGAGAGGGAGAAATAAAAAGGAGGAAACAGGAACACAGTGTACTTAAAGAGAAAGAGGGGAAAGAGTACATGCAGTCATGACAAGAAGTGGTGACACCTCTCTCTTTTTTTAGCTTGGGCCAGTCACACCATTTCTCTTTTCCCTTCTCTATAGACATAAGATCAATACAGCATACTACTAATACTACTACTACTACTACTATCTTCTCTAGAGCGGGTCTCGATCTCCAACGGTCCGAGCTGTCCGTGCACGCGACGATCTTCGTGATTTGCTGCAGCTGCTCTGCACTCCATACTCCATGCCTTTGGCTCTCTTTCCCGGTTTCTTGAGACATCATGCCACCGGTCTGTCGCGGATGCTCCCCTCTCCATGGGTCCCCCCAGGTCCCCCCGAGCAGGGGAGCATTTCATATTCCTGATTATGCGCCAAATCCCAGCTCCGGCTAAAGCGGGAAACCCAGCTGTTCAAGCCCAATGTCAGCCTTTCTCCTCCAGCGCCAAATAACCCGTATACACTTTTTCGATTTCTCATTACCCCATGCTTTCACAAAGCGCACAGGTATGGCCCCGCCGATCGCCAAGCGCTGTCCGATCCAGCTCTTTTTCCTACTTCGGATCAGCCCTGGGGAACTTCGTCGCTATCGTAAGCCGCCAAACTCCCCGTGGCCATACCCTCTCCCTCTTACTCGGCCACTGCCAGCCAGCCAGTAAAGATGAGCCCATGCACCTCGTGAAGATCCTAGGATTCAATATTTCAGCCTGTGGAGAACCCAACACAGAGCCTCTGTGCTTCGTCCAGACTGGAGAATGTACCACCTGTCAATGGCATGCATAGCGGGGTGCAGTCTCAGCTTCTGGTTAGGGTTTGGTTCGACGGGAGAGTTACGGGGGCCCAGGCGTGCCTTTGGGACGCGTCAGGGTCGGAGGGGTTCTGGCCTGCGGGGGTCGCGTAGATTCTTTCTCTGTTAGAATGAGTTATATAGCTGTCTTGCTGATGACTCGGGCCCGGTATGCTATATTGATGGTCTTTTAGGCGCCATCCGCGCAAGGTACATGGTCTTAGCTGCGGGGTTGGGCAAGAGAAATACTAGAGCGATGGACCCGTATGCACTTGGTGATGTGGGTGGCTGTTTGACGGGGTGGGGTGCATGGTGCTTTTGAATGGAAGTAAGTCTGCGACATTCCTTTGCTGTGTAGACTTGATGGCAAACTGGGATAGAATTCGCAGTATTTTGGTGCTCAGATCGTGGTTTTGGATGGTATTCTTGCATGCCTTGACGGGGAGATGCTAGTCCTGCGATCAGGCCTGCTATCTCATGCAAGTCCCTGTGTCTTGCAGAAGTACGTGAATAGATTCCATGGTCTGGTTTGATCTGTGATGCTGTCATTTGGCTGACCAGGGTCTGGTTTTCTGTATATTAGCACGCCGAAGTCCAACGGCCATCTTGGGGAAATAGTCAGTCCAACAAGTCCATAAGTATAATCCATGGATGTATACAAGTTGATATCGATGTAACACCGCACTATCAGATCTGGATGCAGGGCTGTTCCTAGACTTATGCAACGTCCTGAAGGCTAAAAGGGCAACTCGCAGTGTTGGATGTCAGCCAATTCATGTTTGGAGAATACAACGTCAAATTTCAAACGACGCCCGATTCTGAAGAAAGGACATCGTTGTTCTGGTCTTTTGATCCCACGTTCCACTGTCACTCCAGACTCGGCCAATATCACACCGGCCAAGGTACGAAGTGATCACCCACGGCTGTTTACGATGGGATCTATCTTAAGTCGAGAGCAAAGACTTGAATGGATTGTATTGACATTTCGATACTAGCCAATCCAATAGCACGCAAAGACTACCTAGGTATGCACCAAAGAAGCAACACCCTTTATCTACGCCATACTGCATTTCAACCTTGAAATCCAAACCTATATCCGAGCTTTGCAGTTAAAGCCACATGGTTCTTGGTTACGCAGAGGATAGACCATGAGAGAATAATAGCCCGGGAGGAATGAAACACGAAGGAAACAGAAGAAAAAAGAAAATCAGGGATGCGGAAACGCTTGGAGTAGAGAGGAAATAGGAAATAGATATAGAGGCGGAACATGGCACATTGGAAATTGAAACCCGCGACGGTATGCAAGAGAAAGGCTAGAAAGCAAGCAAGATTAAGTGTGGAAAGCAAAGAGAAAAGAAAGGGGCTGTCGATATGCCCCGACGGGGTCATGCGCAGAAAGGTCTGACTTGGACGATGCCAGGTCCAGGGCCGATATTAGGATTCTTGCCGGTCTGTGACCTTCCGGCTGATACAACTCGTCCAGGGATTAGCCAGGAAGAAAGGGTACATGGAACTGAAACAGTAGCATGAATGACTGAGTATGCTACAGTTATTAAGAGCAGATAGAGCCACGTTTAGGAAAACCACCTTGAAAGTCAGGTAGGAACCACCACAAACCAGGCCTGGTAAGTTCAGCCAAAAGGCGCCACAACGCCTACAGCTGGTCAAAAGCAAAGAAGAAAAACATGTCGGGAAGGGGTATGATTGATCGTGGGGGACAGTGACGGCTGTCTCCTAGGGAGTATGTCGGGAAATAGCGAGGGCGATGTCGAGAGGAGGGACGGTGTTTGTTTCGTTAGGTTGGTCGGGAAGAAGGAAAGCGTGAGGAGAGCACTCGGGCGACTAGATCAGGCACCTGGGGAATTATTATAGAATACCGGAATCTTTGAGTGCGTTTTGCAGGATCGTTTCTTTGACGGCTGCGAAAACAAGGCGGATATTTGTGGTGTCTGTCGCCTGAGTGAGACTGAAGAGGCGGGTGGTTAGTAAGGTCCGTGGGAAACAACACTACAGACGAGGACTCACTGAGGGTATAGGTTCAGATGTGCGCGGTTCACTTGGTTGAACCGCCAGAGGAGGTACTTGGCAGCGCGGTTCACATCGTTGCCGCCCGAGTAATCGGGGAAGTAGGTGCTCAAGGGGGATCGAGGCAATTTCAAGCGGAACAGATCGACTTTGTTCAGGAAGAGGATGATACTTGTCCGCATGAACCATCGAGAATTTACCACGGAGTCAAAGAGCACCAAACTTTCCATCATTCGATTCTGCAAGGTTGGTCAGTCCGGCACGGAATTCAAAGTGGGCCAAGGCCTCATACCTGATTGCTTTCTTCTAGCAAGACTTGATCGTATTCACTGAGCGCGACACAGAAGATGATGGAGGTCACATTCTCGAAGCAGTGAATCCACTTCTTGCGCTCACTACGCTGGCCACCTACGTCGAACATGCTGTGATTTGTTAGATAAATCCGAACGCGAGTCCTAGTTGTGTCCACATACTGTATGCTCAACTGCCCCATTGTAAATCGTGTCTCGTAGATACCGGTTGTCTTAGTTCTTGCGCGTAGTACATCAGAGACATCCGGGATGTAGTCGGGGGCCGTTATTCGTTTCGCTTCGTCGAAGAAACTAGGGGCTGTCAGTGTTTGGTGCTGGAGTGGGACATAAAGTGGGGGCGTACTATGGTGCGGAGTCCATGAGGTAGAACTCATTCTGGTGCTCTAGAACGGTTGATGTGCATGGGTCGTTCCAAAGGTATGTGATCGCTTCTCCAATCTTCGAATCGAGCGTGGTATTGGGGTCAGGGTCCACGTTGTAGTCCTCAAGGAATGAGATGTATTCCTTAACCTTTGGGCTGGACGGTTCAAGTTGGAGGTAATGATATGCTCCGATCAGAGCTTTCGCGCAGTCCAAGAGATTTTTGTACACCGTCAATCGATAAAGCGCGAGTTCTTCCATGGTGTAGCCATTTTGGTGGATAATCTTCATCTGTTTCACAATCGTCGACTTGCCACTTTCTCCAGATCCTGAAGTCAAGGTTAGCCAGGTCGGATGAAGCTCCACGGCGAGCTCCAGGGGTCTTACCCAACAGAAGAATTTTGCACTCTCTCCGTAGTCGTCGGGAGTCTTCTTCTAGTTTGCGGTCGATCATCTGGCTTCGCTTCTTCTGATCTGCGTCCCCGGCGGATTCTGAGCTGAAACAGGACCCCATGGCGAGAGCTTTAGTGTCTCTGACCAGCAGGGAGTCGACTCATCAATCGCGCGCAAGAGGAAGGAATGCCGGCCCAAACAGTAGTGAGGAGAGGAATTGGGGGTTGCGGCTAGCAGCGCCACACACACGCACACACGGACACACGGACGGACGGGAAATGATCTGCGCGACTCGAGGGTGAAGCGGTAGCGACAGACGAGACAAGCGCAGAGGGGTTCAATGAAAAGTTGGCGAAAGTGAGTTACGAGGCGTGAGAGGTGAAAGGTGGAGGGATTGCGACGAGCGAGTTCGGAAGGAGAGTTGAGTTCGGGTATAGCGGGTGAAGGCGGTCCGTGTACAAAACGGCGACAGACACAGGGTTCAAGGAGAGGAGAGGTTGGCCGGATCACAATGGAGATAGGAGGTTAAAGAAACAGTGTCAGTGCGACCATCGTCATGCTGGGGGAGTGGAGATGCCAGACTGGAGCGAGACGTAAGAAACGTGTACGCTTGCTCGGTAATTAACCCTTTTACCAACGCTTTTTATCCCGGACTTTCTTTTTCTCTTCGTTTCTGGGGGGGGGAAAATGAATAAATCCCACCTCAATTTTGAACTGCAAATTCGAGGGTAGTATATCCTCTTTTCTAGTATTTTCTATTTGGCTTTTACTGGGGCGTTGAGGGGGGAACCCGGGCGACACGTTCTGTCAGATTTCCAGGGTCTTGTACGAGCAAAGGGCAGAAAGTAGAGATCTCTCTGTAGTACTACGCCGATATCTATTTAAGTAGCGCTTTCAATATGCCCTCAATTCTCAGTCCTCAACTCTCATCAGATCAAGGCCCACGTTGTAGGAGGTCTGTACTCCGTACTCCGTATTCACATCCGCAAAAGTGGAGAGTGACGCAAAATCGCTCCGAGTCTTGGCCGATACTCGCTGAGATTGATATATTTAGGACTACGGGGGAGACGGAGGACGTTGGAAACATCTCTTCAGCCCTCCAGGGCTGTCAACAAACAGATTGTGAAACTTGTTTCTTGTTCACTACTCAGGAATTAGACTCTCCTCCCCAATCCGTTCATGAAACCACCACGGGGTACCTCGAGGGTTTGACAGGAAGGCCCTGCCCAGTCATGTCCAACTGATTCCAAGGTCTTGTTGCATGGCCGCAGTAGCGCGGTCGGCCATGTTTCACATGTCTCAGCCGCCAGATCCGCATCGGATGAACAGGGCCGTTTCAATGGCTGTTGGGTATAGGAGGCATGGGAGGTATATTTAAGTAGGAGGCAATTTTACAAGATGCCCAGGTGAACGGAGTACGGAGTACGGAGTGTACATGGGACATGTCACGGCCCACATGACTTATACCTTAAGCTGCTAAGGCCAATCCTACGTCACGGATCCAAGAGTGGGCACGTAGCACAGTCTAGTGCATCGCGCATCTGATAGAGATGCATCTTTTACTTGAGTAGACAATTGATCACCTCGTGGGCTGTTATACGGAATCATGAGCCGGACCTATGAGCGAATCAAGTTGAGCAGTATCCGGTCTTGATCTCGAAATGCATACCATTCCAAGTGCCCGCATAAGGTAAGATATATCCATGGATGTGCCTTGGTCTATCCGAGGTTTTTTTTCCAATAGACAACTTTAGAACCTCGGAGTGGTGGTAATGTTGAAATTTTCCTACTAAGGAATAGATAATAGAGGATACCTAGGTACCCGTGGACATGATTGTGTTGGATCTCGACTAAACTAGAGATCGAGATTTGCAAAGCCGGTTAAAATAGACCGGGGCCTGGGCCGCGTGGCGGAATTTTCACTCGGCACACACAAGGATAGAGAGGTAGGGAGAAAAGGGAGAGAGTGAAGAGATAGGAGAGTACCCTACTATCTATAGCTAGTTAAGTACTCAGGTACTCAAGTATAATATATTCTATATCCTTACAGATATACTCCAGATAGTATACTCCAAATATCAAGACTGTAGAGGCTGAGTCAGCCACATTAAAACCTGGCGGGCAGCCGATGACGTTCACAGGCCTTGTTTTGTGCTTTTCAGTCCCTTCCCCACATCTGCTGCCAACACACTTTCTTCGCGATCCCCCCCTTTCTCGATAGTCTTGCTTCTTTTTTTCTGGACCTTCGTTTCTATTCTTTCGCGACACTTCCTTCATCATGGCGGAATTCGTGCGTGCCCAGATCTTTGGCACCACCTTCGAGATCACCAGCCGGTGCGCAATGCCTCTCAGTTCACGGGTCGCAAGATGGCGGTCTAGGACGCTGTGCTGACTTCTCTTTCTCCCTGTATAGGTACACCGAACTCCAACCGGTTGGAATGGGTGCCTTCGGCCTGGTCTGGTATGTAGCAATCTATGTCGCACGGAAGCGACATCTCAGAAGCAACGCTAATCAGCCCACCGAACAGCTCGGCGAAGGATCAATTGACAGCGCAACCAGTCGCAGTCAAGAAAATCATGAAGCCTTTTAGCACCCCGGTGTTGTCCAAGCGAACCTACCGGGAGCTGAAGCTGCTTAAGCATCTCCGCCATGAGAACGTCCGTTTTTTTCCCTTCTTTTTTTTTGAGAAAATAGCAACTCAAGAGGCTTTCGCTGACACTGCGTAGATTATCAGCTTGAGTGATATCTTTATCTCGCCTTTGGAAGACATGTACGTTCCTTGTGTCTCTAAAGTGGGGCGCATCTAAACTGACGACCACAGCTACTTCGTCACCGAACTTTTGGGAACCGATCTCCACCGACTTCTCACCTCGCGACCCCTTGAAAAGCAATTCATTCAGTACTTTTTATACCAAATTTTGGTAAGGTTTCCTCCAAAACAGCAAGTTTTGCCGCCAAAAAACTCACCATATGATAGCGTGGCTTGAAATATGTTCACTCTGCCGGTGTCGTTCACCGGGACCTGAAACCCAGCAACATTCTCATTAATGAAAACTGCGACCTGAAAATCTGCGATTTCGGTCTTGCTCGAATCCAGGATCCGCAGATGACCGGATATGTCTCAACACGATACTACCGTGCGCCCGAGATCATGCTCACCTGGCAGAAATACGACGTCGAGGTGGATATCTGGAGTGCGGGCTGCATTTTTGCCGAGATGCTGGAAGGAAAGCCACTATTCCCCGGAAAGGACCATGTCAACCAGTTCTCGATCATCACCGAGCTCCTGGGTACCCCTCCAGATGATGTGATTCAGACCATCTGCAGCGAGAATGTGAGTGTTTGCTGTTCGTGAGATGGCAACCGTGAACCCGCTAACCAAATCTATAGACTCTGCGATTCGTCAAGTCCCTTCCTCAACGCGAGCGCCAACCCCTCGCGAATAAGTTCAAAAACGCCGATGCCGATGGTATGTGATGAATGAGTTTACTCCTTAGCCTGACGGATAGGATTGCTGACATTATTTGCCTTAGCGGTTGACCTGCTCGAGCGAATGTTGGTCTTCAACCCGAAGCAGCGAATTCAAGCCACCGACGCACTGGCGCATGAGTACCTGGCCCCCTACCACGACCCGACTGATGAACCCGTTGCGCAAGAGAAGTTCGATTGGTCTTTCAACGACGCTGATCTGCCCGTTGATACTTGGAAGATTATGATGTACGCGATTGATCAGAACTCCGGTCTATTTAAGGTTGCTTTGACTAACTTATATTAGGTACTCTGAGATCCTGGACTTCCACAATATCGAGCAAGGTAACGAGGCCGGCGAGGCTCTGGTGCAAGGCGGAGTGGCCGGCAGTGCCGGACAGGCATTCGCATAATTATCTGACGTGGTTCATAAGTGAAAGGCACACCCTCCGATCCTTGGATTCCAGTCTTTGAATGCAGAGCCTGGCCCTATTTCTGTTCAATGGCGTCGTGAGGCTCGCATGTCTAAGTCTCTTACCTTTTCACATTCTACTAGTCTTTTCTTTTTTTTTTCCCTTTCTTTTTTGTCTTTTGTGGAAACCATTGTCCATAGCTTTTCCGGCGTCGTCAGAACTGGTTGGTGATTAGGAGAAATCATACGGGGGGATCTGATTTTGTTGCACGATGGGCCTCTCATATCCTTTAATAATTCGAATTGTTTCGGCAATCCCCTTCTACCCTTCTGGCCTCGTCCCTGTCTCTATATCCAGCTGAATGTAAACCGGATATATACTACGGAGTACGGAGTAGATGTGCCTGTGTTTAAGTATGCGATAGATTGGCGGGGCTCCGATTCACCGCCTGTGCCTCGGCCACTCACAACGCGCATGATAACCATATCACTCTCCCCTGTTTGCGACGATCTGCATGGGCAACCTCGAGGTTTCGGAGGAGACCACCTCATTTCTGTCGCAAACCACTCCCTGGACCCATTCATTGCACCACACACCCGGGTCAATCCAAAATTAGTGAATCGCATGATCCGGCGTGATGGCTGCCCAGCATAAACAAGACCCGATTGTCTTGGTCATAGATTTCCACCATGCACGGTGAGCCAGACACCCCCAGGCCTAGTTTCCCATACGTGGGGACCAAAAACTCAGCCAGATCCATATCTGTAGTTAGCTGACTGAGACATGCCCCCCCGCAGAGGCCCCGAGATCGAGCATTGCATTGCCGACGAAGGAACCGACCCAGCAACCGAGAATGACTGGTCCCTGCTACCTTTCATGGCCCTATCTGACGGAGCGCACCTGTAAGAGAGACCCCGTCGCTGAATATGATCCGATTCCGTGCCTTGTGATATTCAAGTTCATGCACCGGAGAGGGAGTCACCTTGCGCCAGACCATCTAACGTGTTGAATTGTAGGTCGACGGAGGAATTCTCCTACTTCACTCTTTGCCGAAAAGACACTCCTACCATCTCTGCGACGTCTCTATTCGGTATAGCATGCTCCCGCCAGATCGACGCAAGTCTTCTCATCAACCGCTCGGCTGATGTGACACGATCAACGGTACAGAAAGCCGTTGTGGTTGTCACAGATACTCCGCAACGAGTGGGTCAGTTGCGTGAGAAGCTTTCCGTGGTGACATCGGCGTGGTTTGCGCAACGGTATGTCGAACCATGTCCTCTGGGGGGTGTATATTGGACTCTCTTCATGCGCCGACGTGACATGCACATTGGAGGAGACACGTTCATGAATCCGATTGTAGCTAACATAACATCTTTGATATCAGTGACTTTTCTGACATCGATATTTTGAAGGTATGTCCTGTCGATAGCAGTGCGTCGAACAAATATTAATTTGATTGCAGAAATTCAGGGAGGGCCTGGTAATTTCTCTCTTGAATGATGATGGCCCAACGGATCAGAACTTGGGTAAGAAGACGAGCCGTTACGATCAATTTGAATCTCCGCTGAAACTTGAAGGCCTTTCGCTTCGGGAAATGGTTCACGAATTTAAATCCCAGACACTGGTTCTTTTCAAGGCACTGTTGTTGCAGCCCAAGATGCTCTTCTTCGGGACGCGCTGTGAGCGCCTTTGCATGATTCAATTCTCACTTATATCTTTAATACCCGGTCTCATTAACAGCCTGCAAGACTGCGCGGACCCTGCTTTCGACACATACTCCCAAACAGTCGAGAAGCCAACCTCTCTCAAGACGAGCGACCGGAGCTCCTTGTTAGCATACATGGGTCTTCCGCTACAAATCTTCGGGAAAGGAAGCATGTTTGGCCCCTATACACCTCTCCAGCTGCTGGATCTGCTGGCAGATGATGGGACGAAATCCTATGTTGTTGGCTCAACAAACTCCCTGCTCCTCCAGCAAAAAGATCGCTATAGTGACATCCTAATCAACCTTGATGAAGACAGCATTGTCATCAACACCCCTTCTCTTCGGAATGCCCTGGCCCTTTCTGCGGCAGACAGACGGTGGATCGATCTTCTCACGCAAATCGTCAACGATACTTGGGATGAGGAGCACCCCTCTCAGCCCAAAACACTGGGCTTTATGGGCTCGGAAGAGTTCATCCGACTGCAATTCGAGGAATACCTGCTGGCATTATTGTCCTCCATGAAGTATCACGAAGAACTGTGTTCGGTCAATAATGGAGACTCTCCCACCCGCAGCAAAGCTCAACTGCAAAACTTTAATATTGAAGGAGACCCGGCCATCGATTTCAACACAGAGTTCCTGACCCAGTGGCAAGGAACTTCTAATTATGCACTATTCTCACGCCTTACTTCGGACGCACTACTCTTCTCCATCACAGAGCCACGGCATCCCAACGCTGGCGGATTAACTATGGAGGACGTCCAACGACGCATTTCCCAGCAGGTCGCAGATCTTCACCTGGACGACCGAGTACGTGAGGGCCGCGAGGCCCTAGGTCGCCACTTCTCCACAGGCCAGAAGAAGGTGAGCGCTGCGTTCAACAGCTTTTGGTCTGACATAGAGACAATGCGTGAAACGCAGCGCAAACGCAACGAAGAAAAAGCAACAACTCAATCGCAACGTGCCTCCTTAGAAAAGGACACCCCTCTTTCACCCACCCCTTCACAGGATCCCAATGATGCCCGTCCCCGGGCTTCCCTCGACGTGAGCCAAGCTCAGGCCTCTGTGGCTGTAGCTGGCCAAAAGGCAGGCGCGTATTTCAGCTCGTGGGGATCATGGGCAAGCGAAAAACGTCGCGAATGGCAAGAAAAGCGCGTTACCTCACCAAACCCGAACACCGGTGCTAGCCCCAGCATCGTCACTTCGCCATCCGCCCCGGCGCTGACCATCGTCACCGAAACCGCAGAGTCAGACCGCGGTCGTCGGCGTTCCATCCAGCACCACAGTGAGGGTGACGCTCCGCCTTCTCCTTCCCCTTCTGCCGCCGAGGGTGGTCTCACCCGCAGCGTCAGTCGCAGAAAGAGATGGAGCAACATCCTTTTGCGTCGCGAGAGTGGCGAGTTCCAACGCCGTGATGATATTTCGACCGCTGAATCGCAGGACGTCCCGTACCCCAAATCTCCTCTGTCACAGGGTTTCCCTGCCTATGAGGACGAAGGCAAACAGAGTCTCGACAGAGAGCCTGGGATCCCGGCTGGAAAGAGTTACCAAAATACTGTTGACGCAGATGGGTTCTCCTCTGTTGCTCTGACGCCGAACGAGGGCCTGGGTCTGAGCTTGGGAGACGGTAAGGCGAAGGAGAATGTTGTTCCTGGTCATGTAGACCCCGAGGAAATGATCACGGCGCTTCCTGTCAAAGACGACCATACATCACAGTAAAGCTCGTCTGGCACGAGCTTGGGCTTGGAATCTGCATTTGGGCGCCTGGCTTTGCGTGAAGGTTCTCCCCATTTTTGTCTAGGGTTCTGCAATCCCATACCTTTTTTTTGCATGGTGCTTTGCCTCGGCAAACCCCCGAGAGACTCTTTTCGTTGGATATACATGAGCCTCTCTTGCATGGGGAGTGCACTGTTCATAGGGATCATTAATGCCACGCATTTGGTGCGATATCAATACTCAGTTCTGTAATTATGTTCAACTCCTTGTTCTTGCCTAGTAGATGCTCTTGCCAGGTACTTCATGGACCGTTAAGCACCACTAAATACGAATCCGACAACCTGATAACGTCCTTCACGCCTTCAATCTGAATACGTACTTTTGGGCTTGATACCAGTGAGTTGGTCACTGGACAATACAACCTTGGAAGCCCAATCTATTGTAACGCCTGATCCGAAACAAGTTTATTATGATGTGAAGCTAATAATTCAAAGAAAAGGAAGTACAAAAAAGATTAAAAAGCATCTGGGTCATCATTGGTTTGTCGTCTCAACGCTATGAAGAAAACTTAAAATAAATCACCGACGCAATGAGAAGATTTGTTCTCTCCAGATACCACCCATCAGCTACCCATGTCGAACATCCAATGCTCCGCCGGGAGGCCAAGCTTGTGCATGGAGCGCGAGAAGTGTAGGCCAGCCAGCGATGCCCGAGGGGATGTTGTTCAGAGCAACGAGTGGTATAGAAAAAGGGGAGGAACATAGCGAGTTTGCAGGATGGAGAGGGCGGAGGTGGTCAGGGGTGTTTATGCAATGTAAGAGATTTCATCACCGTCCATGCGTTCAATGTAGTCCTTCTCCATGAGGGCTTCGATGTTCTTTTTGATATCGGGGATCTTAGGCGGAAAGCGGGACTTGACCTGCTGAATGACTTCTTGCACAAGTTGAACGTGCTTCATCTTCTTGCGCGACTTCATGATGCGGACGATGGCGGACTAGAGCGGTGTTAGGATGAAATATCAGTCTAAGCAAGTTAATAGAAAACATACCTGAAGGAGGAGCTTCCGATCCTCTTCTATCGTCTTGTGTGTATCATCTGCCTCGACCCTTTGCTCAGATTTGATCTGGATGTTAAGGTTAACCTTGACCTTCTTGTTCTTAAAGTTGTAGTTCAAGGTGAAGGAGGTCGAAGGCTCTGGTTTAGCATTCTCGGGGCTGGCGATAAGAACCTTCGCCTTGAGCAAGATGCTAAGGTTGGGGTCTAGGATTTCACTTGTCAAGGTGGTGGCCTTTTCGATCTCGGAGTAAGAGAGAGTGTCGGTCTCATTGAAAAGCAGGAGAATTCCCATTTGGTATGTCGACACCTGGAAAGTGTAAGGCACCTTGGCGCTCTTGATATAGTTTGCCTTGATTTCTCCCTTGCATAGCTGCCACAGCCATGTCAGTTTGCGACCACTGTGCTTGTCAAAGTAGAAACTCTGGAATCGCTCGGCGGTCTTGACGATCTCAGGAGGCGCAAGGAAGGGTGTAGTAGGGGCGTTTAGAGGCCAGAAACCAGTTCCCAAGATCTGGAAGTGAGCGTCGGCCATGCGCCTTCGGTCATCGTCATCAAGGACCTTGTCTTGCCAGTCTTTGTAATTGTTGTTCAGATCTTTAGAGATCTGCATGTCTTGGAACATTCGCTGAAGCTTGTTAGTGTATTCAAATCCACATGCCTCCTTCAGCTTGCTGATCATGCTTGTTTCAGCATCGTCGGAAACAGAGCTGACGTGAACCAAGCGCTTCGCCAGATTTTTGGAGTAAAACTTCTGGAAGACATCCTTGTCTTCGATGTACTTGAAAACGGTCATAATCTGTACCAGCATTTCCTCGAGTTCTGACTCTTCAGCGGACTTTGATCCCTTCTTGAGCAAGGAATCTGCGTACTTGGCTAGCAGTTCAGGGGACTTGGAAGAGCTGGTCTTGCAAATGCGATTGCGGTTGACGAACTCCCGACAGGCGTTGTCCAAAGACCGTACGAACTCAGACTCCCCATTGAAAGCATCGTCGACAAGATTTTGATACCGTGTGTGGACCTGCAGAAGAGCATCGACGTAAAGCTTGGGCTCAAAGTTCTCTCCATCCGAAGCAACCTTCTCTACGGCGGCCAAGCCGGCTCGTCGCACATGGTTCTCGAATGTCGTACGCAAGGGATCGAGACCATCCTTGATACGTGAAAGAAGACGATACATACGAGCAAGATCTTCCTGTCGTTCGTTGTCCAGCAAGACTTGGAACTCATCACGAAGTAAAGTGGAGTGAGCAGTGACAAGAACAGCCAGGCAGGTATCTGTAAGAGACTTGGTGACATCGTTGTGCAGGTACAAACCAACACGAGCCTTCTCTTCATCCAAACGAGCCTCCGCCTTCTTCATGTACTCCACCACACTGTTTTCCGCCACGAACTGCCGCGACTCATTTTCGTAATAAACCTCGGTGGCAGCAATGAATGGCTCTTGGAAGTATTTGCGGTAGACTTCCAGGGTTGACTTGGAACTGTCATTTTCATCGAGACCCAAAGACACGAAAGAATCGACGATGGACTTGATTTGGGACTGTTCGATGGTCTCCCCGTTTCTTTGCTTCTCGATCAAACTAAGAACGGCATCCATAACCTTCGCGTGCACGTTCTCAAAGAAGTCATTCTTCCATTTGACGAGGTGTAAGGTGTAGACATCGTAGACATTTTTCTTTCCCTCGTCAATCTCGCGCTTGACCCAGTGACGGTTCAGGTACTTAAAGATGTGGTTGACATATTTGGCGGCGGTCGTGTAGCGTTCCCATTCGCGAATGTAGAACCCAAGCAGGCCCTCCTCGGTGTGTGTCTGTGACTTATCGAAAACGTCGCTGAGATGGCGTGAGAGGTATTCGCCGAGTAGTTTGTAGAGTTCCTCGCCGAGTAGGTGGGCTTGCCTCCAGGTTAGTCCAGTTCGACTAGCCGAAGAATGATTGGATGGGGGAGAAAACACACCCCCGCGTTGCCCTTGTTGAAGTCCCTGACCACTTGAAACGGCTTTTTGTGATGTGCAGAAATTATGGACGGCCCTAAAATTGGAACGGTGAGCGGGGTTCCGGTCAACTGGGGATCGAATGTCCAACACACGTGTATAGACCCATGTACTAGAAAAAGAGAAACAGTCAACATCTGTCACTTTGGAGGGAACCGCATACGGATAGCGAGGTTTTTGTTCTTCAACATACAGCCTTCATGTCAATACCACCGTCGAGGTTGAGCATGACGCTCTGAATTCCGTCCTCAAGAAACGACCAACTATCGCCAAGTCAGCGCCTACCGCATGTTCGCATTATTGCCATTGTGACGTTTAACCAACTCACGTAGAATCAAGGTCATCCTTGTGGGGAACCGGTGGCATCGCTCGAGACATCGTGACGACAAGGGGGCACCGAGGCAAATGAGATAACAAGACAAGCAAATGTCCCGGGCTAAGTGACCTTTTTGACCCCGTCAGTATACACGCAGTGTTATCGCAAGCATTCAAAAAGGCACATACCCAAAGTTTACTCAGAGGGTTGCAGCGCCACAAGTCACGCCTCAAAAGATCTTCGTGATCGAATGGGCTACGCGTTTTGGGGAAGTGGGCGCGGTGAGGGGGATCGGGAGTTTCGAATGTGGAGACGGAAAGAAATAACGCCCACCAGATCTGAAAGCGAAAGTAAGAAGAGAGATCAGGCAGAGAAGAGGCCTACAGCGGTCCGTGGGGACGAGGAGGTTTGTCAGCACGGAGATGTCGTCACTGCAGCCCAGGTGTCGGTCGTCACTGCCTGTCTTATGTTCCTACCTCTTCATCTCTCTCTCACTTCTCTTCTTTCTCGGTCGTCACTGCCTGTTTTATGCTCCTACCTCTTCATCTCTCTCTCACTTCCCCTCTTTCTCGAACTCCAAACGTTTTACTTTCTCTTTCTTCACCATGGACTCCTTGTCAAAGTTCGCACCAGGCACCGAACGTCCCGATCCCCTTTTGCAATTAGCGAAAGAACTGAATCCCCAGCCGTTAAGGAAAAGCTCAGATCTCGGCACCGCTCTCACACTCCATCGGGGAAGCCTCGAGCACAACCACCACGAAACCCAATACCTCGCCTTGAAGTCAGTTCCGCCTGCAACGATTTCCACCTGGAGACATCAGCAAACCAAAAATTTCAAAACCATTCGCACTTGTTATAACGCAACACAACAACTGCTCATTCTGAAGGTAATGCCCAACGATGCGCACGAAACACCATCCAGAATGTTCAATACTTTCGTCGATACGAAACTGCTCGCTATGGGAATCGACTACAATGTAGTAGTGCCGACGGGAACATCGACAGTGAGGATAGGCGACTGGACTAAGGAGCCCGACTCTTCCTGGGCGCCAGTTGCGTGGAATGGTCAGAAAAGTTTCGTGCTTGAGGTCGGACTTTCAGAATCGGATCCACATCTGTTTCAGATGGCCAGAGGCTGGCTGGAATCGCCAGATACGACAGTTCAGCTGGTAGTGACACTGAGCATTTCCCGCCGAAGTCCAACAATCACTTTTCAGACTTGGATATTGGAATCTCACAGAACGATGTCAACGAGAGGCTATTCGCCTTCTGCAATTGTTCGGTCGCAAATCACTCTAACCCGCGACGGTAATGTGACAACTGTTGACGGAAATGTTTACCTCGGAGACACCACTGCGCCGATGACCCAGCTTGAGTTGCCGTTTGAGAAAATTGTCGGCCGCCCTCCGAATCAGTTGCAGGAACAGGACCTGGTCATTAGCAGCGACGAGTTGAAACAAATTGCGCGGGGTGTTTGGCGAGACCAAGGCTTCTGGTGAATTGTTTTTTATAAAAATTTTTTTATCAATTACTTTCAATGAATTGCTTTATGAATTACGATTCACTTGCACTCCGCAAAGTATGGTATCTTAGCTATTGCTTTCCGATTCAATTATTAATAGGGATACAATTATCTTTCTTCCTCCCTTCGTTTCTGTGCTTTGCTGCCTTACATTGGCCCCTTCAGCGAGAGCCACACTAGTTTCAAGCTGATCCAAGCAAGAGATGAGCCTAGAGTAGAAGGGATCCAGATTGCGCATGGTGCCTTGATCCTTCATCGGTGGGGTCGGGTATAGGCACAGTCGAGGGCCGGGAAGATATCCAGATGGTTGGCGCTCATCCACACGAAAAGTGATGAGATATGCGGCACGGAGAACCAAATGAGAATGAAGAGGTGCTGAAAACCAAGGGTATGGTGAATTCCAGCGGAAACCTGTGGCACGGTGAGGATAAACCTGAGCGGCAGGTGTGACCAAAAGGAAACCTGTATTGATTAGATGACATTAAATTATTTATCCAAGAGTCAAAGTCTATGAAACTGAATCGCCAAGACACCAGATCACTGTGTCACTCTCTCGACAAGTCTAGACAAGCGTGTTAGTAAAAGTATATCAATAGAGCCAACCCAAATACAGGACGCGACATACCTAAGGACACTTATCGAGAAGGTCATAAGCCAGGCCAAAAGTGCAACTAGCAGCACAGATGCAAGTGCTTTTTGCCGCACGCAGATATGGTCATTTCGGGGATCAACCACCTGGTTGACCTCTGCTTCGGTGCAGGATCCGGTCACTTCGGATAGAGAAGCAAATGCCAAGCTAAGATTGGCAGAATCAAAGACAATAAAGAAGATGTCAAGAAGGAGAAGCCGCGCTTTGGCGGAAGGGGAGCGCAGACCAAGTGGTTTCGACGTATACTCATCGAAAGTGATGTATAGCAAATATACCAGCGCGACGGCGTCAACAATGATTGCCATCAAGGCCGATGGGCCCTGGGGGTGCTCGCCCTCGTTGGACAGGTGCTGAATCGAGCCGCCAAGAGCCAGAGCAGAAAGTGAAAAGCACCAAACAGTCATTCGAAGAATCAATGGCACCAATGGACTCCGCAGGAGCGTCTTTTTAAAGCGTTTGATCCAGATCTCCCTTCGACCTCCACTATGCAGTGGATACTCCGGACTATCACCCTCCAAATGTTTGCCTCGCCATGGCTGCAGGTAGTCCCCGTGATTTTGGTTCATCCATTCGGATGTGACTTGCTCCTGCTCTCTGCCCGGTTCCCTTGGGTATTGGATAGTCCGCGAGAATGTCACCCAACGCGATTCACGATTGTCAGGAGCAGTGTCATCCTCGAACAGTCCATTGGTGATTGATTCAGTATGTTGGTACTTGGAGGATGATGCATATGGAGAGTGATTGTGATGGGCTACAAATGCGTCGTTGGGTTGGGAGGGAAGTAAACGATCGGTGACGGTAGCTTCATCCCCATCATCCTCGGGTTCTTGGACTGACCGAACCCATGCTACGAGGTTTCATTGTCAGTAAAGAAACTGCGTAATCAGGTTCGAGCAACTGTACCGGGTAAGGTTCGTAAGGGAGAGCGATGTGAATAGGTGACCTCGTCTGCCGTCTGTCCGTTTGGACGCGCAAGTGCGGGTGATGGATTATAGGAAGTGCGAATGGCAGCCCCGGTATCGACACTCAAGTTATTTGGGACAGCCGGTGTCTCTGGAATAGGCGCAGGGATCTTATCTGCCAGTCTCTCGCTGAAGATGCGCCCTGCGGCACTGTCTTTGGAGCTGTCCATAGGGGGGAAGATGGAGCTACTAGAGAGAGAGATTTGGAACGGGGTAAGAGTCAATCAGCAGTTCACATCACTTCCCGTGCTGGAAGTCAAGGCCCCGATTGCTCCGAATGGGTCAAAATGGGAAGTCCGCAGGATCTCAAAACGCGAGCCGGAATGACGTCTCCAGCCTAAGGCCTGTAATCCCGCGCCATCCCTTCCAGGTTTACACAGCCCACCGCAGAAAAAAAAATCCAAGACGTTTCACGATTTTTGACGCGAAAGAACTCTTTGTTTACTTTGAATCACTTGAATTGAATCCCTTTGATATCCCCCGAGCTATTACTGCATTTTCCGCGAGCCATTGTTTCGAATATCCACTATGCGACTCTTCTTAATCCCGATCTCGACGAAACGAGTTCTCATATATGCTCGACCCCTCCGAAGGGATCTCTCTAATGAGCTCTCATACCTCGATCGAATTACGACCAAAGCAGCCGAGACATGGGCCAAATGGGAGGAGGCTGATAAGGGTTGGAAGATGCACTTAGTGCGCTGGGGCAATCGAGTCCAGCAACGGATACCATACGAGGAATGGGGATTGAAGAGCATTCCCTCACTCGAGGCACAGAAGCGCATCAATAAAGACCACGGAACGAACAAGATCGACGTGCTGTTCCCTGGAAATGCCATGCGACTGGAACGAATCTCCCCTGTGCTGCGCCAGATCGCCACGGAGAGGCAGGAGCTTCACAAAAAGCGAATGATGTGGAGTTTTATTGCTGCACCATTCACAGCACCACTTGGGCTGATTCCAGTGTATGCGCATCTACATGCGAAAACGCAATGAGCGGATGTTAACAAGATATTAGAGTGCCGAACATCCCCTTTTTCTACCTGGCATACCGAGGCTGGTCCCATTGGCGCGGTTAGTTTCGCTATTTGTTCCCCAGGTGGTTTCGACGTGAGCTGACAAAATGTCTTTAGCGCTGAACGGCTCTAAGCATCTGGAATTTATTGTTGAGAAGAATCTCCTAAACCCCATCTCGCTGCCGGAGCTAGAAGACCTCTACGCGAAGCGCGCCTCCCGAGTACTCGAGAACACCACCAAGGATACCCCATATTCAGAAGTTGCGGAAGACATAGAGCAAAGTGACGACCAGGTCTTGCTCAAGATGTCCGATGCCAAGAAATTGGCTAAGATCCTAGAGGCGCCAGACCTCGCTCTGGAGGCCGAACGGGCCATCATCCAAGTCAGCGAGCAGCTTGAGGCTGCTAAGAATGCTAAGAAGACAGAGACAACAGATGAGACCCACGAGGACAAGAAGAAGTCATGAAATGCGGAGGATTTAATCTATTTCACTCGAAATCATTGAACTTGCCTTGGAGACGGTGATATTTGTTACAGCCTACTCAGCGGGGACCATGTACAATAATGCAAGGAAACAAAATTAGTAAATAATCATCAATGAGTTGAAAAACAAAACCTCCGAAATCGATCAAAACGTGAAGATGAAAATAGACGCGATGCCCGATGACCTCAGAGCCCCTGGCGGTAAGGTGGACGACCCGTCTCCCTTCCCACCTTCACCCACTTCAACCATTCATCGGAGCTCCATCATGTCGGCCAAAAAGATTGAGCAATGGGAAGTTGAGCGGTATTGGGAAATCTTCGCCTCATTATCAAATGGTCAGAAGCACCTCAACAGCTCCCAAGCCGCCTCGGTGCTGAGGAACAGCCGGCTGCGCGATGATCAGCTTGAGAAGGTCTGGGACATTGCCGACGTGGACGGGGATGGAGAGCTCGACTTCGAGGAATTCTGTGTTGCGATGCGCATAGTGTTTGACCTGGTCAATGGCGTAAGTACCTGGCCCCTTTCAACCTCGCTCAAATGGTCTGACACGGGTGTCTTATCTGCAAATTAGGTCCTACAAGAGGTCCCCAACGTTGTGCCAGACTGGCTAGTTCCAGAATCCAAATCCCACCTCATCCATGCGACCCGAGCACTCAGCGGCGGGCAGGAGCAATTCGAGCGCATAGAAGACGAGGACGATAACCTGGGTCTGAAGGATGGCTTCGATTGGTACATGAAGCCTAACGATAAGAACAAGTATACCGATATCTACGATGCCAACCGCAACGCCCGAGGCCAAGTAGAATGTGAGCAGCCCATGTCAAAGCGCATGAACACCCCGCTGACAGGCACCAGTCCAACAATTACAGCCGCTTTATGAATCGCTTGATGTTCCCGATACCGATGTCCGCTCCGCGTGGAACCTCGTCAACCCTTCAGCATCACCCGCAATCAACAAAGATGCCACTCTTGCTTTCCTACACATCCTGAATTTCCGCCACGAGGGCTTCCGCATCCCGCGCACCATCCCCGCATCCCTGCGCGCCTCTTTTGAAACCAACCAGATTGACTACCAAATCGACAAGGCGGCCCCCGCACAACGCTACGGGGTAGACGGGGAGACCGAAACCCGCACAGGCCGCAAAGCCAAATTTGGCGACACATACCTCGGCCGGCTAGGCGTCGGTGGCAAGAGCTCTTACCAGCCCAAGGGCACTGATTTCAGCGACACGGTCCAAGACGAGGAATGGGAGAAGGTGCGGCTGCGTCGCGAACTGGCTGAGCTGGAGACCAAGTTAGGCGCGACGCAGAAAGCCTCGGATACTCGAAGGGATGGACCGAGGAATGATGGTCGCCCGAATTGGGTTCTTATTAAGAAGGAGGCGCTTTCTTTGCTGGAGTATAAGGAGCGCGAGCTCCGTGAGTTGCGTGAAGGATCTGGCCGTGCTAAAGACGGACAGGACCTTGAACGACTGAGGGAGGACGTCAAGACCGTTGGGGAGCAGGTGGATGGCCTGAAGGCTCATATGTCTCAACGGCATGATGTCCTAGCGGACCTGCGCAGTCAGATTGAAGACGAGAAAGCTCGGCGGTGATCCATCATTCTCTCATCACAGAGAGTCTTCGGGTTCTCGTGAATTTTTAGTTGCATATACATACGCCCTGCTTTTTTACTTGCGAACTACCTTGTACAGCCATTTACTTCTTAAAGAGCTTCAGGCGCCGAATGGAATTTATCACTTCATATCATCTGACTTAGAAATTGGGAATAGAAAGGTGGCTGGAACAAAATAAGTCACTTTCGCGATGCCTTTTGAGCATTGATGTACTGCCCATTAGCATAGCCAAGAATAGCATTGACTTCCCCCATATTAACACTGGAAGAAGCAAGAAAGAAGAAAAAACCGGCTTATTACTGCCGCTTGAATATTTCAATAGTAAAACAGGTATCGTACATGAGAATGCTTTGCGCACCACCTAGCCCTAGCCCGGCTTGTATGCATCCCAACGCCAAACCGACGAATCCATCAGATGTTAGTACAAGCCAGAACCACCAAAGCAGTCTGGCAAATGGTAAGGAAACTTATGACGTATGTTTTGACCGAAAGCCAAACGATTTACGAAAGAATGCTTTCGTCGGGATCACGCTTTGTTTCGACAGCAACGAAAGCAGCCCCGTTGCGATCGAGGCCTTTCTCGGCTCGGGAATAGGCTTCCTCGGAACGATCGGTCAAAATATCAAGATCTTCATTCGACAAGACGGATGTAGGGTCATTGCCAACTTCGAAACGCTCGAATTCGTTTTCGCCGAGGACTTTGCGAAGTTCATCCACGTCCTGCGAAGCTGCGCCGGGGTCCAGGAGGGATCGGAATTTGCCTTTCTGAATGACGAGGCGCTCGAGACGGCGCTTAGAGTCCGCCTTTTCAAGCAAGGTCTGTTCCACAGTGCCCTTAGTTGCCAGTCGGTAAATGATCACTGGGCGGGTTTGGCCGATGCGGTGTGCCCGATCCTGGGCTTGGAGATCTTGCTGGGGGTTCCAATCCGAATCAAACAGGATCACGGTGTCAGCTGCGACAAGGTTGATGCCCTGACCGCCAGCTCGGGTGCTCAGCAAGAAGATCTTATGAGACTTCTTCGTATTAAAGTCCTTTATTTGATCCCGACGATCTGACTGCGCAATTGCGCCATCAATGCGGCAGCATTCCCAAGACCGTAGGTTCGTCGCATACTCTTCAATGATGTCGAGTTGTGTTTTAAATTGAGAGAAGATAAGGATTTTGTGTCCTTTCTCAAGGAGACAAGAGACTAAACGGTCCAGCAAAAGCATCTTGCCAGAAGCAGAGACAAGCGTTTCATCTGGCGCATCAGACTCGTCCATCCAAGGCCAGTAGAAGTTGTGAGGTGAGTTACAGGCGAGTCGTGCCTGTAACACTGGGTTTTGCATCTTCTTTTGAGCAATCTCCTTCTCTGTTACCATTGTTAGCGAAGGTATAGACATGACACAAAGGTATACATACTGGCTAGTTTCAGATTCTTCGCCCGTTCTTGTTCTACGAGCTCAGTTTCACTAGGCTCATGCTCCGGTTCTTCTTCCTCTTGGATTCCAAGTTCAAGCTTGCGAAGATGTTCATCAAATTCTCCATCACTCTGATCCTGGTATGTCGCCTGGCGGGTGCTGCGACGACGGCGCTTGGATGAATCTGCGTGGCTGCCAGGTGTAGAGGCTTTACTGGCTCCCGTACTTTGGACGGGGGTAGATTCATCGCTGTCGCTTCGTTTCCGCTTTACGCTTTGGGGGCGAGATGATGAAGCACTTTTGCTTTCCAGACGTTCTAAAGCTTTGCCTTCAAGGTATTGCCGCCCTGTCCCATTGATGATTTCCCGGTACAAATCCTTTTGCTCTGCCGTCAGAGGAGCATACAAGATGTACTCCCGCTTCTTTGGGAGAGAATGTTCCACATCTGTCTTCAAGCGACGTAAAAGGAATGGCTTTAGAATGGCATGCATACTCGTGACCAAGTTGCGCTTGCGTTTCTCCACACGTTCTGCCTGGTTGTTGGTATCAAGAACGGAAGAGAAGTCAAACCAGCCCTCGAAGGAGTTCAGGTCATTGAAGACATTGGGCAAAAGGAAGTGGAGGAGTGACCACAACTCTGAGATATTATTCTGCAATGGAGTTCCAGTGATGAGAAGTCGGTTGGCGGACTTGTAAGTCAGAAGCTCCTTGATCAGTTTGCAGTTCATATTCTTTAGGCGATGACCTTCGTCCTGCCAGTCAGTTAGCATCATACAAAGACAAGGCGAAGGAATGCACAAGAGCATACGTACCACAACAATGTAACGCCACTCATATTGACCTAGGAACTTGCGATCATTCATGCAAATTTCGTAGGAAGTGCAGACGACGGGGAAGTCCATATTTCCCTGGTCCTTCATTTTCATGGATTTCCTGCGAATCGCAGCACGCTCAGTCTTTGAGCCGTGGTAGAGCACCGTATTGATTCCGGGAGTCCATCTTGCGAACTCGTCCACCCAATTACTGACTGTACTTAGCGGCGCAGCAATCAAGAATGGACCCTTCACTTTCTTTTCTTTCAAGAAGGCGATCATTGATATTGCCTGAACAGTCTTACCGAGACCCATTTCATCGGCAAGAATACCACAGAGCCCGTTCATCCAGAGTGACTTAAGCCACTCCAAGCCTTCTAACTGGTAGGTCCGCATCTTTCCACCGGTGACGAATTCAGGCTGCTGTGTTGCAACCAACTCTTGTTCACCTATGGCGGTCGGATTGGCCTCATAAACATCTGCCGCTTGTTCAAGGGCTTGTTGTACCGACGGATTTTTCTCGGTCACTTCGACATTGGCTTTTTTGAAGTAATTGGATATCGACTTTCCGTTCCCAGTGGAACGTGCAGGCCGGCCTGGCTTGCTCTTCCTTTTCGTCTTATCATCATTATCAACAACAACATCATCATCATCATCATCATCAACACCAGCGTTCGAGTTCTTCTGTACACCAGGCTCCTGACCGCCCCGAGCACGGGTGGTCCGTTGCGTAGGCTGAGGAGCAGGCTTTGTTTTTTTCGACTCAGTCGCAGATTGTTGGCGCTCTTTAGCTGCTGCCAACTTGGCCTCCTCTTGTTGTTTCTTCATCTTATCCGACATGATAGCAACGAAAACCTAAGGCACGAGAAATAGTGAGACCAATGCGCCCGGATAACATTAACGCAAGTGGTAACGCACCGAACTAGTTTTCAACAAATGCATCAAGGCATTGGCCTTGCTATCCATTTCCACGGCATCCTCCGAGTCAGACAACTCCTCCTTCGGCTTTTCTGTAGGAGGGTTCAACTCAGTCGAATCCAGTGGCGAGGAGGCCGCAGTGGACTCGGCTGCGGCAGTCCCTGCACGGGAGTCCGTGGGGGTTCCTGCAGACTCTGTAGGCATGGTGTTTGTGGTAGGCACTGATCAATGGATGTTTAGGAGGAAATGAATAGATAGCCCGATGCAAGATAGGCTAGATCGATCGCGAATTGACTGGGTACGTCATCCGAAGGGGAACAACAGTGCCGAGGAAATCAAGTTTCAAGCAAAGGATCCCAAGGAACGAAGTACCAGAGACTCGGTCAGCCTTCCTGATGAGATTTACCTTGCGAGGTCGAGACAGCGAACAAGAGTGTTTGAACTGCGAGGTCGCGATGAAAGACGCGATCGAACGCGGTATTTTCGCGTCTGACGCACGGACCAGGTTTAGATGGACTCTACGGACACTTCGTACTTGCAGCACTTGGAATGGCATTTCACATTATCGTATTCCATATCGCGTACTCGTACATACATTGTCTCGGCTTATCTTACTCACCCTAGAACAAACTATCTCGAACGTTCAAAATATTCAACCCAAAAGGACAAAAAGACCAAACGGTTTGCGTTACCGGATGCTCACCCTCTTCTCGCCTTATTCAGACCATTCGTATTCGTCAGTTGGAGATCCGGTTTCGGTTAATTCTTCCATCAGTTCTCCAAGTGACTCGGCGCACATTGCCTTTTCGTGTTCCTCCCAAGAAAATACATCCGTGGACTGAGGTTCTCCTGCTTCCTCGGTGGGCTGCTGAGCAGGGGCGACGGGCGGCGGAATTTCAGCGTCAATCCTGCTTGCCGGATCAGTTGCTAGAGCATCAGACTGTTGCTCGATCTGCATATTTCTCAATGCTTCCATGTGCTCAAATTGGGCTCTCGCAATGTGTCGTTGATATCTGGCTTGGCTGTAGGCATAGTGCCCTGGCCCCACTTTTGGAGGTCGGTCAGTATGGAGACGTCGGCTTATCGGTCTGGCAGGCTGCTGAGCAAAGGAAGAAGGGACCATTGAAGATATGATACCACCATGACCACTTGATGGAGAACCGCTTGGCATTGCCCCCAACCGGGCCTCTGCTGGATATTCTCGTGGTCGAGGCAAAGGCAAAGTTGAGGCTGACACCTGTCCGTGCAGAGGTACGAAACTTGGGGGGTATACACCTGGGGGATACACGGCTGGGGGCATCATAGCCCGGACAAAGCTACCCGGGGGAACAGGGCCCGAAGGAACGACAAACTGAGGCAAAGTGACTTGAGGCATCCCGCCTTGGGGCATGGCAAATTGAGCCATCGAACCTCCTACCACAGCGACAGGAGGCATGGTGATCTGAGGCCTGACAAACTGAGGTGCATGACCTGCGGGCACTGCAGCTTGAGAGACATATCCTTGGTGCAACGTGCTCCGGGGAGTATCGCCTCGAGGCATGATACCCGTCATTTCATACTGCTGAATATTTGCTGCATTCCGTCGGCCCAGGTGCAAGTTGACCATTCCACCTGCGCGAGGCCTTGTGGTATCCCAAGACAAACCGTCTTTTCCTTTTTCAAAATATTTCCCCCAATCTTGAGAAACATCTTGTTGAGATCCCTTCTTCTCTAGATCCGCAGGGTCTACTGCACCTCTGCCAAAACTGTTGACAAATTCCAGGTTCCTCTGGATAGCTTCCGCCTCAGCAGGGTCTGGCGGGGGCGGCGGAGGAGTGAATCTCAATTCTTTTTCCCATTCAAACACATCGGGACCAGGATCATTCTCTTCCGATTCTTTCAGCACCACCAAGCTGTCCCCCCAGTTGCCTGCATAGCGACGAGGCAACTTCCGGTTGTGCAAGTATTGCCTGGCCTTGAGAAAGTCATGCGATTGGCACATCATCAGGTTTGTGTACCTGTTGATCATTCCTTTGGTGGTCTCCCGAATGATCTTCCTCAGCACCAACTGAGGAGGCGGGTCAAACATCTTCAAGTCGCTATTGTCGATTTTCATGAGAGTGCTACGTTGCGTGGCTCGCATTTGCTCAAGATGGCTGTTCTCTAGCAGGATTTGTTTGTTTCGGATCCCGATATACTCCATGAGCTTTTCGTACTCTGGTTTTCCGATACCGAGTACACGATGGAGAGCATAATGATTATAGTCTGCCATCATGTTCTCGTAGATCTCGACTTGCATAGCTGGATTGAGGTCGTTCCATGCTGGATTGGGGATCTGAGACATCGACGAATATCAGAATCGTTTCATTTGGTCAAACCGACGGACTGTTTCATGAACTCACCTTCTCCATAAGCACTTGGGTCGCATCTGGCAACTCGTCGTCATCACTATCAAGGCGACCTTCCCTGTCATCGGGATTCAATGGCGCATTGCAAGCAAGCTCCACATTTCTCGCATACACGGGGTTGTCCATGTTGTTGCTAGCAAGGTAATTCTCAAGCTGATCCATTGGAACACTCTCCAACTGGCTAGGGCCGAACGAATCCGCATGTCCCGGTCCGGCACCACGAATAGGCAGACTTTGGGTACCCATGCCACTCGCCTGGTTGGATGTGAGGCTGCTATGGACACTGGGTCTTGCTCCGGGCGTTTTAGGTGCGGGGCCGGGATGTGGTCTTTCGAGTGAAGGGAATGCAGCAGGTGGTAGGGTTGGGTCATACGGCACGGTGTTTTGCTTACGCTTCTTCCGGGGACGAGGTCTGCTCGATCCGCCAGACTCTACGTAGTCTTCATCGGATGACTCTCCACCGCCTCGGCACAATGAGGTTTGACTTGGGGTATCGAGCTCGTTTTCGCCATATCGTACGGGGACGCGGATGCTGTCACGAAGCCTCATGGGACTCATTGTGGCGGTTCGACGAGGGGTTGTGTGGTGGGTGAGTTTCGACTGAGGTATGCGCTTGATGTGCGCTGAGAGATACGTATTGGAAAGACGTGTCAACGGACAATGACTCGCAAACGCTTCATCGTAACTGAAAATAAAGCAGTGTTTGGTTGCGCGGGCGATGAAGGTCTTGCGCGCGGGGGAAGAAGAGAAGAGGGGAGGGGCTCAATGGCAGGTTCAATGGTGGGCAAGGTAAACGAGGGACTGGAGCTGTTGTGACGAAAGGTAATAATTTCAGAGACAGGAGTCCAGAGTTGAAATGTGACGAGGTAGACTCCAATGTTGCGACAGCTGCTGAGCAGACCAACCTGTTTGGAACACCCAACTTCCCAGACTCGAGCATTGGTCCCATGTTCATTTTTCTTTTAGGAACACTATTATTTGAATCATTTCCACGCGATGATCAAAAGAGCGGCATGGATATATTTAAGAGGCTCGTTTGCAGTGGGCTGCGTGTCCATATGGATCTATACAGTGTATAGTTGTAGATAGGCAGATGCATGAAAGAACAATGCATGTTATGAGACATATAAAAAGAACAATAGCTTTGATCATGAACTTAGAAATAATCTGAATATGAATATCAGGTCTACTCTTCTCTTACCAGTGCCTACTAGGCTCAGCTATGTATTGAGTTCTATATTCCTCACGTTGCACGCAGCACTATCGACGCTTTGCCTCTTTCAGCCAGCCGGTTGTTTCCCATAAACCAGTTGTAATAGGCCAGGCAATGCCTGCTTTCACTATCATCAAAGATATCGAGGTATATCACTGCCTACAGACGGACTAATATACTAGCATCTCTAGTAACGAACCTTGAAAACTACCGGCGGTAAGAGTAATGCATAAAGGAGCTACCTAGGGACCTAGGTAGATCATCATAAATCGTCGTATTGCAAGTCACCATCAAGTAGTGGGCTTCACGTATAGAACTCTCATACCATATGAAACAACTATACCACGCGGTCTTGAAATGGGGCATTGGGTTTTCTTTCAACGAATGAGTCTTCGTCTCCATCCACTTCCATCTCATCGTCCATGGCGTGGTAATCCTCCCGATGGTCTTGGAAGCTTCGCTTCTTCGCAAGGACTGGTGACGGAGATGGTGGCGCAAGAGTAGCAGGGACATTGATTCGCGGAGGGATAGCGTGTTTTACACGCTCAACGTCACGTTTTGCCGAAAGAATCGACTCAAACGCTGCCAGAGTGCGTTTCATCGGATCTTCGATAGAAACGCAGAACCGTCGCTGCTGAATTGTGTGGATGGCCTCAAGTGCGGGAAGATTGAGCATGACCATGATGTAGGCAATGACAACGCTAGCAGAGCGTTCGTTGCCTGATTCACAAAAGACAAGCACCTTGCTCTTCTGTTGTAGACCATTTAGCGTCGATACGCTAGAGTCGATATCCACGCCCGCCAGGTGATCGTTAATGCGACGAATTGCGCGAGGGAAGGCGGAAATGAGCTCTTGGTTATCGAGGACATCAACAGTATCCGCCATGATCCCGGCTTCTGCCGCAGCCTTATCTCCAGATACAAGGCGCGCATGGGCCGAGTGTCGACTTCTGATAGCCAGTAGGAGGGTAAATCCTTGATTGCGAAGGTAATCAATGTCACGTAGACATGATGAAGGACCCAGTGATAGGAAGGGAAGGACAGACTGGGCTTGTCTTCGCATTTCGTAACTCCATTGTGAGACGTTGAAACGGCGGGTAAAACCGCCTAAATCGACGCGATTGAAGAAATTCGGACAGATGAAGTCGCCTTCAGCAAAGTCGTGGGTGTCACGATTGAAAACTTTCGCGTCCACAATCACGGTGTCATTATTACCCAAGCCGTATGTGTATGAAGCGGGATGCGCTATCCCCGGCGATGCAGCTGAGGGTGTCGGATATCGCGGCGCAGATACATAATCTTGAGTGCGTACGTATGGTGACTCCTCCTGAAGTGACATAGGCACCTCTCCCGGTGACTGGTTGTTAAACATGACTGGAAGATCTCACTATGGAAGCTTGCTTGGCGAAGGCGTGAAGACCGTATGTAGGCTCCAGTAACAGGAGAAAGCGACAGGTGAGTTGAGTAGCAGCAGTAAATTTCGGTTGCAGAGCTCGGCGCTAGAGATCAAATCTAACATCCAGATCGAAGCCCCAGAATGCAGCCAGGCTGCAAGTCCAATCCAATGTGGGGACTTTCCAGTAAGGCCTGCTTCACCACCAATTGAGTCAAGTCGGGACGATCAAAGCTATCTCAGTTGCGGTGAGCGCAATCTATTCAATCAAATTTTCGTAATGTGCAATGCCTTTCAAGTACAATTGGATCTCTATGAGGGGAGGCTGGATCAACAATTGAACCTTGGGAAGCCCGCTTTTGGATTAGGTAATATCCCATATGGCCAGTGGCCACGAGCTACAAGCAGCATTAGCGACCTATACGAAATAATTGTATGGTACATCAGGATCCATGAACCTCGGAATATAACTGTGACAGTATGTCAAATTCTATGAATGCGCCAGATATTCTACGGCCTGATCACTGAAATTTGACTATAAAGCTGAAGAAGCATATTCAAAGTTACATTATGCTGCCTGATTCACCCATGAATGGATGTATGAATGCCCGGGTGTATGTGTTTCAAGGTTGGTTCTAATCTTGGAAAGTTCTAAAAGAAAGTCCGCACACTAGATTTCCCTTAAGGAATCTCTAGAGCTCTGAGGTCCCTATGGCTCGTCTAAGAACCGATATATCTACCTACTAAGTAACTAGGCACAGAAGGATAAAGGTCAACATATCGAAACCCCGGGCTTCAAGCCAATACTTAAGTACTTAAGTATGCCATACTGCTCTAGCATGTGCCTAACATACCCAAAAGCAGTTCTTCAGCCTCTGGATTGCGTTAATCTTCCTTCATAATGGAGTGAGTATCTGTGGCCTCATATTACCAATACAAATACCTGTTCTATCCCTGCTACCAACGATGTTGAACCATAGCCCAAATTTTCATCGAAACGAGGCCCGTGGAAAACCGGATGTTCAATTTCGCCACATCAGATAGCATAGTCCCCTCGACGACGTCGTTATTCACGACAACCGGTGTATTATGTCTTGAGAAAAGTTCGCATCGCGTAAGATCGTTGGGCTCTCACCGAGGCCGCGAGTGAGCAACGGCTTTCTGCTCAATGGAGGCATCAAGCAAGTTCAAATGTTCTATGAATCATGAAGAAAAATTCTTAGTTCTGCGTAGACAACAGTATCATTCCCAAAGCACCAGCATTTCGAGGTGCTGTATGAGCATTGCAACAGCCGTTGGGAATCCCCGAAGGGGCGCGGTTGAGTTGCCACACAAACTTTGAGAATTATACAAGCCAAGTCAACTTCCGGGCTATAGTGATCCACATCATTCTCTCGTATGAGATCAAGCACCCATGGAAGACCAGCCCGAAAAGCCATCATGTGATAACGCGTTGAGGCGCTCGCGTCCAGACACCACGTTGAGTCAATCATCGCAGCATCCCGCGATCCATGTGGCAATGAGTCATAGTGTGTCAGCCGGGAAGTATTGGCTTGTCCTTTGACAGCTTCGCCGATGGAGACTGATGCCTCATAGGCTACCGAGGGGGACACAAGCTCCGTTGGGAGCCCGCCTGGCGGGGTTGTCTTGTTTCTCCTACTCCGACCTTCTAGATATGGACGCCGGGAGCGGGGACGCAGTATTTTCGAGACCGTGCGCAACTTGAAATTTCGCGGGAACCTCGTGGGTATCAAATCAAGCCGCAAGGGTCCGAAGGGTGTGGCTGAGATAGCTCTTGTCCGTGTTGTGCTATCGTGTGGATAGTTGGGAAAGAGAGACAGAGAGCACCCTGACAATGTGAACATGAGATGAGCTGACACCATACATGGTAATGTCAGAGCATCACTCTATGCGGCAGTTTTAATTACATATGGGCATACACTAAAAAGTGGCAAGATTCATAAAGAGGGTAGCAAGGCCGCTGTATGCTGCCGTATCCTGGGGGCCTCGTCGCCTTAGGAATCATGCTGATGTCGTTCGTCATTGGCTGCCGTATACTTCGACTTGCATCTATCGATGTTTGACGACAGTCGATGGAGAAAATCCGAAACAATTCTTGCGGGGCCCTCTTTTTTGAGATTACGATGGATGGACTACTGAAGAAAATCTGATATCGACGGCATTCAAATTAAAATGAAAGTAGAGATTGACAGAAAGCACCAAGTGGCATTAAAGATAATACATCGAATCAAAAACCGGGTATATGAGACGAGACAACACCGCCGGGCCCATATGGAATCGTCACATCAAGCTAGAACGCCGTAAAGATTGGACCGGCCAACCATTGCAAGAAAAGTTTGAGAACAAAATCCCCTTGCTTACTAGCCGATACCGAACCCAAATGCTGCAAAAATTGATAACACAAAAAGGAGGAAACAAGAACACAAATTTGGAACATTTCGAAGTTCTCTGGCTGCTTCAATCAACGCCCACATGATGCAAAGTCAGAGTCATAGACATTTTGATCCAGGAAGAATCGTTTAGACGGGCGTGGCAGCAGCAGGCTGGGGAGCGGGCTGAGAAAGTTCCTGAAGATCAGGCTCCGGCGGAGACTGGTGTGGCAGAGCCTGTTGAAGGCCTGCGACGATTCGCTCCAATTCCTCGAGGCGACGGTCCTTCTCTTGTACCTCACGGCGCAATCGTTTCACCTCGTGGTGGAGATCGGTTCCATTTTCGTCGGTCTCCGGGAGATCTCCGTTCTGAGAGTGGCGGCGCTTCATACCAGTTGCGGGAAGTGAGGGTGCGCGAGCGCCCTCAACAGCTTCAAGATCGGGGCGATCCCAGGATTGCAGGTCACTAATCAAAGCTTCGTCATTATGCATGTGTCGGCGACGAAGATGTTCACGGAGGTTCTCTTGGCGCGTGAATCCATTGCCGGTGCTGCGGTTGCAATCGGTGTAGGGGCACATGAGTGGTTTCTTGGTATCGGTATTCTTCTTGTGGACTTCGCGCTGATGACGGAGAAGACCGCCAGAGTAAGTGAATCCCTGAATCTTGTCGCAGTTAGGCTCGTAGCACTTGTAAGGGCGATCATGTTTATCCATATGTTTGCTGGGTCACGTTAGTATTTGCCGCATCCTCGAGATCACGGGGGAGTGTACTTACTTCCATTCGCAAGGACGACGGAATGTCGGCGGGTTCGCTTGGCACTCAGGGTGATCACAGAAGATCTGACCCTCTGGGTTCTTAGGAGGGTCGCGGGCGCGTCGGACTGACAGACGCGGACGCGCCCCCTCGATAGTGTAGGCCATGGGTTGAGGCTCGTTCATTCTGGGAATTGGAGGCGATGTCTCGGCGGTAGAGGCTAAAATGGATGCAGCGAGAGCGCCGTTGGGACCTTCACTTCTTGGGCTAGGATAGTCAGACCCGTCGCCCATATCGCAAGAAGTTGATACCCCACACCACTGAGGGGATAGAATGGAGATACCGGAAGAGACGCGTTGATTTTCCGACGACGGAAAATTCAGCAGAATCAAATAGGCGGTAAGAGAGAAATAGTTGTGATAGAACTTGAATAAGAAAAAAAAAAAGAGATAAATTGGCGACAAGCTCAGTATAAGTTGGATGGGACTGAGAGATGAGGAGTTGCCAAAATTTTCAGGTAGCAAGGCACCCGCAGGCTAGCTATTTATACCGCAACCAGTCAAACACGCCACTCGCGTGTGGCGCAGTCGATCCCTTGTGGCAGAACAATTTTTTGACGGAGTATCCGATATGCTGGACTTTTTAAATGAGATCACTGGTCAGAGCTTATATACTACATTTACATGCATGTCAGAACGTGGGTAGAAACCCTTATTAATTCTTTTTTTCCCTCTCTGTTGAGCCCTAGGCTTCTAGCTCATTGACCTTGGAAGTGACTCATAGTTCGCTTGAACCGTATGACTCCGTACCAATCCTGTACTCTGTACTGTCCTAGCGGATCCGGTTTAGGTACCTACACCGTAAATGCCTCCAGGCTGTCAGGCAGCCATCCAATCCGGAATTATGCAAGTCGCCACACCTCAACCTGGTGGAAGTGCTGTATTCTGCTGACAAATATCGTGGCGGTGAGCACGTCCACGTGATTGGCTTTGTGCCAATCACGTGGCATCGACTTTTTAAGCATCGTCGGGCAGTGCCTTGCTGTAATGTACGTTCGCAATGTCCGAAGGTTAGGCTGCAAAATTCAACCCCTCGGCTTTCATGTATGAGTACATGCAATCGCTTCTATTAAAAGGAACACGATCCAAGGATCTATCCAGCAGAATCCCAGGCAATGCACTTCGAATCTGGACATCTACCGTGCTAGTATTGCATTCTAAAACTCAAATAGAGTGCCTGAGTGGGTACGGCCAGGCGATCATGGCTATGCCTGAAGATCAATTCACTAGGAATTTCGTCGCCTGCTTGCTTGTTTTGTTGCGGCAATGCCGATAACTTTGCCATCAAGGTGCTGTTCAATGGTTTACCCGTATAGAACAACGAGCGAGAGGCCAAGGAGAAAAGAGTACAGAAACAAAAACAAAACGTTTTGATCTTTGCCGCAGTTACAGCCCAAGAGCAATATCGTCATGGCGTCCCCGGAATGTCCGTTGTCTGCATACTGCGAGGTCAACACTCAAGCTGAAACACCCGCAGGCAAGGCAAGAACAGTAAAGCCTAATCAACATTGCCCTCAAGATCTTGGGGAATTCTTCCTACCAAGCCCCATTACCATGCTTATCTATTTTGAGCGTTTGAATGCCCAGCCAGACTGGGCTGATGGAGAAAGGAAGAAAAAACAAAATTTTACCCATGAACCCTATCAAGCGGTCTGAGAGCTATACGACGTCCCAGCTCGCAAGCTCACAAAGTAAGGCACAAGCCGTTCTTCGACGTGGACCAACAGGGCCAACCAGTTTCGGACAACTGACCGCCACATCCACGTATCAAGGATCGTATTCAAAGCTCTACCAATGATATGTATTCAGTGCTCGCTCTATTCGCAGCCTTAGCAGCCCCACTGGGGAGCCTGTAAACGAACACTTACATGATCAAACCTACCCGTGATCTGCTCCAGGGCTGTTCAGCCATGTCGTGGGTATCACTAGCAGCATACGGATGACAACTTGAGAAACCCTTGGCCCCCAAGGCCGCCCAACCATCCTTAGGCCACACATAGCCTCACGTTTCAGGAACTAGATGTCTCGGGATATGTTCTTTGGGTCTCGGAAAGAGCAATACCTACCCAAGGCCATGAAGCTATGAGTAATTCCTCGCATTGCAGAATGAAGGACTTCTGGAGGAAAGACTTCAACGCACGATGCAACTGCCAACAACTATGTAACGTGTTTATCGCAACATTGATGCCTGAGAATGGCACTTGAGCACCCAAGTCGGGTCCCACGCCTAGGAGTACGAAGAGAACCACACCGGACCCACCCCCAACCTGCGCCCCGTAATAAATTCTAAGCCATTGCGGTTCTGTTTCCCGCCTATTCGGAAAAAGCGTCACGTCGGAAATGGCGGTTCGGTCGCTAAGCCACCGTCTAGGACTTTGATCCTTAATTTACAGAGCAAGACTTGCAAGGCCAGACAGATATGAACGAAACCGGCAGATTGATCCCATCACCCATGCACTTTGAGTCGATGTTCGACCATATATCGATTCTCGGTTGCAGGTGAAAGTGCTCCTATAGAAAGAAGTTGCACAGCCTGCGGCTTCTCAGGGGTAGTCCTACGATGCTGAATTGCCTCACTATCTTCGTATGAAAACTCAATGCCAGTCACTTGAGAATAGGCGCACTTCGGATGTTTGTGAACTCGGCCATGGGTGCGCCCACTTGTTGTGGTACGAATATTCAAACACTCTGGTTTATACTTGCTTGATTTCTACCCCATCCAATGGATCGGCATAATGTTCGTCTCGCATATCCAAATTACAGATGTTGTTTTGGAGTTCGTGATCCCACTTATCAAATGTGATCAATGCTCCAAGGTTATAACTTATTGGTAGCGTGAGTAGCCGCGGTATTTGGACGATCTTTCATCAATTGCCTGCCTATCTGCTCGAAATCGAAATGTTTATTCGTGAAATCAACTGTCTTTGTTAATCTAAAGAATCCAAAGTGAAAGAAGTAAGTATAGGGCTGCGTTTGCGCGAGTCATCATTGTCACCAAATCCAACGCGGCATTTGTGCTACAGGCCCGGAGAATGCTCCACCACAACTTCGACCGCCACTCCATGGGAAATTTCTTTCTCGGGCTTGCTTCGTACAACATATGACACTTTTCAAATCATATGGTCGCTTTGTTTGACAACTAATTTGAATATGGAATTCATCCGCCACCCGGTATTCCTGCGACGGAGTCATTTGTTTTGGCCGGTGTCTACTCGATCTCTTAGGAGCGCCACTCATCTACATGCCTGTCACACAGAGAAGACTCGGCAGTCTGAAGATTGCAAAGCGAAAAGTCAAGTTTGTCAAAACAAGGACGTCGCAAACTCTCCAGTTCAGCCCCTTTCAACCCTCAGCTTCCGATTCTGGGACTGCAGATCCACATGGAGGAGGGCAGGGGTCAATACACTCCGCTGTCTAGTTGGCTGTACAACCGGAGATTTCTCTGCGTTATGGATTCTGCAGACCTACTACCCTGAGCTGGGTATGGGAAGCATCATGGCCATGTCTAGTGAGTCACCCCTTGAAGCAAATTGTAACATTATCTCGGGCCTGAGCACTGACAATCTTGCAGTGGCATCCGGAATTACAACTTCAATAATCCTCGAGACAGTACTACTTCGCCGCGGGGCTGACCAGCTGTCTTGGCCAACTGCTGCTCGTACCGCCATGGGAATGAGTATGGTGTCGATGTTAGCCATGGAGCTCGCAGAGAATGCAGTCGACTACCATCTCACCGGCGGTATGGTCGCATTTGATGACCCAAGGTTCTGGCTGGCAGCAGTTGTTTCAATGGGTGCTGGGTATCTGGCACCGTTGCCGTACAACTACCTGCGCCTACGCAAGTATGGCAAAGCGTGCCATTGAGCTTCGGCGTCATCACAAACTGTATTATATTTCGTCTGACCAATACCTAAATCACTGATGCACATATCTCTTCCGACATTTGGAACATTCCATGTAATGTACCAAAGCAAAATCCAAGGCTTCTACATACTGCTAGTCCCTCTAATCTGGTCCATAACCCACTTAATCTCATCTGCCACAACATCAGGTCTTATGAGTTGAACATTATGCCCACAATCATGAAGATAAACGAAGCGCGTCTTCGACGACAACTTCATGTGGTCAAAGGCAAGACCCCGCGCAGCTGGCCCAAACCGATCCAGGGTCTGTCTGAATGCCCTCTGCTGGGCCTCTGTGCCATTGCCAGCTTCGACCCCCGCGGCATATATTCTCTCTTGGTCCAGAGCACCGTTACAACAGATAATGCTCAAAGGTTTACTACCCATGGCCTGCCTCTCGAATTGCTTCTTTTCCGCAAGTGTGCGACAAATCTCACCGACGGCATCACCATTTGCCTCGGCCATGGCAGTCTCACTACCCTGAGCGATTTCCTTGGCCCTTTGCCGCCACTGATCTTGTGATATCTTTGCATCGGCCCGTAACCCTGTCACGAGGGCTACCTTCAAATTCCCTAGGACCGCAATAAGGTTCGGGTCTGGGATTTGGACGTATTCAATCAGTCTTTCGGTGGAAGCGTCACAGAAGACAATCCCAGCTACTTCATCAGGATAAAGATGATAGTACTCTCGGGCAATGATGCCACCGTAGGAATGGGCGGCCAGAACGTAAGGCGGTGGTTGCTCCGTAGCTTCTAAAAGTTTGTGCAGCTCTATCGCAGACGCGACAGCGAGGGGGTGGCTAGGGGCGCGTTCGCTGTTACCAAGGCCTGAGCGATCATAAAGAAAGATTCGTGCAAATTTGGCGACGAGTGGTTCCACCGCTGCGTAAGATGAGGCAACATCGCCTGACCCCGGGATGACTACCACCAATGGTTCATTGAGTGTGCGTGGCGGGCCACTGATAGAAAAGGAGAGACGATGGGTGCCGATTGACATCATTTTGAAGTCTTTTTCGGGTTGACTCTGGTTCGGCGGGGTTGCGATAGCTGGTTTGTGATGTGGTTGTGTTGCGTAGGACTAACTAATGCGGGGAAATAATTTAGCCCTAACTGGAAAGTCACCGAAGACTGCAACACACACCACACAACATTTAAAGAGTATGGCTTACGCGAAGACTCGCTTTTGGGGTTGGTGCTTTCTAGATTATCCCAACTTACAGCTAAGTAGGAAACAAAAAGCCTAAGAGAGAAGCCAAGAACACTACGCCCAAGATCATACTTATGTCCCGTGTAAACAAACAGATCGGAAGCTTGCTGGGAATATTTTTACAAAAGATTTCATGGTAAAATCATAATTGGCATCAATTGTTTGACTGGATACCTGGAGCCTAAGAGATAGAGATCACAAGCATGAAACATACATAGCCAAGGGGAAGGGGAAATTCGCAGAGTCGCCCAGTGATTACTACAGGGGCAGTCTGAGCTGGGCATCGGCAATAAACAAGTGAATGCTTGTGAAGTTGCACGAGCCAAGAGACACTGAGTGATTAATGCCGGTGGCCTCATGTTTCAAAGGCACTTCTTTCAAGAAAGCCACGGTGAGGCGAGGAATCAGACGAAGGAACCATCCCTCGAGCGACGAAAACGGTGCTGTTGGGCAGATCGAAGGGTCCTAGGAATGAGCATCCGGAAAGTCTCCAGCTTGCCAATCCCTGATTCTGGTCGGCAGTAGAAACGGGCGGGCAGACTCTGTTGGAAAGAACCCTGATAGTGTGCACGGAACTTGTTTCCCCGGGCGATAAGGCGGGCACACCTAATGGAGGCTGCCTCGGAACTTATGGAACAAAGGTTCTGTCACTCAGTCATAGTTTCCACCAACCTGGCTGGCAAACGCAGTGGAGACACTGCGAGCATCGTCGTCGTCCTGGGGAGTCTGGCCTGGCGCACCGCGGGTCACACGAATGCTGGCAGAGCTGCCACCGAAAATGCTACCATTATCGGGTACCCCAGCTCGGTACGGCTCACGTCCACCTGACTCCACGTAGCGCTTCAGTCGGTCGGACTGGCTAAGGCTAGGTTGCTTGTTCATGTCATTAATGCTGAGGCCAGCAAGACTGACACCACCCTGATCGACGCTTCGGCCATCAGCGACACTGCTGGTGACGTCGGATTCGGTGGCAGCGACTGACTCCCCAGCTACGCTGGGCGCTCCTTTGGCACGACCACCGTTGATTCGGCGATTACCAGAGGCGGCAGGCCAACCCTCGCCAAAGTTCTGGAACATAGGGGGGTAGCCAGAAGGGAGTCCAACACCACCAACGGAGGAACCGTGAACGGAGGAGACATCATCAGGGATGTAGCCAATCACAGAGCCAGAGTCATGATAGTCAGGGCGGTGACCATTGCGGCCATTCGCCAGATTGCTTTGAGAGTTAGAGGCTTGACTGAACGACATTTGGAAACGTTGAGGACCTCTGTATGCTTGCTTGGGTCGGCTGAATTGAATCAGGGATTCCTGAAGATTGGATAAAGGACCTTCCACCAAACAGTGGCGTTCCTTGAAATGCTGCAAAAGGCAATTCCACAGGGGGTGCTTTGACAGGACCTTGGGGTTACCAAGGATGACTAGACCATATCGAGCACGAGTAAGAGCAACGTTGAGACGGCGAGGATCACTCAAGAAACCAATACCCTGGTGGTCATTGGAACGAACACAAGATAGGATGATGTAGTCCTTCTCTCGGCCCTGGAAGGCATCAACCGAGGCGACTTCAATCTCTTTGTAGTGTTCCTTCTTGAATGTACCGTTTGCTTGCATCGAGCTGACAATGTAGCTTCTCTGCCCCTCGTAAGGAGTGATGATACCAATGTCCTTTGGCTGCACACCTGCCTTGAAGAAGCGTGTGATGATTTTCTCGACATTAGTGGCTTCAGTGCGGTTGAGATACGAGGTTCCCGACGCGGAAATTTCTTCATTGCCCAAGTTAGACCAGAACATCATGGGGTCGTCAATGATAGGCCATGGGAAATCAACGTTGCGGCGAACACGGTCGGCGATGGTGATACCGTTTTGCAGTGAGCCCTCATAGAACATGTTCGACGGGAACTCTGAGAGGCAAGGGTGCATACGGTATTGCACATTCAAGCGGATAGGAGAACAGCCCAAGATAACGAGGCGCTCGAACAAGGACTGGTTCAATCCAGCCTTGGCAGCCTTCTTGTTCATAATGACCGGGCCCAATTGTTGGTGGTCACCTACTAGAACGACCTGCTTGCAACCCAAAACCAGCGGAATCATGCACTCAGGCTCCGCGGATTGGGTAGATTCGTCAATGAGGACGGTGCGGAACTTGCCCTTGGAAAGCCGGGGGTCACCCGCACCAACACAAGTGCAGCAAATGACGTCCGCATTGGTCAAAATCTCACGCTCGGCAGAGCGAGTGAGTTGCTTGAGACGCTTCTCGTCCTGGCTAGACAACTCGCCAAGCTCGGTCTTCAGCTGGTTGAGTTTGACCAATTCGATGTTGCTATCATTCATGCGGACCTGTTCGTGCAGCGAGAGGAATCCGACGGCAGACTCGACATCTTCACGGGACTTGGCAGTTACACGAACAGTCTTCAGTCCTGTCAAGTGAATACGTTCACAAAGCTGATCGACGGCAACGTTGGAGGGAGCGCAAACGAGGACTTGGCCTCCATTGATTTTGGCAAGGTGGTAGATGATAGTTGCCGAAGTGACAGTCTTACCAGTTCCGGGGGGGCCCTGGATCAGACTGAGTGGTCGCTGGAGTACGCTCTTAACCGCGTTAATTTGACTGCCGTTCAAGTCGGGCAAGCCTGGAACACTAAATTTCTTCGGTATCTGGGTCTTCATGGGAGCAGCTGCAACCTCATGACCAAGAAGGCGATGGAAAATGTAGCCTGAAACACTTTGCTCATCGACAGCGAAAGTCTTCATAGCGCATTGCATGCGGTCGAAAGATGTTGATTTCCAAACATAGTCGGCCATGAAGTTGTGTGTGCATTCGGTGGGCACTGACTTGTGATCGCCCTTGGCGCGCAATTCGATCGTGACTTCGTCGGACTGATTATTCGGGATTTTGATAACATATCCAACTCCTTCCCACTTGGAACGTAGTTCACCGTTGTATTTGAGGCGCATTTCATCACCCACGGCCAATTTCACATCTCCCAATTCGAGCTTTGGCAGAACAAAGCTTGCTAGATGCTTGTTGTTGAGACCAAGATCCCAGCGCACAATCAATCCGTCTTGGGACTGAGATTCCTTCAATTTGCGGTCGTAGTCGGCTTCGATTTTGACCAGCGGTCCAAAAATGTTCTGGTACTGGAAAGCATCATCGTAGCGTAGGAGAACCGGTGCAGGTTCATCGTCGACTGCTGTGGCTTTCTCCAAATCCTCCAAGGTTGCCTGGGAATTCTCCTTCCACATTTCTTCAAGCTTTGCAATCAACTGGGGGCTGAGATGACGTGCGCGGAGTTGTTCCTGATCAGTAGGCGCCCCAACGAGCCAAGGAAGGAAAGAGCGATCCTCAATGAGTGGCTGCCAACGTGAGGTATCCCAGTTCATGTCCTTTGAGGATGGCATGGAGGCACATGGCTGACGGCAAAGAAGGACAACAACTGTATCAGACTTCGCGGGAATGAAGCCAAGCAAAAAGACATTCTTGGTGCCGCAGTTGTAGCATTCTAGAATAGTATCTCCCAAAGAAGAGCCAGGGTGTAACTGAACCTCTTTATGACGAGCCCGAACAAGATGATTGACGATATGCGAAGAGGAGGTATTGCCACGCGCACTGCAGAACCACTTATTACAAGAAAGACACTTCACGACACTGCTCGGGTTGTGGATGCCGCAGTATCTGGCAGATATCAGCATGGTATATCCAAACTTCTGAAAGGATCTACTTACGCGCATGCATGAGCAGGAAGCTCTAGCTCTTCCTCGCCATTTCCTTGGTGCTTCTGCTGTCCATTGGTTGGTGCACCGACTGTACTTTCCAAGTCGTCGTCCTCAAAAGTCTCAGAGCCCTCGTCCTCGTCATCATGTCGCCGGGGGCGTGCGCGGCCAATCGCATTTGAATCCATCTCGTCAACTTCGGCACCCGTCGAGGGGTCTTCAGGTTGATAGCTCATAATGCGAGGTGAAAGTCACGGTGGGGAGAAATGACGTCGACTGAGTAAGAGGTAAGATAAAGCAAAGCGCGAAAGCAGTTGAAATCGAGAGAAAGAGATAGAGGTCCTAGTATCCAGTAGCGATAAAAGAGCGTAGAGGACAATCCGGTCGTCCTGCGGTCTAGTGGAGGTTGGAAATCTCCAGGGTGTGCCTGAGGGGCAGACAGACAATCTAGATCTAAAGGGAATCAGCAAAAGAAACTCATAATTAACCACAAAAAAACATACATCCAGTCCAGCTCTTTGTCTCAGAAAACCGACAAAAGAGAGTTGATGAGTTTGTCTCGAAGGATGAGCAAACAGGTCTCTCCGCAAGTGCCCAGATTCTTTATCGGTGCGATCCCACTACGGCCGTCTGTTGGAACCACAAACGCAGCCCCGGAGTTAAGACGAAAAAAAAGTTGCCCGCTCAACTTTTATCCAACACCGCTTTAGTCAGGTTTATCTTCATAACAACCTGCAAAATGCTGGTAAGTCCACAACTCAGACATGAATTACGTCTGCTAACTCTCAAAAGCGCCGTCAAACCCGTGAGCGCCGTGATTATCTCTACCGGAGAGCTTTGCTGCTCCGCGATGCTTCCATTGCCGAAAAGAGAGCGCAACTGAAAGCTTCATTGGCTTCTGGAAAGCCACTCGATCCTACTATTGCAAATGACAAAGCGCTTCGGGAAGACTTCAAATATGACGAGTCAAAGGACAAGGAAGACTCTGAGATGGACATTGACGACGAATACGTTTTGACCTCCGGCATTATTGACCCTCGTCCCCTGGTCACCACTTCTCGCTCCCCCTCTGCTCGCCTTGGTGCATTCGCCAAGGAGATCCGTCTTCTTCTTCCTACCGCTATTCGTCTCAACCGTGGAACTCTCGTTCTTGGAGATCTCGTCTCCAGCGCATCCTCTGCGGCTCTTACCGACATGATTCTCCTCCACGAACACCGTGGTACCCCCACCGCAATGACAATTTCTCACCTTCCCCACGGCCCGACGGCTAGTTTCTCCCTCCACAACGTTGTTCTTCGCCAGGATATCCCGAATGCTGCGCGCGGCACCGTCTCCGAGAGCTACCCGCACCTAATTTTCGAAGGCTTCAAAACCAAGCTCGGTGCTCGAATTGTTCAGATCCTTAAGCACCTTTTCCCGCCACGCGAGACTGGCAAGGTCGGCAACCGTGTTGTGAGCTTCGTGTGCAAAGATGATAACATTGAGGTGCGACACCACGTTTTCGTCAAGACTGGGTACCGGGATGTCGAATTGGCTGAAGTTGGCCCGCGCATGACCATGCGGCCCTTCGAGATTCGCGGAGGTACGCTGGAGAAGGGCTCAAGTGGCGACGTCGAGTGGGCCCTCACACAATACACGAGGACCAGCAAAAAGAAGGACTACCTCTGATCTTTCAAAAAACTCGCATGACATTTGCTGTGACGTGAAAGCTTTGAAAAAAGTTACCTCGTCTCGCATTGTTAGTCAACTGGCGTATCCGGTGTTAGGGGAAAATTGAAAGGGTTTCTTTCCCCTTGGTATTTCTGTCATTTATACCCTGTTTCAGTTATGTGGACGACATACATAATTGGGCCTCGAAAAAGAATATAAAAGCGTTCATTATATGTCTCACGATCCTCCTTAGAATATCTGGTGTACCCGCATATTGCCACTTGAGCAGGAATCCTAGTTGATGATAACCTAGGAAATATAATCGTTTCACGGGATAAACCTCCTTATAATGACTTCCCCGTACCCATTTGCCTTAGGTTTTTCATGATCGTTTTCTCTGTCCAAACGTCCCCATCCCCGGATCCAAACACACCACCGTCCTATCCCAATGGGTCGTTTGTTGTTGCAGCACTTTCGATTGGAGCGGTCCTGATGAATTCGGCGAGGATGCTCTTGGGCTTTTCGATATAGAACCACCCTTCATGGATAGGCAGGGACTCCCCCTCAGCTCCTACCTTGGGAGGTGGTTCCTTTCCATCTCCCCTGTCTTTCCATTCTTTGCCGGTTTTTTCTTTGAAGAAATCCTCGAATCGCGCAACAGCCGATTCAAGATTGGCTTTCGCCTTGGTCAAGATTTCAACTGTGGATTTTCCTGTTCGGCTGAATTTGGTGTATGTGGAGTAAGAATGGGGCTCCGTGTTCGTCTCAAAGACCTTGCATGCACGTTAATATTCCTCCATGAATGCATTGGACAATTCAAGAAGACTCACTGTTAACTGGTATTTTTCCCGACTCTTTGACGGCGGCTTCGATGCGCGGAACATGGTCACACTGTAGACCGTACCATCCTCATCATGAAAGGCTCGACGCACTGCTACAACATTGAAACGAGTGTTAGCCATGAGTTGACCACGAACAAGATACTTGCGCAAGAGTTGATTACCTTTCTTCTTTCTCATGGGCGCCACAAAAGGGTCGCCTACAGACATTGCGTTAGCATGAAGACTTTCCACGGATGAATTGGGATATGGCAACAGCAACCATACCCTTGTTCTTCTTGGTAACTCTGTTAGATTCAAGCTTCTTTGCTTCGACCCGATCTTTGGTGGGCTTTGTGAGATCTTGGAGTAGGTAGGGACTCTCTTTCTTGGGTCGTCGACCGGCTGCTTGCAGTGAATCCTCAAGCCAGTCGTATGAGACAATCTTGACCTTTCCCGACTGCTTGGCATCTTTCACTATGCTCAGTTAGTTATAAATGGCAGGACTTATCTGGAGAGCTCATACCCAAAGATACATTGTCTTTATAGGCCTCCTCGGTTGCAATCAGATGAGTGACCATTGGATTGATCTCTCGAGAGAACTGGCCTCCATTGGCTCGTATCCATTGAGGAATCTTCTCCTTGATTCCTTCTTCGAACCTGCCGACCATTGCGCAATGAATTTTTTGGAAGGTGCGCCCCATGTTGGGCCGTTGTTGGCGTCAATAATAAGGTGCTATATGTGGCTTGAAGATGAGTAGAGATCACTGACTGCCGGTGCAGTTCAATGACCCAGAAAGAAAGAAGACGTAGACTGGCTTCATGAAGGTAAAAACAATGACAGCTCTGCACACGGATGCTTCGTGGCTCTCGTTGAGTGTAAATCGTGGTTCCTGGAGGGGGAAAGGATCAGCGACTGGTGCGATGAATTTGAATTGAAATGAATATCAACCAAGGGAACTGATATGGCTCGTGGTTGTGCAAGGCTACATGCTATAGTAAGAGGCGATTAAAGAGGCAGTTAAAGAGGCAATTGAAGAGGTAATTGAAGAGACAATTAAAGAGGCAATCAAAAGCATTTTATCTCACTTTATGACCATCATGGCCTCACTGTATAGAAGTTGACGACCGATATAAAACTTGGAAGATGAAGCATTGATATGGTTTGCGGGTGTAAAGCATTCATGCACTCGTATCCCTTGTATTTGAAACGAAGACAGTGGTGAATATTTAGGCATTCACCAATGAGGGTATCGTCAGGAAGTGATAGAATGCACTCCGATATATCGATCGCAAGAGTATACATCCCAATTGGGACAAAAGTGGAGAAAGAAATCGCGGGTGCACGGGCCGCCCTCCTTCTCTGAGGTTTTGCCTTCACTGCGCTCTCTATCTGACAAAAGCATACTCCGTATCCGCCTCACAACTCAAGAAGTTCGCACCGTGCTTTCATTCTGGAGGGCAGCTTCAAAGACACACCGAAACATTGATCTGGCGTGATTAGCGCCACTTGATCCAGCGAGGCGTCAAGATCCAGATAACACACCGTGACTTGTTCGCGGTACACCCTCAAACTGGTCTCTGCATTCTTCTTTTCATCTCCTTCCGTTTCCTCCCTTTAATTCAAGCAACCTCCGAGATATCATGTCCGCATCACCCGATCAAAAGATGGGCTCGCCCGCCGCATCTCCCGAGCGCGATGTACCCGAGAAAGTTGAAGCCGCCGTCGCCAGCGATGAAGCCGGAGTCGACGAACCCACCGAGCCCACCTCCGAGGTCAATGCAAACACAGAGGAAATGGCCGATGACGAACAGGCTGGGGGAGACGACGATGACGACGAAGACAAAATCTCAGATGACGAGTCGATCTTGTCCGAGGTCGACGAGGCGGAGTTCGAGAACTTTGACCCTGAGAATGTTGACGTTGAAGACCGCCCACAACTTGCTATTGATGAAGACAACCTGAAGCTTATCGGTCGCCACAAGCGCAAGCGCGCCGAGGACGGCGAGAGTCGCCCACGCCGCAAGGAGGGTCGTCGCGAGAAGAAGAGCCGCCGGGCTACCGAAGATGGCGATGAGGCTGGCCCTTCGCGCAGAAAGGAGAGGAAGCCTCGCGAAGAGAAGCCGGACACAGACGAGGAGACCCTGGACCCAGAGACACGTATGTTATGGCTTACTTGTGATTGTTGCGCGGGTACTGACTATAGATAGGACGTCGCCGAGCTCTTGACCGGGCCATGGACGAGGCAATGAAAAAGCCTGCCAAGAGACGTTTCCGCAAACAGGATGGGATTGTATGTGTATACGATGCCTTCCAGTCCTCTCATTATACTGACTACCCCCCCTAGGATTTGGAATCTGCGGCCGACGCTGAAATCGAGGACATGCGCAAGCGTATGACCCATGCAGCACAAATGGATGCGATCAATCGCCAGGAAGGGAAGCCGGCAATGCACAAGCTGAAGCTCTTGCCTGAAGTCATCAAACTGCTCAACCGCAACCAGTACACTAATGCCTTGGTCGACCCCGAGATCAATCTATTGGAGGCGGTCCGATTCTTCCTCGAACCCCTGGACGATGGAGCTATGCCTGCCTATAACATTCAGCGCGACCTTTTGACTGCGATCACGAAGCTTCCCATCAACAAGGATGCTTTGATTGCTAGTGGCATCGGCAAAGTCATTGTTTTCTACACCAAGAGCAAGCGCACCGAGCGCCGCATTAAGGAGATGGCAGAGAAGTTGTTGGCCGAGTGGACACGGCCAATCCTCCAGCGCAGTGATGATTACTCCAAGCGTGTCTACCAGCAGGCTGATTACGATCCTACGTATGTTACTGTGTCCTTTTTCCTAAAACCCACCACTAATATCCAACTAGTAAGGTTGTCAAGCGTGCTGGTCCTACGGATAAGGAAATCGAAGATGAGGCTCGCGCCCGTGAGATGCTTCCTCCTCGTCTTATGAACCGTGCTCGTGTCGATCGTACCAACGTCAGCTACACCGTGGTCCCGCGCCAGACTGCCGTCCGTGAGAGTCAGTTCGCCCGTCCCTTGGGTGCCAGCGGTGAGGATCGATTCCGCAAGATGCAAGCCCGACAGGCTGCTGCTCGCAAGGCATCTCGCCGGTAAATTCGGCACCTTCATCTGTAATTTTTTTATCGCCTCCCATTTTGGCGACCCCTTCCGTGATGTGTATTCGAAACAATTTTTTTTTTTTCCCTCTGCGGCGTTTGGGTGTTTAGGATCAATCCCCGCCGGGGACCGATATCAGGGATTTGAGTGACACCCGTGTAAATTCGCCCGAGTGAATAAGCATAGCCAGATTCTTTTTTTTTTCCCTTCTTGAGACCAAACCAAAATGACATCCATGGATGAGAAATCGAGACTGAGTAATCCACGATCTAGACAATTTCTAAATTCTTCGTAGGGCGTTGGTCTATTCCGGGAGACCCCGAGATATGACCGACGGAAGAAGCGGCGAAAGCAGATCCCGTCAGACGTCATGCTATGTCCGGCCTTTGCTTTTCTGCTTTAATATCGCCCGTCTCACCTCTTTCTTTTCCCAATTACCATTAACATACCCACACAATGAAGCTCCTAACTAAGGAAGAAGAAGATGCCCACTACAGGTAAGCATACTCTCAACCCCTCCAATCAGCCCACACTGACAGCTAGTACAGTGAGGTCCTCAAAGGTGGCTCCGTCGGAGGTGTCTCCGGTCTCGTCATCGGTGTCGCAGGTGTCCTGCTTGCCTCTCGTCGGTACCACACGATCCGCAACCTGACAGTCCCTATGAAATCCTTCCTGGTGACATCGTCCGGTACTTTCGCCGGTATCATCTCCGCCGATCACGCGTCGCGCAAATTCGAGAGCGAGCGCAACACTATCACAAAGTGGTACGATACTCGCGAGGAGCGCCTTCGTGCCGAGGAGAGCGCCGGCCAGACCATCTCCGACCGCATTACAGCCTTTGCCCGTCGCGAAAAGTACAAGATTATCAGCGCTACCTGGATTGCCTCCATGCTTGGCTCGTTCGCTCTCGTCAGTCGCAACCCATACCTCAGTGGCCAGCAGAAGCTTGTTCAGGCCCGTGTCTACGCCCAGGGTCTGACCCTTGGTGTGCTCTGTGCTTCTGCTGCATTCGAGATCTCTGACCAGCGCCGTGGTCGCGGCTTGCTTGATTCCAAGCGAGCCGCCGCTAAGGCTGACGATTCTGCTGAGCCTGCGCCTGTTCATAAGGACCAGGAGTCTGACAGCGATCTGTGGAAGGATATGGTTGCCGCTGAAGAGCAGCGCTTGAGCAACAAGCATCAGTCTCTCTACGAACACCACGAGCGTCAGCAGCAGGCTGCTGAGGCTAAGAAGAGCGATGCGCCTGCCTCCGACGACAAGAACGAGGACTCCAAGTCAGAGAGTGATGATAAGGACGCAAAATCTGAGAAGAAGGAAGCCAAGTCCGACAGCAAAAAGCACTCTTAATTAACAGCTTTCCTGTGCTGACCCTCCGGCACCTACTTCCATCCGCTATCCCTCACCTTCTGCGCACATACTTTGCTTTGGCGTTTATTTCATGTGCCCTGAGAGCTGCTCGATTCCCAAAAGCCACGTTATTTTAGCCGTGTCTCCATGTATGATAATTCTTGATGTCATTGCCTTGATCTCTTTCTCCACTCCTAACGACTTTTCTTGTTAAGTGTTCACTACAGTATAACATAGATATGGTGACGTCATGAGTAATTAACGCAAAATTTCTGCGACGGTCAATCCCCGGAGAAGAACAAACCGTGCGGAGCCTAGCCTCAAGGCTACAAACTAGCGCTTTGTGTATGCGGTTTAATAACTTGAGTGGGTATTCTAAGCGACACAGAAGCCATATACCAGATACGGGCAATGGGACCATACAAGGACCCGGGAGTCGGGACGGGTGATCGGCTCCTCTTCCGGGGTCAGTTCGTCGCTGATGGGCTTGCAACGTTGTCATTTTTAATGAATTGGGTCTCTCTTAAAAACAGCTGCGTAATGCCACCATACTAGAATCAATGTTTATTTGCCAATACCGTCAAAATTATCTCCAACTTATGGCGAAACAAGTTTCATATTGAGATTATGAAGAATGGAATCTCAGCCTGACCTCGGGAATCTACAAATATGGGCTGATGGAATACGTCCGTGGTCGTTCCGATTGGCCATGGAAAATGCAAGTCTCCTTGAAAACCCCATAATCCCAGATAGGACGATTGGTTTGTACTTAGATATGATTGTATCTTTGGGAAATGATAGCGAACTGTACATACAAACGCCCTGTTTGGGCCTAGGCCTTAGAATGTCTCATCCTCCAGGTTTTCCATTCGGCGGATAACACTGGGGCTCTGTTCATCACCAAAGTCATCTGTAACATCTCCAGCTCCAGCGGTTGCTAGCAGATCGGTCACGATGCGCTTGGAAGCCTCTCTCGCTACGAAACTAAGGTCAGCCCACGGAAGTTACAAAAGGAGCAAATAGAAAACAGAACTTACCAGGCGTTCTCATCAGTCTGCTCTGCGGGATATGGAACTGCATGGTCTTTGGTGGACTGGGTCCAAGGTCTTCATCATCGTAATCGAAATCATCGTCACTATCCCACATGGCTGATTTGCCAGATGGCTTTTTGGCTGGAGTCAGAACACTCATACCAGGCCGAGGAGGTTCACGGCGATTGCTGCTAGTTCGACGCTTGCGGTTCGTGCCCGGTGTATCAACGCCCTTGATGGGCGATGAAAAGATCTCCGAATGAAGCTGTGGGGCCTCGGGTTCTGGGCTAGAGATGGGAGAATCATCGTAGCCGTATTTGGAGGTAGTCTCGGTCTTCTGCGGGGTGACATTGAACTTGGATCTGGGGTTGGTGCCTCCGCTGGCGTTGCGGAAGCCCTTTCCAAGCGGCGTGGCTTGGACCCGGTATGTCTTGTCGAGCATTTGATGGAGAACTGGGTCGGACGTCTTTTGATACCGGCGGTCCTGGGTGGATGGTTGGGATGCTGGTGGGAGGAATGGGGATGACATGAGAGTTGAGGCGGAGACGCCGCGGTGTAAAAAGGACTCGCGGCCTGGGGTTGATGGGAGAGTTGATGAGTCGGGGAGATCGAACGGCGCTTCAGACTCGTTGACTTGTTTCCTTAGGTTCTCGTAGGAGGAAGAGTAGTCCATTGAGGAGGTTGTAATGTCGTCGTCGTCATGGTGAGTGTAACCCGGAGCACGCGGGGTGCTGTGTGAAGATATGGCGAGGTCGGTGAGGTCCAGATCCCCTGCCTGGTCACGGCGTGGGGTTTCATGGCGCTGAGATGAAGGTGTCTCATTGGTAATAGTCTCATCGAGGCTAGAGTTTTGCGTCATATCGGTGGACAACTCCTCCTCTGTAGCCGTGGGCTCCTGCTCGGTTTCTTCATCATTGTTGCGTTCTTCATAGCCAGAGAGGGATACGTTGGCGCTTGCTTCAAAGAATTGTTTCCAGAACTGCAAGAGCGTCAATGACAGGTGATCTTCTAGATTTCGAGTAGAGACCACTTACCTTGGAGCCTTCCCAAACATCTCGTGAATGCTCAGTATATTGCTCCACCAAGGGTAGAATACTCGTGGTCACAATTCGGTGGGCTTGGCTGAAATTTTGGTCGATCTCTGCAGTATAGAAGAATCAGCTGTCTGGCAGACTGTTTTGTTTACTTTTTGAAACCGACCTTGCAGTGTCAGGGTGATAGATTGCTCCAATTTCTCCAGTTCCTCCGTGAGGGACAGGGGCCGCTGGACCTGTGAAGTTGGTCGAGACATGCTTTCCTTGACTGCTTGTGATACAGTAGTCTGATAGAAAAAGAAGCGCTATACAATCACGTCGATCGACGCGCGGGGGACCGGACCTATCCCAAAGCGGTGTGTACTTAGGGCGGCAGATAAGGGCTTGGCGAAAGCACGTGCTTTGATGTCAGGACCCCTGATAAGCGCGTAGTCGTAGGCATCACCGGGTCATCCTGCTTCCGTCAACAAAACCCAGGTAGGCGCTGAGCCATTCAACGAGCAAGAAAACCGAGGATAGAGCCAGCATCATTATGCCAGCACCACTTGCAAAAGGTATCGCTCTACGTTCCCAACACCCTCGACTTCCATCCGGATCATCCGGGCGGTGTACTCTTTCTTATCAGTTCCCCACTATATAGATGAGGCTGACACTCCACGCAGGGCTCATAATAGGAGTTTCTGTACTTGTCGCAGCCGGCATTGCCGTGTACGAGTCGCCTCAGTTTCAACAATGGGTATCGAACTCGCGGCGAAAGATTGCCTTGGCGCTTCACAACCTGGGCGATGAGGTACAACCTCGTGACATACCGCTGAGGGAAGACATATCTATGACCGAAGAGCCTGGCGAAGTTGCCGAGGAGCGAAGGCGCATTGCTCGCGCGGAAATCCTGCGACGAGGTGCACTCATTGAATCACGACGTGAATCTCAGAGCACATCACAGCCTCGCAATAGTTTCGACATGCTTGTCGACGAGGATGGTCATTTACGTGATCTGAAATATCACGATGATGTTCAGAATCCCCAAGAATCCACGGCAAAATCGACTGGGCTAGATTGGGAAAATTCCGGGCCCGTTCGCCGGGGTGGTAAATTAATTGATGATGACTCCTCGACTGCTGTGGCCAAGGATCCGTTGAACATCCAAATCGCCGCGCCTGCTACTCCGAATCCTAACATCCAATTTTCTACCCAGCTCACGCCGATTTCCGATGACGCAGAGGAAAACCCGTTCTTTGATCCGTTTTCTCCAAACTCTCCCATCGCAGATTCTGATTCGAGTCACACAGAAGGCCACGAGGAGACGTACTATGCTCATCCCGGTGCTCCAGACAACGTGACCGATCACAATAATGTGCTGGTTGATTTCAGTGGATTCAATCAAGAGTTTGCTTCGTCGCATCATGATATCTCGGCTGCCCCTTCTACGAATGGAAGCTTTACTCATGTTGGAGGATCTGATGACGGGACTTCAGATGGTACACTCAGTGATCTTGGAGCGAGATCCATTGGCGGAGTTGCAACCCCATTAAGCTGGTCCGAGGTGGGTAGTGTAATAAGCAATGAAGATGCCGGTCATCATTGATTGCCAAAATTCATGGATGGAACTGTATTTTTCGGGAACTGGAAGATTGATATTATTGATATTTTCTGGTTGGATCACTGGGCGTGAACTGGGTTTTGCTCAGATGGTATGATGGCGTTAGATTTGCAGCCCTGGAGGTACAATGCGATTTTCTTCTTCTTTTGAGGTGATACTAAAAACTGCAAATCCATTTTTGAATGAAAGATTTGACACATTCTCCAAGAAGTAAGTTTTGTTTTATCCCAAACCCCAAGGCTGGTTGATATAGCTTTGGCGTAGCTCTCTGTCCAGGTGGTACTCAAATGTGTTGAGAGAGAAAGGAGACTGAACCGAGAATTGATTGCGAGGGAGAGAGAGAGGAGAAGGAGAGAAAGCCTATGGAAGGAGGGTTTATCTACAGCAAACGAGGGTTGGGACGAACACCCATCTCAACAAAATGCCTTCATATTGTGTCTAGTCAATCAGAAGCCCCATTGATCTGAGGATGTATGTTTCTTTCGGCCATGAAAGGAAGATATCGAACCTTGGAAAAGTCTATCTCAAATATCTAGTGTGCCTTGCAGTCTCACATCTTTGAAACTGGCACCCACATAGACTCCAATACTGCCCTTAATCAATTTCCACTTCTGAGCTGCGACATCCCATTCGCTCAGATCCCGACGTGTCAAAGGAAGTATCACAGAATCTGTCTCATCCGGCTTGAGTGACAGTTTTTCGAAGCCACGGAGCTGTCTGGCACCGGAAGGAGTATCAAGGTAAAGCTGGGCTGCCTCCTTTCCGGTGATCTTGCCAGTGTTTTTAATTGTGAATTCAACATTCACCAAAACATCCCACAAATCAATCTGGCCACCCTGCTCGATTGGCCCGGAAGGATAGATATCGGCGTCTTCTGCTTTCTTGGTCTTGCTGACTGACAACGAATCATACTCGAAAGTTGTATACGACAAGCCGTATCCAAACTCATACCGTGGTGTTATGTTTCTGGCCTCAAATCCACGGTAGTCGATGAAAATTCCTTCTGAGAAATCGCTTTGCGGGTAGTTGAGGTAGTCGCCCTCAGGCAAATCCGGACCAAGCAGTGGCCCATAATCGCTGACATTCTTTGGGACTGTGTATGGAAGCTTTCCGGAGAAGTTCTCGTCGCCATATAGTAGTGCCACTGTCGCGGCACCAGAGTCTTGACCTGGTGTGTGCGCATACACGATTGCGGTAATATTGGGATGGTCGGAGAAGTTATCAACCAAGCGTACGCCCGGGTTATGAATCACAACAATGGTGTTGTTGCACTGCTCAGCAACAGAGAGGACCAAGTTATCAGAGTAATCATCGTAGACGGCTGGTCGATCGTATCCCTCTGAAGACCAGGCGTTGACAAACACCAGGCAGGCATCAGAAGCAGGCACCTGGGGCGCTGGATCGACAAAGTCCCAGAAAAGATCCGTGTTATCTTTCATGGCACGCTGGTTTAGCGCATCAAAGGGACTCGAGACATATCCGGGGGTTGTCGCACCGGAGCCGCCGCCCATGATGATGGTACCGTTGATAGCGATTGTCTCGATGAAAACTGTGGAATTGTATACCTTTGAAGCAACCTGCTGCTCTGGGTTTGTGCTTTGCGCACCGAGCTTCCATGCCGAGTAAGTTCCATCTCCGACAACTGATTGTTTGTAGCCTGGCGCTGAGTATCCGAACACCGATATAACCTGCGGGTCTCTCAAAGGCAGGGCTCGATTGTTTTTGACTAACACATGGCCTTCTACTGCACCTTGGAACAGTATAGGCCGGGCTGCGGGGTCTCTGGCGTCGACTCTCGTGTGGGGCTCCGTAATTGCATAGGGCATTCCAACACCTGGCTTGGGGAAGCCTTCGTCTTGGCCCAGGAGATACCAAGCCGCGAGAATTCTGGTACTATTAGCCTGAGTGACTTTTTAGTAAATTGTGCCTGACTTACCTAGTGGCCATGTCATCTAAACGAGACTCTGGGACAGTGCCATTTTGAATGGCCGTGGTCAAGTTCTTGCCCCAGTAACCAGAATCTGGCATTGTCATATCAAGGCCGGCTAGTGCACTTGCGACTCCAGAGTCTACATATATCAAAAGTGAGTTAGCAAAGAACAAGCCGACTTGTCTCGATCACTGAGTACTCACGTTGAGCCCTCCAGTCAGTAACGACAAAGCCCTATATCAATGCTGTCAGCCATGTGTGGTCTAGCGTGAGCAATGAGATCATTCAGTACCTGGAAACCCAGCTCGGTCTTTAGCAAACCGTTCAATGTTTTGCTGTTTGCGCATCCATAAGAGTTGTTGATCCTCTGATAACTGAAGATAGATCGTCAGCCCCACACGACATTTATCTACTTGAAGCTGACGACTTACCTGCACATAATGTTGGCAGATCCGGCCTTGAGAGCATCTTGGAAAGGCCTTTTTTGGGATTCATTAGTCAAGAAGTCCACAGGTCTGTTCGCAAATCAATCATACCAAAGGTAAAGCTCATGCATTGTCTTATCGTCCACATTTGATGACACCGCCTCAACTTGAGGTGTCGTATTAGCAAACGGATTTCGGTTGGTTTCTTGTTCGTTCACGATGAAATGCTTCAAACTCGTGATTATACCACGTTGGTGGTGTCCCTTGATAGTGTCTGCGGCGAGCAAGCCGGACAGATATGGGTCATGAGAGAAACCTTCCCAGTTACGTCCACCACGGGCAATACGACCAAGAGGTCCAACAACTATCGTAAAATGTAAGTAAATATACAATCTGGTGTCTGATTGGGGATATTCACCTGGACCAAGGGCAACGTTGGCGCCTTTGGCTCTGAACTCTCCTGCCATGTAATGGCCTCGTTGGGTAGTAAGTTCCCGGTTCCAGCTGATGGTGCATCAGTCATGTTCGTCACTACTGGTGTTGAAGACCAAGATGATGCTCACCTTGCACCAACACTTAGCCCAGCCGCATATCCATTGACGAGATCAGTGGTTCGAACGCCGTTGCCGGCATCAACGAGGCAAAGACCCGGGAACCCAAGGCGCGGGATAGCTTGAATCCATCCTGCGCAGCCATTCTCTGTAGTTGAGGCACCAAATGTAAGGTTGGACTATGCTTGTCAGGTTGATGTTGATTGTCTCGTCATCAAGGGTTCCAAACCGCATACCTTTTCCTCGAGGGTCAATTGAGCAACCAGTGCCTTCGCCTTAGTATAAGACTCCGCCCAGTCTCCAGTTCCGGTGATGTTTGCTTTTTATTTGACTGAGTTAGCAACATTCTTAGGCATTTATGTAAGAAAAAACATACGTGATGGGTATACCGGTGGGCTCTGGCCATAGAAAATGCTATCATCCGTGATGACTTTGGCCGAAGCCCCCAGAGCACAAAGACTTAGAGCAATAGACTTCATCTCGTAAACATGAGCTAACGAAATGTTCTCTTGGAGAAGATCTCCAACCCTTGAGAGGGACTGTTGAATTAATGTAGGGATCAACATGGCTCAATTGTATTGCCGGAGAAAAGCCGACCATCAGGCTAGGATAAACCTTGGCCTACTACACTGACGTCAAAGATCCCGAATAAACCGCGCATTTGTTCTTCTCGATGTTACCTGACTGCTTTTTGCAAACAGATGGTGTTGATTTCCCCACTTTCCCCGCATGGCCTCACCTCCTTTTTGCATCCCACGGCCCCCACGCAAACACCGCCCAAACCCCCCTTGATGGTGAAATCTGGGGGACAGTATATGGGTGCTAGAGCTTCTCTGACTCCTCTTTGAATGACTGACCTGATGATATCAAATGTTTACGAAGTGGTTGTTCCATATTATGAAGCTTGACTCGTTCTACCTATGCCCTATTGTGTTGCAGAGTCATGGACCCCTCAAGGCAAACAAACGACGCTTTGTTTTCTCACTCAGATTCCCCGCTTGACTGCGATGATCGGACTAGTCCCGGTTTATGTCCTGGAAGTGGTAAGTGGAAAGGTCCAAGCATTACTCATCGATGGAATCATCATACATGCATCTGCTTTGTCCATCTCGGTGAACCTCCCAGGAAACAATTGATACAACATGAGTACTTGACAGATGGCAGCTCACAAGAAGTCAAATCTTTATACACGTGGTCAGGGGCTTGGATCAAGCCGCACAGGCTCAACATCTTTCCCCCAGGTCAAGTCTCCATCAAACGATTTCTGGTCATGGTTTCCGGGCCGTTCCGCATCGAAGTCTAGCCGGTCTGGGATCTTCAACCCAGACTGGGAATGGTATCTTACAAACCAGGTAGATACGCCATCCCGGTATAGCCAAGGGTCCTCGGTCCGTCGCTGCCATGTCTCCAGTTGCACCCTCAGGCCATCGAGTACAGCGGCGTGAGCTGGGTCTTTCACCAGATTGATCACCTCATTTGGGTCATTTTCTAAATCGTACAGCTCTTCAGGTGCACGAAAGAAATAATCCTTAAGCTTTCGCTCTCCAATCATGATCTCGCTATCCGGGGAATTGCGAATGTCCTCCCAGGAGAGAGATCCATAGATATCAGCCGCGAATGGGAAGTCGAGTCGCCACGCGAGGTTTCGATGGTACTTGTAGCGTCGGTCCCGGATGAATCTTGTGGGCCAGTAATTTGTGACCTCGTGGAAGGTATGCGAGCCGAAGACGTGATTACGCTTTGATGCTTTCCCGTCAGTTCCGAGGATAGGAAGTAATGAGTGCCCAAGACGCTTTTTTGCTGGATCTACCACGCCTGGATGCCCAACATAGTCAAGCAAGGTTGGAAGGATATCAACATATGACACCATGTCGAAGTTATTCGTAGGTCGTATTTTCGGATGCTTGATTATGAGAGGTAATCTCACCCCTGCATCGAAGAGAGTTGTTTTGGAGTTGATAAACGGTGGGCCATTGTCGCTTATGAAAATAACCAGGGTTGATTCAGCCAGACCGGCCTCTTCGAGAGCGTCCAAAACGAATCCGATGCCCTGATCAAGGCGATGAATTGAGTTATAATACTCAGCCAACTCGAAGCGGGCACCGGGGGAGTCGTTGATGAACGGAGGCACCTCAACAGCATCGCCCTTGTAGGAACCGCTCTTGATTCTAGGATCGTATTTTTGGTCGTTGCCAAATCCACCTCGTGTGCGATCGCGATGAGGATCGTGGAATCCAATGGTCAAGAAAAAGGATCTCTCATCTATTTTGGACTCAAGAAAGAACTCCTTGGCTTGATCAGCAATCACAGCCACATCCCGGGTTTCGCTCTCCTTGGTAACCTCCCAGGGATAGACTGCCGCAGGTCCAACGTGAATTTTTCCAAGAATTCCCGTTCGGTAGCCGCTCTGATTCAGCAACTGGGGGGCTGTCTCGACGTGGTCAAAGGTGACGAAGTGGTGGCGATGACTGGCAAGTCCGTACTGGCCGTTCTGGTGGGTGTGAAGACCTGTGTATATCACAGAGCGGCTACCGCTACACGATGCGGTACTTGCAAATGCATACTCAAATTTGGTGCCTTCCCCAGCCAGACGGTCGATACTGGGTGTTTTGATAGTTGATGCACCATAGCAACTGAGCTGCTTGCCAAGATCATCGGCGACCATCAACAGTACATTCTTCTTGCTTGACATGATGCGTTCAATATTTTGCTGCGATTCAACGCGTCTGAATCAACTTCGAGTGGGTGTGGAAAGAGATCGAGCCGCGATGGGAAAACCGAGAAGGGTTCTTGTGTACCTCTCTCTTGTCATTGGTGCATTTACTTCATCTGAAGCTAACACATCTCAAGCCCTGAAAGAGGCGCGATCTCACACCGAGATGATGTGCTTTTGTGGTAATAAATTGCCTTCTTATCTACTAATGCGCCACATAAGCTTAGCTCGTGGTGCTCTGTCGTCAAATTTTGATTGAAAATGTTGTCATCTTCGATTTTATTTAGCGTTGGCTTGATGGCCCCCAAAACATGCCATCTTCATGGAGACCGGTGGAGGCATTCCGCATAGTACTTTAGACTAAGTATTGGTTTAATTTACTCGTTTGATTGTCTTCTTATTCCATGAAGACTGGAGATGGCCATTGGCTGGGCTAGGTATGACGTTCTTTAGCAACTTTATTGTGTTCAACAAGAATGTTGCAGACGTGATAAGACGGGAACTACCGATTTGAGCCGGTCAAAAGCAAGACTATAAATTCAGACATAGGCAGGGGAATTTTAAAAGAAGATAAGCAAAATCGTTAGTGCATGATGAAGTTGACTAATTTGGTACTGTTTTCCTTCTTGCGCATTACCGCGGGCCAGCTCATTGGACCTGTAGGTCCAACTACTGATCTCAAAGACAAAACAATTGAGTGCAACATTCTGGATTATGGCGCGGTGGCAGATAACAAAACCGATATATCCACTGCGCTGGAGACTGTTTTCTCAGAATGTGTTCGCAAACAACCCGGTAGCCGACTGGTTGTTCCCGAGGGGGAGTATCTGATCGAGAGAGGCGTAACTCTTCTCAATGGCACAAACTGGGCATTCCAGTTAGATGGACTGATTACGGCTGCATATGGTGGTGACTGGAATATTGAGCGTGAGTTGCTTCTCCAGGGATTTGCCGGCACAGAGATCATCAATGCAACCATCAATGGAGAGGGTGATTCTAAATTTCTTCTAGACGTTCTCGTCATCGTCAATGGTAAGTTGACCTCCCTGGCACTCTTGAACTTATTTGATGGTGTATTGACAAGATAGCTGTGGATTTCGAGTTCTATTCTTCCAATGGGAAAGGTGCCTTCCAAGGACAGGGTTATCTATATCGCAATCTCGAAAAGTAACTATTACCATTTCCCAAGTTTTGTATTGAAATCATTGAAACTGACACGAGCACAAATCTCAGCACTGATCGTCCACGCTTGGTGCGTTTGATTTCTCCGACCAACGCCTCAGTTCACGACTTGATCCTGGTGGATAGTCCGAAATTTCACATCATTCTTGACTTTGCGGTCAATGTTGAAGCATATCATCTGACTATCCGCGGAGCCAATCTGGGTAGTTATGATGGCATCGATGCCATTGGGACGAACTATTGGATCCATGATAATGAGGTACATACTGCTACTGTTCTCACGCTCGATTGCAAAAAACTAATTCCCAGTGCAGGTCACGAATCGCGATGAATGTGTTTCTGTGAAGAGCCCTTCCCATCATGCCTTGGTCGAGAACCTAGTCTGCAACCAAGCAGGCTCGGGTATCTCCATTGGAAGTCTCAACGTGTCTGCGGAGATATCAAACATTGTTCGTCTCATGCATTGCGAAAACCGTTCGTTTGCTAACATCTGACCAGGAAGCACGGAATATCAGCATTATTCAGGGTAACAACATCGCTTTCATCAAGACATATCCCGGCGGATCTGGCTATGTCACAAACATTACCTTCTCAAACTTTCGTTCTTTGGCAAGCCTCTATGGCTTGAGTGTCAATCAGTATTGGCAGAATACATTTGAGCCCGACACTGGTGCTGTTGCACTGAGCAACTTGGTATTCCGGAACTTTTCTGGCAAGTTCACACCCGAATCTAATATCTAGCATGATCTAATACCATTTACAGGCTCTGTGGCTCAAGGAACGAAGCGCCCTCCACTTTATCTGATTGCGAATGATCTCACATTTGCTACCAATGTTACTGTGGAAGACTTTACAGTGTGGACGGAAACGGGTACCACGGTCTTGAACAAGATTAGCAACATATTTGGGACTGGTGATAACAGTTATGGGTCGAATGATGGTATCAAATCTCTGGATAAGGGAGAGTCACCTTCGCCTTACACCAGCACCTATACTATCACAGCATCCCCAACAAATTGGCAAGCTCCAAGCACTCCTACGTGGGCTGTGCCCAGCACAGGCTATGGAAGTAAGTATCCTATTCGCCTTTTTTTTTCTTCTTCGATTTCTTGATAAGAGGCTTACAAAACCTTCATAGCGGCATCTCCTATTCCAGTGTATAGTCCGGCTCCTCTGTGGCGCCCCGGTGGTGTGGATTATGACTTACATTACTGGGGAAGCTTTTAAGTCCAATTCTTGGCAACTTATAAGTTAGGGGCCATTTCTTTTTGACTTTTGAAATGGAAAAGGGCTCTGGTAGGACAATATTGGGAGAGGTAGTTGGCTGCCTTTAGGTGGAGAATGAAAGTCGCATGGTAATTTAGTTAGAGGTACTTGAGTAGAGGAAATATGAGAGCTAGTCTTTGGGACCTAGTACGCAATTGTCTAAGATAACTGAACTTCAAAATTTATGAGAAGTTCTCCTTTCATGCGATTCTCAAACCCTCCCAGGACATATGCATGTTGGGAAAAAGTGCCATCATGTAGTATGCTTAATTTAAGAGTACGTGTTTTCGGATCTTCAAGCAACAGTGTAAGTACGGAGTACCTTTGTCTCACGTCGTATGGCGTAATCTAGTCAGGATGTTACCAATGAAGCAGCTGGTGCACACCGCACATGAACTTTAGAATCATCCCGCGAGATGAAGTGTGTGTTGGTATATGAAAAGGCTTGATTTGGAAGGGCCGATATTGATAGCGGCGCCAGTTCCACTCAATTCTTAGAAAGCCGAGAAAGTTAGGTAAATTGATAGACAAGATTTTCCACCAATCTTGAAAGACCTCATGCAAGAAGCCCATTGTTTATTGCCTGGATTCAGCACACGTTGATGCAATCAAGCATAGCCATGGCGCAAACCTCGGTTAAATGAGAAGGCTTATTCCATTTACCAAGACAGCTATCTTTGGCCTGTTTGCCTAATGATTTATCTTGAATTTTCACGCCAGGCGTTCTCTAGATTATGATAGCGCTCTTTTGAAGCGCTAAGAGGATCAAGTGTCGCTTGTTGGAGAGTCCCTGCGTCCGCTGGCGAACATTGCATCATGCATCTGCCCGAGCACGCATTTTGTGAGGCTTGATGAGCTTTCAATCATAACATGTCAAAGTCTGAGCTCGATCTATATATTGGACGATGGATATCAGCAATTATGAATCACCAGGAATCAACTTTAGAACTGCCCAGGTGTCGATTGTCCTGCTTCCCATTTCGCAGACCCAGCAAGACCATGGCATCGACATCTTCCAAGGAGTTCCCGAACTCAGACTCAGAGCCCCAAGCCGAGGGCCACTATCTGAAAGACGGGACTCTGGTGACAAATTTGGCTGAGCCAGAGGAACAACGAGAGTCGCAGTCGCTTGTTGCTGCGCTCTTCTCGCGGAAACGAAAAGTCGATCCAGACTCCATCGCAACAGTCCGAAGCGTATTCGATGATCCTGTACTGAGTCCATTTTATCAACCTCGTCCGGACTACGAGAATCTACATAGATTTGATCCCAATGAAAGATGGACTCATCGCGAGGAAGCAACTGTACGCCGCAAGACCGATTGGACCATTTTCTTGTGGATTCTTGTCATGTTCTTTGGACTCAACATCGACCGAGGAAACCTAGGAAATGCCGCAGCCGATAACTTACTGGACGACTTGAAGATCAACACCAACGACTACAATAACGCACAAAACATGTACCGCATCGGTTTCCTCATTGCCGAAATCCCGTCCCAGATGCTTGGAAAGAGACTGGGACCTGATCGTTGGATCCCGTTCCAAATTATCTTATGGAGTTTAGCATCGGGGGGTCAATTCTTCATGCAAGGAAAATCCGGGTTTTTCGCATGTCGTTTCTTCATCGGTCTTTTCATGGGTGGCTTCATTCCAGATGCAGTTCTCTACCTCTCATACTTCTACACCAAGTCTGAGATGCCATTTCGACTCGCCATGTTCTGGTTCGTGGACTCTATGTCAGGTGTCGTTGCTTCATTCATTGCTTATGGAGTGCTGCACATGCGTGGTGTGGATGGCCGCGAGGGTTGGCGATGGCTGTTCCTCATTGAAGCTCTCATCAGTATTGTGATTGGGTTCCTCAGTTTCTTGTTCTTGGTTCCAGGTCCTACGCAAACGAAAACCTGGTGGAATCCAAAGGGATATTTCACCGAAAAAGAAGAAAAGATTATCGTGAATCGAGTCCTGCGAGATGATCCGTCAAAGGGTGACATGCACAATCGTCAAGCTCTTTCCCTCAGCATGCTGTGGCAAAGTTTGATGGACTACGATCTGTGGCCGATCTATATCATTGGAATCCTATTTGAGATACCAACCTCGCCCCCGAAGACCTACCTGACGCTTTCACTCAAAGCGATTGGGTTTGGCACCTTCCAAACAACCCTGTTGACAATCCCCGTCACTGTCTTCGCGGCCATTAACTTGTTGCTTGTGACTGAATTGACAGAGCGTTTGCACGAAATCTCCATAATCGGTCTTCTTACCCAGGTCTGGACACTTCCCCTTCTCATTGTGCTTTACACGTCAGCTGGGTCACTGTCCAGCTGGGGCCTATACGCAGTCACATTTATTCTGTTGGGCTGGCCATCTCCTCACGCTGCACATGTCGGATGGTGCTCACGTCTTAGCAACACTGTTCGAACTCGCAGTATCAGTGCGGCACTCTACAACGTGACCATCCAACTTTCCGGGATCGCGTCCTCGAACATTTATCGCAAGGATGACAAACCACTCTACCGTCGGGGAAACTCGCAGCTCATCGCTATCAACGTTGCTACGATAGTCGCCTATATTCTGGCCAAGATATATTATGTGCGAAGGAACCAGTGGAAGAAATCTCAGTGGGAAAAGATGACACCAGAAGAGAAGGCTACTTACCTGAGCACTACGACCGACCAAGGAAACAAGCGATTGGACTTCCAGTTCGACAGTTGAGCATTATTGCGACCTGCAATCAGACCGGTCATGCAGTTCGAAAAGTGCAAATAATGATTCTCATATCATTTGGATGGCTTTCTATCTCGTTTCCATCTCGTGGCTGCCACATATATGGATTGCTAGATCATGAAATAAGCCGAGCGCCAGGGTTACAAATCTCGAATGCGATAGATGAACTTTAACACCTCAGAACGAATTTGTGCCTAGGCATTCGAACAAGCCAAGTCTTGAGGATTTGGAGTAATTAATAAATGCAGGTATCCGGTACCTGTCCTTCTTATCTGAATCACACTAAAACGGAAGTATCGGATACTTGGCCGGATAGACCGATAGGCGAAAATGAGCCTCGGCAGTCTCGGGCTGTCCAGCGCGGGGATGTTTCGCATACTTCATTAATTCATCTTCCTCCTTTATACCTCTTCTTCTTGACAATCTTACAACTCACCCCTTTTAATCTGTAAGTCGTCTCTCACGTCCGTTGCGAAGCTCGAATGGCCTTCTCTTTGCTTTCGTTCTCCAATTCTCCGAGGAGACTCTCCGCACCCGTTGAGAGCTTTCCCCGCAAGAACACCGAAATCTTCACTCAGATGCTGCATACATGAAGAAACACAACGCTGACGCTCAAACAACTACAGTCATCTTATTTTAATACATCATGGCTGCGGATCGTCTAAGCTCCCTCCTAAGTCACCTCAAGCCAGGTGCCGCCAGCGGCCTTGCCGCAATGTAAGAGCGCAACCTCGGCTGTGGTTCATCTGGCTGACAACCGCTTACAGTACCCAAAAGAACCCCGACGACGTGGTCATCACACTAGCCCTCCGTACGCCTTTGACTAAGGCGCGCAAGGGTGGTTTCAAGGACACAGAGTTGGATTACATGGTCTACGCTCTGCTCAAGGAGACTCTATCCAAGTCCAAGATTGACCCTGCCTTGATTGAAGATGTCTGCCTGGGTAACGTATGTTTAATCTTTTGATCTAACAATTGTTGCATCATTTCAAAGTCCACTCTAACTCTCTGCAGGTTGGCGAGGGCAAGGCCGCTTACATGGTTCGCGCCGCAGCGCTGGCCGCTGGTATTCCCCACACCGCCGGTGCGTCCTCGGTAAACCGATTCTGTTCGTCTGGTCTCAAGGCGGTGCAGGATATTGCCAACCAAATTCAACTTGGCGCCATCGATGTTGGTGTCGCTCTGGGCGCTGAGCTGATGTCTGCTGCTGGCGACCGATTGGAGAAGCCCTTCAACGAGGAGGTTCTGCGCAACCAGGAGGCTGCTGACTGTATGCAGCCCATGGGCCAGACATCCGAGAACATCGGCAAGGACTTTGGCATTCCCCGTGAGGAGCAGGACAGATACGCTGCTGAATCTTTCCGTCGTGCCGAGGCTGCTCAGAAAGCCGGATGGTTCGATGACGAGATTGCCCCCATCAACGTTAAGGTCAAGGACCCCAAGACGGGTGAGGTCAAGGAGATTACAGTTTCTCGCGATGACGGTATCCGCCCTGGTACTACTTTCGAATCACTGTCCAAGATTCGCCCTGCGTTCCCGCAGTTCGGTGACAAGTCCACTGGTGGAAACTCCAGTCAGGTTACCGACGGTGCCGCTTCTGTTCTCCTGATGCGTCGTTCCAAGGCTATCGAGCTGAACCAACCTATCCTTGCTAAGTTCTGCGGTGCTACTGTGGCTGGTGTGCCCCCTCGCGTCATGGGTATCGGCCCAACTGCCGCTATCCCCAAGCTGCTGAGCAAGTTCCAGCTTGACAAGAACGACATCGATATCTATGAGATCAACGAGGCTTTCGCCTCCATGGCAGTGTACTGTGTCAAGAACCTTGGCCTTGACCACGCAAAGGTCAACCCCCGTGGTGGTGCTATTGCTATTGGCCACCCTCTTGGCGCGACGGGTGCGCGTCAAATTGCTACTGTCCTGAGCGAGGCTCGACGCACGAAGAGTAAGATTCTGGTTACCTCTATGTGCATTGGAACTGGTCAGGGTATGGCCGGGCTCTTCGTCAACGAGCAAATTTAAATTTGAGAAGATATGTATGAGTGATATCTACTTGGTCTTGTGACAAAATGGCACGATATATACGGAGCGCATAAAATACTGTTATAAAAATAGCATGTTCAAGATATCAAACTCATAAATCGTAAAGTATATGGTAACAAAATGTGCATCATGTAGTATCGTCCTGCTTCCTCGCCTGGCTGTCCCTCTTCATCCTCTCCTCTGCAGCACGCGCCATAATCTCCCTACGAGAAAGCGACCCACCACTCCCAGGCTGCGCTGATGCCGAATCCCCCTGCAATCCACCGAGGACAAACTCGCCGCCTGTCCACCCACACTCATCCACAAATTCCTCCCCATCCTGCACACTGTCCCAATCACCAGGGTTGTAGAACTCCTGACTGGACAGCTGGTTTCCACCAGACTTCCAATCCGCACGCTCAACCTCCTTCTCAATCTGAGATGTCAAGTCCCAAAAGTCACGGTCATGGGGCCCAAACACGCAGTGTGCGAGCTCGTGACACAATGTCTTTCGGATAGTCCGATAATCGCGATATCCATCATAGGCATCTGTCCGCAATCGCAACTCAATTACTTCGCCTTTATTCCGGTTCAGACCTAGCGTACGTGATTCGCTAGTCGTGTGTTCGGCCGGGTTCATCTCTGTTAAGAGGGGAACAGAGAATTTATGTTTTGCCATTGCGGCGCGGATGCCTGGATCATCGCGGAGGCGCTTGAGAAATTCCAGGGAGCGATCTGGGTTGGGGAGATATGAGAGTGGGAGGAGACGGTGGAATGTGTAGTTGTTGCTTGATGAGGAGATGGTATGGACACCGCCACTGCGGCTTGAGGGCGTTTGTTTGTTGCGCCTTGCAGCAGCCAGAGCAGATACTCGTGCTTCTTGGCGCTGTTTTTCACTAGCGGATTGTTCGTGGAGGTCTGCGATTGCTTTGGCGGGGGTTCCGAGGAGGGTGATCTTAAATTTGGGAGAGGAAGTCTGGAGGATCGTGTCGAGGCGGGTCGGGGAAAATGGAGCCTTTTGCATTCCTGGCTTCGGGGCTATGAGAAGCTTCTGGTTCTCGGTTGGGATATTCAGGACGCTCGCGATTTCGGATGAGAGGTCTTGTAAGGTTGCTGAGCAAGAAACTTGAATGATATGTGGAGTGCCATGGTGATGAACAGTTAGTTCCATAGGAGAGTCCATGGTATCATAGCGATATGCGAATATGTGCAGGAAACAGAGAGACACACAGGAAAACAGCTTCGATGGCCCGATTTCCACTGGGTTCCACCTCTCGGCGTTTAGGTTTGTCAGCACGGAGATAAGCCCTGCAGCCCTGCAGCCCTGAACTGGCGGGTCTTCTACGATGCTCTTTTTCTCTCTCTTTCTTTGCATGTTCTCCAACAGTAATCCATTAAATTTTGGAGTTAGAAGAGTCGAACCTCTTTTCCCAAATACACAGAGACATCTTACAGACCTAGGTTCGCATATTGACGGCTCCTACAATGCGTGAGACAGTGATGTGACGGAGACTTTGGCGGTAGAACTGTAAATAGCCATGCAGTTTCAAAGATACTTCAGTAAGTCCATACTTAAGAAGTAAGATAAAATCAACATCAGTGGCATGATCGTTGATAACAGGCCTCCTAGACTTCTCGACGCTGACACCGTTCAAGCTCCTCCATTGACATAGCCTGATCCCATCTTTATCGCAACCTGTTTCTCCGACAATCCCAACAAACCCTCATCCGGCAGTTCCTGCACATGAAGATGTACTCAGGTAAGTAATGGAAGCAGACATCACACTGGAGGCTGCCTCGGTTCCGCCAGGCCCATTGAGAATGCCTGTGGTGTTCACATCCGTCATCCTCATGCTGCCGAAGATTCTGAATAGCCCCATCCAACGCTTGCTGCCGGACTGCGTGACCCGCATTCTGGGGGACTTCCTCTTCGACAATTTGTTGCGCCTCGTCCAAGAGCCGTCCCTCATGCCAGAGATCGCATTCGCATGTCTTCCAGGTCGCGGTACAGGCATAGCAGAACTCTCGGCCACAACTGTTTGGTAGATGATTAGCGAATATTTATATTAGATAAAGATTGCTTCTTGACAGGAGTGCGGCTCCCAGAGCGATTGGGTCCGAGTTTTGCATTGCCATTTTTTGCACACGCTCATTCTTGCAGATATCACCCAATTCGGTCTCTATCAGGGCTGTTAAGGATTATACTTACCGGCATGTCATATGGTTGCAGCCTCGCAGAAGCTCCACCATAGTCCGGCAATGCGGACATCTCTTCCAGCCTTCTGCTTCTGCGATATCCAAAACAAGAGGAAGGGTCTCATCCAGTGGACAGTCCATTGCCGGATGCGCAAGAGAGCGACATGGTAGATGCGTCTGTTTGTGACATTCGGGGCATGTACCATGGTCGTTGTTGATAGCAAAGACAGGAATAAAGGTCGAACAAGTTGGATCGGCACAGTAGACGCGGTCCTTTGCAGTCCATTCAAGTGCCCTATGACTGAATTCGCGGAGCTCCGAGTAATTCAAAACCCTCATAGCAACCGCTGGCGGTATGCCATTGCCACAACATCGGGGTGGATACAGTTCCTCGTCCCGAATTGAGCCAAGGAACATTTGTCGTGTGCAGTCAAGGCAATATTCATGACCACATCTGTCCATTGAAAGGACTGCATCATGGCTTTCGAGGCACGAGACACACCTGACGCGACGGGTCGTCGATTGATAGGAAGAGACAACCCGAGAGGATCCTTCTGCATTACCCAGTTCGTCTCGTACAGATATTCGGGTCAACAAATCTTGCAAAATAATTGAAACGGGGTCGATATTCTCATCGTGCATGGGTTGAGGCTCGGTGTTTCCTGAAAGGAGGCGAGGGGGGCGCTGTCCATCATTCAGGGCAACAGCAAGTTGGTGGTCCTCGTTGGCTATTCTCTCTTGGCGTGCTAGCGACATGAGCATATTTTGATCACTCAATACCGCAGAGGTCGTGCTGTGGGCTTGAGACTGGTCCTTGATAGACCTCTCAATGTTCTCGATGTCATCTTGCATAGTTTTGATGGCAAGCTCAAGATCTGTCAGATCTCCAGCTCTCTGCTTTCCCTTCACAGTATCTTCCAGGGCCTCTAAATCATCACGAAGAAGCCGTAGAATGGCCTCCTTGTTATGACGGTCAACCATTTCCTCGCGTGGTTGGCAATGTCAATAGGGTCTTGTGGCTTGTCGTGAGCTGGGAAAGAATGAGGACAGAAAGAGTCAAAGACAGAGCGAAACAGAGACTGGGCGAGCGAAACAGAGACTGAGCGAGCGAAACAGAGACTGAGCGAGCGAAACAGAGACTGAGCGAGCCAAACAGAGAATGGGCGAGCGAAACAGAGACTGGGCGAGCGAAACAGAGACTGGATGAGCGAAACAGAGAGTTTAAGTGAGAGATGGAGGGAGAGAGGGAGACTGAGCGAGCGAAACAGAGACTGGGCGAGCGAAACAGAGAATGGGCAAGCGAAACAGAGAGTGTAAGTGAGAGATGGAGGGAGAGAGGGAGACTGAGCGAGCGAAACAGAGACCGGGCGAGCGAAACAGAGACCGGGCGAGCGAAACAGAGACCGGGCGAGCGAAACAGAGAATGTAAGTGAGAGAGGGAGGGAGAGAGGGAGAGAGTGTGTATGTGTGTGTGTGAATAAGAAGGCTACTACTGTATATCAACATGCCAATATGCACACAGGTTATGAGTCTTTTCTTTAGGAACATTCTGATCAGTTAAACTCCATTGCAAGAGGCATAAAGAAGCAAGTCATAACTACAATGTCTTTTAAAAATGGCAAACGCCTGTGGTGCCTTATAGATCATGGCTCAAGTGTCATGAGACATTGACATCTTCTGTTTGAGTCTTTCTGATGTTTGATATGGAATCTCTGTTTGCAGACTCCCAGGGAGTACCTCACTGCAATTAAGAGGAGATTTTGGATCAAGGGAATAAATAACCTTGGAAGGAAGTGATCTTTGTTCCATTGATGCCGGTGATTCTGTTCCAGTACTCTATGCTCCAGGGATAACTTGTTGTGATCTGGGGAAATAAGTCTAGTTCCTAAGATCGAAGACAGACACAACAGTCTGTCAGGTGATCCATCATCACCTGACCTTATGTAGAAGATAGTGTCAAGGTTGGAATACACCATACTACGAGTATAACAAAGTTCTAATACGGTGTGCACTTTTTGGCCTAGCGGCCGAGTATTTGTGTTTCGACAGATAGTGATTACAAGAACATAATTGAAGATAAAGGCGTGGAGTATATTTTCATCTATTCATAAACATCCAAGAAAACGATCTACATCATAACCGTTTGCCATCACAACAAAAAAACAGAGAGAACGAAAACCGCTCTCATATCTAGGTGCGTAACACATCTCTGAAATTCCTTTTCGTCATAACGCGGTAACACGCGCACACATGAGGGCCACCAAAGCCCGTACAATAAGCGCAAAAACTAGGCAGATATAATTTACTGCTTGTCGGCAGACTCCTCGGCGGGGGCATCTTGCATCTCGGCGTCACCTTCGGGCTTGGAGTCTTCCTCGGCCTTCTTGGCGGCGTCTTCGGCCTGCTTCTTGGCCTCGAGCTCAGCGCGCTTCTTGGCAGCAGCTTCCTCCTCAGCCTTGCGGACAGCATCACGCTCGGCCTCAGCCTTCTCCTTGTAACGCTGGATGATGGGTCCGGCAATGAAGCGGATGTCGTCCATCTTGGCGACGTAGATGGACTTGGTGGTGTCCTCGCCGTCCTCGTAGAGCCAGTCCTGGATAAAAGGTTAGTATATGGAATTACTTTGGAAAGGGCTCAGGTAGAAATGACTTACCTCGGTGTCGGTGAGCTTGGCACGGAGCTTGTCCTTCTCCTCGTCGCTAGCGAACTCGGAGTAGACGCCGTCAATCTTGTCACGGAGCTCGTAGATGGAGGCCTCGAGCTCGTTCTTCTTCTCGTCGGTCTCGGCGACAAGCTTGTCTTCCATGTACATGGAGTTCTCACGCTCAGTCCAAGCCTCCTTAATGGCCTGGTCGAAACCACCGGTGGCGGAGGCAATGGGGAGGTCACCCTTGCGGACCTGCTTCTTGACCTTGCGGGTCTTCTTGGGCTGCTCGTCCTTGGAGTCGGTGTCCATGGCGTCACCCTCCTTCTTCTCCTCCTCAACAGGCTCCTCGACTTCCATATCCTCAACGTAGTAACCTGACTCGACGTTCAGGATACCGTGGAGGTTAAGGCGGGCCTTGAGCTTGCAGATCATGAAGTCGTTCTCGGCATTGGCCTGAACGTTCTTGACGGAGAAACGGCCAATCCAGGGGTTGACCTTGCCGGGCATAGTCTCGGGCTTGGAGTAGCGAGCCTCGAGGTCGAAGGGCTGCTTGCGGTAGAATGTGAGGATCTTGGTAGAGGGCATGACGTTTCCGCGGTTGAAGACAGTGAGGCTAGTGTCCTCATCGGGGATCTCGGGGGACTGCTCCCAGGTGAAGTCAATGGGGTAGTTGACAATGTCGTGAACAGCGAAGTCACGGACACGGAAGACAGGGGAGAGGGTGGCACAGCTGAAGGCGCAACCGCGGGCAATGGCCTCATCCTGGTTAAGGGTGAACGACAGGTTCTTGCCGAAGTACTTGGAGAGGGTGTCCTTGATGGCGGGGACACGGGTGCAGCCACCGACCATCTCGATGGAGTCGATGTCCTCAGCCTTGAGCTTGGCCTCAGAGAGAGCCTGCTCGATAGGGACGGTCAGGCGGTCAAGGAGGGGCTTGACCATCTCCTCGAGCTCATCACGCTTCATCATGGCGCGGACATCGACATCGTCCATGAGGGACTCGATGTTCAAAGGTGCCTGGGGGTTAGCCGACAGAACCTTCTTGAGCTTCTCGGCAGCGACCAGGGTACGGGCCCAGGCCTTGGGGTTGGTGGTGATGTCGACCTTGAACTTCTCCTTGAACTCGACGGCAAGGTGCTCGGTCAGAGCCTTGTCGAAGTTACGACCACCGAAGTGACGGTCGTAGGCGGTAGCCTTGACATTGAGCTCACCCTTGCGGAACTCAACGATGGAGGCAGTGTAGTCGGAGTAACCGATGTCAACAAACATAACACGGCGGGGCTTCTCCTCCGCGGTGGGGAGGTCGAGCTTAGTGATACCCCAGCCGAGAGCGGTAGCGGTGGTGTCGTTGATAAGACGGAGGATGTTGACACCGGCAATGTCACCGGCATCGATCATGGCGCGGCGCTGCACATCGGTAAACCAAGCGGGCACACTGACGGTCACGTCGGACACGGGGAGACGGAGCTCCTTGGCGGTGATGTCCTTGATCTTGGTAAGGTAGGCGGCGACCAACTGGGTTGCTGTGAACTTCTCCTTCTTGCCCAGGTAGTTGACCTCGACACCGGCCTGGCCATCCACGTCGACCAGAGTTGATGTGTTGTATTCTTGCTCGATGGCGACATCGGGGTCGTTGAAAGAGCGGCCGATCAGACGCTTGAGAGACCCAACGGTGTTCTTGAGGTTAGAGATCTCACCACCCTTGGCGGCCTCACCAAGGTGACGAGAGCGGCGTGTGAACCCAACAAGGGAACTAAAACAAAACGATTGCTGTCAGTTGTCCATATTCTGCAAGACAGGAGAGTAATTCAGGGCTCAAAACGTACGGAGTCTGACGGTTGGAAACCTCATTGGTGATCTAGATTGACACAAAAAAAGATAAAAGTCAGCGCATTGCTCCTTCGCGGCCAAATCGAAGGTCGTGATAATCCGGGAAAAATCCGCGATTGCGTATCGGGGATCGTGGGGCACATACAATATCAATGCCCTTGTTGCGGGCAACACCAATCTTGGTGGTCTGAGCACCCAAATCAATGCCGACGACAGACATGTTGGGAGAATGTAAGGGGCTGTAAAGTAGGGGAGGTGATGATGTTTCCAAGAGGGAAAAGTGAAGCGAAAAGCCGGAGGGGAGAATTTGCACGCCACTCCACTATTATTGGAGGGGCGATGACCAAGTTGTCAAGCGGTCTGGCTACAAACTTAGGCGCCAAACTAATTAGGTGGGAAATTTTGGGGTATCGTAGAATGCAAGCAAAGAGGTATCAAGTGTTTTTTCCTTCCTGTTGCCTGGCTTTCACGGTCTCTATATATTGCTTTTTTTTTTTTTTTTTTTTTTTTTTTTTTTTTTTTTTTTCTTTCTTTTTTTTTTTTTTTTTTTTTTTTTTTTTTTTTTTGTTTTTTTTTTTTTTTTTGTTTTGTTTTTTTTTTTTTTTTTTTTTTTTTGGTGACTTT